CAGAGGCAACCCCCCAGGTCGCTGCAGGCCACTCAATCACACACATTAGCAACTACGAGCTCGAGTTGGTGTATGGAGTAAAAAACTTCACATTCCTTCCCTTTTTTTTATTTTTTTTTTTTCAACTGCAAGTATTATCAACGATATCGTAATCCGTTGCACATATTCAAAGACGCTCCAATGATGCCATAAGCACTGCCCGCAAAGCTCGTTCGATGCAGAATTCTGCTGCACGAGGACGCCTTGCGTAGAATATCAAATCATGCCTTGCCAATTAAAAATGAGCTGGAAATGAAAGTGAATCGAATACAATAAAACAAAATACTCTTATTTCATCAATAGGTAAAATCGTATTATACTTATTATTTTTCTCAACCTGTGGTGGCTCACCCCCCGGCCAGTTCCTTCTTTCTCTTATTCCCAATCGTTTCTCTACGCGAAAAAGCAACTTGCCGCCGCTGGCACGGCCCGCTGTCGACCAACCCTCTCTTTCTTGTCAAATAAAACCTTGTTATGATGTGACCTGCGCCGGGTCAGGGACAAGGGGACCGCTGCCCGGGTTCCTGGGCCTTCTCTTCCTTGAGAAAAAAAATATGACTTGTTTCTTTCTGTTTGTCAAATCACCCGCCCCCCCTCCCATGCCCCATGATGGCTTCCTCCTCCTTTCCTTGGATATGGCCCGTTGTCTCGCATCGCCTGGGGGAGGAAGAAAAGAAAATTCCATCTGCTGCTCCTCCCGTCTTGGGCGACTTGCAGTGCAGATTCCGCCCGAGAGACACGGCCGGGCGCCTGCGCGTCAGCTCTAGGACACTGTCTTGCTTGTTTTTTTTTTCGGTCTGTCTGTAATTTGTAGCCAACAAGTAAACACAACACACGGCAAGAAAGGCAAGGACATCTTGGTATTGCAAAGTTACAGAGAAACATGGGACATGGGGTTGTCCGCCGTGAACGGGACGTCGGTTTCGGCACCGCGTTGTCCAACGGCCTGGATTGGGCTTTGGCACAAGGGGGGGGGGCCTGCAACGTGAAATCCTTACCGTTGGGTAGCTACTGAAGGACAAAGCTTTTGCAGGTGAGGGATTGGTGATTGATCCTGGCTGCCAAGGCCCAATCCTGTTCTCTGGGACGTTCGTTTGCTGACCAGACTTAAGCGAAGGCGATGCTTTTCATCAGCCACCAACAACCACGCAATCAACCCTACAAATACCAATCGTAAGACGGCGAAGACGGGAATTTTGATCTTCCAAACAAGAAGATGCCCGACCAAGACGGCCAGTATTCCCCTCAAACCCTTGTTTCCTCACCGCAAATGATCGGGCTTGCTGGCCGCGCCTGTGGCTTGCATTGGTCTAGCGCCGGCTCCCCTTCCCCGGGTCCAGGAGAGCGGGTTATCCGGGGCGGCGGGTGACCTGCTGAGCTTTTTTCGAGAGGGCGGGGGGCAGGGAATTGAAGGATTGGCCCGGCTGGTATGGCTCGGCCAACTATCGAGGAACAAGAAATCCCCCAAAGGGGGAGAAAAGATGACGACATGAATTAGCGTTGGGGAGAGGCACAATGCAAGTAATGGTTTGGCCGAGCCTGGTTTTGTGCCAATCACTTGTCACCTTTTTTTGTTTTTGTTTTGTTCAACGTATCCGTACGAGGGGGGGAGGGTTATAGTAGTCTTGGATGAGGCATCACCGATGACCCGTCTAGTAGGGATAGATGTCCAGGATTCGAGGATACGACAACACCCTTCGAGCTGGGTTAAAGGGCAACCCTTTCGGGAATGCATACTGCATCAGTATGCACAACCAGAAGAAGGGAGCTCCTTCTGTGGGCAGGGCCCTTGCCGAGCTGATGAAGCAAGCAGCAGCATGGGCCGACGCAGAGCAGCCATTCGCACAGCATCTCCTCAGCAGGATGCACGCAATTTAACCTGTACAGCCGAACATCCCTCTTCTTCTCTTATGATCTCGGTTGTGCCATATTGGGGGCGTGTGCCTGGGGAAACGTTGCGAATGACGACTTGTGGCACACTTGTAATCCGTGCCGGGGGGGTTTTCATGCCAGCGCACGTTCATCTCCTCTTTCCCTCAGCTGACGGTTCAACATGATGTTTGGGTCTTCAGTTATCATGCATGGTGGCAAACTGGGCCGTCGGTCGCAAAAGAGAAAGAGAGACAGACAAGTTTGGGATGGGGGCCAAGCGCTAGGGCCCGTTGGGGGTTCCCGACAACAGAAAAAAATCCCCCGTATAATTTTGACAAATGACCTTTGCGCATTGCGGAATCATTCTATCAAAGAAGACACAGTCAGCGACGGGATGGTTGGACGGTAAGAGCGCGCACGACTTCATCCCCAGGTTTCGCTAGAACGTGGTTGGGCCAATGGACTGGTCATGTGGGCGGAGGAGAGGCAGCGAACGGGGCAGCGCAGGCGATTTGATGAGTTGGCATCGTTCAGGCTCTGACACGCTGTGTCTGGACCTGCTGACTGACCACAACAGGGGTGTAACTGGGCAGAGAGAGACCCAAGCAAGTTTGACTGACTGACAGAGGCCAAGTGTCCCTGCGACAGGGTCTGGTTCTGGTCCCCTTGTCTGTTTCTGCCATCTGGGCAACTGATGAGGTGCTCTTTGCCACTGTGGTGAAGTGAGGAAGGAATTCACTGGGCCGCAGGAACTGCAACAGGTGACTGACTTTTGCTGGGGGCGGAAATGTGCTGGCAAGCTTGAACCCCCAATGGCTTGGTCGCTGTAATCGGGGAGGGAGCTCATGACTCTATCCTGACGCAAACCCAGCACGCATGTACAACAAACGTACCCCCTCAGCCCCTTTACGTTGGGCCCTTTTACCGCCCTCTTTGCTGACAAGACGACGCATGGCTCTTTTTTGGGGGGAGGAGAGGAATGGGATGCGTCTCGCTGCTTATTCCTGGGGGGCCACGCATGGCTGAAGCGCTGACCCCATGATGATGCACAGATTTTTTTTTTCTTGCTTACCGCCGTGTGGGTGAAATCTCCATATTGATGCGTGGCACGGCACCGGTGGCACACACTCGCGTTGCTTGATCTTTGACGAACGGAATTATTTATAGGGACAAGCTTGAGCAAGCATGGAGGCTTTGGTCAGGCGCAGGCCAGCTGGGCCAATCCCAGAAGCCGAAAGCGGCAACCTGTGACTTACCCTGCGTACCAGTGATAATGATTCGGGCTTCTTCATTCTTCCTTTGTTGTTGGACCGGAAGGAACTTTTGAATAAGGAACAAGCTGATAATTATTGGTAATAATTGTTGATCCTGGTGATCCTGGTGTAGACCGTTTCCCCAGAAAGAAGGTCAGCTGGGGGCCGATTCATAGCCTCGTCTTTTGACCCCCAGCCTGGATGGAAGGCACGTAACATCAATTCGTTCAGATGCTCCGCCCGCCAATGGGCGCGTCCCGAATTAGGAGCCAGCCGAAAGCAGTGTGGTGTGCAGCGGACCAGGCCGTGCCTCTCTCTATTACGGTGCTACCAGTTTTCTCTGGCCAGCGTCGAAAACTGTGGGTTTCTATCCAGCGAACGTCTGAGCAACGATGGCCTGGAACGGCATCTATTTCTTGGTAGAACCCCATCGCGAGGCTCCGGCAGAAGGAGGAATTGATTCTTTGTTTGCTGACTTGATTGAACCTATTCTTGACGGCATCAAGCTGTAGGATTTGGGTGGTTGCGCTTTCGTTGCCGGGCGCGTCTGAACACCTTGGTCATTTGGCGCGCCCGTCTCGCGAAGACAACGTAACGAAATAGAAAACGGTAGCGCCGCAACCGTTTCGAGGTAGAAGAGTCTGATGGCCCCGTGACGAGGGCAGGCGGCGAGGCGATGAGTTGGCTGGCCCTGGTTGCGGCCCTGCGGCGACAGTCTGCCGTTTTGCCAGCGGGGGCAAAAGGGGGCCTCGGCCACAGGCGCCGACTGAAGGAGGGAAAACGGCGGGCAACGGAATGCTCATGAGCCGCCAGCCAGCGCCAGACCAGCTCGGAAAGCCATGTGATGGGGTGGTGATGGGCCACGGTAACAATGCCACGCAGGGCCAGCAGGCAGGGCAGGGCTGGCCTGTGAGCCGAGTTGGCCTCTGGTTCCTTACTGCTGGGACTTGGAAATGGTTTGAATTTGGTGAGGGCCTAAAAGAGTTTAGAAGGTTTAAAATGCGTTAGTCCCAAGTGGGTAGGATACTTTGTCCCAAAACAGCAGCATTGCCCAGAACAAACTAGCGCGTGTCCTTCAACCAATTCAATGACCGCGCCCGGCTGCTCCCCGGACCACCCAAATTGCCCTCCCTTGTGCCCCCCCAGCACCCCAGTGGTGGCCACCCAGAAAAATGCCCAAAAGTACCCGCTTGGAGCGTCCTGGCAGGGGGGTGTTACGGGGGGGTGCTTTGGGCATACCCCCACACCACAGGCCTTGACCACACCCACAGCGGCGGTCCCGTAAAGAGAGAGTGACTGGGGGGTGGGTGCTTGGGTACTGGCCTACCCCCGGTTCTTGCCCGTGCTGCTGGGTGCCCGTCCCGCCGGTCTTCTGAATAAGAGGGACGCAGCACCCCCAATGCTTCACCGGTCATCTTGCCTTTCTTACGCCAATGTCAACTTCATAAATACATCGCTTCCCCAGACTCGAATCTAAGCGTTGTTCCTACAAACTCTACCACCCATCGACTCCACGATATAGCACGCTTCTACTACACCACGCTTACCGCCTCGCACACCTCACCCACACATCCATACACACAGGCACGAACCAGCAATTCCGCAACCAAACGGACCTCCTCTTCATCTGTGCAGATCGCCACGCTCCAACAAACTCCTAGCATCGACTCAAGGAACATCACAACAAGCATTCGAATGCTCATCGTTTTGGGTGACGACTTGAACAGAACCGTCTGATTCAAACCCGCCAGCGACTTCCCGCTCGGCACCTTCGACGCCACACACTCACCTACACCACATCACTCAGGCATATTGAGCATCACGACAAACACGACAATGCCGCATAGATTAGACGCACCCGTCTTGACAGTGGATGCCAACGTTATCCATAAGGTTGACACCGCCAATCCAGCTAACCTGTTTGGCATGTGGACTGGTAAGTAGCACCTCGCTTGTTTGCGCGAATCTGCGCGTTGTTTCCCCTCGCACGATGGGCTGACCACGAACTACCCTTCAGTCTTCTCCCGCTGTGCCGACTCTCTCGAACAAGGACGCAGATTAGAAAACCTCAGCTGGAGAATCTGGCAGAGGGAGCAGCTCGTCGAGAACGAGAGGCGACTTGAAGCCTCCGCCTCCTCTACCACCTCCATCACCTCCAACACAAACACCTCCCCTGTGGCCACCAGCTGGCGCCCGCAAGACCTTCCACAGCTTTCCGGCAGCGTTGACTCGCTCGTCGACGACGACGCTACCGAGTTTGTTTCCGAGTCTGCCCCTCTCGAGATCCTTCGCCCCAGGATACACCGCCTGGACTCGACTACCAGCAGTCGCAGCAGACGCGACCGCCACCTCAGCTCCGACGACTTCAAGCAGCTGTTCGTCTCTATTGTGAACGACACTGCTCCCCTCTCCGCACCCACAGCAACCTGCCCTCTTACCACCGTCAAGAAGGAGACAGCTCCTATCGTCCCAGCCCCGACCCCAGCTGAGCCCAACACCATCAACATGTCTACCGAACTCGCACCAGCTGCTACCAACCGTGTTCCCCCTCCTTCTCAAGTTCCCGTCCGCGATTCGTTCCCCCAGCCTTCACATGCTGGCTCCGCCGAGGCTGCTATCCCTGAGCCCGAGGCGGCTCCCGCTCACCAGCCCGTTGCCCAGAAGAAGGCGCCCGCTAAGTTTGCTCTTGGCGGTTCCTGTTCTTCTAGCGAGCATGGCACGAGCGTGGATATGTCCAAGTCTGGCCTGATGCCTCCTCCCACCAAGGCCATGTTCCAGATTGGTGGCTCCTCCGAGTCTGCCTCCTCCGAGTCTGCCTCCTCCAAGAGCGACATCCAACCCACCAAAGTCGTCATTCCCCAGAAGATGAAGCAGATCATGACCTCCACCCGCCGTAGCTCTCAGCTCGAATCCGAGAGCGCAATCGACTCTGATACCGAGGATGAATACGTTGACGAGAGTGCCATCGAGGACGACGACTCTTCTGAATGGGAGGATTCCATGGAGGACAGCGGCAAATCGAGCGTCGACGACAAGTTTTTCCAGCGTGTCGAGTCCAAGGCCAACCTGGTTTCCCGTCCATCTCTCATCACTCTGATGCTTGCACAGAACGAGCGCCAGAAGAATCTCGGCAACCAGGCCTCTCAATCTGCCTCGGCCATCATGCGCAGGCGCGTCGGACCCAGCGCTCCTACCCTAGGAGCCTCCCCCAACGACTCGGACGAAGGCCCGCTGATGATGAAGGGCATGCGACCTTCCAACCTCAAGCCTATCATTGAGGTGCCCCGGTCGAGCGCCCAGCCCATCGTGGCGCCTACCAACTACGTTCATGCCCAAGCTGCTCTGTCGCCGCGAACCACTCGCCGGAACATGCTTGCTACTGAGCTCACCGAGTCCCTCCGTCGCCATCTTCTCTGGGAGCGCCAGCAGAAGACGTCGACCGCCAACGCTGTCCTTAAGCGCCGACATACCTCGCACGATGTCGCCAACCTGAAGCAGTACCCAGAGAAGCCTTGCTTGAAGCAAAGCGAAGATGCCAACGCGAGCAGCTGGAACCAATATTTCAACAAGGACACCTTCGACGGCTACCACTCCAAGGGGTGGTAGATTATCGACCATACACTATACACCATACACCTATAATTACACGACCGAAATAGCATCAAGCTGCTATGTCAACACAACAAAGCGATCATCAGAGCGCGATTTGATGGCGCTCTATTTCTTATCACACATTTTTGGCACTTTGCGTGGCGTTGCTATTGTTTTTCATTTCCAGATACCAAGGATTCTTGTTTTCTTTAGCCTCTACGGAGGCTTTGGGCATTCATGTTCGGCCTGTGTTTTCAACCGCCATTTACGTTCCCATGGTGGGTTTGTACTCTAGCGCAGCGCGATTGGGGTTTGCGCACAAAAAGCAAAGGGAAGAATTACTGTATATTCAAGGGCAACCTTGAGACGAAGGTCCTCGGGAGGAAGCATAATGGGAAAAGAAGCGGAAGAAAAGATGCAATCGCCTGGTAGAGGAAGAGGCGAAAAAGAATCGGGATGTGAACGATGTGGCTTGTGGCCCCCAAAAAAAGGGCATGCATTGCATTGCGAAGGAGGAAGCAAAAACACTCCCAAAGTTTCCAGGACCGAAAAGGACAGCCTCAAGCGTACAAAAACATAATAAAATCTGATATGACTATAATTTGATTGTTCTCTATCATGGTATTGTGAATGTGGTAATTGAATGGGAGGTACGTACATGTGAACGACTCACTCAGTGGAAGCTTAAGCTTGGTTGATGGGGCGGGGCGGCGGCACTTTTTCATTGGGTGGCGCCGGCCGCGTGAGCCCAAGCCCAGGAGTATTTTGCCTAGGGAGAGTTTTAGTAAAGTTGAATGGTAGGAAGCGGCAAATGGAAATGATGGGTGTGGCTCGTGCTTTGCGGGGTTGTTTACGAGGAAGCGAGTACACAGTTGACGTTAACTCACTAGTTGACTCACCTACAGTAGTAAAGGTGATGGATGAAGGCTTGACATTGTATTGTCTACTTTTTTTACTGGGCCGCGCCGAGCACGCCGAGGCTACATACTGTGGTGCTGGGCAGAAGCATATCCTCACATGTACATACACTGCGCTTGTGGCTATTGCCCTTTTTTATTTTTTTATTTTTTTTTGCCCACGACGGTTTATTCTGGCTATTTACATCGTGGGTGGGTGTGTGTGTGTGTGATGTACGTCATGAGGTAAGGTGAAGTTGAGGCGACACATCAACAGCCGCGCCTCACCCGGTGTCACATTTATCGATGTGCTTTATTAGTTTTAGTATTCTGGGGGATGCATGGAAGAGAGAGAAGAAACGCGGGTCCAACTCACGCCTGGATTGGCCTGGCAGTTGTTCAAACGTGGCTCATCACAAGTCCACCCGTTTCCAGATTGGTGCACCGACGAAGAAAAGGCAGGCAGGGGTGTCGTGCGAGATCACCCGCCGGGGATGATCGGTAACCAGTTCGGGACGACGGCCCTTTCGTCACAAAGCGCAGAAATAGTAGAATCCCTCTTTCAAACGGAATCAAAACTGGTTACGGCTATAGCACAACACATGTGCGCCCCCTTTGTCCACATGTTCTGGCGGCGCCTGCGACGCGCCGAGGTGTTGACGAGCCGGCGCGCGAACTGTCACGTCAAGAAAGGTCATGCGCTGCCCCGGACTGAAACTTTGCGGGGGAGGTAGGTCAAACGGTCGGCGGATCGGGGTGACTTTTGGCGCGCGCACGGTCGTTGGAGGATACGTACTTGCCATGTGTCGGCGACGATCTGCACATGTTACGATTCAGCAATTCCGAGAATACATGAATTATTTTATTTTATTTCTTTTACAAAGAAACAGTAGTGACATTAGAGTATGTTGTAACTCTCCGCATCAGGTATCATATCGCAAAGGCCGTCCCCGACATGCTGCCAAGAACGACAGCATTGGTACCTGAAAGTCTCGAGGCATCTTGGTACTGCCACGGTACCTATAGCCAGTTGGGGGCAGTGTGGTAAGTTCAAGGGGGCTGCGGATAGTAACGAAGGCCAGAATCGACCGAGATCAAAGGACCCCGTCTCGTGTTGGTGCCTTGCCGCTGGCTCGACGCGGCGAGACGCCCCGTGCAGCATAGAGACTTGCTGGGCGCGTTCTAGATGAGATTAAAACTCAAAATGGGAGCTACGAAGAAATTGCAGAATGGAAGCGAGATTGAGAAGAAGAAAATGAATAAAAAAGAGTAAAATAAAATAAGAGGAATTAATATGCCTTGAGAGGTGAGGATCATATTGTGTGCTTAAGCTATAGATTATCTGCCCATGCTGTAAGTGAGGCCGAGGCACCGCATCGCCAACTTGAGAACTATGTGGTGTAAAAGATGGCCATGTTCAATGAATGACGCTATAGCTAATTCCCCTCCTCCTGACTCATTTTGGCAGCCTCGCGCAGCCTCGATGGCCTGTCAGGCTGGCTGGCGGCTCTGCTACTACTGACTCACCAATCCTCGGGACCTGCCTGTTACGGCCAACGGGCGTTAGAGGGTTGGCTACGAACAACAGCTTACCTCAATGACTTGCACAGCTTGAGAATGCATTGAAGCGCCAAAGGGGCTATTGACCGCGAAGCCAGTTTCCGCATAAATATACTGGCCCCCCCATCACCGCCACCTTCACATACATTCATCTTTCGTCATCTTGCAAACCCCACACATACATCATGGCATCGCCGTTCGCCCGCGAGGGCATCGAGATCAAGACGCCGCGCGTGCTCATCCGCACCGGCAGCCCCACCGACGACGCCGAGGCCTACGCGCTGTACCTGCGGAACCCGGCCAACTTCCCTCCCGGCAGCGGCGCCGCCGAGCCGGCGATGACGACCGAGGCCGCCGCCGCGCGGCTCGCCAAGTTCGCGCGGTGGACCGCCGAGGGCGCGCACGGATGGGTGCTGGTACAACTGCTTCGAGACGGTCGACGCGGCCGCCTTCCTGGCCGGGCGCGCGGGCGAAGAGGAGGGCGAGACGGCAATGGCGGACTTGGGCGTCATGCTGGACCACCGGTTCTGGGGCCGGGGATACGGGCTGGAGGTGCTGATCGGGCTGGTGGAGTGGGCGCGGCGGGAGGTCGGCGCGGGCGTGTTCAGAACGGAGACGGAGCCGGGCAACGAGCTGTGGCGGGCGCTGATGGCGCGCGCGGGCCTGGGCGGGAGGGAAGGTAGGGCGAGGGCGAGCTACGACGAGGACAAGGAGGTGCTGCAGTGGAGATGGGACGTGGCGGCGTGGGAGGAGGCGAGGAGGAGCATCGAGGCTGAGGGCAGGTGGATTGAGATTGAGTAGGTTCAGTCGTCACCGTTGGAATACGACGCGGTGATGGGAACATGGACGTCCAGAATACACGAATTTGATCATAATTCATTACCTTCATTTCCTATCACCTATGTGACAATATCGATTGTCCATTAAGCCAGCCGGGCCTGCTGTTGAAGCGAAATAAAACCAAGAAACCAAAAGAAGAAAATAACAGTCAAGACTGCAGGACCGACGCGTTGGATGGTCTGCTCTCACCCGTCTTAAATTCGGCCACCTTTTTGCAATACTTGTTCATTTTGGGAACAGTTGCTAAGAAACCAGTCAGCCAAAGTGTTTATCCTCAAACGGAATTTCTTATGTGTGTTCTTTCAAAAAAGTTGTGCAGGTGAGCAGACTTACATAGGACCTTTCCTGGGCCTTTGAAGCGGCACTTGACGAAGATGCAGGTCCCGGCCTTTCTCCTGATCTTCTTGAGGTGCTCCGGCTCGCACCAGCACGATCCGTCGTCGAGGTCGCAGATGCCCAGCTTCTTGACGGCGTTGTCGAAGCACTTGTGCGAGCACTTGGGCAGGATGGTGTGGCGGTGCGGCTCAACCTTGGCGGCGACGGGGGCCTGCACCTGGGCGGCGACGGACCAGATGCCGCAGGCGGCGACGAGGGCGAGCGCGGAGAGCTTCATTCTGGGAGGAAGGTGTGGTTGGAAAGAAGGAATGCTTTTGGAGAATGGTTTCTGGATGCACGGGGAGGTTTTTAATGGCTTGGTTAGGGCAGCCTAAGGGAAAGTTTGTAGGGCAGAATAACTTGATTGAGTAGCTGTAGCGAGACGAATTGTGAAGCTTTCAACTAGATATCTCGACCTTTCTGCATTTGCTACTTATGAGGGCACGATTCCTCGATTGAGTAGCTGTAGCGAGACGAACGATGAAGCTTTCAACTAGATATCCCCTCCTTGTGAGTTTGCTACTTAGTAAGTCACTTTACCTTGATCAAGCAGCTGTAGCGAGACTAATGGTGAAGTATTCAGCTAGATATCTCGACCTGTGTGAGGTTACTCCTTATTAGGTAGGGCGTGGGCGGTGCTCACTTACTTGGGGGCGCGGTGATGAGACTGAGTCTTCATCCCAGGAATAAAGAGCGAGGCAACACTTATAATTCTGTTGAACTTTTTTATCTTATTTTATCGTATTGCCTTTTATCGTTTCGATGAAGAATATCTGTAAACTCGACACATTTCATTCTCTCGGAATCTATTCCCGTGTGAGCTCCGGCTGGTACCTCTTCCGCAGACCAATACGCTAGCGTGTCGCGCTCCCACCAGCGACCAATAGATTCCGCTCGATTCCGCTCGATTCCCCGGTCCAGTGCTACATCTCACCAGTTTCCCGCAATCTTGATTGGTTCTGGGCTCGCCGGGTTGCAGGCCGCTCGAGGTCATCCAGCCTATGAGAATGGAAACATTTCAACAAGGGAAGACCATGGAAAAAAACAGGATCGGTCATGAGGTCTCTTCCCTTTCCGTCATCCTGCTGCGGGGATCAACAGGAGAGGCATTATTATTCTCAGGACCCAGCGGCGGCCGCGCCCCCTCCCTCCCTTGCTGAAGGTTTGGTATTTGTTACCAAAATGGAATTTGGACAAAAATGGACGTGCTCACGAGACGTTGTTTTGCTGAGTTGTCAAAAGAGGAGAGAAGAGGGGGGCTGGTCACCCCACCAGCGCGATTTGGGACTTGAAGCTTGACGAATGCTACGTTGAAGAAAAAAGAAAGAGAGAGGGAAAATAAAACAATAATAAGAACCAGTAATAATAAATTTAATATTTCTTTAAAAAAATTTAACATGCGGGGACAGGGTTCCTTTTTCACTGGGCGTTGGTGTAGAATCGGACCTGTTCGTCATTATGAGGAAATTCTGGGCAAGGCAGGTCCAGGATCTGATCGGCCATTAACAAACGCCCTGCAAGACTTATGATTTGGGGTTGTAATTCTTCTTCATGTCTTTCATTCGGGTGCAACAAAAGACAATCTCCTCTTTCCCCACGGCGGCGGCGGCGTTGATGGCATGTTTGGCATGGCCCCAGGAGACACACGATTCATTGGCCCCGGAGCGGTGAAAAGATGAATGCTGCCCTCGCATGAAATCTGAAATCTCGTCTTGTGGTGCTTGTGCGACAAAAGGCGCGTCCGAGGGTTCAGAGGGTTTCTTTGACAAGTTCACCGACTTTGCGGGCTGAAGAGACGATGCATAACACGGACGACTCCATTATGCTGCATGTCATGCAACTGGTCACTTGGCGAAGAGTAAAAATAAAGATGAAATTTAAATATTAAATATTAAATGTTGAAAATTTCTAATAAAAAAGAATTATTCAATTGTTCTTTGTCTCTTTAGATGACCAGATTTTTCCATTTGGGAAGGGAATTACATCACCTTGATCAGGGTGTGACGGGCATTCCCTGTGAGGCGAGTCCTGATGACTAGGAAGATCAATCCTGCGACAACAAGGACGGCAACCGTCAGTTGATGCTCTTAAACAGGATCAACAACCTCCAAATCGAGACGCAGTGGACGGAACCGAGAAAAGGGAGAAAAACAATGGCAGAGTCCTCGGCCTACATCGGGGGAAAGTGTCACCTGCAAAGTCGCTTCCGTGTCAATTGATGCAACCGTGGGGGAGCTACTAAAAAAGCTGGGGGTGGAGGGGGTGGGAAAAAAAAGAAAAGAAAAAAATAAAAATAATACTTGAATGAATTATTTTGAATTCAAATGATTAGAATAAATCATAAAACTACCTGGAATTATACTAGCACTCGGCCCATGCTTGACATTACCACAACTCAACCGAGGACGCGGAATAGAGCGAAGGTGGTGTGTACACAATATATAGACGACGTCATAGGAGGGAGCCAGACCTGTGACCACTGACTTGCCAACACCGTCTCTGCCAGTTTGCCCGAAAAGGGTTTTGCCTCGATTGCCTGTTTTAGTACCTTGTCCGATAACTCTCGATTAATTCCTGTCCCTAGCTATATTATCCTCGCTTCACTTCCCCGCCCTCCCTCTTTCGTTCTTGGCCACAACGCGGGCCCCCGCGGGCGCGCCGCCAGAAGTCAGCGGCGTGGCGACAGACAAGACGGACATCTAGATGGCCCGTCTTCTGCGGGCTCAGAGGGTATGACGCCTGGGGGTTTCAGGGATATGTTTTTTTTTTCCCGCGGGGGCAGGGGGATTGGCAATTGATTGTCTCTTTGCCCTTCCTTGTAAGGGACGGGCGGACAGGCGGAGCGCGGCGGACAGCAGCCCCCCCCCCCCCCGGGTGCCGAAACGTGGCGCGCGGCGGCTGACGTTTTCCTGGCTGACGGACAAGAGCCCTACGTCAAACATTGCATTACTTGAGATGGCTCCGTAGGACAAGCTGTTGCGTGAATGAACATATCTAGAACATATCTTACGTACAAGACTTGGTCGCCGAGAGCAAACATGCCAGCACCGCGCTCAGCTCGCCCGCAGCCTGGCCGTCTCCGGCAGCACCCCTGCGCGCGGGATTCCGCGACATGACCAGACTCCCGCGCATGCTGCGGTGCCTTCTTTTTGGTGCCTGTAATTTTTTTTAGTCCTCGTGCATATCGGCCGCATCCCGCCTGCCAACTTGGGGGCCGGAATGAGGCACGGATTCTGACGCAGCGCTCTGTTCCGTCAACCAGCCAAGACTTGATGTGGTGTTGGCATGACTTAATAGCGCCTGTGTTGGCGGCCATGTCCTCTTCGGTGAATATCATTTATTTATACATGTTATCATTTATTTATACATGTTATCATTTATTTATACATGTCAACTATTTTGACGTTGAATGCCATTTTTACATCACGTTAAATTAGAATGACATGACTTTTGGTCGATGAGGATCGCCGTCGTCCGGGGATTGTCAAGTCAGAATCCTTGTCTGTGCGGACCGCGACAAGTGAGGCGTGAGCACGTATTGGCGGGCCGCATCGCGCCGCCCCTGGGTTTTGCTTGTATTTCAAACACCGCCATGTCATTCGTCTAATACTCACAAGACCGGGACCTTTTTCGTCAAAGAATTGAAGAGATTTTTTTCCCTTTCTTTACAAACAGGCGGTGACGGGAGCGGTCAGGTGAGCGATGACAACAACGCATTCCAACTGTCAGTATTACGAACACTTACCGGTACTCCTTACTTGCCGTTTGCAATTTCAAACTCTCATTATGCTACTATTTAGTAACAGCAATACCAAAAGTCCCCAAACGCCGCCGTCGTTAGGACACGAATCATGGGCAACGCGCATGACTGCCAAAAAAGGTCCCTGACCAAGGACGGAAATTGGTGGTGGCGCTGCGCAAGGCCTGAAACGGAAGGTCGCTGGAATGGTCACTCGGGCACCTACCCCGGGAAAATTCCTTCTAGAAGAAGAGCTGCAGGGACCCGTGGGGCGCCGAGGACAAGCAACAGAGGGTTGTCACTGTAAGTGTCCGCGACGTCTTCCCCCCCTCCCCCCATCACATCATGCAACTTGTGGCGTTGCAACCCCCAACAGAACAAGCCTTGGTGGGAGGCGGGCGACGGCGGTGCCAAGTGAAAGCTTAGCCCCGACGAAAGCAAAGCCGCTGTTGCATACGTAACAAGAGGTGGCAGGTAACGTTTTCATGCGAACCGCCTTGCGAGGGGACTGATGCGCGCGGTTACCTCCACGCCCGTCAAGACGCTCAGGCAAACCCCAAGCATCCTAGTATAACTCGCAAAAGCTTCCCCCTCTCATTTCACAACCAGCCAGCCACCGCGTTGCGTGGGCATAGTTGGCGACGTATGGCGTCGACTCGACGGGCGTATTCGTACATCCACCGAGCTACAAGCAACCGGCTATCGCCTCGGCCATTTTGCCGGCCAGTCTGCGTCTCCTAATCTTCCATGATTAGGTAGCGGGAAGAAGAAGATACTAGTTCAGCCCCCTCTTCCCTTTCACGTGCCGTCATCGGTCATGCTCGGGTAACTATTCCGTTGTAGTTTATAGCCTTGGTAGTTAAGACTGGCGGAGATGACGGTGTCATTCGCGCGCCCGCACGAACCAGTAAGCCGGGGAACAAGTCCATGGGCCATGGAACTCGCACAACGTGGCGTTTGTATGTATGTATTTACAGACTTGATCGTTTGCTTCTTTCGGCCGGGCTGGGGGAAGTTTGCGCGCGGATAAGTCAGGATACAACAGCAGTGGCTGGCTAGTTATATATCATAAGTCCTGTGGCGTGTGGCGTTGTAGGACGGCCGCTCATGCAAGCTGATTCAAACTGGTCCGCGCCGCGCCCGCGCCCGTGACATGGACGGGGAAAAAAAAAGAAGGAGCGGGAACTGTCGGGCTCGAAGTCGCGCAGCGACGAGAATGGGAAAGGCTGTCAGATCAGCGAAACCAATGCATGCACCCCGGAAAAGCAGCCACGAGGGCGGCGGACCGGGCATATTCGAGGTGAACCATCCGTCGGTCCGACGTGCCTCGCTTTAGAAATGGACGGATGCTTTTGGTGATGGGAAGAAAAGCTTGGGCCTGTTTCAGGGCCATTTCTATGCTTTACTACTTAATTAGTTGACTAGTATTGACTGCGCTGTGAGTTGCTGTCAGGCTTGACAGGTTTAATAAAAATAAGAGCGGATGTGCGCGGTTCTCGAGCGGCCCGGGCGATGAGTTATCGCTATCCGGGTTGCATGGTTACTTGTAATTAATTGGCTAGCGCACGGGGTTTGAGATGGGGTAGATGGAGTTGGAAAATAGACAAAAATAAAACAAAATAAAGACTCCCCAACAATTTAATGATGATAATACTCGGCTTCAATTCTATTTCATCCCAGCAAGCCATGGGATTGGTTAGTGCGGGCGTTGGGAGACGGTAAAGGGCCCAGAACTCCGAGTTTCTCTTTGGTAACCAAATAACGACGGTGATAGAAGAAGGTCGCGAGACATCAAGACCTGCTAGGCTGGGGCAAGAAGGTCGGGGAAGTACGGATGGAGAAGAGAGTCTAACAAGGGTCTCGTTGGATGGACCGGGGAAGATTGGGGGTGGTGGTGGTAGTGGTGGGTTGTCAAGTGTCACGTTGTGCGTGTTTGTGTTGGGCCAACCGTGAGCACTTGTTGTTGACAGTTTCTTAGCAGTACGGAGTAGTCTACGGGGGACGGAGTATTTGGGAGCGCGGAGGAGGATAGATGGACCCTTGAAGCTGCATCTCGGTAGGGTGTCTTGTGTGTTGGTGGGATTTTGGAACCGACGGCCGGTTGGTTGAAGAGCGATTTGACTGAAGGCAGCGAGCAGTTCCGAGGAAAGATAAAATAAAATAATAAAAAAAGAAAAGAAAAGAAAAGAAAAGAAAAGTGTGGGTCTGCCTTTTTTTATTATTATTTCTTTTTACTATTCATTTTCCTATTCTTCAATGCTACCCAAAAGCCATGGCGCTATTGGCCATTAATGGTCCCAAATCCCATCGCGCTAAGCCCGCCGGGGACACGGCCTGGTGACCGCGACCAGTTTTTTCTTTCTTGCCTCGGATTTCGCTGGGGAAGGGGGGGGGAGGGTTTCTAGCCTCTTTCTGGCGCACAGCGACCGAAAGAACAAAAAATAAGGGCCTCGGTCAAAAACTAAAACCAACTAGCCTCTGTGCCGAACTCGAGCGTGTTGCTCTTGGTACGTGACTCTTACCAGCGGCAATTGAAAACGGGTAAATGGCTTCTTGCTTTTGCCCTCGAGTCGCGATGTGGTTTCATGAGTCGCGGTTGGGTGGTGGCGATCTGAACGGTTCGCCCGACCGACGCTGCTCAGCGGAGGGAATAGGCGCGTGCCTGTGATTGAACCGCTTGGAGGGAAGAGGGGCGGTCGCTGGTGGATATGAATTTATCCATGCGGGAGAAGAGCGATGAGAAAAATCATTAGGTCATTCGTCGTCGTCGTCGTCGGTATGGCGGAGGGAAGGGCGGAGCCAGCACCGAGCGAGTTCTGGACAATAGAAAGCCTGGGACAATAGCGACTTGTTCAACTCTGACTACACCCACGCCACTCCCCCCCCTCCTCTCAGCCATTGTGGTATGTGGTTTTTGGCCTTCATCTTCTACTTCTCCATTGTTGATGGGAAAAGGGCGCCAACATCTCGATGTCGCTCCATTATCCTTTTGCCGCGTCGGTGTTACTTTGTAACTACAGCCTCGTCTAACTAGAACTTGGGCGGGGATGTGAACGCCATCGACAGATACCTGAGAGGGCGGCCAGGGCTGCGAAAGCTTGTTTTTCCTACCCTCATGCAGGTCGACGAGCAACTAATCGTAGTGTGCCTAATAGTAACGCCGAAGCCTTCTCCAGCCATCGTCCCAGGGCTGCCTGAGCCCAAGCCCTGCATGCGCAAGGCGGGCCACAGACGGACCGTTGGCTTTGCTTGCCCTGTCAGTTGCAGCCTTGGATCGCAAAGTCTATACCAATGCGGTTGCCCATGCTTCTCATAAAACGGTACCTATACCCTGTAGAATGAAAACTGCCGCAAGAATAATACGCGGCACTCGTTCAATGGGCAAACACCGCCACCGGGCCGTCGGGCACTGGGCCTGTCTGTAGACAGAGACTGGCCGCCTCAACGCTTTCGGCCCTCGGCGGGCTTGTTCTTCTTCTTCTTCTTCTTCTTCTTCTTCTTCTTCCCTTTCATTCCCTCTCTCTCTTCTTGGACCTTCTCATGTGACGCGCCACCTCCTCGTAGCTGCTGCCTGCAGGGCAAGTGCGGGGATGCCGAAGAAAAGAGCGCAAAAAGGGCTGGCTGGGGGCGGCGAGGCGCTGGGCTGGTCGCGGGGGTGGTGAACTCAAAATTTCGGTGCCAACGCGGAAGGATGCGGAAAACCGGTTCCCCAACCTCGATATGGTTCGTTGGCGTCGTGATCATATGCATAAAAAAGACGCAGGCGTTTTATACATACATTCGGCCAGAATAGTATTTTATTTTATTTGATATATTTTTAATTCTTCTCCTTTATTTTTTTTTTTTCGTTTATTTCTTCTCTCTGCTTGGTCCCTCAAATCTCCGTCGGTGACAGCTCCCTCCACCTTTTGGTCACGACCTGCAAGTCCAAGCCTCACTTCTCCACGGGGAACTCGGCTTGGCGGCTCCAGTCCCTCCCACAGCCATGACATATCCTCGGACCCTGGTTCGGAGAGGTCCCGGGGGAAAAAGTCGGAGAGGAGCCCAACGCTCTCTCGGGTGCCAAGTCTGTCAGTATGAGTAACATAGTCTTGCGCGGATCATGCCCGAGGTGGCGGAGGAAAGCATGCAACGAAAAAACAGAGCTGTAAAACGAAATAGAATTCACGTAACAGGACAAAGCAAAGCAAAGCTGGATTTATTTATGGGTCTAGATCGGGTTGCGTTACGCCTTCCAACGTTTGACAGCTCCCACAACGTATAAAGCCAGCCGCACGTTTGAAACGGTGAGCATTCTAGTCTTGGCACTGTCTTGGCGGCCTGTCAGGGTCGACCATCACTTGAGATGTAGCCAAGCCTTACCTCATTCAATAACTTTATTGTTACTGATTGGTTGGCGCACTAGCCGCTCAACTCAACAGGATACAGGACCCCGGACGTTGACTGCTTCTCTCAACTTGGGAGAGTGCTTCGGAACCAACCAGATTCTTGAATTCTCGCCGCAATCCAGACACAAACATGTAAAATATTTTGCAATTTTATTCAAAGTAATGAATAATGATCATGTCGATGATGGTGAGCCTCTCGTAGCGGCGACGAACGACCGTGATGACGTTAAACATGGAAAGCCACGGTACAGAAAATTCAGAGGGCACCGTCACCTGTACTTGCACGGAACATGTTGGTATACTCTGGGTGAATCTTAGAGCGCACTATCGCTGCCATCATGTATAACGTCCTCGACCTCCTATCCAAGCACATCATCTCTCAGCGCCTATGCAGTACCAGGCTCGCCCTCGCCGTCGTCGAGCCTCGTCGACGCAAACTTGCGCGTCGGCGTGCGCCTTGCAAACAGAATATCCAACTCCTCGTACGTCCTGCCTCTCGACTCCGGCAGCCTAAACCACGCCCACACCAGCACCGCCAACGCCGTCGCCCCCCAGACGAACCCCGTGTACCCCCTCAGGTCCAGCTCGCCCGGGTTCATAAAGTACGGCTGCAGCACCTGTGACACGATCGCCACCACGTAGTACGAGTTGCGCGCCAGGCAGATGGTCCGCTGCCGCAGCCGCGTCGACCCAATCTCCGCCGGGATCGCGAAGCCCAGCTGGCCGACGGAGAGCTGGAACACGAACGTCCAGACGAGGGTGAGCACGGCCTGCGCGTAGCCGACGCCCTGGTGAGACGAGCCCCAGACCTGGAGGAGGCCGATGGTGAGGAGGGTGGCGCACATGGCGGCCATGCCGGCGAGGTAGGTGGTGCGGCGCCCGAGGAAGGGCATGATGGCGAACCAGCTGACGAGCGTGCCGACGAGGGCCATGGCGGTGCCGCCGGTGTTGAGGTAGTAGGTCTGCGAGGTGTCGAGGCCGACCTGCTGGAAAAAGTACTGCGGGCAAAATGAGTCAGTTGGACTGGTACTATGTATGACTCGGCAACGGATGGCCAACTTACGGTGGAGTTGTACGCAAAGGAAGAGCCGGAGAGGACCTGCCCGGCAAACACGACGCACGCAATCTCCGTCCGGCGCAGCTCCGTCCCCCGGAAGCAGTCCAGGTAGCCGGTACCCGCGCTCAGCCTCGCCTCCGTGTCGTTGGTGTGCACAATCTCCGCCAGCGTCGTCTCCGGGCTCAGCCTCTCCGACACCGTCGACTTCCGCTGGAGCCTCGCCAGCACCTTGCGCGCCTCCTCACTCCTCCCCACGCGCACCAGGTGCCACGGCGACTCCGGCGCGAAGCACAGCACCGGCACCAGCAGCGCCGGCCACGCCCACTGCAGCGCGAACGGGATCCTGTACCCCCACTCGTCCGGCCTGCCCACCAGGCCCGCGAGCACGCCCGCGGCGATGAGCTGCCCGACGATGAAGCACATGTTGGTCCAGCTGGTGAGGTAGACGCGCAGGCGCAGGGGGAGCACCTCGGAGGCGTAGGCGGGCGCGCAGGCGACGAAGACGCCCCACGGCAGGCCGCAGAGCAGCTGCCCGGCGAGGAGCATGGAGATGGAGGAGGCGAAGAAGGTGACGAAGATGAGGGAGGAGAGGAGGAGGAGGGCGGCGAGGATGACGCGCTTCTGGCCGAAGCGGGAGACGAGGGCGCCGGTGGCGGCGACGCCGAGGAAGCAGCCGATCTGGGAGGCGTTGCCGAGACCGGCCTGCCAGGAGGCGGAGAGCTGGTGCCGGCCCTTATCGTCGACGAACTGGCCGTACTTTTTGGCGAACTCGGGGTACGCGTAAAAGTTGCCGATGAGGATGGTATCGTAGCCTGATAGGAAGCCAATTGTTAGTAAGGAGGTAAGGGAAGGGTGGAAGGGGGATCGGTGGGGGAAAGAAAAGAAGTTGACTTGCCTTCCATGATGACACACATGGAGACCATCAAGCACCAAAATATGGCCATGGGGTAGGCCTTGATGGCATCCTGGAGAGACAGCTCATGGGCCACTTGGGTCGCCGTCTTGGCCGCCGCCTTGACCTTGTCCGTCACCACGAGGTCGTCGACGTGCTCCGCCTGAATGGCACCGTCGTATTTCTTTTCCGCGTCCATGCTGATTCGATGTAGATGCAAGTCACTCTTGTTCAAAGCAGCTGATCCAGATAAAATCCACTGAAGCTCAACGGGCGAAACCGACGCTCTTTATACAAACACGCCCGAGGGGGAGAATCGGCGCGCGCCCACTTCTCGTTTACCCCAGATGAGGGTGGACTTGACCTCCGCATGCAGTAGTTCGAAAAACGAGTCGGAGGGTTTGTTGGGTGATGATGTGTGAGGAAGAGAGATTGTGTAAGTGTGACAACCTGGAATGGCCTCGTTCGTGTAGGCTGTGGCTAGCATCTCTCGGTCCGACTACAAACCAATGAATCAAGGGGAATCAATACCCGGACGGACTACTCCGTGAGCGAACCGGCATGGCGGTCTTCCAAGCGTCACTGTAGCGTCAGCCGAAGGGCCGCGATGCGGGGTCCGGGGAAATAGACAAGCTGGGGAATGGCGATGTCGTCTGCCCAAGTTGTCTAATAAAAGTGGTTGACCTCCGTAATCATCTCTGAGACCTGCGTTCAGCCGTGGCGGCGCCGGTGTGGGGGAACGCCTCTCCGGGGAATTAATCGGACAATCGCGTCTGGCCTGGACCGCTCCCGCGGGTTCAATTCAACTGCCGTTTTTCGCATTTTCCCAAAATATTCCCCGACATGATACTTTATGCTCTCAGAGGACGCTCAATTGCATATAAATCGGCACACACAAAGGTAGCTGGACGTAAAAGCCCGCAAACAGCGACTGGTGGCTTATGAACTATCGAACTGGCGTTCCAGTTCAACCCCAACATGCGAATCAACACCGAAGTGAGCCAAAAAGCAGCAATGAAGCCTGACCGTACGTACTCTACGTGGATTTCTAGGACGACCTCTGTCAGCTCCAAGTACACTGGCAGCAAGCCGCTAATATGCTTCCGTCTGCTCCAGCCATCGTCGTGGACGGGACGTCCTTTGCGCTCAACGGACGCAACCTTTCCTACCGATTTCACGTCGATGCCGCCACCGGCGACCTCGTCAGCGACCACTTCGGCGCCGCCGTTCCCGACACGCAGCTGCCTTCCGCTGCGCCCGTCGCGCGCCAGGGCGGCTGGTCGACCGCCGGCGGCGTGCGCCGCGAGTTCCCCGACCTGGGCCGGGGCGACTTCCGCACGCCTGCGTTTCGCGTGCGCGTCGGGGCCACCGGTGGTGGTGGCACGGTGACGGCGCTGCGGTACCACTCCCACGAGGTGATCCCGGGGAAGCCAGCGTTGGAGGGCCTGCCGTCGACGGTCGCGGCGGCCGGCGAGGCGGCGACGCTGGTGGTATGCCTGCAGGACGAGCGGAGCCGGATCGCGGCGGACCTGTCTTACACTGTGTTTCCGGAACTTGATATCATCGCTAGGAGCGTCAAGGTTACCAATCAGGGGACGCAGACGGTGACAGTTGAGAAGCTGACGAGCATCAGCGTGGATCTGCCACATCGCGACTATGACATGATTAGCCTCCGCGGGGAATGGACGAGAGAATGCAACAAGGCGCGTCGCGCCATCGACTACGGATCACAAGGGTAAGAAGAGCCGTCCGCACAACGCCCGCTTCCTCACCCCACTGACAACATTTCCCTCGACAACAGCTTCGGTAGCACCACCGGTTACTCATCCCACTTCCACAACCCCTTCCTCGCGCTCGCGCCGCCCACCACGACCGAGTCCCACGGCGAGGCCTGGGGCTTCGCCCTCGTCTATTCGGGCTCCTTCCGCGCCGAGGTCGAGAAGAACCCGCAGGGCCTGGTGCGTGCGCAGATCGGCCTGCACGACGCGCAGCTCTCCTGGCCGCTCGGCCCCGGCGAGACCCTCGTGGCGCCCGAGTGCGTGGCCGCGTACTCGGCCGCGGCCGGCGTGGGGGGCATGTCGCGCGCGCTGCACCGGCTGCACCGGCGACACCTCATGCGCGGACCGTGGCGGGACCGCCCGCGGCCGGTGCTGCTCAACGGCTGGGAGGGCGTGTACTTTGACTTTGACGGCGAGGCCATCGTGGGCATGGCGGCGGCGGCGGCGGACCTCGGCGTGAAGCTCTTCGTCATGGACGACGGCTGGTTCGGGGTCAAGCACCCGCGGACGAGCGACGGCGCCGGTCTGGGCGACTGGACGCCGAACCCGGCGCGGTTCCCGGACGGCCTCAAGAGCGTCGTTGACAGGGCGACGACTCTGGCTGTCACAGGGTCTGATGAGAAGCTGAAATTTGGCATCTGGGTTGAGCCTGAAATGGTCAACCCCAGGTCCGAACTCTTCGAAAGCCATCCCGACTGGGTGCTCCAGGCTGACGGGTATCCGCGCACCGAGGCTCGCAACCAGTTGGTCCTCAACCTCGCGCTGCCCGCTGTGCAGGACTTCATAATCGATAGCATCACAACACTGCTGCGCAGTGCGCCCATATCGTACGTCAAGTGGGATAACAATCGCGGCATACACGAGACCGCCTCGCCGGCCGCCTTCCATGCCTACCTGCTCGGCCTGTACCGCGTACTCGACACGCTCACCACGAGCTTCCCCGACGTCCTCTGGGAAGGCTGCGCCTCGGGCGGCGGCCGCTTCGACGCCGGCATGCTGCCGTACTTTCCGCAGTCGTGGGCGTCGGACAACACGGACCCCGTCGACCGCGTCGCCATCCAGTTCGGCACGACCGTCGCGTACCCGGCGGCCGCCATGGGCGCGCACGTCGCCAAGGTGCCTAACGAGACGACTCGGCGCGTAACGTCGCTGGCGTTTCGCACGCACGTCGCCATGATGGGTGGCTCCTTCGGCTTTGAGCTGGACCCGCGTGACAGCAGCGGCGACATCACCCCGGCGGAGCGGCTGCAGATCCCCGGGCTGATCAAGTTGGCGGAGAAGATCAATCCGCTAGTGATCAACGGCGACATGTGGAAGCTAGATCTTCCGGGAGAGTCGAACCACCCCGCGGCGTTGTTCCTGGCAGGGGATGGGTCCCAGGGCGTGTTGTTCGCGTTTCAAATGCTGGGCCGGACGGTGCACAGCCAGCCAACGCTGCGTTTTCAGGGGCTAGCCGGTGATGCGAAATATCGGTTGGATGGAGAAAAGGAGTACTCGGGTGCGGCTTTAATGAATGGTGGGCTGCAGTTTGCATTCGCTGGCGACTACGATAGTCGGGTTGTGCTCATCGAGCGGCTGTAAAGCAAAACTAGGTATTCGAAGAGACAAACACACACACTGTTAGCATCAGCTGTAATTCAAATACATAATGATTATTATTAGTCCCGAGTCGCACCAATTTTTGGTAAAGATTTGTAGAGTTTTGAAGGTTCTGACGTAGGGCCAGTGTTGAGTTATGTCACCGCGCGACGGCCGCGAAGATGACTTCATATATGGCAGGACGGGTGGTAGAAGGGCAACAGATTGGGGGCCAGTCGAGTTCTTGGGCTGCAGTGTGGTTCTTGGGGCAACTTATCAGGGAGGCTGCTGGATTGGAAGCTGGGAAGGTCAAACATAACGAAACTATCTCAGCGGCGTACTTATTATCAGCGTTATTGCCATCACCGCCATCATTCCCATCAGTAACACCATTAAAGCAACTGTTAGATAATTTGGGTCTTATATGTCGGGACAGGACGGTGCAAAGCTTTCGTAGGGGTATACCTTTAAATGTTGGCTATACGGCTCATGTGTGGCACAGATTCAAGAGACATGGCATAGCCCAAGACGCACCAGCACTAGTCAAAGGGAGCGGGATCTTTTCAGGAACAAGCCAAGCATTTCGGCCGAAAGCGTACAATATCCACACTGTTTACACTGCAGGTACGTTACCTGTCAGCTTCCATTTTTGGCAGATTGACATCTGACTGGGGCAAAATGGCCGAGATGGGCTACCCGATGCCGAGGCGGATAGTCTCCTGAGCCTATCTGGTGGAGAGGGGGGCCGAGATGAAAGATGCTGGCGCTCGTATAATTGCGAGCCTGCTTTTAGTCTATATTACATGGGTTCTTATGGTTCGACTCGGCTCAGTGATGGGGAACTTCATATCATAAACGCCGTCGGCCAATCCGGGTGATTGGCGTGCAGCGAGCGTCGAGGAGAGCAGGGAATATGATACGCAGATGAACGCTCGCTCGTGAGCCTCGGTGACGCGCAGGGTGGATCGGGAAAATTTGAGCTCGTCGGAAGAGTATCCAAAACGATCTGTTGGCATGAACTAGTGTTCTATTTTTCGTCGGCAAGCCCCCGTCAACGCTCGGATGTGGCGACATCGTGGTCCACCTAGTCGGCAGCCCGCAGGAGACGGACTTTGAGGCTAATTGCGACGATGGTGAGTAGGAGATATCTTGAAAAGCTTGTAATGCGCATATCTCCACTGGAGGCGTCTGCAGTTGATGAAACTGCGGGTTTGAAAGGCTATGCACGAACCCCCTAATGCATAGAGCACATATGTATTGCTGATTTATTGTCGCATGTGTGGGTTGGTCGGTGCGGATCGAGGCAGCCCGATAAACGAGGAAATAACGGCGGCATGTGAAAGCTCCAAACGCAGAGCCTTACGAACAGCAGCGAGTGCGTCGGCCGAGCAATGATGGATGGAGTATCTTTGGCTTGCTGATTTGGTGCAGAAACTGTCTGCAAGGGTTCTTGAGAGAAGGGTAAGGGGACTTTCACCTTGGAGGTCATATGACGGGCTGGGTGCTGCATCTTGGCCTGATCTCGGTCAACGGCGCGGAGGTTGCCGGGACGAATGAGAGTCTTCTTTGCAAATCTGGAGAAACGATACTGTGCCTGCAGCTATTGGCTAGAGCGGACATGGTGGTTTTGTTTGGTGGATTCGCGTCAAGGCAATAGTACAAGTCCAAGCGCATGAACGGGAATCATCCCAGGGCAAGCCCACTGACAGACAGACGGCAGCTCCCGGAACCCAGGTCGGTGTCCCCGGAGGTAGTGAGCATGTGGAAACAGCCTCAGTTGGCAATCTCGGCGCTGTTGCGTCCTGTATTTCCGGTGTGCGGCAGTACCTCGACCGCACCGTTGAAGGGAACAATGCGGAGGCCTGCAGGATCATGCTGGCCATCCAAAGTCGAGAACCTGCGCCATCTAATCTTGAGAGCAGCCCTTGTGACAAGAGTACATGCTGGTTTAAGTATAGCCTCAGTAAAAAAAATATGTGAAAACATCCTCAGCTGTCCTGAATCGTCGCTAGGAGGGGTCCATAGAGCTTGGCAAAGGCAAACGTGGCGCGGTCGAGCTACTTTGTGGCAGGGAAGAGGCGATTGGCACTAGCTGGCGCTGAAAGATGCGACTGTGGCCAGGGGGTGAGATGATTCTGCAGGAAAGGGCTTCTGGAGTCGAATCTCAGCTTGCTACATAACTAGGTAGAGCAGTGGCTGGCCATGGAGAACCGGCGTGTCAGAAGGTCGGCGACGGCGCTTAAAATCGACCGAAAGCATGCGAGCCGAGGACTTGGGAGGAGTTTCCGGGAGGGGGGCCGCATGCTATATCTAGCACATGTTAGTAATTAGCAATGGGCAAAAAGCCTCATCTTGACCAAAATAGGACAAGTTGAGCGATTGGTCACTATCATCTGCAACTGTGGTGGAGCGCGAGCCAGGCTGGCCTCTTTTGTCTGTCTCGGTGGGCTGAGCTAGCGATGCCAGCATGAGGTTTAATGTAGGAGTATTGTTGATGGAAGTTGCGGAAGCCTTGAGACGGGAATTGATATTCTGTGTGGTGGCGACGATGATACCGGCGATGATGCGGCTTGCCGTCACGGGTACAGGATGAGGCAGTGCAACGCGTGGAGGAAGGAAGCCTGGGAAGGAAGCCTGGGAGGCGGAATTTTTTGTTGAAGCGAGAGACCGTGAAGCGTGGGGAGGCCATGCACGGTTCGGTTGTATGGGCTTTTTTGGTTGGGGGAAGAAAACTTGGGCCCAGAGGGCCAGTTGGCAAGGCGGCATTGGCAAGTGGATGTGAGCTGTCAAGCTGCGGATAGATGGACAAGACGGAGTGACTTTTGCGACAAAACGATTGTTTGAGCCGATATTTGCCTCGGACAGGGATGGAAGGATGGATTTGCATGATAATTGATGGACGATAGTGATGCCTGGTCTAGCCGAACCCCTCTGCAGATCCTGTAGCGTCGCCAAAGCGGTGCCGTCATGGCAAGGTGCAAAGTGCCAGTTTCTTGTTGGGGCTGGGCAGTTGGGCATAAAGTCGCCAGAGCGATATGCCACATTTTGACGTGTGTAGGATCCCTGTATTGAAACAAATTACTTCTTTGTTTATTAACACAATCCCCCGAATGGGTTTCAGCGTCATCGCTGTCTCGGCAGCCGCGCTTCATGTCACGCCCATGGCCAGTGTCCTGTGTTCTGTGTTCTGTTTGCTTGTGCGTGCTGTGGCCTGTAGCCTGAAGCCCCTCGCCCAGCCGTACCCAGAGCTCGCCCCCGCACCGCCTCCACCAGAGCTGCCTTAGCGCCCTTTTCCCCCAGACGCACAGGGGGCGAGTCCACTGTTCCACTCTCGGTGCGACTAGCAGCAGAGGCACTTGCAGGTAGCATCAGCCACTAGCCTTCCCCCAGCCCAGCGCTGAAGCCCGCCATAGCTTGGCCGTGGCTGGGCAACCAGTACCCAGGGCAGCACAGACAGATACTGGGACAGCTCTCGAGGGCCGCGAAAATTACCTTATCACATAGTTTTTTTGCTCAGCGTTTGTGACTGGAAACAAAAAGAATTAGACGCTTGATTGAGAGTCGGCATGTTTTAAAGATTGAAAAGGAAGAAGGAATCCTTTGTTAGGACACGTTGCATGTTGCTCGGCACGGTACCTACGACACCACCACACAAGCTCCAGCCACGCCAACCTCAGCCCGGCCCTCCGCTCGCCTTGGACCTTGGCTTTTCGCAAAGCCTCTCCACTCTGTCTTCCTCCAAAACTCTTTCAACTGCTCCCTCGATCCCGCGCCGGCTCGCCTGACCCCGGTGCCTGTCCACTAGATTCCTAGACTCTCCAATTTCTTTTTTACCAGCGTCATCGCCGCCTCCATCGCTACTGCACCCTCTCCTACCTACTCCTCTTTTTGACTCTTCTCTCCTCTTCCTCCCTTTCCTCTCCCACCTCGAATACCTATTGTGACACCTCTCCTCCACCTCTTTACCTAGACGGCGAACCCGCCCCCTTCAGCCTATCCATCATGACGGACTACACTTCGGGCATCATGCCCCTGAACATGGTCCATCGCCCTCCCTTCACCGTCCAGGTTCCTGGTGTCGAAAAGGTGCCTGGCGAGACGATCCCTCGCCGCCACCCGCGCGCAAAGAACGGTCTTCTCAACCGCCCGGCCAAGGACGTCCACACCGTCTTCGATATCGTCCGTCGCAGCGCTCGCGTCTACCCCAACAACAATGCCGTCGGCACTCGCAAGCTTGTTAAGCTCCATAGAGAGACCAAAAAGGTCAAGAAGAACGTCGATGGCGAGGTCTGCGAGGTGGATAAGGAGTGGCAGTTCTTTGAGCTCTCTCCCTTCTCCTTCATCACCTACAAGCAGTACGAGGAGCTTGTCCTCGAGATTGCCTCTGGTCTGCGCCATCATGGCCTCGGCTCGGAGGACAAGCTGCATCTGTTTGCCACCACCAGCGCCAGCTGGTCCTCGATTGCCCACGCGTGCGCTTCCCAATCCATTTCCATTGTAACCGCCTACGACACCCTAGGCGAGAGCGGCGTTGCCCACTCTCTTCTCCAGACCGATGCCAAGGCCATGTTCGTCGACCCTCACCTACTCAAGACTGCCTCAAAGCCCATCAAGGACTCCAAGGTCAAGCTCGTCATCATCAACGAGGAGTGCATATTTGCCGAGGGCGGCGAGGTTGCGGCTTTCAAGGCCGACAATCCCGATCTCACTGTCGTAACCTTTGAGGAGCTTCGCGAAGCCGGCAAGAACAACATGGTTGAACCTAACCCCGCCAAGGACAAGGACCTCTTCTGCATCATGTACACCTCTGGATCGACTGGCCTGCCCAAGGGTGCTTGCATCACGCATGAATCTCTTGTCTCTGGCAGTAAGTTTTGCGCAACACTCGCCCACTTCCTTGCAACCAACTATCTAACCTAATCCTCTCCTAGTCACCGGCCTCCTTACTTGCGTCGACGAATGCGTTAGCGACAGAGAAGTTGTTCTCGCCTACCTCCCCCTCGCCCACATCTTCGAAATGGCGCTCGAGAATCTTCTTATGTTCATTGGTGGAACTGTTGGCTACGGCAACCCCCGCACCCTCTCCGATACCTCGGTCAAGAACTGCGCCGGTGACATGCGCGAGCTCAGACCTACCGTCATGGTCGGTGTCCCCCAGGTTTGGGAGACCGTCAAGAAAGGTGTCATGGCCAAGCTCGAGAGCGTGAGCTCTATCCAGCAGAGCCTCTTCTGGGGCGCTTTCAACTACAAGACCTTCATGACCAGAAACAAGCTGCCATTTGCTAGCATTTTTGACGGCATTGTCTTCTCCAAGGTCCGCACCCTGACTGGCGGCCGTCTCCGCTTCACCATGAACGGTGCCAGTGGTATCTCGGAGGGCACCAAGCACTTTCTCTCGCTCATCCTTGGTCCTATGCTGGTCGGTTATGGCCTCACTGAGACTTGTGCCAACGGCGCGCTAGGCTGCCCCCTCGAGTACTCGCCTTTCGCGATCGGCCCTATTCCCGCTTCAATCGAGGTGAAGCTCGTTTCTATCCCCGAAATTGGCTATGATGCCGACGCCAAGGTGCCCCAGGGTGAGATTTGGATGCGTGGTCTCCCTGTCATGAAGGAGTACTTCAACAACCCCGAGGAGACCGCCAAGGCCATCACTGAGGATGGCTGGTTCAAGAGCGGCGACATTGGCGAGTTTGATGAGAACGGCCATCTCAAGGTTATTGACCGTGTCAAGAACCTTGTCAAGATGGCCGGTGGTGAATACATTGCACTCGAAAAGGTCGAATCCGTGTACCGCGGCACCCAGACCGTCGCCAACATCCTGGTCCACGCCGACCCTGAGAAGAGCCGCCCCATTGCTGTCATTATGGCCAATCACGCTGTTCTTGTCCAAAAGGCCAAGAATCTTGGTGTTGACGAGCACCACATGCACACCGACCCGAAGATTAACGCCCTTGTTTTGAAGGACCTTCAAGCTACTGGACGCCGCGGCGGGCTTAGCGGTATGGAGATTGTCTCTGGCGTCGTCATTACCGAGGAAGAATGGCTGCCCCCTACTGTAAGTTTTCTCACGCGCGACTTGTCATTCCCTACACACTATCTAACACTCTCTTAGGGTCTCGTTACTGCCACCCAGAAGCTCAACCGCAAGGCTATCCGCGAGCGCTACGACAAGGAGATCACCGAGTGCCTCAAGAAGATCTAAATGAAGACATGATATCTCTCCGACGGGATGTTAGCGAGACTACTGGAAAACACGTACACCTTTCCACGGGAGTCTAGGGAATGGTTTACACGGCCGAAGAGGGGACGATGATACCGCTCGTTGCATGAAGCCTGCAACGTGTTTTTGTTTTACTTTACCTGTTTGCCTGTTATGAGTTTTTTTCCTACGGCTGGACATCTTTTTGCGTAGCTTAATGTTTGTATTGTAGGTAGTAGCTGCTTCGCTGGCGAGCCTCGGCGGAAAGCTGGAGCAATGTATGACTATGTGCAGCCTTGTTGACTATGTGCCCTTGCACTTGCGATATTGATAGATTATTAACTACTTTTTTGGTGGCATATGGAAGGATATGGATAACGATGAAATCCTTGACGCATTGCAGGAGAGATGACAGTAGCGGGCGACGCAGCAAACATAGCAATTAATGGAAGTGACTGCGCGACAAATTTCGGGCGCGCCTTCGATACTCATAACTGCTGGAAGAGGCTCTACTCCCATCTTCTCAACTGTAGATCGAAGCTCATTGGACTCGGGGTATGGTTGTCAAGGAGATGAATAATCGCGCGGCGAGCAGTCAAGACTGAGGGAGTTAGGGCTATTCTTAGTTGTTGGATCTTTTATCATTCTTATACCATTTATACCTTATATGTTCTTATTTTTTTGACCACTTTTTCTAGAAATAGACAACTATACTACTGCCATGATTAATACATAAAATATACAAAAGCATCACTTTATGTTCCTACAAGTTAATACAAGAGCTTGTAAGTCAGGCTACCCGGTAGGCAAGGATAGGCTTGAGCGTGGTATTGGAGACTCTTTGCAAAAGCCTCTTATGGCTAGGAGAATCTTCAGCTAATACGCTCTAAACGAGAAAAGTCATTAGTTTTTATTCACGACGCCGACACTTGGAGTGGATGATAGGCGAGTACATCGTCTGTGGGCAGCGTTACTTTCATGGAGCCTGTTTTCCCACCTAGCTTGCTACGAGCTTCATTGGCAAAGCATATTGTTCGTCACGAGTTTGTTAGATCCCGAAACCCAATCATCTGTCCACAGCAACAACAACTATGGCACGGGACATGTTCGCAACCCTTGCCTCTCCCAGCGTTGAATGCAAATGGTGTCTCTGGCTTGCGTTGATGACACTGACTCTCATTTGCGCAACCCTTCTCGCTATCGTCGACAAACTCATCGGACACCGTCTGGAAGCCGAGGAACTGAACCTCGGGCGGGGGCAAGACGCCATCAAAACCTCCATTACGAAGCTTACGGCCGACGTCGACGGCATCGGTGCCAGGCTCGACGCCTTGGAGACCCGCGCCAAGACCGCCAATAAACCACCAACGGCTGCCAGATTCGAGGAATCGCAGGATGCGTTGAAGAAACGCTTTGAGAGGTATGTAGGTGTCTCGATTGTGCGTGCTGATGAGCTGGACACTCGAACTAACCAAGGACTCGAACAAAGACTTTCTCGAGAGTTCTCAGCCTAGCAGGCAGAGATTTGAGGAATTTTGGCTCTCAAGAAGGATTCGGAGGAGCTGCTGGCCAAGATAGAGACCCAAAACCGCCTTGTCAGTGATGAACTCCGGAGCCGCCAGGCTAGCGATGCAGAGAAGGAGAAGAAGAACCCTGATCGGGCCGTTGAAGGCCGTCGCTACGGCAGCTCTGGCAGCTACAGCATGGCACAACCCGTGTTCGATTTTCCTACAAGAAACTAAATCATAGGCTCGCACAGATCGACGAGGTTTCGGCACGTCTCCGATCAACTTGCCTCCATGGAGGGCAAGCGGCGTACTGTCTTGTAGGGCACGAGTTTCGTACTGCCCAACCAACCACCTAGTGGTAAAAGTTAGAGATGATGAAAATGACAAACGTTCGGTATTAATAGTGCAACCCCCATGCCTCTGAATTTAATTAGTATCTGAGGTTCATCAGCTCAGTTGCTAGGCCAAGACTTTTCCTCATTTGCCACTATTTCGTCGTATTGAAAGACAAGATTCAACATTCCTCCTCGAAATCATAATATCCCACGGAAAAAGACCGAACATGATGGCTGGTAGGGAAAATGTTCACAATAGCGTGCAAAAAAGCTGCAGTCATTCATTCCTGGACACAACATGGCCCGCGTGCCTTTCCCACGCCCGTGCTGTCTTCTGGGAAATTATTCGTCAACCGGGCATTCGACGGTGGCACTCCATTTTATACGAACCTTCCAATCTTGCAAGGGCACTGCGGTCCTCTATCTTGGAAATGTTAGCCGAACGCGACCGAGTGTCTGGGCTGGAGAGTGGGTTGGTTGCCTTGCGCAACTGACAGAAGTTGAGGCTGTGAGTCTCCAGGTGAAAAGCTCACGTATGCTCTCTCAAAGGGGGGGGGGGGGGTGACTGCCCGGGTCTTCGTGGTCAGAGATCGCTCTTCCTCCAGCCACAGATGCACCTGCTTCTTGAACACGCGAACCGGCAGCGCGAACAGCAAGAGGGCGAGGGCGAGCAGGCCGCCGCCCGTGACCCGGGTCGTTCATTCGGCGAAGAGCTCGAAGGCGTCTTGGGGGCAGCCGGACACGCACCAGCGAGCGAAGCCGCCGATGGGCACGGCCACGACCAGCAGCGCCAGGCTGCCGATGAGTTCAATGCCGTCAAACTTTTCACGGTAGGGAACCATTTCGAGCGATATGGGAAAAGTTGCAAGTTTTTCTTCTTCTTTCTGGAAGGAAGGGGTCGGAAGAGGTGTTGGTGATGGACTTTGGAGCTTGAATAGGATGACGCAGCTTCTTTCTCCGTGCGCTGTAATAATTATGAAAAAAAAAAAAACGGTTGTCTGGAAAAGGCAAAATCGCAAATAAAAATTCTCACGGTACAGTTAAAGCCTCTCGAGTAGCGTCTTGTAGCGTGTTGCAAAGTACAGCCTTGTAGGCTTGTAGCCGCCCTCGTTGCCGCCCCTACAGCCGCGTCGGTGTCTCCTCGAAGCGGCCTCGTCGTGACGCCCATGAGATGCATTTTCTGCACGAGGTTGGCCCGAACGTTTAGTGAACTGTAATCAATGGCCGGTATCTGTAGTTGGCGACATGCTCGACTTAACGCGCGTTCTCGCGTCCTTTGCCGACTGCAGTCATACTACCATTAAGCAGCCTGAGCAGATTCGGGCCTGGCGCCGCTAGGTTCAACCTCCAGCTCGCGTTTTACGAGTAAGAGTCCACCAATGAAGGTGTGATCCGTCATACAGAGTAAGGTAATCAGGGCAATCCAGATACCCCAAATGTCTGGAGACTGAATTGCGCCAAGCTCCTCCTCCTTTGCAAAGGTGGTTGTTCTGTCGAGCATCAGAGTATCGAGGCTCGGCAAGCTCGTCCATAAATGTATAAACTCACATAAGAACTGGTAAAATGGAGTTGAGAGAAGGTGGGGTCGATGGAGAAAAGAGCTGAGAGAAACAAGAGTGAAGGCAAAGAGGTGTTGAGGTAGGGAAGTGACGAAGGAAAGAATGTGGAGGAAAAGAAGGGCCTGCCCTCAATACATAGGCCAGCGGCATGTCTTTGACTCGAGTCAAAGACCCGAGAGTGATTCTTGTTATACCTACGTGAATAATACAATCAGCAGAGTCCGAGCTGAAGGGGTTGTGCATCAAAGTAGGATATGTGACGAGTGTCTCAGCGAATGATCTCGCTTATCCCTGTCAAAGGGGACAAATCAACAGACCTCTGAAGTCAAGGGTTGCGAATAAATGTAGGATATTTGTGACAATCAACTGAGCTCGAGGTGAAGGGGGTTGTGAATAAAAGCAGAGCATGTGACTAGTCACGAACAAGGACCCTTTTTACTGGCATCATTCGAACATTCAAGTACATAATTTTATTGGCCATCCACCCATGCCTATAAAACAGAGATTTTCTTGCCGAATGTTCTGGTTCCTGGTGGTCTCGCGGACCAGCCTTCGTTCACTGGCCTCTTCTAGTCCAGGCAGCTTCTGCGCGTCACGCGTCCAACGGCTTCCGGGCGTAGACCCTGTAACTTTTCGACCTTTAGTGTCCATCATATCCCGAAAGCTGGACTCCATTCAACTTACAAGTCTCTGTAGTAGTGGATCCGGGGGTTGCGAATGTCGTCCTTGGCCCGCGCCTCGAGGCTTGCGACGTCCTCCGGATCCAGACCGGCCAGTGTGAGAAACTTGGACAGGCTGTCTACCAGTGCCGTGTAGTTCCTCATCGAATACTCCCCGATCCTCTTCATCTTCGGGTCCCTGGGCCACATGCCGTTGCTCGGCAGCGGGAACTTCTTCTCCGTAACGTCGACGAAACCGGCGTCCGTGCACCATCCGGCATACCTTGCGGGCTTGGAAAAGTCTCGGCCGGCGGCTTTGGCGCCTTCGTTGAGCAGCCGGCACCACTCCTCGACCGCGGTGCCGTGGAGGGTGGCGTCTACCGAATTCACGCCGACGACCGGGTCGAGGAGTTCGATCCAGCCGCCGGGCTTCAAGCTGTCGTATGCCTTCTTGATGACGGCTGGCATGTCATCAAAGCAGGTCACGACAAATCGAAAGTGCACGTAGTCGACCTTTTGCTCAAACTTCCACTCCTCATTCTCCAGGTCGCGTTGAACGAACCGGCAGTTTGGGCTCGACTGCTGCCTCTGGATGAGGCTGAGATCGGCGCCGATTACTTCGCAAGCCGGATTCTCCTGCGCTTTTGGTAATTTACCCCTTTCAGTATTTTATCAGACTTCCGTAAATGTATTTGCATGTACGTACCGTACTGGATTGCCCAGATTCCCGTACCCGTAGCGGCGTCGAGACAGTACTTGGGATTTTCGACGGGGGCAGCACCAAGCCGGCCACCTGTCATTAAAAGACACATCTCGTGCTGAAAGTCTATAGGATGGAGGTAAGCCATGATTTCATAAAAGCTCAAGCATGGCATGTCTTACCGAGGCGTGCTTGCTCTTCCTGTGCCTAGTCAGTCTGCCATGTTGTAGTAGGGTAGGTACATAGGTGTACGTACAGCATCGTTTGGCAGGAAGTAGGCTTTAGATGATCAGTTTTCTCGTCTGATTGAATTCTAAGAAACATGTAGAAGCTTACTTTTTGCCCTGTATCCCGTATAGGTTCGACCGTTTTCATCCAGGACAGAATCGCCTGCGATGGTCGCCGTCACTCTGTCGAATCTCAGCAGGTTAGCTCACCGCTCATGCCTCGGCCGTCCCGACTCACGGTGGAATTGGAGTCAAGCTCCCATCCTCCTGAACTGTTCCAATGGCTGGGTCAAGCTCAAGATTATAACCGTAGATAATGTTTGCCATGTTGAGAGATAGGCGCTTCAACAGAGGATCTGTGTTGCGAGGCGAGTTCAGCGGGCAACATGTCACAGCAACTAAAAAGAATTTAAAGACATACCCGAGATAACAAGATAAATTAACCGCTCCGCAGATAATGCATATCCTGCATTCAGCTGCCATATGCACCCTGTGGCAATATTTCAGCCACGGCACCCCCTGCAGAGCTGGAGTGGCAATTACGACACCATTTGTGTATCCTCGTGACGGCACAATCGCGGAACGGTCCTCACAGCTGCAGATGATGTTACGCTACAATGGGCTAGGCTAGAGCTGACTCTCATCATTATGAATTGTCGCACAGAAGATCGATCACCTTGACAACAATATTCCATTTCTTCTGGCCACATCATGTTTAGCGAGACACTCTCGGTGCTGAAAGTTGACGACAAAATTGGGTGGTATAAGTAGTATTAGAAACGCTCCATGAAAACGCCGTCGATAATTCCCACTATCTTCCTCTCGACAGTATACATTCCATTTACCTCCAACAGGCTGCCATGATGGTTTGCACGCGGTCGGTCGCGTCGCGGGTCCTCTTTCGGCTTCGTGTTACAGTTCAATCAGCGCTTCCTCTTGCGCGGGCTGCTTCACAGGCTCGTGCTGCGGGACAGACGGGAGCTGTCCTGCATACCCCCAGTTCGGCGGGGCCTGCTGTGATGGCGTCGGCGCCTGAGCTTGCTGCCAATATGGTTGCTGGTGCGTTCTAGGGACGGATGGCTGGGGAGGTTGCTGGGTCTGCTGGGGAGGGGGTTGCGCCGGCTGGCTTTGTGCCGGCACCGGCGTACCCTGCGTCTGGGATGATACCGATCCACGGTGGTATTGCATTTGTTGAAGATTCGGGTATGGTGACTGTGTGGCATCTGGTGCAGGTCCGGGCGCCGACGGTCCGGAGGAAGCTTGCGCTGGGGGCGGTGCGTTAGGGTTGGCATAGTATGCCATATTCGGGTCAGCAGACGGTGGCATTGTAGGCTGATGCGACGCCTGTATTCGGGGTGGTTCTGCTTGTTGCGGAATCGATGCATAGTGACCCTGAGCCAGATCAGGTCTCGCGCCGTATGATGCAAACTGAGGCTGACTTAATTGTGCTTGATGTAAACTCGGGCTTCGCATGGAGGGGTAGCCTGGCTGCTGGCCAGTGTAAAACGACTCGCCGTGAGTGTTTCCGGTGTTTTGGGCTGAGATGGATGGATATGGGCTGGCATGTTGGCGGACAGGAGCAGGGCTAAACCCAAGATGCGGTTGACTATACGCCTTGGACAATCGTTCCTCCAACATTCGGTCGTAGTATCGCACAACAGTCGACAGTTTGGCATGTAAATCAAGAAGCGTGTCTACAAATCAGGTGTTAGGCATTGTTGCGGATCGGCTACCATTTGTGCACATACCATGCTTGCTCATCGTCTCACCGTAGGTGCGAGCAAGCTTCGGGCGCAGCGTGCCGATACTGTCGTATAATTCTTGAATTTGGGGTTCTCGAAGGATGGTTCCAGGAGGCTGCGTTTGAAGACGGTCAACCAAGGTGGCGAACAGATTGATATTCTCGGCTTCAACAGGCGTTAGCTCGTAGTCGTTTTTGGGCATGGCGAATGCGCTGGCGGCGCTTCCCGACGGTGTAGCGGTTTGCTCCTTCAGCGCGGCGCTGTGCTTTTGCTTTTGCTCTTCCATGTCGGCCAATGACGCAGCAATCGCGGCCCGCAAATCGGCATCCTCCTCTTCGGCCTGCTTTGCGGCGGCTGAGCTGCTGCTTTTGACGACGTTGACGGGCGACGAAACCTTGCCCTTGGTAGAACCATTAACTTCCTCTAAGCTCATGGCTAGGGCCTTCTTGATATCTTCGTCGAAATCATCCTCCACTCGAGCGTTGCGCGGCTGCATAGCCGTCGTACTTTTCGTCTTGTGTGGATAGGTAGGAGACCGATCTTGCAGAAGACCTAGATCCTTGTAGCCCTTGCCGGTGATCTTCGCATAGCAACCGTCATCGACCCGAACCGGAGTGTGTATTCCTAGGTGAGGAAGAGCAACAGTCTTGCTTGAGCACTGCTGGTCGAAGCAATTTCCACAATTGCGGCAATGATGCTTTCGGTTCGTAAAGGTAAAGGCGGTGCGGCAGCGCATGCAAACGTCAGAGTCGGCCCATTCCGGGGGCTGTAACCTGTCAGCATGCTACGTGGGGTATGATTGAGTAAAGCACACGTACCGCATTGCTATCGATCATGCTGCTGGCGACAGCAACCTTGGGCGGAAATCGATAGCCGTCACGCTGTAGTGTTCGGTAAACCTCTCCGATGTATGAGAGCTCGTATCGGCCTTCTGTGGCTCCAGCCCAAGACTGAACCAGTTCCAGGATCTTGGACTTGACTTCGGCGTTGACGGCGCCTCCGCCAACAGCTTGGAGGAGGGACACCATGTTGTCCATGAATTCGCGAGAGGCAATTTCGGCCAGGAAATGGGAGCCGCCATTCTTGACACATGTGTCTGTGAGCTGAAATATAGTTAGCTACTGAAGCTTGACGCCGTTGGAAACCTCGTTCTCCTACATTCAGAGCGCTGAGTTGCGTATTGGGGTTCTTGTTGCCTATGCGACGTTTGAGGCTGCGCATAGCTTCCTTGGGCGCAACTGTCTTGGAGCGAATGACATCGGATATCTCAAGGTTGAGGGCAATGTCCTCTCTGAAGACTCAGTTAGCGCATTGTCCCGTGGGACATTGGTGCCACCTACAGGCTGCTGCTGGTGGCCTTTTCAATCTGCTCGTCCAGAGCCGTATTGGCCGAGGACGACCACCAGGACATCATTTTGGAGAGTATGTGGGAGCGGTTCGCGCGGTACTGCGGGTAAAGTCGAGACCGTAGTCGTGAGAGTCAAAGCAAATGGAAACTGATGCAGAAATCAAGGCTGGCGATGGGAGATGAAGTTCACGGCACAAAACCAAAACACGTAGGTAGCTTGCCTCCGCGTGGTGACGACGTCTTGTTGCGGCGAGACCCACTGTAAATGTGGGTGGCGCTGCGTCAGAAGGCAGAAGGCAGAAGCCAACTCAGTCTGGCGGGCTAGCCGGGTTCGAGGCTTACAGTAGGTAACTAACTTTCAGGTACAAGACAAGTTAAAAATACGGGCACAATAATGATTTGATAGGTAGTTTATAGTTCTGCGCCTGACCACGATAGAGGTTTGGAGATGAACACCCTGCAGCCAAATCTTGAGAACCTAGCCCCCGACGGACATTCCACCCAAGCCGCCAAGGCATCTGGTACCTACTACAGGCTGTGCCTACCCCGCCAGCCACGCGTACCGCCTTCTGCTGTCCCCAGCTGGCGCCTCCAGCCAAGCTTCCACGCCTAAATGTTAACCCCACATTGCCGTCAGCTACCACCAGGCATTACCTCCAACTGGCCATACCACCACATGTTGTGTTCGAGGCACTTCATACATACAGTCATTCCTTTGTTCCGTCTCAAGCATCGTGGGAGCGCGCCTTTTTTCTCTTTTTGACTTTATCTGATATCATACAAGAAGCGAACCATCATCAAACCTATACCCGCCCACCGCGGTGTCCCGAAACCTCCCACCTCCATCTGCCGCCACCAGTTCCGCGACAGAGACGAGCCTCCATCCTTCGACCGAACAAACCCCCGCCGATAGCCACACTCCCGGGCCAAGAATGCCATGAATATAGCTCCCTATACAATTCAACCGATCTAATAGTCTCGGCAGTCCCCGCTCGACACCTTCCGGGCGTCGGCAAGGGGACAGGCTGTCCATGGCCGCAAACCCCAGATACAGTCTCCCAGCGGGCTACAACGGCCATGCCACAAACGGCGCCGGCGGCAAGCCTGCCCTGCCGCATATTGACGATGTAGTCGCATTACCAACCGATGTCGACGCCGACAAGCCTCTCAAGTGGTTGTTCGAGCAGGCTGAGATGTCACTCCGGCAATCCGAGATGAGCCGCGACTTCAACAGACCGGCCTTGGCCTTGAAGGACTTCATCCGCGCTTCCGTCATTACAGTCCAGCTAGTCTCTCATCACAAAGACTATCTAATGCTCAAGGAGGGGCGCGGCGAGCTGGCAAAGAAACACGCCGCGCTAATGACCCGCATCAAGCAGCAGAGCGACGTTTACGACCAGATTAAGAAGGATATAATAGCCGATAATAAGCGAACTGGCGTCCTCCCCAAATCACAAACATCACAAAAATATCCAAATGGCAGTCATTCGCATGCGACGCCACCAATCGCCACCAGCAACGGCCCGGCGGTGACAGCATCGGGCAAGGTCAAGCCTAAGGTGCAGCCAAAGCCCCAATCTCTCCAAGGAAAAGCCGTTCTTGGCCATGCAAGATCTTCTTCCACTAATACCGTCAATATCGACTTGGCGGCGCGCTTTGCGAATCTCCGCGGACCACAGACGACACCTGGGCAAGACCCGCGCATCAAGACTCATCCAATTCCACCCTTGAAGCCAGCCGGCCCCCGCGAAATGCCTTCATCACCCCTAAAGTCAGAGCCAAGCACAGGAAATGAAGTACCATCACTACCAAAAATGCCGGATGCTATTTATCATCCAGCTCGCGGTAGCGTTTCCAGCGATGTTGGACGTCCCCCAGCCACAACACCCCGAGGCTCATACAGCCGTGCAACGCCTACCCCGTCGCTCAGCAACATGCCAAGCCCAGTATCTGCGCGGCAGAGCATGGAATACTTCCCGCCCATTCCTACCAACACGACCGGTAGTAAATCACTGCTGCAGAAACCAGCCTCTGGTAGCGAGATCAACTCGGACACGCACTCGATTACGGCGGAAGAATTATTCAAGGCCATGAAACAGAGCGGCTCTGTCCTAATAATAGATATTCGGTCTCGTACTGAATTTGACGAAGGGCACATCATGTCTTCTTCGACAATTTGTGTGGAGGCCAGTGTCCTGCTTCGAGACAATATATCGGCTGCAGAAATCTCCGAAAGCCTGGTCCTTTCGCCGAACCAGGAACAGTCGCAGTTTGATCGCCGTAACGAGTACGAGCTGGTTGTTTTCTATGACCAAGACTCTGAGGAGATTCCGCGCTCGCCCCGCAGCTCTGACGACATGGTTATTGTCTCGTTGCATCGCGCTTTGGTCCACTTCAACTATGATCGTGACTTGAAGCAACCGCCGCGGATTTTGAAGGGCGGCTTGGATGCGTGGGTTGACCTCATGGGATCTGCTTCGTTACAGACCACAAGTCTCATCAGCAGCCCTCATGTTGCGACTTCACGGGCTCGAAGCGGAACTTTTCAGCGCAGGAGATCGAAATACATCCGACCTTTACGTGCAGACGAGGTCAAAGCTTGGCAGCAGACTTTAGAGCAGGAAGAAATGAGCGCCAATCAACCCCCAGAATATCATCGCTCGACAGAATCTTTCCTGCGCCGCTATCCCCCCGTCTTAACAGAGCAGGAGTCCATGACATCTTCCCCTGCGATTGAACAGCCACCAAGATACGATTCTTTGCACAATATTGATCCATATAACGACCTTCCTTCGCCGCCAACCCGTCCCGCGCCTTCGGTTCCTCGACTCAGCTATGGTAGTTTGTCGCATACTTCCGACGAAGTTGACCGCTTCGAGCAACACGTGCCTCCCCGTCAACCGGTCCGAGCCAAGAAGGTACCGGAACAGATGACAGGGGATGGCTACAAGCTATATACAGGTCTGAATAACCCGCACAACTGGTGTTATGCCAACAGTACTCTCCAATCGCTTCTTGCCTCGCCAGACTTTGGAAAGGAGCTATCCGATTCGACATGGAAAACTGAATATCGAGCACCAAAGAAGGACAACGAGAAGATAGAGCATGCCCAACTGATGATTCACATCATCTCTAACTTGTTTCACTGGATGAGCACCGGAAATATTGAAGTAATGAAAGCTCAAACGCTGATGGTAGGTACTCCCCTCGAACCTCGCTTTTTTTCTATTAGAAACTGACACTTGGTAGGACTACTCGCAGCACATCTGTAAAAAGAGCCGCTCAAACGCTCAATTCGGCGGGACACAGCAACAAGACGCGCAAGAATTTATGTCTTTTCTTATGGAGCATTTGCACGACGAAACAAACTCCCGTCGCAATCGCAAAGGCAACGCGATGCAACCAAACACCAAGTCTCAACCGCTTCTCCATGCCGCCGTCCAATACTGGTACAACCACCTCCAATTCAACGAATCCATCGTCGACAAGTACTGGAGAGGACTGGAGCTCTCGACGGTAAAGTGCCTGGACTGCCACACCAAGACGTACACCTTCTCGCCGTTTGAGTGGATTCCCGCGCCGGTCGCGCTGGGCAGCACACGACAGACGCTGGAGCAATCGCTGCACCAGCATATTGCGAACAACACACTGGACGACTTCTCCTGTGACAAGTGCCGGCGCAACACGCGCGCGATGCAATCCATTTCCTTTGCGCGACTGCCGCCGCTGCTCTGTGTGTGCTTCCGGCGGTTCAACTACAACCAGGCGACGGGCGACGTCAAGAAGTCGACGGCGCCGGTGACGTGGGACTTTAACGACTTTGACTTTTCGCCATTTTTCCACGATAACGGCAACGGCCGGGCGCCGGCGACTGGCACGGGCGACCGGCACGCGTACGAGGGACCGTTTCGCTACGAGTGCTACGCCGTCATCGTGCACGCGGGCAGCAGGACGGACAACGGGCACTACTTTGCGTACGTCCGCGACCAGAGCACGCACGACCCGTACGCGTGGCTGTGCTGCAACGACAGTCGCGTGACGCGCGTGCGGATTGGCAGTGGCGACCGCGATGACATACAGAACGAGGTGTTCAAGTCCGGGCAGGACCGCGTTCCGTATCTTGTGTTTTTCCGGCGCAAGGGATAAACTGGCTATCTCAACGGATTTTTGTTCTTCTTGTGTGAATGTTTTATTTATATATATAGGCGCTCTTGCCTCCATCTTCCAACCCATTCCTTCTTGCGCTCGGTTTTATATCTCTTGTATTCTATATTTTATTTGCATAGCCAACTGACGTTTGATCCCGATGATGCACAACCACTGGCCGATCCAGGACCTTTCCGCGGGTGTGTACATGAATATACCTCTTGGCGGCCCTCCTCACACTAGCTTCATATCGTACACAGACAGACTTGGGTCAATATCTGCAACGTGGGGTACTTTACAGGTCCAGAGTGGCCTCTGGCCCCCAACTCGTATACTGCCCTTTCCGTCCATGGCATGCTGCAGCCTTCCCCTCGTATACGTATTGCGGCAATTGCTGCAGTCAATAGATTCATTATTGATTTATAAGAAAGCAATTCCCTCTAACAAGCTAGGCATGTAAATGGAGCAAGGAAGGAATAATCAAAAGGTAAGCTAGGGAATGCCCAGCGCGGTCTACAGTTGATGCCCCCCACCTCCGCGGCACCGGTGGCGATTCGGAGCAAGTACAGTCACCGTCAGGGCCGTCTTCGGCCGCAGCTCGCTTGGAAAAGAGCCGGCGGCATTGTCTCCGGCGGCCCGCATTAAAAAATCCGAGGTGGGCGTGCCTAGATCGGGGACGGCAGGTTCGTTCACTTTATCAATGCCCGATCTCCTTTCCCGTCCCCCTCGTTTTCCTTCCTCTTTTTTGCCGTTCAGGAACACAGTAGCAACTTTTTCCCTCTTCTCATCCTCCCCTCCCTTCCTCCTCCTCCTCCTCCCCTTGAACTGTGTACCATCTGCAAAAACCCAACATATAGACCGAGACCCCCCCGCCGCCATGCCCCCCACCATTCACCTTGTCCGCCACGCGCAGGGCTACCACAACCTGTGCGTCGAGAACGAGACGATGCGCGACCCGGACCTCACCCCCCTCGGCGAGCAGCAGTGCCTCGACCTGCGCGCCTCCTTCCCCTACCACGACAAGCTCACCCGGCTGGTCGCCTCGCCCATGCGGCGCACCCTGTGGACCTGCACCCGGGCCTTTGGCCCCGACGATGGCGGCGCGCCGTACCCGATCGTCGCGCTCGACACGCTGCAGGAGCTGTCCGACCTGCCCTCGGACACGGGCTCGTCGGTGGCCGCGCTGTCCGCCGAATTCGACGCCGCGCGGGTGGTGGACCTGTCGCAAGTGCGCGACGGGTTGTGGACGGACAAGCTGGGCGACACGCCGTTCGAGCCGACCAAGGACAAGATCGAGGCGCGCGCGCGCGAGGCCCGGCGGTCGTTGCGCGAGCTGGCAGGGCTGAGCACGGAGGACCACGTCGCGGTGGTGACGCACGGCGCGTTCCTGCACTTTTTGACGGACGAGTTCCAGGACATTCCCAACGGCAACGGTGCGTGACCTTGGCATTGTGGTGCGAGCTTGAATGACTGACTGACTGATACCGTGTGTACATACATAGCTACGAGCTGGAAAAACTGCGAGTACCGCTCGTACCAGTTCGTCGACCTGACGGGCGCCGATGAGGACGCGGCGATTGTCGAGACGGATGAGAGCTGGCAGCGCCGGCGCGGCGACAAGCCACGACTGTCACAGCATGACCTGGACGAGCTGCGGGTGGTTGCCCATGGCCGCATCGTGCCTCACTTGAAGGCCAGCTCGCACCTGTGAGTGGATATTTGGTAATGGGTGGTAAAACTGCATGTGCGCATCGGAATTATACACGGGGTTTTTTTTTTGGAAGTAATGAAGCTTTCTCATAGAGTGGCTCGAAAATAGACTAAAGCTAAACAGAACGGCGGTAGAATTGCAATAATAAATCAACTCGTTCTGTACATTTGGGAACTATATGTTAAGATACGGCCAACACCCATTGCGGCCATCATCATCTTCCGCTTGGTCTCTCATAAAGTGTGGAGGATGAGCAACTATTTGAGCTCCGGTCAAACATCTTGGTAGAGAGCACAGACAGTGAGCACTTCAGAGCTGGATCTTTTACTCTTCAAAATGTCCCGAGTGGTAGTTCAAGGCGTCCTGTTCTATCTTCTTGCCCTCTGGATTTTGACGTCTCTGCCGCTGGTATCTGTCTGGGACGTTGCCTGGAGGGAAAGTTGCGCGCGGAGACGTGCCGTATCCTTTTTCCACCTGCAAGACCTTGGCATCGGATTCTTGCCATCAGGCGATTTCGTTTTCACGCTGCTCGGCGGCCCGATCGCGATCCCTTGACGCCTCTGCAAGATGGTTCTGGAGATCAAATAGTGTTACTAAGGATAGCAACGGCGGTGGCAATGGTCAATGGTGGAATGCTACCAAAGGCTCTGCTCCTTCCTTGTTGATCTTATGACGGTAACAGGGCCAGGCGCTCGCCTACATACATGCCCAACGAATCAGCGGCAGAACACGGGTACCTACTTGTCAATCCGATTTTTCTCCAAGTCTGCCTTTTTGAACTCGATGATAGACGCCTAGCTCCAAGATCAACTAAATGAATGCTACCCGACAGGTGGCGTCATTATGGCTGCTACGGATGAAAGCCGCCGCCGCCACCTCGCTTGAGTTCATGCAAACGGAGCACAACAAACACGCAATTTTGCTCATCAACCCCTCCGTGAGAAAAAAAAAGCAGCAAGAAAACTCAGACCTTGACAGCGACAAATGACAATAGTGGAAGCGCCTTTTCTAATTTCTGCGACCTGACAGAAGCCGCATTTGACAACGCAGAATTCCAATCGAGTCTACTGGCGAACCAGAATACCACCGAAATGGCGAAGCCTCTCAAAGTTTAACTGCCCGACCACAGAGGATGTCGGGCGATTCGTCAATTCATCAGCCTCCCACTACAGGACAGACAGTCGCCATCCAGTTTCCTTCGCGGTGTCAAACACCCTTCGACCTGGACAATTACGCCGCCAAAGTTTCGTTTCCCCATCTTCCTCGTTAAACCATGTCCTTCGGCACGAGCTTTTCGACCCTGAAACCCCATCCATCCAAGCTTTGCCGTCAACAACAACAGCTATGGTAACGGAGGCGAGTGCCCCTCTTGAGCTCCCCCAACATTTGGCAGAGCGTTCAATGGGGTTGTGGCGGAGGGTACAGGCTGACCACTCGACCACAACGATCCAAAGGATCGAGCAAATGGCAGCCGATAGGGCTGAAGCTCCATAGTATCCGCCATGTTCCTTCAAGCAGTAACATGGGTCTCCTGCTCGGTCTTGTGCGTTTCACCTACACGACCATTTTCAATCTCTACAAGAACCTCCTCAGACAAATTTATAAGAAAAAAAGAAAAGAAGAAGAAGAAGAAGAAGAAAACAGGGCCTGGCTTTTTAGCGCGAGGGGAGGAAGGGCGCTCAAAGCTCCCTAACAAAGCTCATGACTGAAGTACGTTGACGTCCAGAAGGTTTACATCGGTACCAGGAGTAATGGTCTCTGGCGAACCTGGCTAACGCTGTCGATACGCCACTGGCCAACGAGTGCACGCGCTTATTATTAGAAGCTGACTTGAGAGAACGCTTTAAGTATGCAATAGCTACATTAATTGCCTAATGAACTAGACTTACGATCTAACTAATGTTAGAACCATCAGCAATATCACAATCGGCCCCATTGTTGGCATATCACGATCATCAGTACCACACGTCACCATCAACACCGATTCCCATCAGCACTACGGAGTACTACCATCACTATTAAACAGAACCATCTGGACTACGCAAGTCGTCTGGTCCAGGAAGCCTGGCGAGCAGCCTGTTTCATGTTGCCACGGAGCCTTCTTTTGCCAACCAGCTCGAAGGCACTAGTTCCTCCTGAGTCGTCATCGACAAATGAAAACGACATGAGAGCAGCCCTTGTCACAGCCTGGCCCCGGTTGGTTCGGCGAGTGTCGTCGCTGCTCAGCCCCCGCCTTAAGGTGTACATTCCAAGCACCCGCTCATCTGATCACATCGCCATGATCATCATCAACGTCGGGAAATGGGTGGCCGTTTGGCACCTGGATACGCCCACCCCTCCCCTCTACGAAGCGGCATTGGGGGCCTTTCGCCGTTGTAAGTCGCGACAAAACTAACAGAGGGCTGACGTTTTTTACCTGCTCTTTTTTAAGTCTTTAACATAGTTCTAGTTAGCTCGGCCACGTCTTGTTGTCGACGCCAAGGCCAGCCTTGTCAGTCACCCGTTGCCACTGTACCCTGGAAGCCGAACGAGGGTAAATTCTGACCAATTCTCCCGCAGAGCAGAATTTCGCTCCCCGAGATTGCTTCTTGTTGTTCCGAGCACCCTTGACGGGCCGAGGACTATACATGGCACCACACCGCGAGAAGATGACTGGTCTATCGAGCCGAGCGACTACTTGTATTGCAAGATGGTTGCGCCCTCTGCCTTGCACATGGACGTATATTGTGCATGAACGACCACCCACGATGCAGCGCTCCCTTCCCTTCTGCACTCCGCATTGTTATTGTCCAACTAGCGGTGCTGCCACACGCCACCACCATCACCACCACCAAACAAGCGGAGCTGAAGCTCGTCACCGAAAGACAACGGGCGGCTGGCGGGCTTCCGAGTCATCTCCAAAAGCAAAAGCCATGCTCTCCATACTATTGGCATATGGCAAGAATTATGGTTGCCCGCTGCATGCAGCCCCCGCCCAACTGGCACAGCCATTTTGCGCTCCCTTGCATAACTACACCGGCTGGTCTGCAAGTGATGAATCCACCGACCAGGCTCAATCCACACCACCATGTTGCCACGCGAAGGGGTAGCGCAAAGTATGTGAGGATGGACTCGACGGTTAACGATCAGCTATCGAAGAAGAATAACGAAGGAAAATACGGAAATGGTGAAGAAGAACACTATTCTAAGCAACTACAGCCGATCAAAACGGCCTTAACGACACGATAACCATACCTATATACATAGCCATATGATTGAGGCAAGATTTATGTAGGCTGTACATTCGGCATGCCTAGGTATGTGTGTACACTAGTTAGTTAGTGCACATCTCGCCTCGCCCATGACCACCGCCCAACCACTTACACGAACGACAAGGCTCATACACAACGACGACAACAGCTCTGCCACCAGTCCTGAGCGATGCCACGCAATGGGCAGCAGATGACGGCGTCCAGGTTGACAAAGTTGGCCGTCTAGCGAACCCCTCAACCGCCGTCACAGCCGACAACCTTTTCACCCTGGTCAGTGCAACCGGCCAGCGAACCAAATACCGAGCAACTGGCGGTCTGTCTCCCGCAATGATGATACCTAGACGACCGAATCGCAATGCCACCGGAATCCGAAAACAGCATCCGAAGTCCGGAATTTGGGCAAAATGTTTCTCTTTCTCAACGAAGCTACCCTGTCCACGAAAATTATGACGATATCGTTTTCTTGTTAATGCGCGCGATATCGTGAGATATGGCTGCATAATCGAGCCGAGTGTGGAACCCGTTCGTACCTCCCCCTACCTCATTTGCGAGATAATAATACCTGGGGAATATATGTACCATCAGACCACGGCCCCGAGTAGAGTGCTACGAAAGTCCGATTCCGCTACTTCCTTCCTGCCTCGGCCAGTCGCGGAATTCTCCTCTCCGATAATTAGTAATAAACAAGCATTGCGGCAGCCTTGTTTGCTTGTTTTTATCGTCTCAACAAAGAAGAAAGCATCTTCCCAATTCGGCCAGGATGGCAAAATTATGTTTAGCCGCGCTATCCCCTCGTGTCCTTTTTTTTTTTTTTTTTTTTTTTGGTTCCCTGGTACCTACATAGTTCAAGGAATTCCTGGTAAAGCCTAATCGGACAGTGGGCGAGGGGAGCTGCGTACCCGGTTCGGGGGGCATGCACCACTACGTACATAGCTTGGCAGCAGTTTTGGTGTGCCCTGTGAGACACGGCCGGGCCTCTCGATAGTTGGGGGATCTTTCCCGCTGATGCACGAGGTGGCGTGACATAACTCTGTGAGCATGCACAAGGCCAGACAGATCTGGTCTGCGCAAGAGCGAAAACCAGTAGTCTTGTCACACACATCGCGACAGACACAAGTCATGGTGGGTGTGGCACGCGTCAAAGGCTAGAAAGTTGAACGAAACAAGAAAAAGCAATGACAATTTTATTTTGTCTCCTCCGTCATAATCATAAGCTTCATAAATATAATCATCCAAGCTTCTTCGGCTTGCATATCCAAGAGCAAAAGAACTACCTGTTGTCTGTTCTGGCGCGCGCAAGTCTCGTTCTGCGGGTGAGGCGGGGGGTCCCTTATCACCCATCACATTCGATCAAACAGAAAGTTGCTCTGCTTGAATGCGGCAGCCGAGACATGCAAACGCAAACAAACCAAAAGATAAGAGCAGAGAATAGTAGAGACGTGTAAGAGTAGAGAAGAGTAGAGAAGAGTAGAGGAGTAGAGAGAGTAGAGAAGAGTAGAGAAGAGTAGAGAAGAGTAGAGAAGAGTAGAAGAGGAGCGAAATGTGCGAGAAAGTGGAAAAGGTGAAAAGCCGTGGCCGTCCATTCAAATTTGGGCCGGGCACAAACAGTTCAGGACAGCATAAAAACATTCAACATCATAAGATTTGAGGAAAGAAAATAAAGAGAAGAAAAGTAAACATGTCTAAAAGAATATCGGTTTCGTTTCGTCATAAGTCGTTAGATGGCATAACGTCAATCGGATCGCTCGTTGCTTTTTCTTTAATTCGTCGCTTTCATCCAAAGATTTCATATATCCGTCCATCCTTTGCGGGGAGGTGCCCTTGGTCCATCGACACGGGTTTCCAGCAGAGCCAAAGCCAAGGGGTATTCCAACTGCTGTAACGCTGTGAAGTCTTTCAGCCCTTTATAAGGCTTTCATTTGTTCTTTTTTTCCTTCCGCCGGAGGTGCGGTTTATGGTACCACACCAAAGCTCGACTTGCGGAGCGATGTGCTTGGTTGCTGCTTTCTTGCCCTTTGAGTGTTGTACACGCAAGACGACAAGGTTCAGTATCCACTGCCACATACATTCGCGCCCACCCCAGAAACAAGACAACTCGCGCCGCCGACAAACGGACAGGCGTCTTGGCCGCCTAATCAAACGACGTGGTCGAACTGCTGCTCGAATGGTGGCCTGAACGCCGACCTCCGCTGCTGTGGTCGGAGCTGTCTCGCGAGGAAGTTTGGCGGCTCTTTCGTCGGAGGCCTTGAACAATACCATTGCGGGCCAGCATGCCATTGTTGGCGGAGAAGTTTTGGCAGACCATAAATGCGCGCATCGCAGCGTTTTCCTGGGCCAGCATGTCGGACTCATACGCCAGGTCGGTTTGGTACTCGCGGCCGTTGACTAGAACGAGGCATGTAAAGCCATTGGGGTCGCGGTAGCATTCGTAAGCAGGGTCGGTCCATCCACGGCGGCGGCAAAGACCTGGGAAACTTGGTTAGTTTTGTCGCAACTCGGGGAATGATATAAACGCAAGCAGCGGGCAGTGGGTGGGATTGAGCTTTGTGGTTAACAAGGACACGAGCGCCTCTTGAGGGAAGAGTTGCTTGAAGTTTACCCAAGAGCAGCAATGCCAAGTTGCGTAAGGTGTAAGGGAAGCCATTGGTAACTTACTTTCCAGGTACTGCATATAAAAACCAGCCATTGTGAAGCAAGCTTTGGACAACCACCGTCTGCAGTGTAAGAGAATGAAATACCGCAGAAGACAAAGCCGGCCGGAGAGAATTTATCGGCCTCGCCTCAGAGGCTGGTTGGTGTAGTTGGGCTCGGTGTGGAGGGACCGCTGAGTTGTGTGTTGCGTGCGTGGGCTTGGGCGTGGGTAGTCTAGTTCTAGGTAGTTTCTGCTCCACCAATTGGGGCAAGAGTTGCGCTCGTAAAGTCGTGCAGAGTTGTAGTGTTGATGCAAAGAAAGCAAGCCTGGGCACCCCGAGGTCAATGGATAAACAAGCAAGAGACAAAAAGTGAGAGAAAAAGTATCAACAAGGTAACAAGGGCAAAGCCAAGTAACGAGACTGGCAGGTGGGGAGAAGTGAAGAGTTGAGAAAGAGGTCCGCAATGTTGTAAGGACGTTGTGGCGGAAGATCGGGGGATGAAGAGGTGTATATATGTAAGCGATTCAGGGTTCTTGTGTAGGAAAAACAACAGCACACACACACACACACACACACACACACCCAAACCAACGGTATGTGCAGTAGCGCAGGGCTATTTTAATTTGCAAATCGGTACTGCATTATCATCATGAGTCTATTAGCGCGCACCGGGGGCGTATCCTGAGAAGAGGGGTGTACAAGATGGTATGGTATTGCAGCGCGGCGCGCAGATGCAGCCAGGCCAGAGAAGAACGAGGCCAGCTAGGAAAATGGCGAGCAAGCGACTGCGGCTCTCGACTGATGAGTGTGACCCATCTTGATGTGTTGGCGTAGCTAGTTGCCAGTTGATACACGGCCACTCGAGCCTAGGACGCTCCACACCGGCGCATGGCAAGGGCAGGTCGCGTCGGCCAGCACAGAAAGGCAAATGAATGTGAGGTTTGCATCATGGTAGGCAGTATGTTGTCGTGATGCTGCAACCGCTTACAGTTGAGCAGGAGCGCGCGAATGGCAAGGTGAGTGGTGTACATGAGCCGCCGGCCTCTTGTCCGCAATTCGTATCTGGTGTTAGTTTTGCTAGCAAGTTGCCCGGTCTCCCTCTTCTGAGATCCGGGAACTGTTGCAGCTTGCCGACCAAGTAAAAGCCCACCGCTTCAATGGGGCCGTTTGGCCGTTGGTACGGTACCATGGGTGGTTCCGGCGGGCTGGCTAAAAGCTGGCTGGGTAATAAAAACTGGCGACCCTAGCACGGCTTTCCATGCAGTTGCCAACTTGCCATCCATCTGTTGTGGTGCGGTGGTGGCGAGTTGGAACCACCACCAGAGGCTGACTGGACGTCCCCAGAAATCCGGCATGCTTTCTTCGACCTTTTTCTGGGATGACTTCTGCGAGCGACTTGCTTGACGGCATGTGGTACCTGGTAGGCCACTGCAATACCGGACCCCAAGAGATCTCTGTGCAGACAGCGGCTGTATGATCGCAGGGTACAAGGGCCACCACGCTGGGCCTCTTCTCCAGAGTAGTGCAGTTTCGTGCATGTGTAGTTGCCGACATGTTTTGCTCTAAACCAAATGGCCAAGCTTTATCTCCGCTCTTGCCGCCGTGTCAAGTAATACCACAGATTTGTGCGCGAATTGACAAAGTTTGACAGACTTGGCTGGTGCTGGAATGATCCCATCCGTGCTCGCTCAATTGGCACTTCCGACTGGCCGGATTCCTGGGACTGGCGTATCGCCAGAGATCCTGTACAAATCTAGGGGGGAGGGGAACATTGACAGGGGGCTGGCAGTACAAGGTTTGCTGACCCTGGCAAGACTGCATGGCCCTGGCACTGCAACATCAGAAGGAATCAATGGCTGGCTTCTGGCTTCAACTCCGCACCAGCTTGACAATCAGTGGCCTTGCCGAGGGTCGGGGTTGACGCACAACGTATACCCATGTCCGCGGTGGCCGGGGTCTGGCCTACAGAATGTACAGGTGTACAAGGGCCCAGAGGTAGTGAGATACTTCCACACGCGAACCCCTCGAACCCTCGAGGTCGGTGAGCAACACAGCCAGACCCTCTATTCCCCTCCCATACCACCTCAGGTTAATAACCAAAGACCTTGTGCATGAACAGCCTGTGGGAAGTGGCTGGGAGGTGGGTTCTGGTGGATCGCTAGCTTGGCTCCTCGTGCTGGCACCAGTACTGCGAGGTCCTGGGCCGGATGCCGTTATGCCATTGGACCCTGTTCTTGTTTTGTTTTGATACTGTGTCGCCATCAGCCCACGTCTTGTCTACAGCCAAAATGGGCCCGCCTCACTGACCTGACGTTGAGATGAGGTTATGTCGTGATACACCAGCAGACGGGCGTTGGTGGCGGCAAAACGCATGGCCGCCTCCCTCATTCTGAGTGAAGAAACCGGTGAGCAAGGCACATATGATTGGTTGCCTTGTCAATGGAGGGGTGTCGCGAGGCACTCATATCAATGGCCCTGCCTGCTGTCTGAGCCCTCAATCCCCGCCCAGATGCAATGATGTGTTGGCAGTGCCGCTGGGTAATATTATATCAACAGCCAAATGAGTGCAGGGCACGCCTCATGGGCTGCTACTTCACCATGTGTCCAATTGGACATGAAGGCGTCGTGTGGCGGCGCGGGGTCAATTGCCAGCAAGTTAGCAGCACGGCGAAAGGGCCGCTTGGACGTCGACGGCGCTGTCAGCGCTGATCATCATGTCCCATGAGCCTGGCACCAATATATGTACAGTTATATGTGCAAGCAAGTGCAAGAAATTATGCACATGCAACCATATACTTCCATAATCAAGGAAGGCACCCGGCAAAGCCTATGCTTAACCCAGCCAAGGACATGATATAATGCTGCATGAAGGGGCTCGATTGGTAGACTGTATCTTTTACACGATCCCTGATGTAATTGCCGGCAACATGCCGTATTTTGCAGATTGACGTGATTCTTGCTCTTTTGGTCTTTTCTGCTCCTTCTCTGTACAAGGGATAACGATGAACGGGAAGCTGAAAGGGCAGGTAGATGCGCTAGCTAGTGTCGATGAATACGCCGAGCATAGGCTGCATCGCGAGTTGGCTAGCCACTGAATGCAAACAGGCTGTTGTTGAAGGTCGGCCCTTTTGGCTCTGCGTTGACTTGACGCGCTGCGCCTTATTAGTCGTTGTTACATGAGGTCCTAAATTAGACGATTTGTCCCGAGCGAATCAGGCACGACAGCTGGTTCCATTGTGGGCAATTCCGAATTGGCGGTGGGCTTGCATGCCTATTTGGGGGCTCATCTGGCGCCGTATTGTTCGTGCGTATTGTTTCTGTCACTCTGTTCTTCGGGAACCATATGCGGCCGTCGCGGATTCGGTTCTTTGGATGACAAGATGCTTGGCAATAGAAGATCCAGTCCGTCCGTATAGTAGGCGCCAGCATGGGGCCGTTTGTGCATTAGAGCATTTGAGTATCAAGAAAGGGTCCCGTTCGATATGTTTCATCTAGGCGCCCGTAAGTCGTCAACCCCACGTTTGGAGGCTTGCTTAGAATATTCCTTCGCTAGTCATTATTGCTTTTTGGTCCGTTCTTCTGCACCTTGTTCCATGCGGCGCCAATCTATCGTGTCTGGTTCGTTGCTTTGTGGTGCCTCAACAAGCTGTGTAGCTCAACGCTGTGTGCCCATCAGAGGATGTTCAGGAATTGGAGTGCTTGGCAAAGCGCTGGCGGAAAAAAGTAAAAAAAAAAAAAGTAGACACATAATAAGAGAAAGCAGGAAGGGAAGGACGCCAGCGAGATGGCCTGCAAAGGGCAATTGGGGGCGTGGGACTGATGCAAGGGCGTGTGTGTTTGCAGATGGGAAGTAAACCTACATACATAGCTTGCCAACGGAGTGCCTCCTACCGTATTAGCTCGTCGATGGTTGCTGCAGGTGAGGAGGGGCTGGCATGCGGTGGGAAAGTACGAAGTACCTTGGCCGTTTCTTGGTAATGCAGTCGAGATTTGTAAAAAGTACCATTTCATCTTGGCTGCAATATCCCTTGTTGTTAATCTGCACCCCGTCTTTGCGGCATGAAGATGTCAAAGTACCAAAAATATCGAAAGTGAGGGGTCTCTCACTCCTACCTAGTTATCACCAAAGGAGGGGCGCTGGAGGGGCAAGTCCGCCCACCAGCGACCAGCGATCAAACAGGAATTATTCCACGCCTCGAGTCATTGGCCGTCTTCGCCTCGCCATCCATCCATACAAGATGCGATGCTCCCTATCGCACAGGTTGAGCCCTAGACTCTACAGAACCCCCAAAATTACCGCCATAGCCTCGTCAATGGCACCGTGACGAGGGAAGGCCGTTGCCCCGCGCCGTATCAATGACCGTCCACCTAATCCCGGTGGCGCTTCATCCTGCGAGTGATTTGCATGTATGTTTCTCCATCGCATTGACAGGGTCCTGATCGTTTATTAATAAGGAGGAAGAAAAAGAAGAAAAACAACACGATAAAAGCCATAACAACTAAATAAGCGAGGGTGTCCGCAGTAAATCTAAGTCGTCACCAGAAAAGGGGCACCACGCGCTGCCCACCTTTTGGCTGGCCGCCTTGCATGCGGCCGGTCTCGATGCAATGGCAACGTATCGTTGTGCCACGAAATGCACATTGCCGACATCAAAACTTGGCTTCGCCTTTCTCACGTTGAAATTGTCCATGGAGTTGTTTGGTGTCCCCCCCCCCCAAAAACAACTCTGAGACGCCGAATGTCGGTAGATGGCTTGGAAACTTCCCACGCCACTTCATCCTCAGCCCAGCCCGATTTACCCTACTGCAGTAAACAATCGGCACTCTTCCATAAAGGTGACTTCATATGCCGGTCCACCTTTGCACAACTTTAAAACATATGCATCTTTGTGCCAGTTTTGATTATTCATGGCCTGCCTTGCCTGCCACGCCTTGAGAACAACACCATTCGCGCTGATGGTTGACTAGGACGGGGGTCACATTCGAGACAGGACGGGAAAGAAGCCCAATCTGAAATCATATTTCCCAGTAACGAGTCATCAAATACGCAGTACCACTCGGAATCCAAATCGAAACTGCCAGCGCATCATCCTCGGCCAAAAAAAGACTCGGCCTCGCCGCACTAATACTTGCAGCGGCTAGGCCCCGTCCTGTCCGGCCTCGCATCATCCGTCCCGGTTTGCAGTCCCAAAATCTCTCGCCTCCTGCATGAGTAAGTCAGAATTTCTGTAGCCCGGTTTTCTCAACTAGAAACCTGGGTAAGGTCTTCTAGAGAAGAGCACCTTGAGAGGCAGAGGAGAGGCCGATATGCGTCACCCAGCCTGTGTTCCGCGACGAGAAGGCTGGCAGGCAACATGGCTCTCCGCAGAACGAGCATTCTCGCCCCTTTGGATTTCCCTTCTCTGGAAAATTTGCTTCTGTCGTTTCGCAGCGGGGCACCCACCGCTTCGATGCATTTGGAACATGTTTATTAGTTCGCCAGCGCCTCCAGTTGTTGTTGACGTCCCGCAGATCCTGACTCAACGCCCGCCACAACTGCACGCGAGCGAGATGCACGCCCCCTTGTCATGGAAGGAAAATTCGCCTTCCTTCTAAACTCCAAGTTGTCGATTTGAATCATCGTATCCCTGTTCCCGGTCGCAGGGAGGGTACCGAGGGATACTTCGTTCCTCTGGGCAGCTTACTCGGTCAGCCCGCGTGCATCACTTCTCACTTTGGACACAGTGGACTCTCGCGTTGAGTGCGTGTAAACATTGGCAATTCTGTTTCCTGCTTCTTCTTCTTCCAAGTTGTCCGCATCGCCGTTCAATGGATTCAGTGGCTCCCGAAAGAGTCGCGTACCCTCCTCTTGCTCCTTTGTTGGGACAATTTAACTCGCCCCAATGTTTTGATGCGTTGGCCATATGTAGCTAAGGCAAGCCGCGCCCACCCAGATGCGTCCATGCAAGTGAGCTGCCTTTTGGACGAATGGTATCGTCAATTTATGAAACTTGAAAAGCATTGCCAATTTACCACCATTCGCAAAAATCGTTCGTTAATGCAGCCTTGGTACCAGCTGCCAGGAAACCTTGGGACCTACTCAATTCGGTAGCTCCGGTTTCCCGGACCGTGTTTGCATGATCGGATACTTTCGCCATCGTATTCGGCATACCGGTTCCAGCGCCGACGCGCAGTACGTATCGCCCTTCGTCTGGATAGCATCAGCAACTCGTCTTGGACGCATAGTACTCCCAGGCGGCTTCGATTTTGTGCTGAGGTATCACGTATATGGGATGCGTGGTCATGATTCGGTCATTTTCATCGAAGATCTGCTCATCCTCAACGTAGGGCAGAGCTTCCCACTCGTCAGCGCCGCCAACAGAACCAGCCGGTCGTGCTGCGCGCAACGTCCACTTGTGTTGCGCTGAACTAAGGCCGGATAGCACGTAGCATGTGTGGTAAGCATCTGAATATCTATGCAACAAGAAAAACCACGCGTTAATGAATCACGAACCAGCCTAAACGAAAACGTCATCGAAGAGGAAAACCTACTTGCTTGGCTTGTCTCTCAAGCCACCCCGAAGGGTTTGATCCTGGCAGCAGCATAGAATGTACCTTATCAGTCCATTACGACTGAAGAGGCTGCCGGTATCTGCGGCCTGCTGGTCGGCGGATCTGGCGTCGCCACTGCTCGGCCCGCTCAGGGCGGCCTGGATGAGTGGCCAGCATCCCCCAACCCAGTGGCTGTAGCAACCATCCACGAGTTTGTTTGTGCGACCTGAAAAACCACCTTCCGGGGCGTACTGGCGTGAAGACAGCCACGCAATGAGTCGCGGCACGTCCATGTACCTATAGAATTCAAGACGGGTTAGCCTTCTGCACGTTTTCGCTCGTTGCACCGGGCTGAGACCACGAACGGGAGAGGGCAGGCAACCTGTGACCACTTACTTCGGTATGGAACGATGCGGAGCGTCCAGGATGGACAGACACCCGAGGGCACAAAAGGCGTACGCCCCATGTGCCTCGATACCCGGCATTGCAGCCACGCCTCCCTCGTATGTCTGGCCTGTGGAAGAGGTAACAGTCCCTACGTCAGCGGCGAGTCCAAGAAAACGCTCAGGTCTCGGGAAGGTACTTACATCTACCTACCCACTCTGCGAGACCGCTGAAGAGGTCTTTATGGCCGGCTGCGCATGCAGGTGAGTCGGGTGACAACTCGAGGGGGATCCCGAGCACGGAAATGAGAACTGATGCGCAGTATGCACCTCTACCAAAAGCAAAAAAGTAAACCGCAGAGTCAGTGTTAGTCCCAAAACACCTAGTCCCTCAGCACCACATCTCTCGAAGCCCAGCAAGCCGAACCCCGAGAGGTGGAGGGAGAGAGAAAGAAAGGTTGTGTGGTGGTGGGTTGCAACAAACGTACCGCACGTCCTCCTCGCCTCCCACTACCATCTGGAAGCCGCCGTCAGCCTGCTTCAGTGAGCAGAGCCACTTCCACATTGCATGCCTGTCAATCACTTCGTACGCCGCTTCTCCACCCACGAGCATGAGGGCCAGCACGGTGGCATAGGTCGTCGCGAGGTGTGAATCCTGGCCGAAGCCCCCCCCAAAGCCGCCACCGGCGTTCTGGAGGGGGCGGACGGTCTCGACCAGCCGCCCACGGTACACGGCGCCCACGTCGTCGTCCTCCCCCTCGCTCAGCAGTGTCAGCGCCGCGAGCGACCAGTAGAAGAACCACGGCCGGCTGGGATCGGCGGCCGTCATCTGCGGCGGGAGCCTGCCAAGCTGCTTGTGCAGAAACTTGACGTGGCGCTGCCTGTCCAGGCGGGGGACGCCGTGCCGGTTGTTGCGTCTCTTGCTGCTGCTGCTGCCCGCATGGAGAACCCCCTCACTGTCGTCGTCGCCGCGTAGGAAGGGCAAGCATTCGTCAATGGTCTCCCGCTGCAGCCGGGACGACTCCGTCTCGAGCGCGTCGACAATGGGCGGCAGCGAGGTGAAGAGCCCCAGGATCGCGGGTGGTTCGCTGCTGGCGGCGTGGTGGTAAGACTTGCTGCTGCCGCTTCGCACGGGGAGTGACTCTGCAGCTGCAGCCATGGCCTTGATTTGATGTCGGAACAGTACTCTGGGCTGGGTCTTCTTGTTGCGACGGTTGCGAAAGCTCATTACGTAGCGCGCGGCTGGCCCATTTCATGCAAACGGCTGGAAAGAGCTTCTCTTTGTTCGCGATTTCGCTTTATATACTTTCCGAGAGCGGGGGCCTTCGGTGGATTCCCTCCCTTATGGTTGTCGCGCTTCTGAAGCTAGGTAGGTATTTTGTTTTTGCTTAATATTGTAGTTGTGGTTGCCGTTTTGGCGCCGCCAAAGCTAGCTATTGTTCTCGGGAATTGGTCGGGTACCAATTTGTGGCCCAAGCCTGGTTGACAGCTACCCCGCGCCGAAGACGAATGCGGAGAAGAAGAAGGCGGTTTTTGAATTGAAGAGGCAAGTAGGCGGTTTTATTCTTGTGGACAAGTTTCGTAGGAAATAATGTTCGTCTTGATTATATGTGCACTGGGTGGGATGTGACACAAACGCACACACACACGACTTGGTTGGTTGTTGGCGCGAACGCGCAGACGCAGGTACCCTGCACCACGCTGTTTTGACGATTCGTCAGGCAGAATAACGGACCAGTTTGGTTTTACCTAGTAGCGGACAAGAAATTGTTTTTTGTTTATTCTTATGATCGTAGTATCTGATCTTATTAATATTAATCCATCTGCGATCGTTCATGTTCATTTAACACAGCTGCATCTATATACCACAGATGTTCATCCATACACACTAAACCCCAACAACACAATCACAAAATTTAGTTGTACGTCTTGCCGGCGAAAATCGTGCCATCATAGTCAACGTTCTTTGTCGAGTTCTTGAGGGTGTAGTTTCCGAAGCAGGCATACTGGTAGTTGCTCTCCTGGAACGTGTTTGCCTGGCTCTCCAGGAACGCGCCCAGCTCGCACAGTCCGTCGAGGCGACCGGACGTGGCGTCGCCGCACTTGCCGCCGCGGATCGTGTTAAGCGGGATGATGCCGTTGTTCAGCCGCATGCGGATGAACTTGTGCGTCGCGTTCTTCGCCTCGTACCCGTATTGACCGGCCGTGTACGCCACGCGGCGGTTCTCCACCGGCGCCGGGTCCGGCGCCGCGCAGCCGATCTGCTCCGTGACCAGGTTGGCGCCAAACGGCGTCAGGTGGGACAGCGTGAAGTGAGCGCCGGTCGCCGGGGGGAACTCGTCGAGCGTCGGCGCGCTCTTGAAGTAGTCCACCGACAGCGCGGTCAGCGCGGAGATGATGATGTCGTCGTGCGAAAAGTCGGCGTACACTTTCTGGCCCAACGGGAACGTCTTGCCGTTGTCGTCAAAGGTGGCGTTGACGGAGGAGTTGCCGACGGAAATGTACTGGTGCTCCAGGCGGGCGAGCAGCTCCTGGACGTAGCCGACGCCCTGCGCGCGGCCGGTCGGGTTGCCGTACGCGTACAGGTAGTAGTACTGCTGGTCGAGCACCGTCTCGAAGCCGGCCCACTCGGCGGCGGTGAAGAGCTGGCAAAAGTCCGACTGCCCGACGTAGCCGTACTCGTACGCGCACGTCATCTGCATCGCGTAGACGTCCTCCGCCGTAAAGCTGAACCCGGCGGGTGCGTGGCTGGCCAGGCGCTCGGCGGCGGCGCGCGCGTAGATCTTGATGTAGCGCTCCTGGTGGAAGGCGGCGAGGTCGTTGTTGGCCTTGGTGTCCGAGTTGGTGCAGCCGTCGTACGAGGCGAGCGTGTTGTTCTCGGTGCCGCCCTCGGGGATGATGACGGTGCTGAAGGGCGCGGTCCAGTGCAGCAGGTCCGGCTCGGGGGTCGCGTTGAACGACGGGCCGAAGAAGCCGAGCGCCCAGTTGATCTGCGAGTTCTCGATGCGCGACTGGGAGGTCGTGCGCAGCGTCACCTTGGGCCGCTCGGTGCCGTTGCCGCCAAAGACGGCGCTGTACTGCAGCTGCGCCGTCTGGGCGTCGAAGAGCGTGCGGCCGTAGTTGTTCCAGAAGGCGACGCCGCGGCCGAACTCGGTGTTGGCGCCGATGCCGGTCAGCAGGCCGGTGTTGTTCAGGATGTACTGGTAGCTGTTGAGGAACTTGAGCGGGCCGGTGAAGTGCTTGCCTTTGTTGCCGCGCTTGTAGTCGGCGAGCTTCTGGGCGAAGCCGCCGGTGGTGACGTTGTCGACCGAGTCCGGGAAGCGCTCCGCGTGGCGCTGCAGGGTGCTCACGGATTCCTGGTCCCCGGTATTAGTATTTCGATTGATGAATTACTAGTGTTACTTGTTTCAAGGCCACTCACAACTTGGCAGCCGTCGGGGAGGCCGACATAGCCGACGCCAAAGGCATCCTCTCGATTGTCCGCGTACGACGAGAGCTCACCCCACGAGGACGATGCGCTCTTGGCATCCGTCAAGACATGGGCGGAGGCATTGCTGCCTGCCGCGACCATCAAGGCCATTGAAAACACGGTGGCGCGCATGGCGGTAAACTGTCAGTTTGTCGATCCGACACCTGCTGGCGAGACACAATTGAGTTGCAATGGCGGCGGTAAGCTTAACCCAAAACTCATCCGGTCCCTGACCATCCGGGGGAGCAGCCGCGAGACTATTTAAACGCCCTTTTTCGCACAGGTCTCCCCCAAACAAAAGCACCAAAGCAGTAACAACGTTACATTCTCGGAACATTCTGCCGGACGGCGCTGATCGTCTTCTACATTGGGCGGCGTTATGTCGGATTGGGTCGACTATTGAGGCTGCTGAAGCCGCATTTGCCGGTGACCGTGACAAATGAAATCTCACACCAGGAACATGCCCTCGCGCTCCCGCGGTGCCATTGGGACGTTGAAATTGTCATTGTGGCTGCCAGGCGCCCGCGCTGCGCCCGCGCTGCATGTTTATTGCAGACGAACCATCCGGAACTCATTCAAGGTTCTAATTCTCACAAAGAACTTCTCACGCTTGACTTCGAAGCAGTACAAACATGGCGACGAGTGGGCTTGTCAAGGTTTGTCACTAGTGTGTGAGGGGTTTCTCTTCATCACGCCGAGTGACAAATGGTTTGCATACCTCTTCCAAAAGCCTTCACAAAGAGGCGCACTCGTGTTTCAGCCGAGGTCTTACGATAGGTCTGTTTGGTTGGAAGCGTTACCATCATCACAAATAGCGGGATAAAAAAAAGCTAGTGATAAATCATCGACAGTGTACCCCAGCTCACACCTCAGTTGTCCATCTCTTCTCGTCATGATTAAGCTTTCTATGGCGTGAAGCTAACGCCCTTTAAAGCAGCCTTATGAGTATTCCTCCCAACACTTATACATTCCATAATACCTCCTATGCCCTCTCACAGTCGGGCTCGTCAGTTCGCATCCCGGAGCCGGCACCATGTCAACCTTTTCCGGTCGAGTCCCGGGTGACCTGGAGTCTCTGGGAGTTTGTTCGCATCATTATCTAATACTAAACGTTCTTCCTGTTTGACCAAACTTCTCGCTTTAACTCTCAGCTACCAGTCGCATTCTATGACAGTATCACTGAGAATTCCGCGTCATGGAGGCGTCAGCCAATCTATCAAGCCAGTTCAGACGGCATCAAATGGCTAGCTCTCGCTTCTCTATCCATCTTTAGCGGTACAGTCGCGCAGGCTTTCAAATGATCTTATACATCATTCTTCCCACAGCATTGTGCGGTTCGCCTCAGTCCCCCGCCAAACTTGCGCTCTATTCCCCAGCCTCAACGGTTCTGGGGAGTGCCGGCGGATGAAGCAACCAGGCCGATATGGCAAGGGTATTTTGTACTTGATGGAACTGTTCCACATTGTGGTGTACATGTCACTAGCAAACCATGGCCCTGCGTATCGGATTGATGTCGTGGTGTCAAAGTTCGGGGATGCGAGGCGACGTTGGCTTCAAATTCGGGTCGCGCGCGCTGTGAGGGTGTCATCTTCGGTCCGATTTCACGACCGGACATCGAGAGGGACACATCAAGCGGAATTCCCAGCCACTACAAAGCTATGGAAGTCGTCATCGAGCTTCGCGGCTGCACAGAAGAGGCACTCTCTCTGCGAGAGCGTCTCTTCGCCGCGACTGGTGCAGATGCGACAACCCCAGGTCGGCGCCCTGCGCTTTGACAAGGCAGCGCTGACATGTTGCAGAGTTACAAACTATGAGAAGGCAGGGGTTGTCATACGCATGCATTACAGAGCGCGTAGATGGCCTCCCCTGCCCTCCCCCGGCGAAAGACCAGGCCGAGAGGCCACGAGACCTGGTAGGCCGTTTTGAGCTACAGAAGCCGCCGAGACACCCCGACCTCTTCGACGTTACCAAGACAGCAGAGGAAAGATACCAAGAAGATAATACAGCTACTCTAGGTTCCCGATAGCGTACGTCGCTCATTTTCGGGGTCACCATTGCTCGGCGCTCGGTATCAGCGGCCGCAACCTGCTCGCCAACTGTTGCTGCAGGGCGGAGTTGCACCTGTTATGAAAATTGTGCATGCGGCGCTGAAAATGGTCACCTATTCATTCTGTGCAAGTGCGCATCGGCGGACAGATGGTGGTGAAGATCTTCCTGGCCTCGCTCTACAGCACTTACCCGGGCCTGCGGGCAAGCAACAACTGTTATCACCCGAAAGCACTGTAGACAGCCCCGATTATTGCGGTCAAAGTACATGACCATGATCTACTACGATCTAATCACGAGGCTACCGACAGAAGCAGGCAAATTAATAAAAGATATTGTAGGGCCGTATCCCGAGCTGTGTAACCTGCCCCAGGATGTAGGAATCGTCATCTGGAGGGGAATGCCGTACTCCAGATTGCCTATAGTCCTGGTAATCAGGCAATCAGGAGCTCGGAATCGCTTCCGTAGTACCTGTAGGCAATGCTTATCTGCCCAAGTATGACATACTCTCCCGTTGACTACTTTCATCCGGACCACTGTATCTGCGCACAAACATGGAGCAATTCCTCCGCTCCACCACCATTTTACGACTCACGGCAGGGCCGCAGTCTTGAAGTTGTCGGAAATTGCACACGTCTATGCAGTGGCTATGAAGCCAATTTTTCGCTTCCACGGACGCACGCTGAACAAAGGGAGGCGGGCAGAGCTGACAAGAGCGGTCAAAAGTCTGGACATACCCTGCTCTTAATCAATGCCGGCTGCAAATGTCCGTCGCCATTTGCGGGGCAATCTGATACCCGCAGGTAGTCAACTTTAATCAACGCGGCAAGCATCTCATCGTTGTTGCATCAAGGAGCAAAAGCTGAGAAAGGGGCAAAGAATGAGTCTAGTCATGCCCCTTCAGACGGACACCTAAAAAGCCGCTGTGAGGCAACCAGCGGACGTCCAGGTCGAAAATGGCCTTCATCATCGGTGGGGAAAGGGAGGGCTATTAACAGGTTGACGGTCGGCCGAGCGGCCTTGTCTGCATGGGAGAACCATGACTTGCAGTAGCAAATACAAAAGCGGTAAAAGGAAATTCAAGAATGGATAATCCGTGGAGATGGCGAAGAAATAGAACAGCCAAGTTCCAGGAAAACGCACATGGCCCCATCAGACAACGGGCGTGGAGGCAGGGAGCCCATGTAGATATGCACTATGCAATGCACGGTGAGCTGGCGTGTGATGCGACAAGGCCCGAATTGATCAATTCGCGTCGACGTTGGGCAACCTGCGCTGCCTTAAGCTATGCTTTCAGCCAGCTTGATCGTAGCTACTGACGTTATGGATGGATCGCGGCCCAACTTGGGGGATGGAAAGATTCGAGCGAGTTGCGATGACTCCATGGTGACAGCAAAGTCAGCCCGACCCCGCGCGTTCTGTGTCGGACAGAAGAGCGCATGTAGATGGCCTTGCATTCCAGAGCGCACCTGTGCCAGAGGAGCGTGCAGAAGATTACGAACTGCGTCAGTCTGTGCCACGATCACGGGTGGGACATGGCGACGCAGAGGTCACGCCGGGAAAGGAAAAAGGGTGTGTGCGAGGAGAGAAAGTGAAGACTAGACCAGAGCCCGGGACATTCGTCTCTCAGCATCCAAGCAGGTTTGGAATGAGTAATCTGTACAGATCAGACAGTGTGCATCACCGTCGTGGGTATGCCGTGCCATGGCGCACAAGCAAGTACACTGGTGCAGCTACACGTGGGAAAAGAGGATCTCTGGTAGGAAGTAAACGGTTTTCTGTGTGGCAGAAAGGGACGAACCCAATGGGAAAAAAAGAAAACACGAATTATCCAGACAGCGATGAAGGGATTAATAAAAAGCCACTGCGGGCGCCCTGTATCGACGCCTTTTGGGCGGTCTCGATTCTTTTTGACTGCAGCTTGGGAGTCTTGAACCGAGCTGAGACAATGGCCAGAGGTAGTTGATGAGATGCGTCAAAAAGATCCATAACGCGTGCATGTACAACCAGATTTATCCGTGTCTGTGCAGATATGCAGATACAGACGAATGCATGGGACAACAACGCGGAGATGGTCCTGTATCGCACCAAACATGCCTGGTTTGACGGGTAGGTGCATCTGAATAGAGGGGGCGCCCGGCGGACTTGAATGGATGGAGATATTATGGAGGACATGGAAGAAAGTCTCAGCCATTTCCATTTTTTTGCTTCTTTTTGACCAGTGCTGAATGGGGTGAAGGCGGGCGTTGACGTTTAGTCGCGGACTCGTGGACAGGTGGCTGGGCAGACTTGGCCAAAGCACGCCAGGCACGATGCAATTGGCAAGCCGGCGGAGATGCTTCTCAGTCGGATGCAACCTGGAAAACAGCAGCTGGAAAAGATGCAAGAAAGAGGCGCACTAGTTGACGTAGCAGCGGTAGTGGCCTCTAAGAATACGACGGTGAATGGTGTCGTGACTCCAAGTGGGCGAGGCTAACAAATCGGGCATGCCTAAAACAGTCGTTCTTGATTGTACCAAAGCAAGGCACCACCGGAAATGCATCGAACTGCCCAGGCGATCCCATGCGAGTGAATCCGAAAGGAAAAGGGTAACAATCGGGCATGGCCAACGTTGTAACGATACGACGTACATACGCCGACCGCTCCCGCTCCAGTTTTGCGCGGCGGCGCGGCATTTGAGCAAGCCGGGTCTTACTAGGTCGGAGCAGCGGGATGAGATGAGGAACAAATCAATCAAGTGGCTGGCCGTGGAAAGGGTTTGACGACTGACCAGCGCCAGGCTGGTAACTTGCGGAACAAGGGTCTTGCGCGCAACGCCGCCGCCATGAACTAGAGGAGCCAGGGTTGGTTGGCTCTTGGTTCCTTTCAAACTGCCAGCGCATAAAATGCTATTTTTGCAGCCGCCCGTGATCTGGATGTACAAGAAATGCAACGCAGGTGGCGGGTAGGTAGGTAAATATCGAAAACGGATGGCGATTCCGTCTCATGATTGCTCGGCATTTGGCTAGCTGTTCCTGTCGTGCCGTTTCGAGCAAGGTCTCGTGCAGCATCGGAGGACTAACTGTTGCAAGTAAAGAGAGATGCTAGTGTTGCGTTCGAGGTACTCCGTACATGGCGGGCAGCAAAGTGCTGGCGCTGGTAGATCGCCCCCTGCCGACGGATACTTGTTGTACAATGGTACTCAGTATTATCTCAGTGCGACGACTGTGTCGTGTCTTGTACAAGGATATTACCAGGGTTCCGACAAGGATTGCGGTGGCTATCGAATCGGCCCAGTTCGTGGTCGGATTGCTCCATAATCCTCCTGTCCTCGACCCTTGGCACCGACGACGGCGCCATATCTGGACATCTGTCCGGAGAAAGGAACAAGAGTGCATCATGAGCAGGAGTTGCAAGCCCAAAGATCACCAGGGTCCACTGGCCTGTGCGAGAGGAATGGAAATTTTAGATTCTGGTACTTTTTGAACGCGCTCCGTATCAGTGTAACAGAGTACTGGGTAAATATTGTTGCGGCACAGAGCAAGCCCCGCCATTGGCCACAAGTCGCGCAAACGGACACCAGACGTTTCGGCTCGGACAAAGTAGGAATGGACGGGCAGTTGAGTTGGAGGTTGGCCGCTGCGGGTTTGGATCTATTGTACTCGTATGTAGCCGTAGGCCGACAAGAGATTGACAAGCAGGCTTGGCTGCTTCATCTGAGGGTGCACAACGTGACGAGGCTGCTGCTTGTGGAAGCTAGGGATTGTGGCTGCTAAAAAAAGCAAACGCTGGAGCATTGAACGAGGCTTCAACTGCTCGCTGCATTTGCCCGAGCGTTCAACGAGTAAGCAGTCTGGAATCTGGATGTAACTAGGGCGGCGTGCTGTCCATAGTCCCTGCCCTCTTGCGTGGCATGACAGATGGCCGAGTGGTGTGACGGATGGGACTGGGCCAGCAGGGTTGATGCCAGCTCGTTGCAGCTCGCCAAGAGCGCAAGAGCGCAAGAGCGCAAGAGTGTTGCTCTGTATGGCAAGCGTATCGGCCGTGGAGCTTCAGCGAAGATAGATCCCATGAGAGATGAAAAGGGATAGGTATTACTGGCTTGAGACGACAACGAGGCCTTGGGATACCACGGAGTGGATGCGACTGGCTTGGTGCTCAAGGAACGTGGGGGGCGACGGAGGAGGAGGATGTGGAAAGTGATCTGTAGCATCTCGTTGAAGGCATCTGGGTGGGATGGAAGCTCTGGCAAGATTGGTAGTTGTACCTGAGGTGAGAGTGGTGACAGCAGAGCTGGAGATGTAGATGTACAACGAATCAATACACTCATGTGCTTAATCAGTGTGCCCTTTCCTCGTTGGCTAGCGGGTGGTGCCAAACAGAGAGGAGCAGCGGGTCCCCACTCGGCAGGCAGTAGGCGACCGACGGTGCCATCTCCATGAGCAGGTATTTGATGCTGCAAAAAGTGGTTGCGAGGTACTTCAACGCTGAGCTCTGGTGAGATAAAAGCCCAGCCCCAGTGGCTCTTCTCCTCGATCGCCGCAGCCCTCAGTGGCCCACTCAGCTGCAGCTGCACCTGGCGCAGCTGGACGGTCCCTATTGGTCCCGGCCAGGACACCGGGGCTTGTTGAAGCTTCACCGCTTCTTTGTCGGCCGTGGCATATGACGGGGACTGAAATGCTTGGCTTGGTATGGATCGTATGGTTAGTTAGCATGGTAGTATTATCCTGGGGCCGGCTTCCTCTTTTATGCTGGCTGTTTCTTGTTTCTCTTGTGTCTCGCGTAAAATGCACGCCCACAAAGCTGTAATTCACTGTAGCACGCACCTGCACTTGACCAGCACCAGCAGACCAGCACCACCCACCTGCCACCAAACGCCTCCCAGACGACTGCTTCTGTAAACCCCCCCCCATTCCCCCTCTTTGCACCACCCGTTTTACGTTTTCCCTCATCAATAACCAGCTCTCTTGCAATTGCCAGCCAGCTCCAACTTACATTACCCCCGCCGCCGCCCACCGCCGCCACCAAGAAAACCCTCGTCGCCAAAACCCACTCCCTTCCCCGGCCCTGGTCTCCTCTCCCCTCCCAGCCCTGCAACTAGAAATCTCTATCTTACACCATACCCAACAAGTTCATCGTGGGCGAAAGAGCGGTGTCATCCGCTGTTCTGTTCTCACTCTCAACACCGCTTCGGTTGACTTTTTCGTCTTTCCTATATGCTCCTCCGTCCTCCTATTTTTTCCTTTCTCTCACAATGACCCTCGACTTCAATTCGAATGGCGGGGGAGATGCCTTGCTTGCCTTGAACTTTGACCCTCAGAACCACCATCCGCAGCAACATCAGCGACAGCATCACAGCAACACTCAAGCACAATCACATACACACGCCCGCGCACACGCACACACACACGCACACGCACACGCACACGCGCAAGCTCAAGTCCAAGCCCAAGTTTACGGATACACAGCGTCGACTTCCCAACCCGCCCCTGCCGTTGCCGCCACCGCCGCCTTCATCCCTCAACCGCGCATTTGGCCTATTCCAATCGACATGGCCTCCTCTAGCAGCCCGCCCGGCGCTATCGCCAGCTCACCCGAGGACCCTCACATTCACTCGCCGCACTCTCACGCCTCGAGCCCCAACAGCATGCACTCGCCCATCCATAGTCCGCCATTCCATCATCACGTCAATCCTCTGACCGACTGGGCTCTCCAGCAGCAGCAGCAGCAACAGCAGCAGCAGCAGCAGATGGCGGCTGCTGCCCCTCACGATCACCATGATCTTAACCAGATAGATCTTTCTCAGTTCATCCAAGATCCGTCACTGCTCAATTTCAGCGGCCTTCCTCCAGCTTTCGCTACGAATCCCATGGACTACTTGCCCGCCACCACACAGGCTGCCATTCAGCAGGCCAGTCTACTCGATTCTACTTTCCAATCCATGCCTCCCATGGATCCCACGACCCATGCTATGCACTGGGGTAGCACAGGAATGGAGAGCTGGCAAGAATTCCAAAATACTCTGCCGATGGACAGCCTCACCAGAATGGGCAGTGTCGGCAGCAATTCACCCACGGGAACATATCTCGAGGTTCTGTCCTTGCCTTCCTCTGTTGGTGACGGCTGGGCCATGGTTGACTGGGGACATGGACACCACAATGTTGAACCGTTCCCGCAAGCACATAATACCCATGCCATCTTCAACCCCTCGCAAACCCTCCACCTCCGTACCAATTCGGACTCCTCTGACGGCGCGAACTCTCTGGACTTCGGCAGCTTTGAAGAGATTGCCCCCTTCCCCTACTCCCCCTTCTCCCCAGAGTCCGATGGCCACGGTGACGCCCACAACCATCGTAACTGCTTCTCTGGTGAGAGCCACCACACTCACTCTCACGAGAGTGTCTCCCCCAAGGCTGTCCCTGCCGCTGTTCCTGTCAAAATGGAGAGCGCCGTTGCCGTCAAGACGGAGGGAGCAATCCGCCATAGCCCCGGCAGCGGGGCCGGTACTGGTGCTACCACACCGCCGTCTACATCCGCTCCCTCCTCCCGCAGAAACTCTGGGCCTCGCAAGAGTCCCATTACCAAGGCCCCCAAACCCGTTGTCCGTAGAATATCTACCGGCAAGAAGGATGGCACTGGCGAGAAGAAGGTTGGTCGCAGAAAGGGCCCGCTCCGTCCTGACCAGCGCAAACAAGCCAGTGAAATCAGAAAGCTTCGCGCATGTCTGCGCTGCAAGTTTCTCAAGAAGACTTGCGACAAGGGCGAGCCTTGTGGCGGTTGTCAGCCTTCACATGCCCGACTGTGGCAAGTGCCCTGCACGCGTATTGATATCAAGGATATCGGCTACTTTATGAAGGACTGGAAAGCCGACCACGAGAGCTACATGGCTGCCGGCCTGGCAATCTACAGCGTCAAGGGCTTTGCTGCCAAAGAGAGTCTCATGTGGATTACCCACGGTTACGGCTTTGCCCTGCCCATCATGGTGCGTGAGGTTTTTGTTACCGAGGACAGTAGTCTCAACATCGAGTGGCGTGAGGCCCCCAGCGTCAACGAAGGCTCTCACGACTTTGAGATCCGCAGTGAGAGGCTGGATGTCGGTGCCGAGGGCGTCAACAGTGCTGCTCTGTCCGAGTACCTTGACAAGCACATCGAGGGTCCCTTTGAAGACTTCATCGATGACCATTTTGATGGCACCCCCTTCATCACGGAGATTCTCAAGACCGCCCACCGCTACTATGTCAAGGAAAAGATGCCCGTCATTGGCAAGGCTCTTAAGCTGGTGCTCGCTTACAACCTTACCATGCACATCACCATGGTCGAGAACCAGGGCTCCGAGGTCCAGCTCGACAGCCAGATTGAGGATGCCGAGTCAAAGTACTACGGCCGCACCGTCGCCCCTATGATGGTCAACTTCCAAATCAAGTATGCCCTGGCTGAGATGTGGCGCGAGCTTCAAAAGGACATTCTCGAAGAGCTCTCCTCACTCTACTCGGGAGTCTACAGCGGCGAGAAGATGAAGAACTGGCCCACCATCTTTATGCTTGCGTCCATTCTGCTTGCTGTTTGGGAAGAGATGCAGTTTGATTGCCACTATCGTGTTCCCGACCCGGCGGCGGTGAACAAGTTCTGCACAGACATGGAAACCACCCCTGTTGGTGTGATTGTGGGCCTCTTCCACGCCATTTCCCAGAAGCTTCCCGCTTTTACGGAATGGGACACGGCCCAACACGGCCAGCTGCTTCACAACAATGTGTCCGTTTGCGAGGCCATGACTGAGGTTCGCCAGCACGTCGTCAAGCACGGTAAGTCACTCCTCATCGTAAAATAGAAGCAAAACTTTGTGTAACCTCAACTAACGCTCTGATAGAGGCATACCTGCGCACGCGCAAGGAAGAGGCCAGCTTCGACCCGACTGACTTTGACTCGCTGTCAAACAAGTTCCTATCCAAGCTTGTTATCAAGGCCAACTAGACGGCGAATCTCACCACCGTCGGGCCCGATGAATTTCCTTTGTTTTATCTTTGCACAACTCTCTAGCGATGGCGTTGCTTTTTTCTTCATCCGAGCGATTGATGACCAATTTCTTGAACCGCGGCTACTTGAGAACCGACAGTATTGCTATTTGCTCCACTCTTACTCTACTTCTCTTCTCTGGGACAGTCACTACGACTACAGTTGGAATACGTTCTTCTCCGACGTTATGAACGCACGTTGACGTAACGGCCTCGACACGACTTTTTACTCTTCCTACGAATGTATGACTTGAAGAAGACAACATCATTTATTTATTTTTTGCATTAAGGCTTTTCTTTTGGAGACACGAATCTATGCGAACAGCGGCTGGATGGTTTGGACAATTCACTTTTTTTTGCATCCTGAGGCATTTACGGAGTGGGAGGCGGGAACGGATATGTTACAAGTTAGATGGTATATGGACATGGGACTAGACATTTCAAATCAATTGTCATTGTGCCCATACACATTCCGCGGTATATCGTGCATTTGAAGCCTGTAACAGATGCTGAAGCCACTGATTATACATACATACGAAAGGCAGCATCATGATTAATAATTACGATCATCACAATCATCATCATCATCGCCACCAGTCCTTAGACGTATCGTTACTGAGACTGTAGGGCGTACCGTTGAACATATTGAATATTGGGCACTTGAAGCCACTCCCCGCAAGCTGCTCCTTGTAATTGCCCCATTCTACAATGACGAAGGGCTTTTGGCGATCTCGGTACCGCTTGATATATTTACGCAAATCCAGAAGAACCAGGTTGCTTGTCCTCGTGTTCACGTAACCAAGGGAGTCTGCGACGCCGTCGGGCAGGGGCCGCTGAGGTGTGGTGTTGCGTCGGTTGCGCGTCTCGGACACCGAATCAGATGACATTGCCACTTTTCTTTGGCCTCGGCGCTTTGGCCTGGGGGATCGCGACGCTATCATCGGGAAACCCCGCACCCGGCTACACTTCGTTTCTTCGCAATCCAGCCTTCGGTGTGCGAAGAACTTTTGCGGTGCAGTGGTTTACATATCCTGACAACACCGTGTTTCGTTCTTCTAGGCGACTTTTGGGAAGGGGCGAATCAAAGTTTGGTGCCTGGAGCGGGCGTGGCAACGACCAAGGCCAACGGCTTGGGCGCAGAGCGGTGCAACTTGTGGCGCAGGCCTTCGAGTCAAGCTGGGCTAGCGGATTCACTAGTCACTCATAAACCAAGACGTGTTTTCGTCGCGGAACTCCCAACCACCCAGCCATATACATACATAGGTTGGGGAGTTGCCTAGAGGCTGATAGTACAGGGCTACTATAAGCAAGTAGCCATAGAACCGTACCGTTTATCTTCTTCTTTTCAGGGATTCTTTACTCGTTCTGTAGGTCGATTGACTGGACGGCGGCTTTGGGACAAGGCGGCATTCCCGTTCTATTCAACTGCTCAGTGGCAACAGCCCCACCGGAAGCGGCGTTTGGACATGTTCACGGTACTTGCTGTTTCACATTTCTTACTCGGAAACACTTGTACCAGAAACGTCACCCGCCACAACAGAAAACACAAGGCAAGGGTGACGGGTGCCAGCCAGCCTCACAGTTCTGGAGCCTTCTGCGACCGCCTGCCCAGGTTGGAAAAGCGAGCAGGCCCCTTAGCGCCTTCGCTGATGAATCATGCGCCTGGGCTCGTCATCCCAGGCTGCACCGCCCCGCCACTCTCCGGGTCCCCCTCTCACTTAAAGTCGTTTGCCTCCCCTCTCGCTTCCTGCTTTCTCTCTCCGTCATCATCTCTTTTTCATCACCTCTATTGTCCTACTCACCTACATAAGCCAAGCAAACACCAAAAACCTCAAACGACATCGTATTCCGCTCCGAAACCATGCAGATCTTTGTCAAGACCCGTAAGTTGCACGCCGCCGCTGTTGGCCGTCTTTCTGTTATCGCCGCAGACTAACACTTCCTCAAGTTACCGGCAAGACCATCACTCTTGAGGTCGAGTCGTCGGATACCATCGACAACGTCAAGTCGAAGATTCAGGACAAGGAGGGCATTCCTCCCGACCAGCAGCGCCTGATTTTTGCTGGCAAGCAGCTTGAGGATGGCCGTACCCTGTCCGACTACAATATCCAGAAGGAGTCGACCCTTCATCTCGTCCTCCGCCTTCGCGGTGGTATGCAGATCTTCGTCAAGACCCTGACTGGCAAGACCATCACCCTCGAGGTTGAGTCTTCCGACACCATCGACAATGTGAAGTCGAAGATTCAGGATAAGGAGGGTATCCCTCCTGATCAGCAGCGCCTCATTTTTGCTGGCAAGCAGCTTGAGGACGGCCGTACCCTCTCCGATTACAATATCCAGAAGGAGTCTACTCTCCACCTTGTCCTTCGCCTTCGTGGTGGTATGCAGATTTTCGTCAAGACGCTCACCGGAAAGACCATTACGCTGGAAGTCGAGTCCTCGGACACGATTGACAACGTCAAGTCCAAAATCCAGGACAAGGAGGGTATTCCCCCTGACCAGCAACGTCTCATCTTTGCTGGCAAGCAGCTTGAGGACGGTCGCACCCTGAGCGACTACAACATTCAAAAGGAGTCCACCCTTCACTTGGTTCTGCGTCTCCGTGGTGGTATGCAAATCTTCGTCAAGACCCTGACTGGAAAGACAATTACTTTGGAAGTCGAATCATCCGATACGATTGACAATGTCAAGTCCAAGATTCAGGACAAGGAGGGTATTCCCCCTGACCAGCAACGTCTCATCTTTGCTGGTAAGCAGCTGGAAGATGGCCGCACCTTGAGCGATTATAACATCCAGAAAGAATCCACCCTTCACTTGGTTCTGCGTCTTCGTGGTGGCAACTAAGGAGGGAATGCGGTTGTCTTTCTTTTTCTTGGGTTTCGGAATGGCGTTGGGACACCACAATAAGCGGCGGGCAAAGCCTCAGCCATGTTGTATTCATTTTTAGCCATACCAACCGTGCAGACAGCGAAAATAGCGCTGCGCCAATATATAGGTTTGCAACTTGACAATGTGTCCTTTTGTGAAATGATACGTGGCGTAAGAAACGTTTGTAGTATGAATGATGAGTCTGTTCCCCTACCTCTGTATGTACATAGGTAATCACCCCACCAGTGACATGTTGTGCAGGCGGCTCGCCATCATGGTGGGGCTGACGAATTGTTTTCGACTGTGGCGGGGTAGAAGCTTTCTGCCACTCATCTTGACAACAACATCAACTATGGTATACCATTACTGTTCGATACGATCCCGGCTGCGCAGTACGGCATAAGCGGCTGAGAGTAATGATCTTGATATCTGCGCGACGCGAGTCCGGTCCGCTCTAATTTCAAGCTTCCGAACCTTCGACAGGATACTTTAGGCTAACAGGTCGGACTCATGCTTCCATTTTCCTGCAAACCGAGATCAAGAATCATTCCTGGTCATGCCTTCATACTTTTACCACCTTAAATTTGAGCTGTATCCTACGAGCGACCCGACTGTAACACAAGACACCCCGGACAGCGACGTGTGGCTCCCGACACCACAGACGAGTGTGTTTGACCATTTGCCGGCGCACGCTACACGAATCGACGGAGCAACTACAGCGCACAGCGGCAAGTCCTTCGACGCATCTTGGGACTGGCGATTCGACTGCGTGACCATCGAGACGATTGACCCGGTCGAGATCATGGCCGCCGCAGAGGGCGAAACCAGTAACAACGGTGCCGTTACTGCACCGTCCTTGGGACCAAACTTTTCCGGACCAGGAACGGCAGTCAAGGCGAAATGCGTGCGATTAGAAAACCACATCACTAATGTTGGCTGGGGTGTGGTTCACTTTTACCGAGACGACCAGGAGAGCCCTGAGCTGTGGCTGCCCGAAGTACGGCAGGTTGTCGGCGAAGATGAGGACTGCACGACGCTGTGTATACCCGCGGTGCCGGCATACATGACGCCAGGCGACCTATGGGGATTCATTGGTGATCGGTGGCGCGATGATGTTATACACTGCCGCACGGTCATGACATCCAATATGAACCGGTATTTGGCGCTGCTCAAGTTTCGCCACAGCAAGGTGGCCAGGGAGTGGCAAAAACAGTTTGAAGGCGCGGTGTTTACCATGATGGAGGTATGTCTTGAGCGTAGGATAACCGCGGGAAGTGAATGCCGTTGCTGACCTGTCTGTAGCCGGAGACTTGCCACGTCGTTTTTGTCAAGAGTATAACCTTTGAGACGCCAGCCCAGACCAGCAACAACGAAAGAGTGGCATCTTCATCATCCACCGCCGCCTTTGAAACTCCCAAGCTATTTCCACCACCGATGCCGGACCTTGTTGAGTTGCCAACTTGCCCCGTGTGCTTAGAGCTCCTGGATGAGACAAGTGGCATCATGACAATCCCATGCGCGCACGTTTTCCACTGCACATGTCTGGAGAGCTGGAAAGGCGGCAGGTGTCCCGTCTGCCGATTCGCCAACACGACCTCGGGCGTCGGGCCTGGGGTGAGCCCCTTCAGTCGACCGTTCGGCTCGGACGTCTCCAATCTGTGCAACGTCTGCGACTCCACCGAGGATCTATGGATATGCCTCATATGCGGGTACGTGGGGTGTGGACGGTACAAGGGCGGTCACGCCAAGGACCACTGGAAAGACACGTCGCACTGTTTTGCGCTTGAGCTCGAGACGCAGTACGTCTGGGACTATGCAGATGACGCGTGGGCGCATCGTCGAATTCGCGAGAAGGGCGACGGTAAACTCGTTGAACTTCCCCGGCGCAGTGGCAATGGAATGTCGTCGGCGGCCGCGGACGAGGAAATGGTGCCGCGTGCCAAGCTGGATAACATGGGCTTTGAGTATACGCATCTCATCACCACGCAGCTCGAGTCACAACGCACGTATTACGAGGGCCTGCTGCACAAGGCCGTTGCCAAGGCGTCCAAGGCGACGGCGACAGCCGAATCCACTACGAGGCAAATAGCGGCTACGACGGAGCAGCACAGCGCGCTTGACGTCAAGTTCCGGACACTGAGCCTGGAGACGGTGCCGCAGCTGGAGCGGGACCTGGAGCGGGAGCGCAACAAGTCCGCCAAGAGTGAGGCGCTGGCGCGGAACCTCAGCCGATCGCTACAGGAGGAGAAGCGCGTTAGTGAGGGCCTGCTGAAGCGCGTCGAGCACCTCGGCGCAACAGGCGAGGAGACGAGGCGGCAGCTGGAGGCGCTACGACAGGAGATGGAGGAGATGAAGGAGATGAATCGCGACCTGAGCATGTTCATCTCGGGACAGCAGAAGCTGAAGGAGATGGAGGAGCAGGGCCAGTTGGAGGAGGGCGAGCTGGCAGACGGGAGCGCGAGCGTGCCAGCGAAGAAGACGCGGCGGAAAGGGAGGCGTTAGAAGAAGCGGGAGTTTTGGATAGATTGCATTGATGCAAGTTAAATATGCTTTACTCTTTTAGCGAGGAATGAATGTGGTTTCTAACTTGATTTTGTAATTTACGCTGTTGAATAAGATGTTCCTTGCAACAGTACACAACGTATGGTTTTAGTAGGCATTTCATAAGAATGACCAGATGAAGGTCAAGATATAAAAGACACGAGAAAGATGAAAAAAGATAGAAAAGAGACAAAATAGGAAAGAAGAGAACATCACAGCCCCTTACTAAACCCGCCCTCCACAATTTGCCCGGCCGAGATGGATTTATTGACAAGCTCCGAGTTTGCCAAAGAACAAACGCAAAATTGCTTGTGATAACGGCCCGCCTCGGCGGGCCCGGCCGCTTTTTTTTTTAAGAGCCCCGCCAGCCCGGCTTGGTGCGAGGCCCGGAATCTCCGGGCGTCAAGGTCCTCGGAGGTGGTGCAAGAATTACGCATAGCAACGCATGAAAGGAAGAAAGAAGAGTCGAGTATCCTCATTCGCTTATCGCGCTCTGATTCTCAAGTTTTTCACTTCATCTCCCCGCTTAGAGATGCAGCCTGGAGAACAACTTGCTGCATAGGAACTAGGAATGATATGCTGAATAACATGCTCAGGGAACAAAGCAGGAAAAGGTGGATTAAAACAAGAGACAAGAGAAGCCAAGATTCCTGGATTGCTTGTGATGCATTGCTTGCTTTCGCCTCGGTGCCGCGGGAGACGCTTGCGGCCCGGCAATCTTAGGACGCAAGCCCTCGCGCCGGCCGTGATGTCTGTTTCCAGCATGCCGAGGTGATGATGGAGATGGCGGAGGGCCCGGCGTTGTTGGAGGTGGGCATGCATTATAGGTATGCAGGCGGGCGCAGCGGATTTCCGGCTGGGAATTCGCCTGTGCTGTCGACCCGGTTGATAGATGACATGCATGCATGGAATAGGCTCTTTTTTTTGTCCAAATCCGAACGGGTGGGCTTGAGGTGTGTAGGTGGAGGAGGTTGGCCAAGCCAAGGTGAAGGCCGGAGAATACGGGGAGAACGAAAAAAGGCCCATAAGATGAGATGACGAGATCACATGCTGATGACATGCCATTCTGCGGTTTCCTCTCTTTTTTGTTCCTATTTCTCTGACACTGCATGTACATAAATTAATTGGCTGATATGCGGCGGAGCAATACCTACCTTTTTCTGCAGGTCTGCTATTTATTTCTGTGCACTCTTGACCTCAGGCTGGTTATTGACGTGCTGACGCTATTCACAGCCAACTTGGAGCTGAAGGAGCCAAGAAACGCCCCGAACCCACAGCGTTGGCACAGAAGATTTTGAGCGCTGAACCCGCTAAACTGGCACCTAATAAACCAGCTTCCTCCAAAGCCTTGCGCTAGCGCCCGTCCGGGGCTTGATAGCGCCGCTGTCATAGGCCCTCCCGTCCATTTTTTTTCTCGTCCTTTTTTTTCAATGGCTGGAAGGCTAGCGCAAGCCAGAGCTGCAGGTGGCCCAACCACTTTAGCTCTCCTCACCCAATCTTGCTTGGGTCTCCCCTCCACCACCCCATCCGCGCCAGCTATCTGCCTCAAGATTAAAAAAAGAGGCATAATCGCCACACGCCTGTCTTGCCCTTCCCCGCCCCCAGCTACTCAAATTACGACTCGGCTGTCAACACGCCATCCATCGTCCTCTACGAGCTGGGGCTTGTGAAACTGCAGCACCGCGGCAAACATTGCAGCTTGCCGGAGTCGATATATCCAGACCCCGCCCGACCTGCCAACTGCGTCTCGAGCTTCACCCGTCGCCCTGCCTCCCTTCCCCCGCCCGCTCGTCCGATTTCCAACACACACACGCACACACAAGCAAGCAACATGGCCTCGCAGGCCACGGCAGAGCAGCCCCCGGGCCCTGCCGCCAACGATGCCACCCGCAAACAGAAAAAAGACCAGCGCAAGGAGCTCTACCCCATGGTCAACTGGAAGTACGACATCTTCCTCCACGTCATGGGCAACGTCGCCGACCTCTTCTTCCGCGAGGTCGTCTCCCGCGGTTCCTGGAAGGTGCCCCAGTCCGGGCCCATCCTCTTTGTTGCCGCACCTCACGCGAACCAGGTACGAAACTACCTCTGCCGACGCAAACCTGCTAAAGCCGACCAAACCGCCGCAATTGCTAACCCGCCCAACTGTAGTTCGTCGACGGCCTCGTCCTCCAGCGCACCCTCCGCAAGGAGGCCGGTCGCCGCGTCTCCCTCCTCATCGCCCAAAAGTCGGTCCATGGCTTCATCGGCTGGGCCTCGCGCCAGGTATCCTCGGTGCCGGTCGGCCGCGCTCAGGACGCCGCGACGCCCGGATCCGGCACCGTCTACATGCCCGACCCGCTCGGCGACCCGACGCTGATCCGTGGCGTCGGCACCAAGTTCGGCACCGGCGAGGGCGAGGTCCAGGGCATGCTGTTCCTGCCCTCGGCCAAGGGTATCAGCGGCGAGAGCATGAACATTCAGGCTATCCTCGGCCCTGAGGAGATTCGCCTCAAGCGAGCCTTCAAGGGCCGCCTCGCGATGCAGCAGCTCACCGGCCGCGACGACGTCGACGAAGATGGCCACTTCACTAACAAGAGCCTCCGCGGCATTGCGCCTGGCTATCAGGGCACCAAGTACAAGCTCGCGCCGCACACGGACCAGACGAGCGTCTACGAGGCCGTCTTTGACCGGCTCCGCAACGGCGGCTGCGTAGGCATCTTCCCTGAGGGCGGCTCGCACGACCGCACCGAGCTGCTGCCGCTCAAGGCCGGCGTCGCCATCATGGCGCTCGGCGCGCTCGCCGAGTCGCCCGCGTGCGGCCTGCGCATCGTCCCCGTCGGCATGAACTACTTCCACGCGCACAAGTTTCGCTCGCGCGCCGTCGTCGAGTTCGGCAGCCCCTTCGAGATCCCCCCGCACCTTGTGCGCATGTACCAGGGTAACCAGCGGCGCGAGGCCATCGGCCAACTGCTCGACACGGTGCACCAGGCGCTCAGCGCCGTCACCGTGTCGGCACCTGACTACGACACGCTCATGATGATCCAGGCCGCGCGGCGGCTGTACAACCCGACGGGCAAGAAGCTGCCGCTGCCACTGGTCGTCGAGCTCAACCGGCGGCTGTCCAAGGGCTACGAGCGGTACAAGGACGACGCGCGCATCACGGCGCTGTCGCGGGCCGTCAAGGAGTACAACGCGCGCCTGCGCTACCTGGCGCTCAAGGACCACCAGGTGCAGTACGCCAAGCTCAACGTGTTTGTCGTGGTCGCGCTGCTGCTGTACCGCTCCGCCAAGCTGATCCTGCTCTTCTTCTGCTCGCTGCCGGGCCTCGTGCTCTTCTCGCCCATCTTCGTCGCGACCAAGATCATCAGCCGCGAAAAAGCCAAGACGGCGCTCGCCGGCTCTACGGTCAAGATTCGCGGCCGCGACGTCATGGCCACCTGGAAGATCCTGGTCGCGCTCGGCCTCGCGCCCACCGTCTACCACGCCTACTCCATCGCCATCGTCGCGCGCGTGTGGTACGACCGCTTCTGGGGGCTCGTGCCGGCGGCACTGCCTCTGTGGCTCGTATACCTGATGGTGTGGCCGGCCATCATCGGCATCACCTTTGCGGCGCTGCGCTTCGGCGAGGTGGGCATGGACATCTTCAAGTCACTGCGGCCGCTGGTGCTGTGCGCGTTCCCGTCGTCCGGGTACAACATCCACCGCATGCGCGAGCAGCGCGCCAAGCTGAGCGCGCAGGTGACGGAGGTGATCAACGAGCTGGGGCCGGAGATGTTCTCCGACTTTGAGAAGACGCGTCTGGTGCCCGATCCCATCAAGCACGACACGACGACGACGGCCGCCGCCGCCGCCCCACCCGTGCCGGCCGGGGAGGGCCGCAGACGCGACAGCGAGGCGAGCGTGGACATCTTCGTGGACCCGCCGGCGGACGGGGTGTCCTCGCGGACGCTGCCGCGCAACGACTCGTTCAGCAACATCGGACACGTGGGCATCTTCTCGACGCGGCCGCCGTCACGGTCACGGAGCCGGTCGCGGTCGAGCAGCGCGGGCGGCGGGCTGGGGCAAAGCGCGTTCCCGATCAGCGGCTTCACGACGCTCGACTCGGCGGAGGGTTTCCACGAGGCGAGCCGCAAGATTCGGCAGGCGATGAAGGACCGCCGGCGCAAGTCGGACAAGCGACAGATGGAGACGGGCGGCGGGGACGAGCAGGATGACGAGAGCGATGATGAGGGCTACGACGAGGCGAGGAAGAAGGACATCTAAGGGGGTGTAGGCGGGGATCACGGCTTCTATTTTTGTTTTATCTATGCGGTGTGTGAAAGAGTGTTCTTCATGCTCATTTCAAAATCTGCTTTTATTGTTGGCTTCTCTACAACGAGCATGGCGCTTCGATGTTTGGCTTTGCTTTACTGGTGTTGTCTTTGATGTATTTTGATAGCGTTTATGTGAAATTTAGCATGTCGACAAGTCTAGTGCGGTTGATATCATAAAATCCTCCTCGTCCTACATATGTGTGTCTGAGGTGACGGATAACTGATAATGTCTCGACTTCGTGATTCACAACTCGGCGGCGACTTGAAGGGGACAACTTGACGGCAACGGCGCCCGTGCTGGATGGGCCATGGCTGGGTAGCAGTGGGGGTGGTTGCATGACGTGACGGGCCCTATCAAGACTGTCGTAATGCAATGACGCCACCCCATGTCGATGGAGGGTTGGTTGGTAACCTGCGTAGAATGGTTGGGTGAGGGTGTTGGGGATGGCGTGCCTTGCTGGAGCTGGGATTTGCGGTGCGGTGCGGTGCGGAGCAAAACGCGGAGGGCCGAGATGGCCGCCGCCCAATGGTTCTTGGGGGTTCCACTGGGGGCGATGAAGCGGCCTGGGCTAGGAGAGTGAGTGAGTGAGGTGAGTGAGTGAGTTGAGATGCAACGTTCGGCTTTCTGGGCTCGGAGATAGGCAATTTGGCTGGCTGGTTCGGGTCGTCGCGCCGCCTTGAAATAGGCACAGGTTTGTCAGCAGAGGGGTCAAGTACGTAGGCAATTTTTTTTTTTTTTTTTTTTTTTTAACAATGGATGGATGGATGTACGGACCGACATTTGAAAGTTCGGGGTCCGAACTCTGCAGCTACCTTGCGTCGTACCTGTACGTTTGTGCCTACCTCCATTTCACAATCCTCCGGATGGGATTGACGTTAGAAATATAAAATACCTTTCTACTGCACTTTTTTTTCTTTCTTCTCCTTCACATCCTGACTCCCTCCCCCCATCCTCCTCTTGTCCACACTGATCCCCTCGAAAAGAACACCAAATATACCCCTAGCGGCTGCCGGGTTCATTAGCCGAGAACCTCTTGCTCGCCCATCCCACCCTGGACCAAGCCCACCGCTAGCGACCGTTGCAGCGCCTGATAGGCTGGGATCCCTTTGATCTGATAATTTTTGGCTACCAGGGTTCCATCACCAACAAATCCCCGGCCAAGGAATTTACCGTGTTTGACGGTCTTTTTGCTGTTCCAGCCCACTTTAATCGCCATTTACCAAAACGATTATCAATCCAAGCCCAAAAAGAGGCCAACTTGAAATCTGGGGACCCTTTGGGAGCACCTATTACGTTGTTGGCGCGGAACTTCGGAAAACGAGTTAAGCAGCGCCCGTTTCAAACCGCCTCTTAGCAACAGTATATTACCCGCCGCGCCACCCACCTTTTTTTTTTCCCTTTCCCTCCCGCCATGGCACCGGCAACAGCCAAGTCTCGCACCAAACCCGTCAAGCAGAAGATGGCCGTCTCCTTCAAGTCGCTGATGTCGTCGGTGCTCGGCCGGGGCGCCGACGGCGGTCCCACGCCGATCCTCGAGCTCTTCCCCAAGACGGACCCCGCGGTCGACGGCGACGAGTGCCTGCACGACTGCGAGGGGTGTAGCGTCAAGTATCCGCGCAATTTCAAGGTCGAGACCGAGGATGACCTCTACGGCCACGTCAAGGAGTGGGCGACGCATGCCATTGTCGCCACCAGCAAATCGGACTGGGTTCGCGACAGCGCGGACGAGAAGGGCAGTGTCATGCAGGCCATTGACAATGCGCCTCACAAGCCGTCCAACGGGGTAAGATTTGCTTTGCATTTCCAACCGCTCCTCTGCTGACTGATCCGACGCAGAAAATGAAGCTCTCCGCGTCCAACATGCCCACGCCCAACGACACCACCGACTACTCGGAACCCACCACCGTCCTCCTCCTCCCCGCCTTCGTCCTCGTCCGCAACGTCCAGCCCGCCAACGTGTCGCAGCTCATCACCGACGTCGTCAGCAAGTCGCCCACCAACACCTCCCCGATGGCGCCCTTTGCGTTGCCCGCCTCCGTCCCGAGCGCCGCGCCGGGCACCATTCCGGACCTCGTCACGGCCGACTGCCCACACAGCGCCGTCATCCTGCTGTGCAGTCAAAAGACGCGCGACGCTCGCTGCGGCCAGAGCGCGCCGCTGCTGCGCAAAGAGTTTGAACGCCACCTGCGCCCGCTCGGTCTTGCCCGCGACCTCCACGATGAGCGGCCCGGCGGCGTCGGCATCTACTTCATCGACCACGTCGGCGGTCACAAGTACTCGGCCAACGTCATGATTTACCGGCGCGCGAATGCCTTTGGCCACGACCAGCTGCCGGAGAAGGCGGCCGGCAACGAGACGCAAGGGAACGGGGAGGCGACACCGACGACGACGACGCCGACGCCGGACATGGGCGCCGCGCAGTGCATGTGGCTCGCGAGGGTCCGCCCGGAGGACTGCGAGAACATTGTGCGCTACACCATCCTTAAGGGAAGGCTGGTCAAGCCCGAGAGTCAGCTACGAGGAGGTTTTGACCGGTGCAAGGGGCTGATGAGCTGGTGAAGAGTTGAAAAGCAAAAAGATCATGACGGTTTCTTTTTATCATTTCATGCATTATTTTTTTTTGGCGTTTTATGGGACACGACATTTCGGAGAGATACCGAATCGTCTTCTGATGTATAAGAAGATTGAGGGATAGCATTGCGGACTTAGAATCATGAACAAATACAATTGAGAAACGACGTATAGCCGTGCGATCAGATTGACTCTTGCGTGGCCTGCTATGCACACGTCTGGTGACGACCTAGACAGATAAAATCAAGCAGAATGCAGTCAATTCAGCAAGGGACAAGGCAAGGGATAGTTGAAATATGTAATTCATTCAACGGAGCCTGATCTGCGGCTCTTTCGTTCCATCTATATATATCATGATGCTGCTCATATCCAAGAGTGGCAGCAGTCGCAAAAAACGCCAGTATTCCCAAACCTCGAGCAATAATCCAAAACTGCAAAAAGGTGTCCAAGAATTGAAAGAAAAAACAAAATCATCCAACATTATCGATGCCCATAAAAGTCGCCATGAAACGTCGCTCTCATACAACAGGTATTTCCAACAAATGCAAACCCATATCCGCCTCTTTTCTTCTTTTGTTCTTGAGCCTCGCAACTGTGTGCCAGGTCCTTGCAGCAAAACACAATCGAGTTGGATTTCACACGCAACTCGAGCCGGTCAGCACGCAAGCCCCGAGGCACACAGCGCAAGACAAGTGATGATGATGATGATGATGATGATGATTGCACACCCTCTGCCGTCGCACCAACGGGGCGGGTTTCTCAAACCCCGCTCCCCCGTGGATGACAGGACGCCGGCAGAGGGTCTACTAATCATCCGCGAGCTGCCCGCTGCTCCCGGAGCTCGCGCTCGAGCTCGAGTCCTCGCTGATGCTCTGGCGGACCATGTTCATCAATTTCCAAATACCAAAGGCGACGCCAGCGAGCACGGCGAACAGGACGATGATGATGATGGCGATGACGTAATTGCGCTGCACCATGGTTGTGGAAAAAAAGGTTGGGGGAGGGCGAAGCCGCTCCGGATGTTGAGGTTGTCTTGTTTTGTTGTTGTGTGCCCGTTTGGCACGGCGGTGGTGGTGGTTGAAGCTGCAGATGCTATTGATGCCCGATGTGTGGTGATAATGATAATGTGGGTCTAGTCGATGGACGTTGAGCAAAGGGCGATGTTTCGGGAAGTAAAAAGCAATGGAATGCTGTTTTCACAACGGTTTCTTTTGTTCGGGGAAAGAGATGGAATGTGGGAAAGGAGGGTGCGTAGAGCTTGGAGCGCGGGAAGGGCGTTGATATACGGCCTCTCCCCGCCACCTTCTTTTGCTTGCCAAAGACAATAAAAACAAATTGCCAAATATATGAGGAGGTTGGTTGGCAGGGTGCTGGGGATGGATGATGGGTTTTGCAGGCCGCTAACAACTCAGCGCTAAATCGGTGCCTGACAGCGCCCTGTAAGTTCCCCTGCAACGACCACAAGAAAGAAGTCGGGACGCCTCGTCAACGCCCCAGCCTCCCCGTTAAAAAACAGGGTCCCAGCCACGGCATCCGCCTGGCCGGCCCAAAGCTTCCCGCCCGCCGCCGTCGCCGAGGCCGCCCAAGTCTCAGGCACCGAAAAGTCTGGGCAAATCTTTCGTCACCTTCCTGTTCCTGAACAAAGCCCGTCGTCATCTGTCCCGGCATTCCTCCACTTCATTGCATTGTTAAACAATGGAATCTTTTATAGACTTCCTGAATGAATTGCATTGTCATCTGCCTAGATGGAAAAAATCATTACCGTTCAAACGCCAATCAACAACAAATCACCTCTCTAAAGCGCAAGTTGCTCGCTTTTCTGCTTTTCAGAGATTTGAATCAATGCCGCGACGTTGTACCCTCCCTCGCCTAGTCCTGTGCGCGCATGTCTGTTTACCAGGCAACCAGACGACAAACGAAGCAAACTTCAACCAGGTGGTGAGAAAGACGGCGCCGAAAATATATAAACAAAAAGATGCCCATGTTGTGCACACCAAAAGAGAAGCATTCCAATACCTCACTTCCATTTCTTTTCATCTCTTGCCCCTATCCGCGTTTCCAGCCTCGTGCGTCCGTGTCTCGTCAAGACTCCTCCTCGGGCTTGACAATCTTAATGTGCTGCTCGTAGAACTGGAGCATCTGCAACCAAGCTTGTTAGCATGCTTCCTCTCATCCATCTTGCCCTCCCAACGCCAACGCTTACCTTTTGCGGGCACTTTGCGTAAATTACCTGGGTAGTGTGCTTCGTCTTCTTGCCATTCTTCCACACCAGGTAGACCATGAGGTTCCCCGAACCCTCGTCGTGGCAGGCGTCAATCGACTGAATCGCCTCCTCCCACGAACCGGCGGGCGGGCTCCACGGCTTTGTCGATGCGGGCGGCGTTGATTGACTCGGATGCGTCCCGTTGCTCTTGCGCGATCGCTTCGTCGGCGTCGGGTCTGCGGATACGCCGCCCGCTACCGCCGACGAGCCCTTGCGCCCGCGCTTCTTGCCCGACAGCGCCTTGGCCGTCTCCTTGAAGATGCTGTCGCGTCCGCCGATTTTGTTGAAGTACTCCTCTAGAATCTCGTTGGCCGATTCCCTGAAGTGTGCGCGTTAGTGAAACTTCGGTTCGTTCTCAGTCGTGCGCCGGGTTCGGTCTATGCGTACTCGAGGTTCTCTTCGGGCTCCCATGTCATATCCGCCTTCTTGTCGTAGCCTTCCCACTTGACGTGAAACTTCAGTGAGCCCTACACCAGTCAATTAGCACACTGCGCTCCGGGGTTTCTATGCGATTCATGTCTGCGCGTACGTCTTCGTCAATCATGTGCTTTTTGATGGCTTCGACAATGAATCTGCAAGTAGCGCGTTAGTATCGCCTTGGAGAAGCTGCTGTTCGCAGCGGAACATACACGTCCTCATCGCCCTCCTCGTCGTCATCATCATCATCGTCGTTGCCATTCTCGGCGTCGCTCGTCTTTGCTTCTCCGCTTTGTTCTTTTTCTTCGTCTTCTTGGTCCTCATCGTCGTCTAAATCGACTGATGTGGGCTTGGTCGCAGCCGCCGTTCGTCGCGCTGGGCGAGCCTCGCCATCGTCGTCTTCGCGCCAGCTCGCGACGGGCAGGTGAGCGTCCACGTCGGAGGATTCGTCATCACTGATTGCTGCAACCCAGTAAAAAAACAAGTTAGCAATTTCGCGCACGGACTGAATCTCGAGAGAAACGCGCATTTAACGGTCGATTGGCGCGTTTCAACGCGGACGTTTTCCTCTCCCAGTCACCATCCAACTGCAAGCGTTACACGCTGGGAGTAGGAAAAGCGTAGACGTACCCGGTGGCATCGTGGGCGCTTCGGTATCCTTCGAAAAAATATTCCCCAAAAAGTTCGAAAAGCGCATAGGCAGCTCTGGCGGGATGAAGAGAGGATGGCACGGAGAAGAGCTGTTCTGATTCCAGTCGCAAATGCGAGATGCCAGCCTCGTCGCATCGCGCGAGCAGAATGGCTGGGCGAGGAACGTCAAGGTGATTGGGACTGGGTCACGTGCACGCGGCGGCAGGTTTTTGGCGGCGGCAACCTCTCACTGGCGAAGGGAGAACCACCAACATCAAACGGGCAAGAAGAATCAGCTCATTTTTGGCACCGAGAATCTCGATACCGTGAATTGTACGCAGTCGCTCTATTTGAATTGTTTGTGTTGCGGTTGCTCGTTACTCCTATAAATGCGGCCGCGTTCAACTGCTACTTACCAGGTGTAGCGATTAACAGCAAGGCAACCAGTAGGGCAACAACTCGGTCAACCAGTAGGCCACTGGTTACTCTCTCATCATTGTAATTGTGCGGGATCTTGAGAATTTGGTGTCGGGCTGGTTACCGCTCGAGTCAGACTGCAAACGCCATGACACCCACCTCTCACCTAACGACTTCAATTTACGCTTCCCTACGTTCGTAGCCAAAGCTACATGGCCTTCCTCTCAAACCTCTGCAGTGGGCTACTTTCGACTCTTTACGCATTATCTGCGGAAACACACCTGCCCTTCAACAACTTGATCGTATCGTTGGCTTGTGTATCGTCATCGCCGCGGAGAATGGTACATGGACCGCGGGTTGATACTTCCCGCGGCGGATCCATCGATGCCATGTATTTCGCAGCATGAATTTGCACAGCCGAGCGATCTGAATGGCCTGCCCCCACCAAACTTCAACGAGAGGAGCCGAATTTACGTCGCACACAGCCGCAACAGTCAAAGTTGAATCGAGGGGGCGGTTTTGAGCAATGGCCTGCTGGCCAGGTATTACTGCTCTGCGCACTCCAAGCTCAACGGCGCCCGCGGGAGCTAATAAACATCCAAGTTCCGGCCCCGGGAGTAATGTAATTTCTGTTCCAGTATCAACGTGTAGGCACGCACGTAGTTCCCGTAAGATTTGACACCAATCACGCACTGGAGCACGGCCGCCCGTTTGTTCAGTCCAACGAGCGAACATGCCTACATAATTGAGGACAGTGCAGCGCATACATGGCATTGATAGAATGATGTGATATAGAGCCTACGTGAGGATGCACGCCCTGCTGCATCAGTATTTCCAAAACAATTTTCTCCGTTTATTTCCAAGTCAACACTCTCAACATAATTAACGCTATCAGCAACGCTGTCAACAACCTCAACAGCGGCCATCTCAGTGCCCGCGTCTTCTTGTGGCTCCCACATGGATCTGAACACTGGACGGGCCAGCCCGTTATTAAAGCCGCCCGCTCTGCCCCAAAAGATTGGCGACGAAAAATAAATGCCTAATCAAACATTGACAGCTGCAGTTTTCCCCGTCTTTTTCTTTGTGTCTCTCATTCCCCTGTAAATATGTACATTGCATCTCTCGTGATTACGCCACGGACTCGGCGTTCCCCTGGCCCCCTGCGTCAAGCCACTGACTTGACAATTTGACAGCCTCGTGCCCGGGAGACTTTTCCTTCTCCATCTGGTTTCTGCGTATCTGCATATTACGAACATTGACTTCTAGGATTTTCATTTGACAGCTACTACGCAGTAAATAGGGTGAGAACCGTCTTACCCACACCACCCGCAATGGCTACCAAGCTGCCAACGATACCATCAAGCCAGCCGCAAAAGCACTGTTCCAAATAGGCGCCTTCTTGCGCGGGCCTCGTAAGGAACTGCGACCAGGATAGCCCGACGACTCTGGATGTCGTTCCCGTCTACCGGGTTTGGCGGACCTTTTGCAACGCCGCGCCGATCCCCCTGGTCACTTGGTTAGCACATGTGCGATGTTGCAATCCATCGCACCGCCGTCCTTGATCAGCATATTCGTGCCTGTTATGGCTGGGCTTCCAGCCTCCCCATGTAAGCCACGGATCAACACCCCGAGCCGTTCCAGACCCGGCATTGTCTGTTACAGGTGCATCGCAATGGCCTGGCACTGGCCGGCGCCATAGCCCTTGGCTGCGCTACCAAGCCATGGTCAGCAGTCATTGGCCGCATGCTTTTCGAAACGGTAGACTTTCTTGCATGATGAAATGATCACCTGACTGCTTCGCAATTGCTTACCTACTGGTTCTGGCAACTTGTTGATGCTGCCGCCAAGGCTGCTTGCCAGCTTATTGATCCAGAGCAGTGCGGGCCAATCGGGTTGCCAGATCAGTGTGCAGAAGGAATATTAAGAAGTGTTCGATTCTTGTAGAAACGAAGACGCAAAGCTAGCAGCAACGTTTCTATCTATTCAAATCTGCTGCATCATGCCTAGCGAGTCGTTACTGCAGCATGCACCTCGGCCCTTGGGCAGGGGGGTCGTTTTGGCTGTAGCTTTCGGACCGTAGCAGACAGAAATCACAGAAATCACAGAATGTTCCCAGGTTTCCCGAACGAGCAACTAATCTTCACGGCTAGGGACAATATCATAAGCTCGACCCCACGTAATATATCTATTACGAAATTTCTTTTGGTCGTGGTGGCCAAGCCTGTACGAAGTGCCTGTACGACTTGGGTAGTTGGCGCCTGCAGCGGGAAAGGGGGAGCTGCGCCTCACATTGATGCTACTGGTAGTTATCGACTTCCACCCATCTCGCATTATTAGGACGTGAAAAGGACCACAGACGCCTGCCTGGTCGGTGCCATCCATGATGTGGTGAGCCCACACTGTATGCGGCGCTAGTGCCAGGGGCCGACGCAGATGAAGGCTGTCCCCTTCTCTCCGAGTTGGGTCTGTCTCGTGGGAGTTGCTGCTCTTACTTTTTCGTACGACCAAGAGCGTGCTGCGATAGTCTCATTGGGCTCTTGGGAGCCTGCTTGACTCGGTGTGGACCGTTCGTGTTGTACAAGGATAGCCTGGCTTCCTCCATCCGCTTCGTCTGAGAAGCATGTTGGAAAGCACGGAAGAAGAGCGGGAGAAGAAACAATTCATGCACTGATTCCCCGCAGTTCCGCCACGGAGGCTTTTTGCGGCATTTCAGTGCTGACCGAGCTTCAACACTGACCGGAATAGTTGCACTGGGTTAATCAAAAGCTGCACAATAGCACCATCCCGACAGGGGTTGTCTGCTCTTCTTGCAGCAGACGTTACCTTGACTCAAGACGAGCCTCGCTCAGCTTACCATCGCTCCAAGATATCCCCCAATGCGATCACAAGTCGATGAGTATCAGATTATGCGCCCAGGTACCGTCATAGCGCGGCGAGAAGAGAGGCCGAGTATATGTAGCTCGGTCATATCTCGACGAGGCAAAACTTGTGTAGAAGAAATAAAGTCTTGAGAGGAGAGTGCCCGAAGCATGCCGCTAGGTGCACTTAGAGTTAGCCAACCCCGGTTACTGCTTGGCTCTGACAGCACGGTCGTTGGCCGCAACCTTGGCACCAGACAACTACAGAAACAACTTGACATTGTCCAGTCTTGCAGAAAGCTGCCCCCCTTCAATTGTTAACAACACGCATGCATAGGGAGGGGCGTAGTTAGACCCCTTGTCCGATAAGGAGACTAGACTCTTCTTTGAGGGCTCAGTCCTGGCTATCCCGGCCCATATGCAGGCGGGCCTGCATGTGCATGTGCAGCAAATTACCAGCATGCAGCTCTGCATACGCCAACTCAGTTTTAGGGACAAGTGTTGGGGCAGCCTTGTTGTTTGTTAGATGAAGAAGAGATGCATTAGGAGTCCGGTTAGACAAGCACCAATACATTGAACGCGCACTCGAGAGCGTTTACAGCCGCAACGAGCTGACGCCGAGATGGAAGGGCTTGCCAGAGGTAACTAGTGAGTACGGCAACTCGGGTCTGGCGAGAGGCGTGAAGAATTGGTATGTATGTGGAGGACTGTAGCGTGGAACGAAGGGCCGGAAACGATCGGCGACTGGCGGGTGTCAGGATGGCCCCGCCTAGCGGCTGCTGCTTGTCCAACGGGCGGCTTGTTCCTGTGCGTTGTCGTTTAATATAAGGCAGGTCAAGGTGGCTGCTGCCTTTGATTTTCAGCGGACGCGGTGGCAGAGGCGTGCATGAGGGCTTGCTGGGGAAAGCTCGTCATTTACCAGGCGGCCGAGGCAATCTATAGGTGCCAGGTGGCCCATCTGCGGTCCACTCGGTGTGAGTTTTGTCGTCTGGAACGGGAGAAGGACGCAGCTGGAGAGGCAGAGCGGGTTGATCGGAGGGTCGACGAGGTCGGGGCCAGGCACTGGCGATCAGCCACGCTGGCGGGCATGCTGCGTATGTATGGCTGGCTCGCTTCTTTTTCTTTCTCTTTTTTGTTGCAATATACTATTTAATAAGCCAGCTGCAAGTCGGGCATGTGGCTTATCGATGTCGCAAGCAGGCAGCCCTAGTGCCTGGGCCATGCCAGGCATCGCGGTCCAGCTAGTCGGGTTCGTTCGAGGCGGAGGTGGGAGGGGGGCATCTAGGGACTTTGGAGAGAGTCAGAGCGTCCAGCATATGACATGTAATTGTTGGAGCTGAGATTCTCTGGAAGCATTGGCCGGAAGACTGCATGTCTCTGCCGCGACTCTCTCTCTGAGTTAGACCCGCCATAACTAAAGGCAGGGCAAGGTGACGAGGGGCGAGGCTGCGGGAGTCAGAGAGGTCGGAGAGTCGGCTGTGGGTGTTTGGTGGTGGTGGTGGTGGTCTTGTTGTATTGCAGTCAAGGCGGTGGTGGCCATGGCAGCTGGCTGCGGGTATCGACAGCAAGCAATGCGGCGAAAGAGGCAAGGAGCCGGCCAGCAATGGAGAGAAAGCTCAGAATATCGAAGCAGGCAGACAGGCCGGCATAATGATAATCAAAACAGCGGCCCGTTTGGGAGACCATGCGTGCATGTATGTATGTCCTTACCGACTTCCATTTGAGTCCCTCGCTCTATGCCTACCGCCGGCCAAGTGAGGCGGCCAGGGCAAAGCATCAGCAAACGCTCACACCACATTGGTAGACAAGGTATGAGGTAAGGAGGGAGTCGGGAAGAGGAATGAGGAGGCATCGTAGGTCGTCGCACCCGCGAACAGACACACCGTCTCCCGTCCGCCTCCCGTGTTCTCGTTTCCCTCCCCCCATTTCCCATTTCCGGCTACCCGTTTCGCAGGTCGATGGTCGATGGATGCTATCGTCACTTTCGCTATCACTTGTCATTGTCATTGCTCTCTGCTCTCCGCTCTTGTGATTGATTGACTTCGCTCGGCCCTGCTGGCTCTGATGGCCCTGCCGCTGCCCGCGCCCTGCCCTTTTCCACCCAGGTGCTTTTTTTAGCTGCATGTTCTGCTGGAGGAGGGGGTCAGATGGGGAAGGCAGCTCTGCTCTGTCGGTAAGTTACCTAGGCCATAGTTAGTGTTAGTAGTGAGTTAGTTCAGTAGCTGCTTGGTTGGCGCGGCCCATTTTGCGCCCCGAGAGGTTCCACCCCTGACCCGAAAGTCATTATTTGAGGAGAAAAAAAAATAATTAAAAAAAGAACACTCACTGTAATCCTTTCTCCTCACTCTCCTTCTCTCTCACCATTCATTCCTTTCTCTCCTTCTTCTTCTTCTTTTCTCGCCAAAGGGCACCGGATGCGGGAGGATATTGTCACAGCCTTGGGACTCACTCTGCCCGATGCTCTTATGCTCGTTCGCTAGCCTCTGTGCGCCTTGTATATACTAGCCATTGGAGGATCTCGACCTCCCGACGTTCGTTACCTGTCGTTTTACCGTTGCCTTTTGCCTTTTTTGCCTTTTTGCATTTGCGCAGCTTCTTCCGGATCCGTCGCCCATCTGTCTGCCTTTTGTCTTCATTCAATTGTACCCAGATCCAGCTGGCCACTCTCTGCCCCCAATATCTACCCTGCTATCCTTATGATCCTAGCAGCCACTGCTCCAGCCGAGGAGCTGTCCGAGTACGCTGCTTCTAGAGGCACCGACCTGTAGTCTTGGATAGACGTGCTCGGTTTGAACACTCTGAGCAAGTATCGCCGCCAACCTTTGTTCTTGCCATAGTCAACCGCCCTCACTCCAACATGGCTTCGCCCTCTGTCGGGACCCCTGACGCCAGTACTCCTAGGCTCGGCGCCACCAAAGACAAGAACTGCCGCTTCTGTGGCCAGGCCTTCACCTCTTCCTCCCTCGGCCGGCACCTCGATCTCTACATCAGAGAAAAGAACCCGAAACTGCCCGACGGTATCCACGATGTCGATGAGATCAGAAAAATGCGAGGCGGCATCACCAGACGACAGCCGCGGGGCTCTACCGGCGGCAAACGAGAATTCAGTGGTACTCCTGCTGGAACACCCAAAACAAACCCCAAAAGGAAGATTCGAACGACCTCGACTCCCGGTACCCCCAGGCCAGCGCAGATACCCAAAGACGGCCAGTATCTGGTTGATTCGACATTGAGCAAGTTTCCTTATACCGGCGTCATTAACGATATTCCCCCCAAGGTCGCCGCCGAAAACGTACCAAACACGGAAGCCGTCAAACGTCCTGTTACTGGACGAACTGTCAGCAAGCAAGCGGCCCAAAAGGCTCAGTTCGAGTTGAATCAGAAGCTGCAAGATGCCAGGGACAATGCCCGCGCCGGCGAACTGGCCCTGCTAGAAATAATAGGCTCTTGGAGATCTGCAAAGTATGCGCCCCTGCCGGGAGATATCCCTGCTTGGCCTGTTACTGACCGTGTATCAAAATTATAGGCAAGAAATTACCAACAGCTCGAATCCGTTTGATTTCGACCCTCTCTCTCTAGACTTCCCTGCTCTCACCTTGCAATGTCTGAAACCGCCGCCAACACTTTTCTCGTCGACCCAGCACGCCACCTCGACGTCATGGTCCGTTCAGTCGCCAGGCGAGCGTGAATTCAGTGTCCTTCAGTTGTACTTTGAAGATGCTTTCAAAGCCTGGAAAGTTACTTGTGCCTCCGCAACTACCGCCGCCACGGAGGAATTGATCATGCTACCGAACGGAAGGTCAGCCTGGAATCTCCAAGACGCTGTCCGAAAAGCAGAGCGTGACGCTTCCACTTTCGAAACACAAGTTGCCGAGCATATACAGTCTGCCTTTGCCGCATGGGCTGCTCTGCCGGAGCAACGGCGGGACGAGCTCTGGGTGCTGGAACTGGCGCGTGGTGTCGGCAGAAAGCAAAAGGACCTTGACAGATACAAGGATGAGCAGCACCGCCTCAAACAGGAGAATACCCATCTCAAGACCCAGGTCGAACAATTAAACCGACTGCAGCAACCCCGAGAGTTCAAGCTTTTGTCACCCACCACGTTCCCTGTAGATCGGGAATTGGTGGCGAAGGCCTACGGAGCGGGTGTCCGCGGCGCCAAGAGCATTGGGTTTGACGTTGAAGACCGCCAGTTCGATCTGAAGACTGTTGTTGAGAGGTCCATTGGCCGATGGAAAAGCGTCATTACTTCAACTCGCATCTCGTCATCGGGCATGAGTGCGCAAAAGCCTCTGGAGCCGCCCGAGAGCCCTGCCGCATCGGGCAGCGCTGCAAGCCCGGCCCAATCCCAGCAAGCGAGATCCCACAAACCCTCCTTCGCCGAGTCGACCCAGCCGGGACCATCCCAGGATAAACGACCATCCGTCGTCAGTACAAACGATCACGAGAGTGAGCAGACGAGGCGGTCAGCTTCCAACACAGCTCCTCCCTCCGTGGCCGAGACGAGCGATCGAGACGCTGACACTGATGAGGACGCCGATGTCGACGCCGATGCCGACGCCGATGCCGACGTCGAAGCTGACGCCGATGCTGATGAAGAGGCTGATGAAGACGCCGACGCAGAGATGGAAGACGACGACAGCTTCGCCATGATGAATGCCTCCCCCATGAAACAAACGCAGGCTCCCATGCAGCAGCAAGCCGCGCAACTGGACGTGCCTAGGACGCGGGCCCAGGCCCAGCAGATCTCCGGCGACATCCGCTTCATGATGCCCAATGCTAGCACCAGCCCCGCCACGCGGAACTCGATGGGCATGAGCCGCTCGATGCCTGATTTGGGCATGACCATGCCAACGAATACTATGCAAGAGATCGGCATGGCCATGCAGGGCGTACAAAGGGACATGTACAGGGACTGACGCGATGGTGAATGAACATGATGGGACCGAAACTTTGGGAAGAGGAAGGGAAAGGGGAGAAAAGGCTATCGGGTGATGAGGTTTGGAATGATGGTCTTGGGTCATAAAATGACCTTGTCCTCCTTTCAGGGTAATCTGGCGCTTTGTAAATCTGGCCATATACGGTGCAGGTTTTGTAATGACTACGACTATTATGGTGCTTCATTCAGCGCCGATGATGTGTTACTACGAATCAATCATAATATATTTTTTTAGTTCTTCGCTTTGCTGAAATGTACAGTGTTGGTGTATTTTCTCTATCCGGATTTCAAAGATAAGACTATTTACTTTACAATAGAATACTGAGATGAGTACAAGCGATTGACATCGCGATGGCAAAACTCGACGTTTTGGCAAAACGGCTGTTTTGTTACACAGAGAATACCCGAACTTGACACGGTCACACCGGGCTCAACTATTGTGGCTTCATGTGCTTGAGCTTCTGCTCGAGAGCGCGGACGGTGGACTTGGGCACGTGCAGGCGGTGGGCCAGGACGAGGGCGCCGGACAGCACGGCGAGGCTGCCAGCCTGGTGGGCGGCGCCGAGGGGAATGGGCACCATGTAGATGAGCGTGGTGATGCCGAGCGCGACCTGCATGCAGACGAGGTGCACGAGGCCGAGGGCTCCCTTGCGGGCGTTGCTGGGCAGGGCCGCGCCGACGCGGCCGCGGCGCGAGTAGGCGAAGAGCGCGAGGATGGCGCAAAACGTGCTGACGGCGAGGATGCGGTGGTCCATCTGCACGGTGCTGGGGTTCTCGAGCATGTTGCGCCACCAGAGGTCGGCGCCGTCGTCGCGGCGCACATAGAACTTGTCCCAGAGCTCGGCGGCGGGCGGCGTCAGCCCGACGCCCATCTTGGGGAACTCGTTGTAGATGAGGCCGGCGTCGAGGCCGGCGACGAGCGCGCCGGACATGGCGGTGACGAAGATGAGCGTGGTGATGCCGAGGACGGCGCGGCGGAAGTTGGTGAGGGCGGGGTTCTGGACGGCGCGGATGGCGGCGAGCGCGGCGCGCGGGTCGGCGGCCATGCGGCGGGCGCGCAGCACGGCGAGCCCGGAGAGCAGCATCCAGGAGTAGCAGATGAACGCGGTGCCGAGGTGCGCAGTCAGGCGGTACTGGGAGACGCGCGGGTGGGAGCCCTCGGCGAAGAGGTCGTCCTTGAGCCCGGACTTGACCATCCACCAGCCGATGAAGCCCTGGAAGCCGATGAGGGCGGAGATGCCGAGAAGGTTGGCGCCCATGCGGGCGGAGACGCGGCGGCGGGCGATGAAGTAGAGCGTAGGCAGGACGAAACTGACCCCGATGACGCGACCCCACAGGCGATGGCTCCATTCCATGAAGTAAATCTTTTTGAACTCGTCGAGCGTCATGTGCGGGTTGAGGAGTTTGAACTCGGGCGAGGCGCGGTACAGCTCGAACTCGGCCTCCCAGTCTTGCTGGGATCGCGGCGGCATCGACCCAGTCACGGGCTTCCACTCTGTGATACTCAGGCTAGGTGGACATCAGTTAAATCCTAGAAAGCTCGGGGGAGTGAAAAGGTTGAGGCAACTCACCCTGATTCAGTCAATCTGGTCAGGCCGCCCCAGACGACGATACCAAAAACACTAACGGCGCTACCGATGAGCCAATAGCCGACGGCTTTGGACGTGGTCTTGGGAAAGACGTATTTGGCCTGCGAGGAGGCCTTTACGGCGGCGCCGGAGGCATCGGCGGCCAATGCATTCACCGGCCCCGTTGCGTTGGCGACGAAGAATCGAGACTGGGTGGCGGCCTTGAGGATGCGCGACGAGGGCGCTGCGCGGGGGGGCTGCCGCAGGCATTGATTGCAGACGAAGAACCTAGACGGGGCCTGAAAGGCAACCCGTCGGAAGGCAGGGAGAAAGGCCGACATGGTCGCTTCTGGCGATGCAGGCCAGCTGTTTGAGGTCCTCCGCGATGTTGAAGAAAGAGTGGCGTGATGTCGCCTGGGTCAATTTTCAGGGCAACAAACCGCTAAAAGAAGTCGTAGGCCAGTCGCGGCACTCGGACACTCTCGCCTGACCGAACTCAAATACACGGCGCTGATAGGCCACGACTGACTGGGGTGCTTTCAAGGTGTACCCCACCACTAACAGCTCCCTCACCGCCAAAATTTTATCTGGCAGAAAAATGAAATGTCGAGATAGGCTTTGCGTCGTCGCACGTGGATTCCGTCCAACTACGAAAAAGGTCCTTATCCAGCAACTACGCAAGCCTCTCGACATGCCTGGACGACAATCACACGGGAGGCCGCTCTTGGCAGCGCCCAAGACGAAAACTATAAAGCGCTCAAAGTCCCGATCGCAAAAGAGCGCACTCAACGCCTTCAACACAGCCTCTGAGCAGTACCCCACCAGAATAAAAAAGACGCCGCGTGCGCGCGAGCTGGACGCGGAGATTGAGCGGAAGCATGGCCGTGATGACGACGACGAAGACGACGACGAAGATGACGAAGAAGGGCCCACAAGAAAAAAGGCGAGACGGCCAGCTCGGAATGGAGACGCAGAGTACGGCAGCGACAGTGAAGGCAACGAGTGGCAGCTCGGTGGTATGGCCGAAGACGACGAGGACTCTGAAATCGAGAGTGACGACGCGTTCGGTGATAGCGATAACGAAAAGTTCGAAGAATATCAATTTCGTGGTGGGAAATCCAAGAAGATTCAGGTGCGTGTGGAGTTAAACGTGATGGCCACCTGCACAAGTCTAACCGCCTTCTCCAGGATGACGACTCGGAGGATGACTCCAACGACGACGAAGGACAAACACTTGGCGACGAAGCTATTGATTTGGCGACCGCTCTAGACCAATTCGAGGAAGACTCTGACGAGGAAGAGGGCAGTCAGGATAGCTCTGACGACGATGATGAAGACGGCTCCGATGAGGAAGAGGATGACAGCGACGATGAGGACGACGAGGAAGCCGATCCCGAAAAGCTAAATGCCCTACAAGGTCTCATTTCGGGATATGGCGGTGAGGAACCAGCTGCCGACGAGAAGCCTTCTTCCAAGCAAAAGATTGGCTTTGACGATCTCGGTCTTTCGGGTCTCAACGATCCACTAATGCGCAAGTCGGTCAAGCTCATGAATAAAGAAGAAAAAGCAAAGCGTCCAGGTGCTGCGAAGAAGTTGGACGTGCCACTGTCCAGACGCGAACAGGGTCGTCTTGACCGCAGTGCGGCGTACGAAACCACTAATAAAACTCTTGACCGCTGGACGGAGACTATCCAGTACAATCGTCGGGCAGAGCATCTCGTCTTTCCTCTGCCGGAGAACGCCGCGGATGCCGGCCTCGACCGTGCAGAGCTACAGCCTTTGTCGACTGCCAAACCCGCCAATGAGCTCGAATCCGCCGTCATGTCCATTATGGAGCAAAGTGGCCTCAGCTTGGCGAAGCCCCAGAAGCCGAAGAAGGTCGAGTACGACGACGAAGGCAACGAGCTGACGAGGCGGGAAGCCGCCAACCGGCGACGCCTAGAACGCGAACTCAACTCGCGCGAGGCTAAGCGGGCTAAGCGCATCAAGAAAATCAAGAGTAAGGCGTACCACCGCGTGCACCGCAAGGAGCGGGAGCGTGACGAGCTCGCTACCAAGGAGGCCATGGAGGAGGCCGGCGAGCTGGACTCGGAGGCGGAACGTGAGGCGCAGGACCGCCGCCGCGCGCTGGAGCGCGTCGGCCAGCGCCACAAGGACAGCAAGTGGGCCAAGCTTGGCAACAAAACGAAGCGCGCCGTCTGGGATGACGAATTCCGCACCGGCTTGACGGAGATGGCGCAGCGCGACGAGGAGCTGCGACGCCGCAAGGAGGGCAAGCGCGGCGGCACAAACGGCGACGACTCGGATGCCACAAGCAGTTCGGGCAGCGATAGCGATGACGACGGAGATGCAAAGCTACGACGCCAGCTGGCGGAGCTGGAGCAGGACGACGACGACGAGCCGCGGTCGAAGCTGATGTCGATGAAGTTTATGCAAAATGCCGAGGCGGCGCGCAAGCAGGAGAATGATCAGCTGATCAAGGATATCCGAAAAGAGCTCGACGGTGACGAGGCGAGCGGCTCGAACTCGGACGACGAAGCTGCCGCGGATGTCGGTCGCAGGTCCTACGGCGACCCCGGTGCCAAGATCAAGCCCGTCGCCATTGACCTCTCCAAGAAGAAGCAGGCCAAGAAGACCCGCGCGGCCGCCCAAGAGGACGAGGACGAGGACGACGTCGTCATCACCACGTCCAACGGCGCATCATCCGCCAACGCAGCGTGGGCCGCTCCCGCAGAGGCCGCCACGGCCACGACCGGCGCCTGGTCGCGCGGCGAGATGCGGCGCAAGTCCAAGGGCGGCAGCACCCGCGCCGAGGATCTGGACCTCAACTCACACGTCGTCGTAGCCGCCGAGGCCGTCGAGCAACCCCCTAGACGCAAATCCAAGCCCGCACCATCCGCCGCCGCCGCCGCCGCCGCCGCCGAGTCCGACTCCGACGATGACCAGCAGCACCTCCCCATGGCCGAGCGGGAGCGCGCGCTCGTCGCGCGCGCCTTTGCTGGGGAGGACGTGGTCGCCGACTTCGCGCGGGAGAAGGAGGCCGCCACCGCGGCCGACGACGACCGCGTCGTCGACGCCACGCTGCCCGGCTGGGGCGCCTGGGTCGGCGAGGGCGTCAGCAAGCGCGAGCAGGCACGCAACGCGGGGCGCTACCTGCGCACCGTCCAGGGCGTGGTCAAGCCCAAGGACCGCCGGGACGCCAAGCTAGACAAGGTGGTGATGAACGAAAAGACCATCAAAAAGGTAAAGTCTTCCGCTCTCTGTTTCTTTTTTACTTCACCATCTTTGCTCTTTACTAACAACTGGGATAGAACAACTTGTACAGGGCCTCGCAGCTCCCGCACCCGTTCGAGACGAGGGAGCAGTATGAGCGTTCGCTGAGGTTGCCGGTCGGGCCGGAGTGGATGACGAGGGAGACGTTCCAGGAGAGCACCAAGCCGCGGGTGATGATCAAGCAGGGCGTCATCACGCCCATGTCGAAGCCGACGAGGTAGATGGAGCAATTCTCGCCTGGTCAGATATTAATCCTTTTAGTTTGCATATAGGAAGTTTTCCGTGCGGTTTCATTTCCTTCTGTTTGATGGGACACATCAAAATCAAGCATTTACATCGGATGGCTAGATATATATAGACCGCTATGCTCGGTCAATTTACATCCATCACACTTTCGATGACCAAGGACACTTTCGTGGGGTGAATTGAATTGATTGAATGATTAAACTTTCATGAAGGACCAACCCAACAAATATTTCATCGCTCATACGAATGTGGGAAAACAAACACAGTAGGGAAGGCCGTAGGGGCAGTGAAAACAAGCCAATAAGTGGCAGACACACTCAAACTCCAATCAGTCGTAGCTGATTCCGTCCATGTGGTGATACCAACCCTGATAGAGCTTTCTTTCTTTTTTTTTTTTTCTTCACTCGGCGTGAAGTTTCTATCATTACACAGTCCGTGCTTAATTGCCGTTGGAGAAAAAGGTCATGGCACTGTCCATAGCGTCGGCAGGAGTAGCGTAGAAAGCAACTGCGATGATGGTGTAGAGACCAATCAACATGGCTCCCTCCAGGTAATTGGACTTGCCGTCTTGCACAGTGTACGTGACGACGAGAACTGATACGGCAAACGAAACAGTTTGGACTATAACCTGTCAGTACATGATTTCTCATTTGCTGGCGCGCGGCGACAGAAGACGACTTACAAGTTTCAAAGCGCAAGGTCATATCCCTGTTCATGATCCAACCGACAATGACGAGGAAAGGTGTGACGCCAAGAGCAATTTGGATACTGGAACCGATGGCCACACTCATAGCGAGGTCCATCTTGTTTTGAACCGCGGAGTACACAGCTGACGCGTGCTCAGCGGCGTTGCCGACGATGGGGAGGAGAATCAGACCAATAAAGGCCTTGCTCATGCTGGTGGAGGCGACAATTTCGTCGATGCTACCGACGAGGTAGTCGGCGCAAATGGAGACCAGCACAGTGACAACGACGAGGACACCGAAAGCGCTGGCAGGGCCGAGATGGACCTCCGGTTCATCATCCTCGGCGGCTTCAACCTCGGGAGTCTGGGTGGTCTCGTCTTCGGCGATGGCGGCAGCGCCGTCCATCTCGGGGTCAAAGAGGTTGCGATGAGTGCGCAGCTGGAAGACGAGGTAGAGGACGTAGAGGATAAGCAGAATGATGGCGGTGCCGCGGGAGAAGACGAGAATAGATTCGCGCTTGGCACCGGAGTGGTTTTGGTCCATGACAGCGTACAACTAGGGAGCTGTTAGCATATACTGGGGGTTTTATAGAGGAGATAGCAAGGGAAGACGTACAGCAGCAGGGAGGACAAGTGAGGCCGAGGAGAGCGCCATGAGGGAGCAGGTAGTCTGGGCAACGGCGGCAGAAAATACCTGCTCGCTACCATGGCCGCTGCTGCCGCGGTGTCTAAGGCCACCAAAGAGAAAGCACATGCCCATGACGAGGAGCAGGTTGGAGAGGATGGAACCGAGCATGGACGACTGGACAACCTCAATCTGGCCATCACGAAGGGCGACGATACTAACCTATGAAATTGTCAGCAGGGAGAATAGGCAAGATAAGTTGCGCTTTGTGCGCGTTGGGGAGTAAAGAGCATACAATCAGCTCCACGGCGTTGCCAAAGGTGGCGTTAAGCAGCCCGCCGAGAGCCTCTCCAAGATCCGCGGCGAGTGCCTCGGTGGCAAAGGCCAGGACGGCCGCGAGGGGAATGATGGCGAAGAAGTTAAGGGTGAAGACGGCTGCGGCGCTCCACTTGAGCATGCCAGCGGCAATACCAATGGGAACCAGGACGAGGAGAAGGTTGACATAGCCTAGATTTTGACGGTGGTTAGTATCCCGATCCTCAGCCTGTCGCTCCGGGGCGTGAACTTACTGCTGAGCAGGGTCGCCTTGAGGGTGTGCCAGCTATATGCGGCGCTGCGCACGATGAGGCTGTGGTGGTCGGTACCAGGCGTGTAGTGGGAATTTGTGAAGAATTGCGCGAGTTTGGAACCAGAAGCCTGGTGGTGATGGGCGCCGCGGCTAGTCGGCGCGGCACCGGCGTTGGAGCCGCCCTCGCCGTTGAGCAAGGGTGTGCGCTCCGAGGAGTCTTGACGTGATTTGGTGGGATCCATCACTTTTCTGTGTTGACGCTCGTCTGCGGCGGTGGTTTGGTGAGAGCTCTGGTGAGGGAAGAGCAAAACAGGTGTACAGGTGTACAGGTGTAGAGAGGGACGAGAGTGGGTGTGGTGTGGTACGGATCAAGCTAGGTCGGACTAGGTTCGTAATTGTCCTCGTTGCAGAGATAGGAGTAGTCGGAATTGATGACTTTGCTGGAGAAGCAAATCTCGGCTGACTTGATGCAAAGATGAACGTAGAAGCGAGACGAGAAATATTGGCTGCCACAGTCGTAAACGGTGACACGGTGTCTGCGGGAAGTCCGGCGAGAATGAGTCGTATATGAAACCGGCAAACGAGACGAGATGAATTGGCAGTGGCAGTGGCAGTGGCAGTGGAAATTAGGACGAGAAAGAAGGAGGAGGGGACGATTATTATAAAGATTGTAGAGAAGAGAAGAAGGAAAGAGGGGAAGAAAGAGAAGTTTAGCCTTTTGGCGGCGCCCGTTTTACCTTTAGGTTCGTCGTGTTGGACGGATGTTTTAGTTGGAGCTGAGGGTGGGTGGGAAGCGAAGCTCTTCAGATCGCACCTGCTGCAGGGGCCAATTTAGTTAGCAGGAGGGAGCTCGTTACCCGGACCAGCCTAGCGCCTAACTCAGCCCTTGTCTGTCGGTAGCTGTGGCGCATGCAGCGAAGGCCAACGCTCCGCTTTTCAAGCTTGCACAATGTTTGATCGAGTTCGCAGGAGTAGTTATGGATATAAGACGTAGCAAGTAATATTAGAATTTTCATTGTATAGCTCGTATCAACCCGTACGTGGTGCAAGAAAACGCGCGCCATTGTTCACGGTAAGAAGACAAGACAGACGTCACTGTCCTCCCGTCCTGACCACATGTCATGACCATCTCTGACGTCGGTCCGTCCAGTCTCGCCAAGGACAGGGCACTTGCTACAGGGCGGCTAGAGCCCCTAGGGGTAACTCATACCTGCTAATTTGACAGAGTTGTTACACCAGCACATGCTACCGCCCGGCTCAATGTGCCTCGCCGTTGAAGGAAGCACGAAGGCAGAAGAATTGCGGATTTTATGACGAGGAGCCTAAAAATACCATTTTGAGACGGAGGAATTCTTCTTCTGTAACCGCGCGCTCTCAACTTCCTTCTGCTTGTACGAGGAATGCTGCCTGTCGCTGTGCTTCACAATTGTTGAGTGGCGCATGTACCCAGCCCGCCCCGTCAAACTGTGGCGCGTGGCCCTTTTTTTTCCAGTTAATTTCCTCCACCCACTGTCGTCCCGGCGATCCGGGAGGCCTCTTGTCTCTCCTCTGTTTCTCTTCCTCCGCTGTTTCTCCTTCCCGTCACGCAGAAATCAATCAAAGCTCATCACAAAGCCACAAGCCACCTTCTCCATAAGCAACGTGCGCATCCCACAGGTCCTCCTCTCGTTCACATCGCGACGCGCATACCCGTCCACGTAGTCAAGGCCTCGTCGCCTTGTGTGAGAGTGTGATCCAACAGTCCGCCTAGCTGTCTGCCTGACTCGGATCAGCACCGTTAAGCGTACGCACCCGGACCAAGTCCCCCAGCTACCTGCTGCAGTAGCAGTGCTTCAGCACACCGCATCGTCACATGGAAAACTCCGTCCCTGGCCCTTCCTTCGTCACCGCCTCCCATGCATGTTGTTCTTTCGGTTCGACATTTCATCCAAGCGACCCGACCCTTATCCGCCCACCCCTTGCAAGCTGAAGCTCCGATGCCTGCCATGCTAAATACAGATTAAGGTTTCCAAGACATGCACTGCCTCCCCCGCAAAATCGCCAGCCAATCGACAGCCAATCGACAGCCACATCTGGCTCATTTCGGAAGCTTCGCCTCATTGCACCAGCTGTCATCTGTCAAGAAAAATCATCAGCAAAATACAAAGGTCAGCTTGAACTGTACTGTTCTAGGTCTATCTATTACTAATTACAATTTCGAAACTAAGTATCAACGCGGGCGTGTCATCCATGCATTGCCCTCTATCTGTATTCTTCCATCCCCCCTTTGTCACACATTCAGCATCCCCAACACAATTACAATCCGCCGAGAGCTGTACTGGTGTTAGCATTCATCATTCATACGCCTCGCTCAACCAACTCGGACTCGCAGCTTACCAGCAGAATACGCCAACAACCATGTCAGCGAGACGCCTCCATCCAGCCACTTGCTGTCAAAGTTCTTCTCGCTTAGCACCGCAAACGCCTGCTTGGGCTCGATCGTCGCCAGGTTGCCAAGCAAGATAGACTTCCAACCATTGTCGATGAGGTCCAGTCTCCCGTTGCTGAAGAACGCCTCCCACTCCTCCTTGACAAACTTGGACGTGCGCGCCACTGTCGTCACCGGCAAGATCGGAATCATGTGAATGCCCTGGATAAATTCAATCTGGTTGCCAAAGAACGTGGTGTGGTCAATCTTGTTCTCAAACAAGATACCCGCAACCTTGTTTCCGATAAAGCTTCCCGGCTGAATCGTGTTCTCCGCCTCATACAGATAGTACTGCTGCAAGCTTCGTGCTGTAATGGCCAGCTGCAAGTTGGCTCTGTTTCCGTCGTTAGCACCCATTCGTCCATCCGTGTACACTGGTTCTTCGCCGCTTACCGAGCTTCAAGGGGTGCATTCCTCGACACCTTACCCCACATCTTCAAGCCATACGCATGCATCATATCCTCCGAGCTCGATTCCTGGTTCTTGCCGTCCAGCGACGCGTACAGGCCGGTCGCCCAGCTGTGTCCATGATACCAGTCAAACGACCGCCACTCCGGGAACACGGTATCCTTGGAGCTCGGGTTCGAGGTGTCTCGTGCTAGCATGTTGACATAGTCCTTGTTCTTGGCCACCCACGTCTTGTCCAAGTGTCCAATCACGGCCGCCGCCAGAATATGGTAACCGTAGTGGAAGTGGTGGTCGTTGTAATACGTGTTGCCAAAGTCTTCCAGTGCCTGCCCAGTCTTGTAGGCTCCAGACGATACAACGCCGCCCCAGGCGGTTTCGTGGACCAACGGGAATTTTTGCTTGTTGTCGGCGAATCTTGCAAAGGCAGTCTTCAACTGCCCCAGCCCAGTCTGCGCAAGCTTCGTCTCTCCAAGCATGTCGTTGATGATGTAGAGCATAAATGCATACTTGGCCAGCGCCTTTCCACTAAAGTACATTGAGTCAAGGTCGCTCGCCGCTATCATGTCTTGGAGGATTTCCTTGGAGGCGGCGGCCTTGATGGTCGACTTTGCGCTGTCCGAGAGCTTGTTCAGGCTGCCCTTTTGCGCATCATAAGGATCAAAACCGAGCTTGACGGGCATGGCCGGTTCTATCATGTTCCACTTTGTACCTTGCACCAGTGCGGCACTACCTTTGGTAGGTGTCATGAGTGAAACGCCCTTTGCCTGTTGGCCAAGTGTGGCTTTGTCAAATGATTGCACATGATGAGGCAGTGCAAACATTAGAAGCTCACCATCCTGGTGGCCGCTCTTGTCAAAGGTGAATTGGTAGCTTCCAACAGCGCCTTTCACACTGCCATCAAGGGTCATGCTTGTAGGGTAGATACCAGCGCCCTGATCCAGAAGCTTGCTTTCCTCGTCCGAGTTAGTTGTCGTAGATTCCTTGACAACTTGAAGAATTCCGTAGAAAGGCTTCGACGACGTGGCCACTCCGTTATTGAGGACCTGCAAATCTAGGTCATCTCCTTTCGTCTTGTAGCCATACACACGCCATGTCGTGCCATCCTCCAGAACAAAGCTGTATCTGGTGACGTCCTTTTTTGGCTTCTGCGTGGACCGAGTAACATTTCGGAAAAATACTCCAGTCTGCAAAAGGGGCGTCGCTCCGTTGTATTCGGCCGTGATGTAGGCCATGCCCTGAACAAGAGGGAAGGAGATGAGTGGTGCCGACGAGTCGCTTGAGCTCAGATGAGCCCGAATCGACGATGCGGTCATGCTGTCCAGCGTCATCTTCGTCCCTTTCGAAAGTTCTCTTGCAGAGATAATCATGGAGTGGATACCGATCGGGTTAATAAAGTAGGACGCCGAGCCGTCAAACTTGGGCGGTCCAAAGACACGCTGCTTCTCGTCGATGTGCGAGACAGCCATGCCATAGCTCCCGCTAACTCCCGTACCGTCGACCCATGACACCGAGTAGGGATAAGTGAAGACGGGATCCCTTTGATTTCCCAGGAAGAGGTTGGAGTAGAACTTGTTGGTCTGAAGCGGGCCTTGGGTCTGGATGCCGGTGCGGGGGACCGGATGATCGGGCCGGGACGAGAATTGACGCGGCAGCGGCTTGATGTCAATGGGAGCGGCAAAGATGTTTGCCAAGTCCATGTCTGCAGAGTTCCAATCCTCTTGAGCCGAAGTTGTATTGGCAAGGGACTGTGTTGTGTTTAGACTTGTCGAGCTTGAACTTGAGGTGGTGAGGCTTGTAGTTGCGCTGGTACTTGTCGAGTTTAGACTAGTGGAGCTGGTTGAGTTGCTTATGGCTGGTTTGAGCTGGTTGAGCTGGTTGAGCTGGTTGAGCTGGTTGAGCTGGTTGATGCCCCGGTAGGTTGAAGTTGGTTTCCGCTGGTACCTGTCGCGAAACCGGTGCCAACTGACACGGTAGAATTAGGTAGCTGAAAAGGTGCACCAATAGGTGCAGAGGTGAAGTCAACCTTGTTGAAGACTGTGCTCGACGACTGTGCCGTTGGTGTAGCCTCTGCAGAAGCTACAGAGTCGGTGCTTGGGAAGGTTGGTAGAGACGACAGGGTAGGAATCGAATTAGTGAGAAGAGGCGCCTGAGTAGGCTGGCCTTCTTCGCCAAGTTCGGTATTGAGAACACCCGAGGTTTGGGGCTCGACGCTTGTAAGCGACGGCAGCGAGCAGATGGTCGCGGTGTCGGTTATAGTCCTCGTCACCACCTCGACAGTGTTTGACACGTTGTAGACAATCGTCGAGGGCGTTTCCAATATAGTGCGGAGACTGGTGCTGGAGATGACTAGAGTAAAGAAGTCTTCATCGGGGCAGACGGTATACTTGGGAGCAGGGCAATCCGACACGGCCGTCTCGAGGATGGTGACGGTCTTTGTGACGGTCGGGCGATTCGCTCTCGAGAACAAAGAATGGCCGTTGGCAGGACGCGACGCTTCAACCAAGGTCAGTGCCTCGCCGCATAATAGCAACGATGTAGAGCAACGCATAGCTGCTGTTCTTGTGTGCCACTCTCACAAGCAGCAACGATCAAAAGTACAGCAAGATGAAGACATGTGCCCGCGCGGAGCAGCCTGCACAGCTCTTTTCTCATTTATAATGGATAGCCAGCGTACTTTTCACATTGTCCCGCCAGCATGCTGTTCCAGGCGCCTCGTGGCGACCCATGAATAATAGATCACCATTCCAGTCGGGGGCAGAATCGCCAGTCAATTCCCGCCAAGCCACCTGCACCGGAGCCCATTGGTTCCGCACAATGGAGAGGAGCGGAATGTGGGCAGAAAGCATAATGGCGAGGGCTCAAATAAGGAATAAGAAAATAAATCGCGTCACTTACAAATTTGCTCGGGGCTGGCTGCGCCGAGACCCCAAGGGTCCAAAAACGGCGGATCCCACAGTTGTCTTGGATTGTTCGCCTTGGTTGCGATGGAAACGATGACTTTTTTTTCCTTTTTCCTGCGCTCTCAGCTGGTAGAGAAATACAAGGTAGGTTCGATTAGCGGCAACTAGATGAATTATAGGTTCTGTAGGGTTTCGAGGCACAGTGTGTTTGCATGACTTTCAGAAAGGGTGTGTCGGCTTGGGAGGTTGCCGCGCGCCTTCCCTGGGAATGGATAGGCGATATGTCCCTGACATATCAGTCGCTGTGCCCCGTCCGTGGAAATTCAATATGTCAAGACAGCCAGGCACAAGACCCTAAAAGAGGGGAGAGCTTAGGAAATTGCAGGTTCCGATTTTTCGATGAAAATTTTCCAACGGGGTATCAATCAGTACCGATGCGCCATGTCCCATGAATCTCTCCCAACTCCGAACTATATAGAATACCGCCCAATCATGAATACACCATCAACACACACGAGTCAGAGCCCTAGGGCGCTGTACTCGCCCTTACAGCTTGCCACCAGCACCTTCAGAGCCTCCTCTCCGTCTCTGCTCGGGAACTGCGCCGCCTTTCCAGGCCCCTCAGCCACCCCGCGTCTCCCACGCGCCGCGTCCTTGTCCTTGTCTTTGCCCGCCTTCGTCTGATGCCGGCTTCCGAAGGCAGCAGCATCCCTGAGACGCTGCTTCTTCCTCTCGGCCTCTGCCTCTGACCGTTCCGCAGCCCTGCGGCACTGGCGGATCCTCTTGTCTGGCAGCACCCAGGCCTTGCCCAGCACGTCCCTGCGAAAGGCGCTCCTCTTGGCCCAGAGGCTGACCTCCCCCGCGGTGCTCGGCACCGTGGTCATCTTCTCCACTTTGAGCTGCCTGGCATCGCGAAATGTGGTCAGTGCGCCTTTAACGTCCACGACGGAGCCCACGTCGACGTGGTCGTAGGGTTGCGCCAGGGAACCGGCCGGTGCTGCCGCGGGCTCGTTCGTAGTCGAGGCCGTTTTCGCAGTGTCTAGTGATACGATGGCTTCTATGCAGGCGCCGCTGCTGTCGTCGATGGTAAACGCTCGGCGGCCCGCGAACTCGTCAACGGCGACCACCAGGCCGACGACGCGGACCCATTTAATCGGTAGATTTTGGTAGAAGAACAAGCCCTCCCCTGTATTGCGTTAGTTGAATCGAATTCCTCGTCAGGGCGCAAAGGCGCATACCCTCGAAGCCGTCTCGCTGTTGCAGCGCAAACAGGTCCGCTATCCGGAAGAAGCACCAGGCATCTGCAGTCGGGGCCAGGTGGAAGCAGTACCGGGGGTAAAAGGCCCTTTCAATCGTGTCGCTCATGGCATGATTGCGCAATATTCGAGATCAAGAGACCCGAATTTTTCAAATTTCAAGCCGGGTGTGGAGAGTATCCGTTGTCTAGAGGTAATGGTAGTTGAAAGGTCAATATTTGGTTTCCGGGCGCGTTCACGGAACGTCATTTGGTACTACATTACATACAGTGGGCTTGTAAGCAGCCCACTAACTACGGCGGTCAGCGTGCCCCGCCATCCCACTGCGGACAGCGGCGAGGCGAAGCAAAGAGATTTGAACGAAATAATAATTGTAATGATAAATTGCAGGAGATAAAAACATATTTCTGTTTGATGCAAAATGCGGAATCAATTATTGCAAGCAATGAACAAGTGCGGCGCGGCTCACGACGAAAACATTCAAGTTGAAGCAGGAGTAGTCAAACACCAAGTTTGAAAATGCAGTCATGCGATTCTTGTTCTATGTGTACGATAATCAACCAGTACGCCAAGTATTCCATAAAAGTTCCAAATCATCATAGCAATCCAACTCCCTGCTAAGGTAAAGTTCCGAGATCCAATGCGAAGCAGCCCCATCTATTCACGACGCTTCTTTGAGCCATTCTTCAGTTTGGCGGCAGCCGCCTGGAAAGCCTCCTCAGACGGCTCCTCCCCCACCACCCTCTTCTTCCCCTTCTTGCCCTTGCCCGGCGCTCCGTACTTGGCCTCGAGGTGGTCAAAGAAGCTCTCCGAGCGGTCCTGCTGCCTCCGCTGAATCAGCGCCGCCAGGGCATCCTCCGAGCCACCACCCTTGCCGCCCTTGCCGCCCTTCTTCTCACCCTTTTTCGCACCGCCACCGAATATCTCCTCGTGCACGCCCAACTCCTTCGCGTAGTCCTCCGCCTCCGCCGCCTCCGCGCGGGCGCGCTTCAACCTTGCGGCGCGCTTCAGCCTCGGCTCCTTCGCGTACGCCTTGAACTCGGACACGTCCCCGTCGGCGACGGCGCGGTCGATGATTGCGCGGAAGCGTTCCTCGTCGTCGATGACGCGGCTCAGGACGACGTGCTCGAAGAGGGCGTCCATGTCGCCGGCGCACCGCTCGTACGCGGCCAGCACGTCGTCACGCTCCTCGTCGGAGCCCCGGTAGGCGCGCGCGAAGCGCTCGATGGCATCGCCCGAGACGGCGTCCCGGAACTGCTCGCGGTAAAAGTCGCTCCAGTCGAAGCCGTCCGCGTCGACGATGGACTCGGCCGTGGAGCCGGTCGCGTCGTAGCGCTTCCGCCGGGCGGGGTCGGACAGCACAGCGTAGGCGAAGGCGACGGCTTGGAAGGTCTCGTGCGCCTTAAAGCGCTCGGAATCGGCAACCTTGTCTGGAGATGGTGAGAGAGGGCCAGGTTAGTCGGGTAGTTGTGCGCGCGGCGGGGGCGGATTCTCCCACCTGGATGGTGCTTGAGCGCAGCTTTTCGATAAGCCTTCTTGACGTCGTCGGCCGTGGCGGTGCGCTCTAGTCCGAGGACCTCGTACGGGTCAATCGAAGGGGGCTCGCCCTCGACGCTGTCCTCGCGATCTGACATTCTGGCTGATGCTTGTGATGGTGGTTGGTTTGATGCTCTTTACGCGTAAACGCGTCTGGGCTGGGGCCGGTAGTGGGGTCCGCTGTAACTACCTTACAGATTAGCTACCTACCCGGCACTGATTCAACAGTCAATCAGAAATGAGGCGTCAAATCACCAATTACGCTTTTGATTTATTCTCTGTATTTTGACGACTCTCAATCCAATTGTTCCTGTTTTTCTTTTTTCTATTTTCTTTTTTTCAGCCTAATTGGTGCTCATCCCCATAGGCTGAAAGTCGATCGTCAGCTCAGGCCGGCAACTTACCAGCACTTCAGCCGCCAGTGGGGTTTGCTGTACCTTAGAAGCTACAACAACTTGAAAGCCTTTTCGTTTACTGTCATAGCCAGCCCTCCCATGTCTTTAAACCGGCCCATATCTGCTTCGCGACTTGCACATACTCGCCATGGCGACTTTTGAGAAGGATGACCACGTCGCTTTCATGCGACACGCCATGAGCCTGGCAAGCCAGTCTCCCCCGAAGCCTACGAATTTTCGAGTCGGCGCAGTGCTTGTCAAGCTGGACGACTCGTCCATAACCGCAAGCGGATTCACCCTGGAATGCCCTGGCAATACACATGCCGAAGAGAGCTGCTTCATCAAGCTCGCTGAGCGGCACTCCACGTCCGAAGAGCGTCTCGCCGAGGCCATGACCAGCCCTCACGCCCTCTACACAACCATGGAGCCATGCTTCAAGAGACTCAGCGGCAAGCTGCCCTGCGTCGAGCGTGTGCTACGCCAAAAGTCATGGATCACGAAGGTGTACGTGGGCGTACAAGAACCGGAAACATTCGTCGGCCAGAACACGGGCCGGCGTGTGCTGGAAGATGCCGGCATAGAGGTTAATGCGGTACCTGGATTGCAAGCCGAGATTCTGCAGATTGCCACGGCAGGACATCTGGCGCCGGAAGCCTGAGTGAAATACTACGTTGAATCCTTGGCGACCATATGAAGACGTATTCACGGCTGCATCGATGGCCGCCTCGGTTTTCTTTGTTGGTCTGTGTCGAACAGCAGGCCATAAGGCAACAACGAAATACGCTAGAAAGATGTTGAATTTACCGGTTGGCGAGAAGAGCCAATCATTGACTTTGGGCGTCGTTGGCCAGCCTGTCGAACTGGGTGTGGCAATATCTTACTGGCCTCGGGCCGGCGCCTCATGTAACTATCTACTGAAATAGCATGCATAGTATGATTTAATAACCGACAGCAATGAAAATTCAAGCTAAAAAAGAAAAGTAACGGCGCGAAAATGCCAAAACGTGTCACTGCAGCTTTGACGGAGCCTTACGTGTTACCGTCGCACGGCATACGACATAGTCGCCCAGCATGCGACGTGCACATGCTTCCTCGTTTGTAGCATCATCGATTGACTAAAATGGGCACGACGGTGCTTTCACTTAGCCCACTCACTCACTCATGTACGCACAAGTGACGTTTCTTCTGGATGATTCTGAGGACCTGGCTTTGTCCGCGTCGGGGCTGAGTTCTGACTGCCCTGTCCGTATAGTCATGACAAATAATGACATCGAAGAAAGAGTTATCGATTTACATACAAAAGGCTCATAGGCGCCCAAAGCGCCGAGACGTTGCCGTGCTTGCTCTTTGGGGGCTGAATAGACGTTGTTTGCTGGGCGGTCAAGGTGCTGCTCGGGGATAAGCGAGACCCCTATTCGGCTTGACGTATGGAAACAAGCGGATAGAATTTACAGATCAGATTTGTAATTACTTTTAGACATCCTTTGGTTGTGTGACTGCCTGCTTAGGGCTGGCCCGTGTCTTGCATCACAAGAATGTTGTGCGCAAGCAGGCTCAAGGTCAGCATCACATTGTAAACATTTTCGCTCTCACGAGTTCTTGACTGTACGAGCGCTAATTAGCGAATTTTCCTTGGCCGCGCGCAAAAATGTAGATGTCGTGTGACGTTACGGTTATCGTGTAGCGGTTAAGCACCGTGATGGCAGACATCGTCAGGGATGAGAGATGGCCAAGAAGGCTGTATGCGCTGGGAGAACGAAAAGGCAAGTGAATGACTGAAAACATCAAGAATAATAAAACACCAAGAAAAAAACCCCAACAATAAAATGAATAAAGATTAACTATCTAAAATTTTACATTTACTGCAGAACCCGCGGTGACGTGGCGGCCCGTGCCGCTGCTGCAGCCAGAGATGGAGACCGAGAGGAGGCGATAATTCTCCCAGAGGTGTTCAAAGGACAAAGGCAAGCAAGATGTTTATAGAAGTTGATTAAAAAAGAAAAGCCAAAACAAATTCAAACAAAAGAGACACTTTTGCACGACTCCTATGATTCTCTTGCACGACTCTTGTGATTGTAACTATGTAGTTAGTGCTGCTTTTGGCCAACCTTCACACAGCTTCCCGATCGCCCCAAACTGCGGGCGCCAATAACGTCCAACGAACAGTAAAACCTTCTCTCCACCAGCCACCCAACGGTTTCCTCTTCTTCCTCACCGGCACACCACGCCCTGGCGTGAGAGACCTCTTGCGCGAAGCAGAACCAATCGCTCCAGGCCCTGTATCACGGGCCTACTGTCGGTCTTACCTTGACCGGTCCTTTCATAGCCCCACGACTCTTTTCCCTTTTCCTTTCAGGCCGAGCTGCCATTGTCCGCTGCCCAAGTGTGCGCTCCCTCCTACACGGCTGCCCGCTGCGTGCATCCCCTCACGGCGTTTCACGACCAGGCAGTACTGAAGGCTATTTAAAGCCTGTCCCGTCTCCGCGAAACACTGGGCTGGTGCTTTTACCGAATTTCGGATATTTACACGAAGCGTTTTATAACGAGTCTGACAACACATCCAAACACGACTCTTTCTGACATAGCTTACTATCTCCCAACGTCACCATGTCGGACAATCGCGGAAACCGAGGCCGCGGCAATTACCGCGGCGGCGGCGGCGGCGATCGTGGAGGTGATAGGGGCGGGAGAGGAGGCGGCGGCAGAGGCCGTGGCGATGTCCCCTATCAGGGCAGCTTTCCCCTTTCGCATCGAGGTGGTCGTCCTGACTACCAAGGAGGCGGTCGAGGCGGTCGAGGCGGATCCCACCAAGGTGATCAAGGTGGTTTCTACCAAGGCGGCGGCCGAGGTCGAGGTGGACCTTACCAAGGTGATGGCGGAGGTCGCGGCCGAGGAGGAGGCCGAGGTCGAGGCGATGGCGGCTTCAGAGGTGGAAGAGCGCCCCCCAAGTTTTTCAGGTAAGGTTCAGACTCACCATGTCCCTAAAGAATCGATGCTGATGCTGTCACAGTGCACCGAACCAGAGTCCGGTGCCGGATCCAAAGATTGAGCAGCTCGAGAACGCCATCGTCAAGGTCCAGTCTGAAGAGCTGGCCCAGCGCGTGAAAAAGCTCGTCAAGGGCCCCAAGGCTGCGGCTTCGGTCAGAACCGAGTTTGGCGAGCATCTCCCTGCCCGCCCTGCCTTTGGCGACCTGGGTCGTGCCACTGTCGTCTACGCCAACAGCTTCGATGTGGCTGTCAAGTCCATCACCGTGCAAAGGTACGGCCTCAACATCAGCAAGGTCGCCGCCGCCGCCGCCGAGAACCAGAAGAGCAAACAAGGGGCCGCCAACCCGGCGTCCGAGATTCGCGGCAGGAAGCTGCAGCTCGTCATCCAGGCTCTCCTCAAAGTCATCGCCGACATGCCCGAGCCGGCCCTTCATGAGGCCAAAGCCAAGCTCGAGCAGGCTAAGCAGGACCAGACGGAGGCGCAGAAGACGCGCGATAAGGACGCTATCGCCGCGGCCAAGGACATAGTCAAGAAGGCCACGGACGTCCACAAGGCGGCTGCGGCGGCTGCGGCGAACAATAAAATCGTCGTCAGCGAGTTCAAGAGCGCCGTCGTTTCCCAGGAGCCGCTGCTCTTGACCCAGAATCCTGTTCGCGTGGTTCTGTCTGAAGAAGCTCTTGAGGATGGAGCCCCTCCTCGCCAGGAGCTGTTTGACGTTGAGCTCACGAAGCCGGTTACCTTGAACTTGCTGGACGTCAACAAACACGTTGATACCATGGTAGTCGACAGGGACGACTCGGTATTCCCTCGCCATCCGGAAGTGATGGATGTCATCAACATGATCCTTGGGTTCTACGCGCGATCTAACATGGACCGTGTTAGTGCTGTTGGATCCTCTAGGTTCTACCCGCTCGATGATGCTCACATGTCATTACTCATGAGGGACGGTCGGCCCCTGATTGCATCCAGAGGCTTCTTCCAATCTGCTCGTCTCGCAACGGGCAGGCTTCTCCTCAACACACATGTTACTCATGGTGTGTTCAAATTCGCTTCAAAAGGCGTGGAATTTTGCAAGAAACTGGGCCTTCGGCCCCTTTTGGCGAGCGAAGTAGGCCAAAATCGCAACATCAGACATCAGGACCTCAAGGCCATTTCGAAGTGCCTCAGCAAGGTTCGGGCGTCCGTTACTTTCAGAGTTATGACCGAAAATGCGGGTAAACGTGTGGTCAAGCGTGAGGTCCAGCGTGTCAAGATTCTCGAGGGCCTAGTTCTAGGGTCCGAGATGACCAAGAAGCGCAGCAACAAGGGACCCAATGCAGTTCGGTTCAAGCCCGGCGTGGAGATCTGTGGCCCGGAGCACGTTTCGTTTTGGAATGAAAAGGAGAAAAAGTATGTGACCGTCCAGGAGCATTTCAAGACGACTTACGGAATTGAGCTGGGTAAGTACCCGCTCTTCAACTTCAGCCACGGCGATAAGAGCTCCTACTTCCCTGCCGAAATGGTTGAAATCCTGCCGGGCCAGCAGGCCAAGCTCAAGTTGAGAGCAAATGAGACGACTGATATGCTCAACTTTGCCTGCCAGCCGCCACACATCAATGCCCAAACCCTGGTCGACGAGACTCGTCCATGCTTGGGCCATGATGGGCCTCTCCTAAAGCAGCTTGGCATGTCTGTTTCACCAAAGCTTCTTGCTGTGCAGGCTAGAATCTTGAGCCAGGTGCAGGTACAGTACGGCAAGGGGTTGAAGCCTAGGATCAACTCTGGAAGCTGGAACATGAAAGACACTGCCGTCACCCGATCCGGCAAGATGATTCAAACTTGGGCGTACCTCGATCTCGTGCGGTACGACACGGAGCAGAGTGTCGATCATGGAAAAGTTGGAGACTTGCTTAATGCATGGCGCGGAATGGGCATCGACATCAAGGGCGGTCCTCCGGCAGTGCAAGGCAAGCTTGACCAGTTTGTTGCCCCGGACAGGTTGGAAGATTTCTTTAAAAAATGCAAGGCAGAGCACGTGCAGCTCATCCTCATCATCCTTCCCCAGAAGGACTCTGGCGCGTTGTATAACCGCATCAAGACCCTCGGCGATTGCATCTACGGCATCCACACCAGCTGCATGGTTCGTAAGCAGGTCGAAGGAGGGTCGTTGGGAACATACGCAAACCTCGGCCTCAAGGTCAACCTCAAGTTTGGCGGCGTCAACCAGAAGCTGAGCAATGACATTGACATTTTGCGCGACGGAAGTACCATGTTCGTTGGCTACGACGTCACACATCCCACCAACATGGAGGTCCCCAAGAACGCCGCCAACCCTCCTAGTCTGGTCGGCCTGGTCTCGAGCATCGACAGTGAGCTCGGCCAGTGGCCCTCGGTCACCTGGGAACAAAGCTCCAGGCAGGAAATCCTTGGCTCCGTGCTGGAGAGCCACTTCGCCGGGCGCATCAGCCTTTGGCAGAAGAAGAATCCCAAGAAGCAGCTCCGCAACATCGTCATCTACCGCGACGGCGTCTCCGAGAGCCAGTTCTCCACGGTGCTCACCCACGAGCTGCCGATGATCCGGCAGGCGTGCGAGAAGAAGTTCCCCGGCAACCCGCCCTCGCTGACCATCATCGTGGCCGTAAAGCGGCACCAGACGCGCTTCTTCCCCGCCAACGACGACAACCTGAGCGCCTCGAGCAACGTGCGCAACGGCACCGTCGTCGACCGCGGCGTCACCCAGGTGCGCTACTGGGACTTTTACCTGACGGCACACCACGCGCTCAAGGGCACCGCCCGCCCCGCGCGCTACACGGTGCTGCTCGACGAGATCTTCCGCCCGCGCTACGGCGTCCGCGCGGCCAACGAGCTGGAGAAGCTGACCCACGAGCTGTGTTACCTGTTTGGACGCGCCACCATGGCGGTCAGCATCTGCCCACCGGCGTACTACGCGGACCTGGTGTGCGAGCGCGCCAGGGCGCACCGCCCGGAGTACGCGGGCGTGGATGACTCGGCGAGCGAGAAGTCGGGCTCGACGGGCCTCGGACCGGTGCAGTCGCGTGAGATTCACGAGAACCTGCGCGACAGCATGTTTTATATTTGATGGGGCCATGTAAGCAGACGATCGCTGTGAGGCTTGGTCTTGTGAGGATTTAATTTGCTGCTTGATCTACATGAACGAAAATGACATGATGTGTTTGAGATTTTTGCATACACAAATTGCTTGAGCAAGTTGGACATACAGATTGGATATTGCGTATTGGATAGGCAAGTTGGATCAACAGATTGGATACCATGTATTGGATAGTTAAATAAAATTATACTCTCGTACATCTTTAACGTGATTGTGTTTCTTGTCCCGAAAACTTCGCCAAAGAGAGTCATCGCAAAAAGTGTATTTTCTCCTCCATCTACATACAAATGTATGTCTATCCTCAGATCATTACATCAATATACAACGCATCTATGTGCACATCCTCAGAGCTTTGGTTTCAGGGCCTCGGCCATGGCATCCAGCATCCCCTTGCTTATGCGCGCCTTGTCCTCGAGCGGCCTGGCCGCCCACGCCTCGTACGCGCGCTCCTCCTCCCGCCACCTTCCCACCGCCTCCGCCGCCGCCGCCGCCGCCGCGCGGCCCACGAACGCCGGCGCCTCCAGCGGGATCAGGTGCCCCCACTCCTCGCCGACCACCTCCTTGACGCGCCCTGCCTTGACGCCGCCGCTGCCCCCCAGCCCCACCCCCGTCGCGCTCACCTTTTCCTCCCGCATCGACTCGGTGGACATGTAGCTGGCGCCGCCAAACACCCAGAGCGCGGGCGGGCGCAGGTGCGGCAGCTGGTCGAACACGGCGCCGGGCTCCGGGCGGTACACCGGCGTCATGACGCCGCGCGAGGTGTCCATGTCCGGCACAAGGTCCACCTCGACGCCGCTGCCGTCGGCGGTGACGGCGTGGAAGCTGGGGCGGGAAAAGGTAAAGACTTCCTGGTGCTTGGTGGTGGTCAGCGTGACCTCCCCTTCTCCCTCAGTGGTCGGGGTGAGGCCGTGGGCGATCCAGCGGTCAAAGACGCGCGGGTCCCAGGTCTGGTAGAAGGGGCTCCGGCGGAGGGCGGCGGCGGCGGCGGCGCGGGAGGGCCAGAGGTCGCGGCGGCGGGCGCTCATGGTGGGCGGCTGCAGGTAGGCGGCGAGGAAGGAGGGGTGGTGCGTGGCGATGACAGGGTCGACGAGGACGAGCCCGGAGAAGAGACGCGGGTGGAAGAGGGACAGCTTGACGAGGGCGCAGGCGCCGAAGGAGTGGCCGACGCCGAGGAGGGGCCGCGGTGGGCGGAAGTGGTTGATGAGCTGCAGCATGTCGCGGGAGTAGTCGAACCAGCCGGCTGGTGGATGTGAGAATGTGGGGGCTTTCGTAGAAGGGTGGGTGATGGGAGAGGGAGGGAGATGAACGTACGGTCGTCGCCGAGCTTGGCCTTGTTCAGGATGCCGCTCTGGCCTTGCCAGGCGCAATCTGCGATCCAGATGGAGCCGACGCGGACGCCCTTGCTGGAGAGCTCTTTGACGAGCTCCTCCCAGAGAGGCTCATATAGTTCCTTTCATACAGTTCAGTTACGAGTTCTCAGGTGGTAAGAGTGACGAATTGGGCCATATGCCGTCGCACCTTGGGGAAGCCATTGGCGTGGGCGCCGATGATGCTCAGGTCGCCCTTTTGCGGCGCGCCATTGCCCTTGGGCGTGTACTGCTTGACGTGCAGGACGAGCGTGTCTTCCTGGGAGTTGGCCTTGGCCCGCGCGTACTCGCGCGTGTGCTCGCCGGGGATGACGTGCTCCTTGATGTCGAAGACGGCGGAAGCCATTTGTGCCGCCGAGTTTGGCGCCGGATCCTCCGGGGGTGAATTGGCGATTTGCGTGGGGCGCGTGCCGAGACCGGTGTGAGTTTGGAGTTGATGGGATAGGAGTATGAGTTAGGCGGCGACGGCGACGGCGAGGCTTGTCAATGAGGTCAATTGGCTCTTTGACGAACAAAGATGCTTCAATGAGTAGTGAGTTGGTTGATAGGTGCGGAAGGCTATTTGGGTCTCAGCCAGGGCGGCTACACTAGTTAGCCTCGGCTACTAAGTCGGCGTGGCTGTGGGGAAGTTCCCCGGAATAGCGGCCATGAGTGGCTCCAGCTGGAGCCTGGTCTGGTCTGTTGGGGGGTTATTTTGTCTTGACATTGGAATTTTATTAGCGGAAGAGTGGTAATTAATTGGCGAGCCTGCCTTGACGTCTGGCGGTTGATGTTGATGAGGGGGTTCATGGCTGGTTTGCAGGGGTCATCACAGCCCGCACCTACATAGCCACCTGTGGCGCCTACGCCTCCTTTGCTTTGTACAGTATGTATGTACCTTCTGGCATTCGACGGGGATGCAAACAAACGCCAACCATAAAACACCTCTCTCTCTCCGCAGTCCATGCAACACGTCTCTCCCTGCAGCCGAACGCGAGACGCAAGCGGAAGATGAATCTCGAAATCGCCACTGATAGTAACACTTCGGTCGTTGACTCTGTGTTACCGCCTCCGTGGAGTGTCATCGAGTTCACATTCTCAAATCAAGATACTGACGTGGAGATAGTTGCCATGTGCAACTATGTGCGTTTTGTTGTCCAAGCCACCGAGAACGGCTTCGCTTCGTCGCCTCAGTTAAGGGAAAAATACATCTTCTTTCTCAACATGGCCAAAAACTACGAAGTTCCGGACTTCAATGAAGATGACTTCTTCGACTGGGCTCTTGAGCCTCTACTACCCGTGCTCTGCGAACAGACACCATGGGAGCTGAAGGGTAAAACAGCAACACTTAACAATGCTTTATATGCCCCAATAATGGAATACACACTAGAAGCCGTGTCGGACAAGCTAGTCTTGAGGCCACGCGAGGAACATGCCGAGACGCAGTCTATGTTTGGTGTCTCCCGGCCGGACGGATATCAACAGTGGCCGGGCTACTTGCCGTCTGAGACTCTACTCGATAAGAATGCTTCTTACGACTCGATACCTAGAAAAGTCATCCTGCCTGATGGCAGTAGGGGCTTTTTCAAGATCGTGGGCCGTGGAGAGAAACATACCATCGAAACAGAGCTTAATAATTATGATAGGATTCGAATCTCACAACTCCCAAGCTCAGTCCGTATATCTCGTCTTCTTGGGTTGGTCCGGGACGAGTGCGATACAGTGTTTGGTCTGCTTCTCACGTACATTGACTGCGGAACTGTGACTTTGACCTGTGCCGTTGAGTCGGGCGCGTCGGACTGCCAACGGCAGGAATGGGTAGCGGAGGTGACACAAATCATCTCATCTTTGCATAAAAACGGCATCGTGTGGGGTGATGCGAAACCGGACAACATCCTCATTGATCAAAACCAGAATGCCTGGATTATTTACTTTGGCGGTGGATATTCAGAAGCCTGGGTTCCAAAAGACCTGGCAGGCACCATGAATGGTGATCTTGTGGCCCTTGCCAAGGTGGTTGATTATATCAACGGGGACTTGCCGTTTCAATCTGAAAAAGGTATCTCGACACGCTGCAAGTTCTTGTGACGCATTTCCTTTTATTACTAACGAAAGCAAGCATCGGGAGGCCAGATCGATCAGCCCGCTGCCTAGCTCCGGTCCGATACGGCCAGCCTCACTCAGTCAGCCTTGCCGTTAGTCACCGGCGAGTCCTTTCCGGAACCATTTCTTTGTGATATTGGTAGAAATACAAATCACCAATAAGGCTGTGCCATTACTATACCGGCGTGAGTCAATACCGCGATTTTGATTCTCGGTGGAGCTGCGCAACAATATTGGCAACGGCGACCCAATTAGGCGACTACTCAAGCTGCAACTACACAACTAGACCCCTTCTCCTGGGACATAAAAGAGCGCGATGCCACCGCTAAAATATTTGCCACGAACAACTTCAATTGCTCTTTTTACCGCTGCTGGAGAGAGCTCAGCACGACTCACCCGACATCGCCGCCGGTTCACACCCCCTTTCTTTGCAACCATGGCGACGTCAGCTTCCTCTTCAGCTGCCATCCTGTCTACCATGAAACATGTCACAACAAACAAATGGGACAAGGCAGAGGCTCGTTTGCAAGAAATAAAAGGTCATGTGCGTGACGCCGAAATGCGGCTCGTTTGCAAGCCAGGCAGCCGTGATGCCGATCAGCACAAGCTTGAGGCCGATGTTGCGAGTTTGCTCACCGCCGTCCGGAAGGCTTACGCCGGAGCGCCCAGCATGAGCGTAAGCACCCGTGCTGGTCTCAGATCCAGGGGCGCGGCCTATGAATCGCTCGAGACGCGCCTCAACACCATCGAGCGGATGCTATCCAATGCAAAGTACTCATCCGGCTTCTCGACCTCGGCTGCCCTGTCGTGGCGCGATGAGCTGCTTGCCTATCTGCGCCAGTCCCAGCGCCGCATGGAATATACTATACTCTTTGGAAAGCTGACCAACGAATGGGCCAACTTCCGGTTCGGAGAGCTCTCGGACACGATTGTTTCTGCAAAGCAAGGCGGCGAACAGCAATCCGATGCTGTCTCGGAGGATGAGGAGGGCCCCGTTTCTGTCGGCCGCAAGGAAATGCACGAGCAGAGACAGGTCTGGGAAAGCCTGGTCACCAATCCTCGGACAAGCGACAAGGACAAGATTGTCGAGTTTCTAGACAATCTCTTTCATGCTGCTCCGCTGCAGAAGAAGAGCAGTAGCTCGGTCGAGGAACTAGCCGACTTGCGCACAACGCTCTTGAAGAAGATGCGCAAGTCCATCTTCAATGCCTGCAAGCGCACGATCCATATCGACGTTGCCACAGTCAAGGCTGCGATACAGGCCATCCTCGCAGCCGACCAACTAACCAGCGAGAAGCGCCGCGCCATGATCGACCTCAGCAATAGAGAAAACGTGCTAAGTGAGATTGCCGACATCCTCAATTTTGATTTGAAGCTCGCGGCCGTTGAGCGGTGGTCATGGGGCGACGCTCCAATCCAGGCACAGTTGCGCAAGGCCATCAATGGGAAGTACCGCGTGTACATGGACCTTGAGCTACTCGACTCGATCCTGATTCAATGTGTCGGACAGGCCGTCTCGGTGCACATCGCAGCCGCGCTCAGGGAGGCGTGGCTGCCAGCCGTCTCAAGCGTATGGAAAGCCAAGGAGGACGAGGTTCGCACGGCGGCAATCGAGGCCCAAATTCCCAATTTCACAAGCCAAAACGCGTCCAACTCGACCAGGCAACTGCGAAACGACATATTCAAGACCATCTTTTTCTCTCCGCGTCTACCGACCAGTATGACGGATGGAAGCAGCGGCGTTGGACGCTACGATGATGATGGTTCGGATGCCACCGAGGATCAAGTGCAGGCAAACTTGACGAATCTTCGGAGTGGTCCGCCCAACGTTGTCAACCTTAAGACGGACATTCTTCGTGTTTGTACCGCAGAAATGGGCGTCCAAAAGATCGTCCACGGACAGTTTTGCCTGCTGCAGAGCGACTTTGAGTGGTTTGGACCCTCGCTCCCGCATTCAACTCTCACCACGATCATGGAATACTTCCACTTTCCCAAGGAACTCGTTCAGTTCACCAAGTCGTTTCTGGATATGCAGATACAATTTCAAGAAGACGGTTCGGAAGGGGCTGTGCTTACCCGCAAAACTGGCATCCCCGTGTCCTTTCAACTGACCGACGGCATCTCGGAGCTACTCCTCTTCGTGCTAGATTTTGCGGTTAACCAGAAAACTGGAGGGTCACATCTCTATCGAAATCATGATGACTTGTGGTTCTGGGGCCAACCATCCCAGTGTGCGGCCGCTTGGGAGACCATACGTCAATTCACCCAGATCATGGGGATGAAGCTGAACAAGGAGAAGACTGCCTTTGCTCACGCTATTGATGAGTCTAATCCCCGATACAAGCCTGCATCCAAAGAGGAGCTGACTAGTCTTCCTACTGGGAAAGTGAAATGGGGATTCCTGCTGTTTGACGAGAAGCAGTGGAAGTGGACAGCGAACAAGACGGCAATTGAGCAACACATGGACGAACTTCGATTCCAACTCAAGACACGCACATCCGTCATGTCGCATGTGCAAGCCTACAATGCCTACATGAAGAACTTTTTGCCCAACAACTTTGGTCCCGTGATTGTCGGACTGGGCGATGATCACCCTGTCGAGGTGCTGGAAGCGCTGCAACACGCGCAGCAGTATCTCTACGGCGGCGGTGAGGGCGATGGAAAGTCTTCTGGCAACGTTGCCAGTCATGTGCGGAAGATGATACAAGAGCGCTTTGGCGACGAAAACATCTATCCGGTCCCAGATTGCTTCCTGTACTTGGGCGTCGAGCACGGCGGCTTGGGCCTGGCCAATCCCGCACCCGCAATTGCCCAGTTCATCCAGCTACCCAACAAGGACCTCAAGGACGACCACAAGCCGCTCCCTCCCATGGAAATGGCCCTCAAGAAGCTCAACTCGGCCGTGTCTGATCACTACCGCACGGAGAGCAAGCAGTTTGCAACCCGCCTGAACAGCAAGCAACAGAAGAAGCACATGGCGGGCTCTGTCCAGATAGGAGAAGGCAGAAACGGTGACGGTGAGCTGTCGGACCTGACCAAGATAGCAGGAAACGGTGTCCCGCAGTTCATGTCATTTGCGACGTACATGGGCACGACGGAGGAGCGGAGCGGCCCGATGAGCCAATTCTACGAGACGCTCCTTGGAGAGCCGGACGCGGACTGGTCGGTGTCGAGCAAGACGTGGGCGGTGAAGATGTTTGACAGCGAGCTGGAGGAGTTGTTTGGGGGGCACATGGCCGAGGAGGAGTTCTTGTCGCTGGGGTTGTACAGGACGTTGGCCGAGGAAAAGGTTCGATGGAGCGGTTGAAGCCGAGGCGCGACTTTTGCTCCCTCTTTAAAGATGTAAAATTTTTATAATAGCCTAAAGCAAATTACGTTTCAAGATTTACAAAGATCCAAGATGAGTTACTTGACTGCGCTATCTTAGATTACACTGTGCGGCTGGCCGGTTGTATAATTCTACAGGAATATCCGCAAAAAGAATATAAACTAATTATAAGACGTAAAAAACTCGCCAGTCAATGTGACGATGAATATAGGAGCTAGAACTCGGGGTAAAGCGTAAATTTCTGTAAGCTCCTCAGCCGACCTCTGCAAGCTCTTCAGCCGCAGCGAACTCGTTGAATCCTTCCATCGTAGGACCCAGCTCGGAGTGCAGCAGACGAGCTCAGCTGGTATTGGGCACTACTCCTCGCACCTTCCTGGAACTGCCACGTCACGCGAAGATGACTAGGCTTGTCGTCTTCTTGGCGGCAAGGAATGGGTATGCTCTGCGCCGACCTGAGGTAGCTGAAGTTGAGCGGGAACAATCTGGGCATGGAGTGCGGCAGCTGGAATAAATGGACAGTTTAGTATAAAGATCCCCAAGGCGCCGAGAAAAAAAAAGACTGAACATTTCTCTACTTGTTGACTTACTATTTTTCTTATTCTTGTCTTGAGCACCATGCGCTTCACCACCGTCATCCTCGCGACGCTTGTTTCCTTTGTCGTTGCCAGCCCAGAGTTGGAGCGACGAGTGACTGTAAGAATATGCTTGAAAGCATACAAAAGAAATGAAGCAGTTTGGTAACCAAGACTCTGTCAAGTGCGCTGATGGCACCAAGTGCCCGACCAACTACATCTGCTGCTCATGTGGCAGCTCCGGCTATGTACGTATCATGCTGGAATGAAATGAGATTTATCGAATTCTGCAGCACGCTAACATGGATACTATCAGGGATGCGTGAGTGAAGTTTGATTGGAGTATAGAGTGATTGCTAATGAAGACAACTCAGAGACCAAGAACGGGCGGTCTCTGCGCGGTAAGTATCAGTGTAGGGAGAAAACTCAATACGCTACGATTAACCTTTCGTTATTAATGTTTGAATCAATAGTGCCGCTAAGTTTAGTTGAAATAAAGAAGAAATATCTTGATGAAGTTAGTCTCATTACTCACCTCATAGTTGTGGTTTGGCATTGTTGTTTGTTGCTTACCGCGCGGAGTGAGCTTGCAAGTGTGACAGTCATACCGATCGAGGCTTTGGCATCAATTTGAATGAAAACCAAAAAAATATTGTTGGAAAATTGCATCGTGTGGAATTTATTTAAGCAAAATGCGGAAAATCAATTTCCATAATCAGACGCAGGAATACTGGTCCTGTCGACTCTGCAGGCAGCAAGCAGCAAGCTGAAACGACGCAAACAACGCCCACTGTTATAGCACGATACTAAGCTTCCCGCTCCCGCTCCCGCGCCTCTTCTCCCCAAACAACAAACGACATGCACCAGCTTCTGTGACATGAGCCTTGGCGCGATAGCACATCTTATACGGAAGGGCCTCATTATTTAACCAAATCTCCTAGAACCAGCTGCACAGCTCATCGAGACGATCAGCGCCTCTAGCGCACCGCGCCATGCCCTGCCCTGCGTGAATCCAGCAACAGCACCCAATGCCCCCGCGCATCATCCTGCTGGCTGGCGCGCCGTCGCCGTCTGTCTTGGACGAAGACAAGTGCACGGTGAATTCCTTCCAAGAGCCCTTCCACGCCTTCATCGACGCGGCCGAGACCCGCGGCGACAGCCACAGCAGCTCGTCGGCAAGCATCGCCCCGTGGCGGTCGATATCGCTGCATCCGAAGCCGCTTCACACGGGCTTCAGCCAAGCCCATGACTCTCTCGGGAGATTACTGCACGGCGGCCATCAGCACGACGACTTCTTCTGCCCCCCTTCGCTCGCGTCATCGTGCGACGGCGGCGAGACCGCCAGCCGTGTTGATGAGGATGACGTGCTCACCGAGTTTTGCGAGCAGTCACTCGCAATCCACAACTCGCTGCCCTCCTCCCCGCTCGCCGAAGAAGAAGAGGACGATACGGACACGTTCCTGGAGGGGGAGACCTCCTTCCTCTCCGCGTCTCCGCCGCCCGCCAGCGGACAGCAGCGCCCGCCCGCCCCTGCCGCCGTCCCGCCCGGGCACCTCTCCGACCTCGAGGACGTGCCCCCCGCCCGGCAGGTCGCCTCTCTGCACCCGCAGACCGTCACGGTCAACCTCATCGCCGGCGTGCTGTCCGTCGCGCCGCCGCGCGCCGTGACCACCCGCTGGGGCGCGGCGCTCTCCCTCGTCGAGGTGCTGCTCGGCGACGACACGCGCTCCGGCTTCGCCGTCACCTTTTGGCTGCCGAGCGATGCGGCGGGGACGGCGGGTGGGTTGCTGCTGAGCTTGCGGCGGCAGGACGTGGTGCTGCTGCAGAACGTGGCGCTGCATGTGTTCCGCGGCAAGGTGTACGGGCAGAGCCTGCGACGCGGGAGGACAAAGGTGCACCTGCTCTGGAGCAGGAGGAGGGAGGCGAGGGCGTGCTATAGTTCCAGGGCGCTGGCTGCGGCGGATGCCAGGGAGAATCCGCAGCTGGTGAAGACGAGGCTGGTGCGGGATTGGATTTTACAGTTCGTCGGCGCTGATCCTGCGGTCAAAGGACCGAGTCACCAGAACGTCTGGGATCGACCACCTCGAGACACTCAATAATTCAATGCTTTAAATTCTTGCAGGATTAAACGGATTGGGGTATGTGCATTATTTAATTAGTTCATATGCGGAGTGGGTTATGTCCAGTCGTCCATGCCTATCTAATAGCTTCAGGAACCCAAATAATACAGACAATGAAGCCAACAACGCCTTGCAGTGAAGCAATTGCGAACCTCGGGTCAGGCCGCAGCAGTCTCGACATCCTCCTCCTTCTTCTGATGCTTCTTGACCGACTTCTTCTCCAACGCCAGCGCCGAGAGCAGCGCGCAGAGCGCACACGCCAGCGTGATGTAGTACGTGTTGCGCAGCCCCTTCATGTACGCGTCCAGCACCAGCGGGAGCGCATCCTCGCGGTGTATCCTCGCCAGTATGTTCCTCGCCTGCGAGACGCCGCTGTTGATGAAGACGCGCGGGTCCTCCAGCCCGAGCCCCGCGCGCTGCACGCCCTCGATCAGGCCGTTCTGGAACACGGTCTGGCCGACGGCGACGAAGATGGCGCCGCCGAGGCTCTGGAAGAACTGCACGCAGGCGGTGCCGACGGGGATCCACTCCTGGGGGAGCACTGTCTGGACGACGATGGCGCCGATCTGGAAGCCGGCGCCGATGCCGAGGCCGGCGAGCACCTGGTAGCCGAACCAGGCGCGGAGGGGCGTGTGCGGGTTGAAGGTGGTGATGAGGCCGGCGCCGACGGAGAAGAGGACCATGCAGGGCACGATGATGTAATTGTAGACGCCGAAGCGGGAGATGAGCCCGCCGGAGGCGACGGAGCACAGGACGGTGGCGAGGAGGAGCGGGAGGACCTTGATGCCGGCCTGGACGGCGCTGACGCCCTGGATGGCCTGGAAGTAGAGGGCTGACAAGCGGTTTCATTAGCACAATCATGATGGTGCTGGCGAGGAGGAGGGCTTACAGAGATAGTAGATGAGGGGGAAGAAGGCGGCGCCGAAGAAGAAGCAAAATGACATGGCCGCGACGATGCTCCTGTTCTTAAACAGCAGCGGCGGGAATGTGCTCTTGTCGCCGCGCCACCACTGGATGACCACGAACAGCACCAGCATGGCGCCGGAGCCGACAAACAGCCCGATGACGCGCGAGCTGTTCCATGGGTAGTCGGCGCCGCCCCACTGCAGGGCCAGCAGCAGGCAGATGATGCCCGGCACGAAGATGGCCGTCCCGAGGAGGTCGAGCTTCAGGATGCGCTGCCAGACGGAGAGACCCGCGCCGAGCTGGGTGTTACGGCGGACGCGGACGACGAAGGCGACTATGGCCATGGAGAGCCCGCCGACGGGCAGATTGATGTAGAAGCACCAGCGCCAGGTGATCTTGTCGGTGAAGACGCCGCCGAGGAGCGGGCCGGCGACGGAGGCGATGCCCCACATGCCGCCGATGAGGCCGAACGCGAGGGGGCGTTTAGCAAGGGGGACTATCAAACATAAGCAGATGTTCTGTTGGGGGGAGGGGGTTAAGTTTGGAAATGAGGTGATGATGGAGGAGGGCAACGCACGCGTGTGGGAGAGGATGACGACGGCGCCGGAGAATAGCCCCGCGGTGCCCATGCCGGCGATGGCGCGGCCGACGATGAAGGCGACCGAGGTGGGCGCGACGGCGCACAGCAGGCTGCCGACTTCGAAGACGAATATGGCGGCGAGAAAGGTCCACTTGACGTTGAAGAGACGGTAGACGACGCCGTAGATGGGCTGCAGGCAGGTGGAGGTGAGGAGGTAGGCGGATCCGTACCAGCCCTGGGATGTTGGTTAGCAAGGGAAGAGAAAAAGGAAAGGAAAAAGTGGAAGGGGGGAGTTGGTGTGAACCAGGAGGTGAGGGCGGCGGAGAGAGACTGACAATGTCCTTGGTGCTGTTGAAGTGGTTGGTGATGGCGCCGAGGGCGGGCGCGATGATGGTCTGGTCGAGGGCGACGAGGAAGATGGAGACGCAGAGGGCGAAGAGCGTCAGGGAGAGCTTGACGGCGCCGGGGTACTCGGGCGGCCCCGTGACGGTCGGCGGCGGCGGCGGCGGCGGCGGCGGCGCATCGTGCTGCTTCTCGCTGTTGGCGTCTTGCAGGCTGTCTGCGGGTTGTGCGGTGGTGGTGGGCATGGTCGGCGGGGTGTCGTCGAGGGCAGTGGTGGTCTTGTCGGACGACGGCCGCGAGTCGACGGCGTCGGAGGAGTGTCCAACCATCGTGTCTCCGGCGTCGGAGGAGGAGGAGGGGGAGGGGGAGGAGGAGGAGGAAGAAGAAGAAGAAGAAAGGGGAGCCAGAAGTTGGGTGGGCGTTTGCGGAAACCGAGAGGACAAGTGGTGAGGTTGTCGTTTACTAACTGGCAGTTGGCCGTTTGTGTTGGTGCTACCGAGTGTCTGGGTCAAGCCAAACGTCGGGAGGCGGCAACACTCGACTTAAATAAGAAGTAGACAACGAAGACGATGACAGGGAAAAATATAAAGGCAAGGGTTTCAGGTGGATGCACGTCAAGAACTGCACGAGCTCCCAAAGAAAGCCACGACAAACGGACCCTTTTTCTCTCTCTTCCAGGTGTGGTCCGTATGACACTGACACCTGCACCTTCACATTGCCGCCGCCCGGACAGCAGTAGTGCCGATGGCCGACGATGATTGCGTGGCCCTCCCATCGTTTTTTTTATCGTTTTCTTAGCGTCTAGGTGTCTTAACAATGGCGTTATTATACTGCTCCGCAACGGCTCACGGTTGTCGTAACTCCATCCACTTTTACCACCCTCAGCTATAAACCGCTGATGACTGTTCGGTCGATAAATGCGAGCGGGCCAATAACACAGTTTGACGGTGGGAGTAAGAATATAATTGATGATCCTTTGTTGAAAAATGAAACCAACTCAATCAATAATCTCGGACTTCCCTGAAGCCACTAGTACCGTGGTATTGCATTGTTTCGATGACAGCATCATTAGTTAGTACTACCCGGCCGTCTACCCCCCCCCCTGGCAAGGCACGGGTACCGCTCGGCATTCCGGCCATTCACCTTCCAGAGCCGTACCCTATCACGAAATGCCAAGCGTCGTAGGCAATCTGACACACCGCGCAGATTAGATCTCCAGGCTCTCCTCCGTACATGCAGCGCATGCAACGACCACCACCAGCCTTGTTAAACCGTGTGTCCGGTTGGAGGGCATCATCACAAAAATAGCCTGTCTACCATCGACAATGTTCCCTCTTACATAGAACATCCAAAGCAATAAGATAAGTCATCATTCCATCTCCGTCGGCTCCGAGAAGGGCCACGGTAGAAAATTCTGCCGCGTGAACAATACACGCGGCAGGGCTGAAACAAATTCAGGTAGACCAAAAGGGCGGGAAAGGCTGCTAACTCGGTAGGGCTAGCTAGCTAGCTTGTTGTCCGGTTCCCTGCGACGGACTTGATGTTGACCGATGTCCGAAGTGAAATGTGTGACTCCCGGCTTGGCCTGAGATTGAAGTCGTGGCCCTGCATGGAATCCACGAACATACACAAAAAGAAAAAAGGAGTACAGTAGGAAAAACTAGCCCATACCTCGGCATATCTGTAACATCATTTCGGAAAGCCCATGTGGGCAGCGAACAAACAGCTGACTACCCATAGGGCTACCTCATGGGCCACGCCGACTTCTACGTAACGAAGCTTGTCATACAACATCCCGTTTACGAAGCGCCCATCAGCCATCCCTGAGCTAAGATCCGACGTTGCACCGGCCCAAATCCGAAAGCAGCGACGCCATGCTAAAATTATCCGTTAACTCCGTGACGTGAATGAATACGCTTCTGCCACGGCCGCCCTGGGCCTAAATGACAATATGACGGCGTATACGCCCAACCGGCGCGCCCCACATCGGCGCCAGCCCGCCTCCGTGCCGACGACATTCTCACTCCAAGCTGTCGGTCTAATACAAGCTTACGACTCTCACTCGACGCATGGCAATTCCTGGCAATTCATGGAAATTCATGGCAATTTTACCCTGTTCCCGCTGGCATTCAAATTCTTTTTTAACCCACTGTATCTTGCAACATCATCATCATGTAAAAATCACACATGTATAGCGCCTTCCCATGCCTACCCACTCATCCCATCCCAGACCTCGTCATCTATTCCCCTCCCTTCTCCTCCGCCTCCTCCTCCGCCTCCTCCTCCGTCTCTTCATCGCCTTGCTCACCGTGCTCATCCCCCAGCAGCCCCGGCACCCACACCAGCAGACCGTCCTTATCAATCTTCATGCCCTCCGTGGGTATGATCCGCAGCACCTTCTGAAAGTACTTGTCCCGCACCACCAGCCCCGGCCGCACGTAGCCGCCCCTCTTAAATGGCAGCAGCCGGTACGTCGCCGTCCGCCGCGACATCGGCAGCATGTGCAGCGTCGTCTGCTTGGCCCCGGAGAACGCAAACTCGTCGCTCGGGTCCATCGTCAGCCCAAACGTGAGGAGATGGTTCGACGGGTTCTCGATCGTAATGTCCAGCTGCACCGTGCTCGTCTCGTCCGGCTCCCCGTGCAGCGCCGTCGCCAGCACCCGCGGTTCCGACCCCAGCACGAGGTATCGCCCGACAGGCATCATCGTCGTGTTGACCGGGCTGTCGGCCGCAGAGTCTGCTCGCTGCCACTTGATCTTGAACGCTAGATCAATCGACACCGGGCTTCGGTCTTCCAGCTGCACTTTCTGCGCCTCGATCTCGAACTGTGCTTCGTGCATCGTCTTTGGCTCCACCAGAATCCCATCTGCTTCTGTAATCTCGCTCATCTTGCGTACACTACAGCGTGCCCCGCCAATGCACTCGGTCACCTCAGCTTCCGTGTCCAAGACACGCACACTCTCCTGCGCAAATGAAGCGTAATGCGACAACAGACACCAGCGTTGGATGAGCCCGATAGGCGTCCATTGCTTCCCATCTTCCTCATTGATATCGTCCAAGCCTTCCGTATTAAAGAGGCTTGGCCACGGATCAGGGTGCAGTCTGGGGACGAGATCGTAATTTGCTTCAAACGCATTCACCAAGTTGAGCTGCACCGAGAACACTTGTATGATGGGCGTGGCCGCGTCGGTTTCCAGGTGATATGTCGCTCTCAATTGCAGATCATATGACGTTGAACCATTAATCGGGTCGATTTTGAGGCTAACTTGTCGCGAAGCCGAGCTTTCAATTTTGCCCAGGGCAATACCGCTAAGCTCAGACTCTTCGTCGGCTTGCGCTTCAGTTGCCCGTTCTTTGCCATCTGCATGAACGCGAAGTACCGGTATGAATTTACCAAACACGTGGATGTCTAGTTTCGCGGTCGCCGCCTCATCTTCGTTGTTTTGTAGCACTATATCCAGCGCGATCGTTTCGTTCGCGTAATATTGTGCCAGTTGTCGAGCAAGTTTGATGTCCAACTTTGGGGGACGTGGTTGAACGTTCAGTGTCCTAGAGTCGGCCCGAACGTAGCGAGCCTTTTTCGAGCCCGAGGTGAACCATCCAACTGGCTCATCCGTGTCTCTGAATGGTAGAGTCAGGGTCAGATCGAACGTCTTCGAGTCTATGTTCACCACAACAGATAAAGGCTCAGCGTCACCGGCCTCTCTCAGTGGAATTGCCATCTCAACAACAAGGCGCTGTCCTGCTTCCAAAGTCAGGTCGCAGTTGCCATGCACCTTTGTCGGAAGCTCCTCCTCCTCCTCCTCGGGAAATTCTTCCTCCAGTGTCACTCGCCGAATTGACACTGGGCTGCCTATCGTCTTCTCTTCCGATGGCGCATGCTCCAACATGATTGGCTTCAAGCTGCCTTCGAATTCGACTCGGACGTTTGACAGAGTAACCGGTGCCGACCCGGGCATAGCATTAGAAATTAAGGACAATTGAGCTTTGCAAAAGTCGCCTGCTCTGCTTTCCCGGTGCTGAAACACGAACGAAGTGGAAAGAAAGCCAGTCGCAGATTCGTCTGAAATAGTGACAGAGGGCTTTTCTTCCAGCTTCATACCATCAAGGGTTTTGTCGAGGTCGTAATGCCAGTAGGGGCGTTTTGTGAATTCTGGATTGTGTCAGCTGCGTTATAAATTCGTATACCCAGCACCTCAACCTACTTTTATCCAGAAGTTCCCAGTCAATAGCTACCACAAGCTCGCCTCGACCAGCTGCCACAGCAGCCCGGCGGATCAACCAACACAGTTCTTCCGAAATATCGACCCAGTTTTCGCTGCGAAACGACAGGTCTTCCCAGAGGGGCCGCAGCATTGCCAGCACATCTTGCCAGTCTTCTAGTCTCGCCATTTCGCGCGCACATTCGAGAGACAACTCAGCCGCGATGCGTAGCTGTTTTCGCCCTTGAAATTGTGTGCGAGCCGCAATCAAGCAGTCTATGATTAGTTGCGCATGGTTCACTCCGTCCCCTTCTATGGGATATTCTTTATATGGTGGCGGGCACAGGTATGTATCGTAATGTTGTGAGTCTTGTATTTTTGATTCGCTTGGGGGCGCGCGGTCCTCGTCGGGTATCATGAGAGCAAGGGTTCGTCGTGCACCGATATGCCGGGCAGCTATGCGGTACCAGTAGCCCGTATGGTGAAGGAGCTCCCATGGATGCAGTCGCTCCCCAAGAACAGCCTTTTCGGGTTGCAGGTAGAGGTTCATGGTTGACGGCGCAAGGCCGGGCAGTTCAACCCGTGCGATGAGTTGGGCCATGACCAGCGCCCAGCGCGCCTCCCATGCCTGCCATCCGTAGTTATTCGTCCCTTTTCCTCTGCGATCAACCAGGTCGCCGATGCGATCTCGGTGCATCTGCCAGCGACGCACCGCTAGACTCGGCTGGCTCATCCAGAGGTGGAGCCGCAGGCACCGTATTGAAATGATATCGGCAAGCAGGCGTGCCTCATTCCAGCGAGGACTCCAGCTCGGTATCGTGTCCATTACGTCCTGTCCTAAGAGTATCTCATATGATTGCTCAAACGACCGCATAGCCGGGTCGAACTCCTGCCTGAATTCCGAGAACACAGCACTTTTGAAGTCGTATCGGAAATTCCAGTCCGGCATTGACAGAGTCTGAGACGTGCCGGACGTTGGCGGAACTGTCGGTTGTGGAACAATGCCGCGGGATCGCTTCTTCCGTGCGTGGCGGCCAAGGTCTCTATAATATTCAATGGCGGTTCCATACAGACTAGCCAGGATGCTGTCTGCGACCTGCTTCAGATCCGCCGGCGAGTCTTGCGGGTGAATGTAGAATATCGATTTAGGATCCATAGCCGTGCCTTTTCGGATGTTTTCGAGTCGCTCTGATATTTGGTCCGTGATAGAGGGCGAGCTTCCGTCTCCTTCACGCTGCACAAAAATGACAGCCAACCGCGTCTTGTAGCCGGTCTCTTGCAAGGCCACTTTGATGCTATTGATGTCCGTCTTTAGTTGATTGTCTTGAAGCGTCGCCGCAGCCGGGTCGTTGGTCAGGCAATAGCAACAAGCAAAGACACTGGGCACGATTTCTTGGTGCTTCTGTACCCACTGCGCGTTCATCAAGCCGTCCGGGTACAGCGTCGAGGCCGGGCTGAGAGGCGAGAATGTCGAGTGCAGTATCGGATTCGGTCTTGTCGGTTCCGCACCTTCTGGGAGGGATGCGCGCCTCGGCGGCAGAGGGTAGGTCTTTGATAGTTAGCGCCCAGCGTCAACGAGCATCCGCGGCAGAGCCAACTCACGCGTCCAACGGTCTTGATGCGGAGCCGGTAGGGCTCGTCTCGCGAGACGCCCCTCCACGATTGCCCTTCGCTGTCTACATCTTCAAAATGCTGCGCCAGGAGCTCGGCCTCTTTGCTGTCCAGAGGGGGCAGGTCGGAGCGAAGCAGCACCGCTTCTTCTCGCAGGCTCGCGTCGAGCTCGACCTCGGAGGACGTCGACGTCAAGCCCGAAAAAACGAGCAGGGGTACATTGTGATCGAGGCTTCCTAGAGGGTATCCGTCCATAATGGTGCTCGCGCGCCTACATGCGCCTGGAGCTCTTCGAGAAATGCGAGGGGAACACCTGATGGCTTTACTGGAGAGCCCGCCAGTTAGCTCATGCCCCTCGTCAACTTGGTGGGTTGGTACAAGTGGGAGTTACCTTGCGCAGGGCCATTCTACGTAACAGGCACCAAAACTCGAATGATGTCGTGTTTGCGAGAGATCTCAGGCTTAGTCAAGCAATAGTCGCCCGAAACCATATTAAAGTTATTATTCAGAGAGTAGGTATACATGTGGTCTTGGCAGCAAACGTCTTGTAGCACAGCCGTACTAATTAGCATAGCTCCGCCAGCGCAATGATACAGTGTGGGTCAGTTCCCCAAGTCGCCTTCGGAGCCGGAACAACGCCAGCCGCCGGGACTTCTCTACACTAGGAAATTTCAAGATGCGCTCTACCACCGACCATCGTAACTCCCACGATCGCATCCCCAGAGTACAACACCGCGCCCGCGGCCCCAAAAGCGACATCGCATAGCGCCAAAGCCAATAACCCGGCACCATGAGGCCGACACTACCCCTGCGCGTCGGGCTCTACCGTCACCTAAAGCTCACGACCAAGGATGTCAACAAGGGCTTCTACAAGGGAAACCGCACTGGCTCTATGGGTCGCCACACAAAGTTTGGAGGATACGTGATTGAGTGGAACAAAGTGCGCACATATGCTGTGCCGCAGAACTTGAAAGACTTCAAGGTAGGAGGAAAACCCGACGCTGCCGCTCGGGGAGATGATCACATCCGCTAACGGGGAATCATTTTGGTGTAGCTTACGCCGTTTGTGAGTCGACAAGTCTACGCCGAGTCTGGCGATTACAAGGGTCTGGCGAAGGGCGCGTCCGACCCGCACTTCTACGTCGAGCAATGGAAACGGTACAACGGCGTGGACTAAAGGGCCGAGTCGCTCCGGGACGCTTCGATCCACAACTGACCGACACGTCTCTCCCATATATAGAAGAGGGCACTTCAAAGGAAGGAAGAACACAAGAGCTGGTGCAGTGTGCGGGAACTGCGACAGGTCTGTATATACCCCCCAAATGTACACTACCATGTATCAAACTGTACCAAGAATTGGACAATACAAGTTCTATGAATTCAAATATCTTATAACGACAAGTCAAATGCACGCACTCTTCTGATGCTATTGTGCAGCTGGTGGTATTGTAGGAAAATGCGCAGGCGACAAACGAAATGAACAAAATAACATTCACCTTCCATATCTCGGGCAATAGTCTCGACGTCTTACAAGCTTATGCCGCAGTGCCATTTTCCACGGACAGCGCTGGTGACTTGCTTGTCGCAGTCTCTGGCTTCAGGGCATCTCCGTCGCCTTCACCAGTCCCATATGCTAGAATGGCAAGCTGCCTGTTCGCCTCCTTGCCAGGGCTGGCATGTGATGTGAGCGTGACCATGCTCGCCGTATCAGCCTCCTTGTTCAGGCTGAAAGGAAGCGCCAGGCCCTTGATGAATGGGCGCTTTCCAGCCACGCCGGTTTCCGGTACATAGTCTGGGCTCAGCAGGCCAGGGTGCGATGCCTCCTGTTCCTGTCTCTGGTGCAGCAGCTGAGCAACGGGCGTGTCTTCATCGACAGCGCCATCCTGCGTCTGATGCTCGTCCACAACGGTCCTGCGGCGTGAGCGGCTGCGACTTGTCACATCGCCGGGGCTCTGTGCTGGAGTCTGCAGCTCGCCATTTTTCTCCCTGTGAGAGATGCGACCTCCAGCGTCTTCCTTGACCACCTCAGCTTCCGGCTCCTCGTCTGCTTGCTGCTCGCGCTCAATCGTTTCCTCGTCGTGCTTGGAACCCCAGAGAGACCAGAGGGATAGACCAAAGCTTCTCTTCTTCTTGGTCTCTACCATGTGAGACTCGAGTTTGCGTCTGCCTGCCAGCGCCGCAGGTGGCGGAAGCTCGCCCGGTCCAAAGTCTTGAAAGCCAGTGGCAAGATCGCTTACCAATTGCTTATGAACCTTTGCTTTGGCGCCCGCGTACCGAGTGTCATATTCGCGACGAGTAGCAAGCCACTTCTTCGCTGTTCCTGCCTTGAATACTCCAACCTCGGCCGGATCCATAGTACAAGCCTCTAATTCTTCCTCTGGCGCAAGGGGAAGCGTTACACCATGACGAGTAACACGTTGTCGAATCATGTGGTTTTTGAACGGTGGAAGAGGATCTCCAGCTTTACCGACTTGGCCAGATGCAGTTGTCGCAGTCTTCTCTTCTTCGTTGCGATTGTCTTGTTCCTTTCCGGCAATATCACCCGTCTGCGCGTCTGAACCTGAAGACGAGATTACTGAGATTCTATCGTCGTCCATGATTTCGATTCCACGGTGCTGGGCTCTTGCTAGCAGCCATGCACCGAACTGCGCGATAGACCGGTACATGAACTTTGCCGGTTTGGTGAAGCTCAATGTAGGCGCAACGTGACATAGGTCCTCCCAGACCTGCAGCTGGACATCCGTGGGCTTGAATTTAGCGAGCTGCTCTTTCTCTCTGGCTGATAGCCCCTCCATTTGTGGTGCGTGTTTCTGCGGGTTGGCGGCCTTATGGGCTAGATAGATTTGCTCGTCGCGCAAGATCTCGCCTCCACCAACCATGACAAGCAACGGCGGAAGCCCACCGAGCGTGGCTTGTAGCACAGGGCTGACAAGAGGGTGGGTGAGAAGGGCATTGGTGGTGTAAAGCTAGTCGTCATCAGGATCAGTGCCAATATTGAGCAACATATGAGATACTTTAACGGACCTGGATTTGATCTTTGATCGTCACGGGTTTTCCATCAATGTCGAGGGTGATGTACTGTCGTTCATCGGGTTTGTGCTCAAACTCCAGCGTAGCTGCAGCTTTGGCATCCCTGGACTCAGTTGCTCCAGTCCGTACTCGTTTCATTTGCTGCGCGTCCCGCTTAATATCCGTGATATCGTCGTCATTCGGGGGAGGCCATGCCTTGGAAGGTCTGTGATGAAATCCATTCGCGGGAATATAGTCCATCGGCGCGTCGCCGGCGATACTCTTGAAAGAATGGGTCAGGTCTACCCAAGGGCTGATGAGTATGGCGCCGGCCGGCAGCGGCAGATCTTGGTTGCGCAGAATCAGCAAGAGAGCCAGGGCCATGCCACCACCAGCAGAGTCACCGGCCAAGATGATGGTGCTGGGATCCTGGGAGGACAGCAGGTGCAGGTAGGCCGCGAGGCAGTCTTGCAGGCCGCAGGGGAAGGGAAACTGCGGCGCGAGTCGATACCTCGGGGCGAGCACGCGGGCCTTGAGCTTGCGCGCATGGCGCTGCATCTGGTAGCGGTGCTCGTCGACGCTGCCAAAGTAGTAGCCGCCGCCGTGGAAGTATAGAATGACGCGGTGGCCCGGGTCGCCCGTCCTCTTCCTCTCGTTGGCGTGGCCGCGCATCTCAATCCACTCGGCCTCGAGGGGTTTCTTGGGCCTGCGCCATTGCCACCACTGGCTGCCGCCGACCAAGGCGCGGCCGTCCTCGCCAAGCTCCTCGTTGATCAGCTCGGCGGAGCGCGACAGGTGCTGCTCCGGTATTTTGATGTTCTCGAGCTTCACCCACTGCGGAGAGGGCACCCATTGGCTAGTGAACGCCTGCAAGTCTTCAACGGTGTGGTGAGCCGCATGCTGGAGGAATGCGCGGACCAAACGGAGCCCCTCGTCATAGGACAGGTGCGCGGTGGGCTTCTCCCGTAGAGGTTCCCTGTTGAGATACTGCAATGAGATCGGCAGTTAGTTTGGGCACAGTCACAATCTCCAGAAAAAATAATTGATTTGACAGCCATTGCTGCAAGATGAACCCGCACCCGCACGGCTGTGCAGTTCCAGAGTCGGGGCGCAGCACACAATGCTCGCTCCTACTAGGCGTCGAGCTTCTCCTGACCACCCTAACCAACGTCTTGCAAACACAAACTCACATGTGAAAACAGTGTCGCCACGACCGTGGGTGTCACGGCGAACGAGACTGAGGTCGTACTGAGCTTTGTCATTGTTTGTTTTTTTCGTGCTCAGGAGTTAGAGAAGAAGGCAAGGGCAGAGCGTGATGCAATCGACGCGAGACTTATTATGGCGGTGGTTAGCGTAGCCGGGGCGTTCAGACATGAATCTATAGCGCCTTCTGGGGGTCAATCGCTGTTGGTGGCTGGCGACGATCGGGAAAATCGCTATGATGTCATGTCTACTTTCACACCCTGACCCGGAAGGGAAAGCCGGCACGAGCACAAGCTGTACCCGCATTACAAGCCGGAAGGGAGAGAACAATTCAGTTTGGGATAATTAGAAAATGAATTCCCCTGGTATTTATTGTAAAGCCCGGACTGGTAGTCTTAGAGCTCCTTGCCTTGCCCTGCTGCTCCACTCTACCCAGGTTCTTACATACGTTCTTAGATCTTCAGAGCTTCCTTGTCGCCACCTCTTGTAGTCCGTTTAGCATAGCTTTCTGGGCTCTCATATGTGCCGAATAGTCTATCCCAGAATGAAATCAGCTGTCCAAAGTTGCTGTTGAACCCATGATGGTGGACAGTGTGCCAATGGAAACCGCTGTCATCTGTCAAGTTGATTAGCCAAAATTTCTTGGGGTTACTTCCCTTGAAAACTCACGATCAAAAAACGTTGCCGCGTTTGAGTACACCAATATTGACATCTGAGCAAGCTTTGACATGGGGAACAAGAAGCCGTACATGTATACAGGCAAACTCAGAATCCAGGCCTCCACCGGGTGAAAGGCATAAGCCGAAAACGGTGTGGGAATCATATACCTATTTCAGAGACAAATCATTCATATGACTGTTCGAATAAACACGTCCTCTGCCCGCCATAAGACATACCAGTGATGCTGCCGGTGGAACCAGCGAAAGAGCAAGCGATGGTGCATCAAGCGATGCAGAAAATAAATTCCGCCATCCATCAATAAAACCGCAAGAGGGAATTGTGCAATCTCGTACCAAATTGGGACGCCTCCTGCGCCAAACGAGTACAGTTTTGCGTATCCTCGAACTTGGGCCGCAAATATCGGTGCCGTCAAGAGGTTTGCTAGGAGCAGGGTTTGAAGTGAATCGGTAATTTCACCACGAATCTGGTTGGGTCGATACTTTGGGTGGCGTTTCAACTTGAAATCAAACATGACATAATAACAAATTGTACCGAAAATCAGATATGTCAACGTGGAAATACTCCTAATCGCCAGGTTAGCTTCCCGCGCTGCCTGCTACAGGGTATTTACGTACCACAGGCCGAGGAACAGACTCAGCATTTGCCTGCACGTATGATCCCGCTGCCATGTTTCTGCATCACAGAGTATGGAAGAGATTCTCCATTTCATCTCGTTGGAAACGGGCCATTGCGGTGAGGTTGATTCGAATCTCTTGCCAGTTCTGCTCTCGAGCGACCCTCGGCAGAGATGGACGCCGACCTGTCCCTGCAAAGCGTTGTACACCTGATCCAACACCAAGTCGTCCAAAATCTGCAGAAATGTATCCATGGCTGTGTGAAAGGTAACTCTAGTTTTTGGACGCGTGTAGCTTCTGGGAACAGCACGCTGGCAAGCAGACACCAGATCCGCTTCGATATTGCGAAGACCACATGGCCTTTATATCGACGGTCGAAAGCCGCCGTGTTCTACCATGTCTCAATATTTGAGTGATGGTTGGAGCCATTGCCTTTCACGACCCATCTGCCTGCGTCATGCCGCTATGCTGATGCATCGTCACATTTTTCATCGGCGCGATCCTGCAGTCGACAGAATCCACCATCACCCACTTGCAAACCTGCATGCGGCCACCCTGAGTAATCTGCGGCAGATGATGACCGCCGAGAGGTCTGGAAGCCGCGATATTTTGGGAGCAATGCAGAATGGCATCAGATTCCAGGTAGTAAAACGCATCACCAATTGCTCGATTGCCGAGACATCTGGACAAGACAGAAGCTGAAAGGTGACGCGTGTTTCGCTTGACGTTACAAATCGTTCACCGAGCTGAGCTTCGAGAACAAGACAGTTCGAGCTGCGAGATATATAAAATAGTGGCTGGAAAGATTGCATAATGGCCTTGGGTAGGCACTACTGCAGAATATCGCAGATGCCATCCCGATGCATGTGCGTCAAAGCCTCAGCCCTAGCCTAGTTTTTCTTCAATAATTCACTTCCTTGTTTCGCATGTTATTTTGTCCGATGTTTGTGTGGCTTTACCGGTTCTAGTACGACTACTTAGATTCATCGCTTGCCGTGGCAGCCGAGTCGCTCTGATAAGAAACGCTTTTTGCTGCTGCCGCGGGAGGCGAAGCTGGACCGGACATTCCGACCAACATCAGGGCTTGATGAAGGCTATGAGGGTAAGCCTTCGAGCTTGCCACTCATTCATACCTGGGCTTTGTCTACTTGGCCGTGGGGCTTGATCCCCGTACCTCTACTTGGCGCTTCGTCGTGAGAATCAAGATGGGCAATTCATGTTTCGGTGTTTATTTTTTTCTCCAATCCAGTCACTCGAGTATTGCACATGCCCCCCTACAATCATCCAGTTCCTCAGTTTCTGCACATCCCGGCAAGTCTGGAAGGGGTGATGTGCAGGCACCAAACTTAACCTTCTTATTAAAACCACCACATACGTGGGTAGTTCCGTACACGTGGATTTGTGACTCGCCCTCTCTGCCCAGGGATGACCTGTACGAACGCGAATGCGGTGGAAGGTGATGGACTCTCGCATTCATGAGTATTCGATACTGTGAAGACCACGCACAAGGCGGCATCCTTTACTCACGAGCTGACAACTGACGGTCTGGTCCTTCGACATCTGGCGCCACCATTCTTCCCATTCAGGTGGTAAATTTTCGACAAACCGATCATTTGATCAACGAGAACATCGTCCCCTCTAAAGTAAAAGAACGGGTAGGAGGCGAAGAGCATCGAACAAAATCAAGGGATTGTCAGTACAATAATGTAGTCTGGGCATTCATGGATATTTACAACACAGTCGACTCGCCAAAGGTCAATTTCGTGACTGAACTTGTTCGCAAAAAAAAGTCTCTGGAACTCGCAGTTCGCTAGGCTGTGCCAAAGCGCTGGGGACGGAATCGAATTGCAATGACCCTCCTAAATCGGCAAAGCGAATGTCCCCCTCGTCTTCGTCAATCCAAGTCTCCCATTCCATCTTCCGCGCCAACTGCTTCGGTAATCCTTGGCTCAGTGGAGTGCCATCCGCATTCAACAAAGAAGCTGTTTCGGGCTCGCCAAGAATTTTAAAGAGTTCGTCCTTCGATAAAGAAGTCACATGAGACGTTGTGAAGACAACGTCAGATACGCTTATGCCCATCAAACCGTGGTAGTTTTCGTTCGGATGCACTTTCAAGTAGGCTCTTACCTCCTTGGGCGAATCCAGCCTCATGAAGACTTGCAGTGGCTTGCAATATCTGTCTGGTCAGCCGCAGGATGTCTTCCGGCTCGAGCTTTTCTCGGCGGTAGTCTTCGACAATTGTGTATAGCGATGGACCAAAAACTCAGTCACAATGCATAAATGAGAACCACTAGGTCCCTCATGAATGAAATCATCATGAAGATGCACGGTATATGTGTTTTCTCGCGGCGATTGAAGCGTCAATATTTCTCGTCGGCAAATACTTCTCCTGGCCTGGCATATTTTCAGTGTTGCCCATTTCTCGTCCCTAATAAGCTGTTTAGTAAATAATCACAGCAATGCTGTACACAAAGGTTTGACGCACTGTGTGTCCCTAGCCAGCCAGACCATCGAGAAGCCTCCCCATCCTAGTTTGTGCAAAACCTCATATCGACCGTCCTTAAATTTGTCGCCCAAACAAACGGGATGAAAGCCACCGGAACGGTACGACAGTAACTTTTCTTGATCATGTAGCAGATTGGAGGAGGGTGCGTTATGACTTTGTCCACGATCTGCTGAAGTGGCAGTAGTAAGAATACGACGGCAGACGTGTTGGGCCAAACACGAGGCGGACTGGCCTGCTTTTGTGTGACGTGTGACGTGTCCAACATGTCTGTTAATGGCACATTTTTCCTCTTTATATCAATAGCACTATTTTGATACTATCAGGTAACCGAAGTGGATTGGCTTAGCAGCGAAGTCCAGGCGGGTTATTGTCCACCTCAGATATGACCAGGCTTCGCAGGTAGTTAGGCATGCTACATAGTTAGCTCTAAACAAGCTAACTTTGGCTAAGAGACAAAACGCAGCGACTGGTGGGTTAGAATGGAGTATCTCGGTCATTCTGAGAATATTTATCAATTTTAAAACCAAGGAGAACTTCCATTGATTTGACTTGGAAGATGTAAGCTGGTCGCCGCTTCAAACCATTGCCGCAAAACCACCCCACCAATTAGTACCATTCCGCCCCTCCACCACCCCGCCAAAATGTGTGTGGGAAACAAAAATTTTATGATGGTGACAGTTATCTCTCTGCAATCGCTTTAAGACTCGTCAGATCAAGACCACGACGCAAACTTCGCAGCTGACGGTCAGAATCATGTCTTCGACTTCACAACTTCCCCCGGCTTGTACGTAATCTATCTGCTACCTCCCCGTTCTCGCCTTCCCCGACCTTTAAACGGCCTCGCTAACACGCCCTCTCTTCACCTTTCTCTAGCCACTCGCCAACACAACTTTGAGCAGGCCGTCGCCTACGCGCTACACCTCTGGCCCGCGCTCACGCTCTCCGTCGCCAACGGCTGGGGCGGCCCCGAGTCCGCCGAGAAGCGCGACTGGTTCGCCGGCGCCATCGTCGAGCTCTTCCCCGAATTCACCGACACCCCCGCGCCGACCACATCCACCACCACCACCACGCAGACGAGGACGACGACCGCCGCGGACGAGGCCGACACGGAAGACGTCGAGACGGTGCTGCTGCAGGTGATGGTGGACGAGTTCGAGGTCAACGTCGACGACGACTCGGCGCTCGAGGTGGCGCAGCAGATCGTCCGCGCGCGCGCGCAGTGCGCCGCCGGCATGTTCGACGAGACCAACGCGCTGGCGGAGCGCTTTGCGCGGCTGAAGGGCGGCGACAGGGCGGCGGTAGGGCAGATGTTCAAGCAAGGCGAGGACCCGAACCAGGACACGGACGACGAGCCGGACGATGATAGCGATGACGAGGACGAGGACGGCGACGTGGACATGGGGGAGGCGTCTGCGCCGGCGGCGGCCCCTAAGCAAAAGGCCGAGCCGCAGGTTGACGAAGACGGCTTCACCATGGTGACGAAGAAGAGGTAGAATGAGGCGGGGTAGCGGTGGTGTCAGTCTTTGCGTGCTTCCATAGGGACGGCGGCTGGAAGAGGGGGAAAAAGCTTCATTGATGACTGGAGACGGAATTTGTTGCCAGTAGACCGGTCTCCCAGTATTGATACCCAATGCTAGATACATGATTACGGTTATCGATTAAGACAAAAAAGAGAAAGAGGAATAGACACTGTTCCAGGTCGACAAAGACACCCAAAACGCCCGCAAATCGGTATCCCAGAACGCAAAACACTTATCAAGAAAAGCAAGAAAAGAGGCCGCCCATACGGCCAGGGTCAGCAGCGGGGCGCAGCAGCTCCTTTTACTCCCAATCGTCATCGCTGTCATCGTCCTTCTTCGCCTCCTTAGGGCTGCTCGCCGCTTGGCTCGGCAGGCCGGAGGTACCTCCAACCACGTCGTAGCTCGCCTCGCTGTCGGCCTGAGACTTCTCATCGTTAGACTTGCGAGTAACCTCGCCGGGCTTGAGCAGGCCATCCTTCTTGGGGTTGATGGTGGTGGACGACTCGACCGAAGCGGGTTTCTTGGGCGCCGCGGCGCTGGCGCCAGCGCCCTCGTCGTCAGATTCGTCATCATCCCAGCCAACCTCGTCCTCGGCGGCGGCGGCTACCGAACACAGTTAGCATAAGTGGGTAGAAAAGCGCGTTCCTGCGCATTAAAGAGTCACTGTACCTTTGAGGAGCTCCTTGCGACGAGACTCGGCATCCTCGATGCCCCGGCGAAGGAAGTAGTAGCGCTTCCAGAAATCGGCGTAGGTAATTTGATCAGGCACCAACTTCTCCATCGTTTCGCGTAGCTCAGGGTACTTTTCCAGGTCCGCAGCTATGTCTGCCGTCTTCTTCTCAACGTCAAACTCGGACGTAAACTTGTTGTATTCCTCGCCCTCAGGGTCCTTGGCGAAGCTGGAGGTAGAGGTATGGATGACATGGAGCTGGGCGTCGAAGCGGGACGTGTGGATTACGCGCTTGCCAGAGGCGTCCTTGCTCTCAAAGAGCAGGGTGCTCCCTTCAGCCCCGTCGGCGGGCGGTGCCACTTGGATGGCGTCTCGGAAGAAATCGCGGACGTTGCTGCCGAATCGAAGCAGCGCCTCGTCAGCCGCATCTTCTGCGCGTTGGAGATCTTGGAGACGCTTGGCGGCCTCTGTTCGTAGTCGTGAGAGATAGGTCTCGGAATCGGCGGCCGAGCCGGATGCGGTCGGGGTCCCCTCCTCGCCGGCAGCCGCAGATCTGGCTGCCTGATCGCCGCTGGCGTTTATCGACATGCCGCGGGTTCGGCTTATGATTGTTTCGCGAAGATCGGCAAAGCCCTTGCTGGCGTCTTCGCTCACCTCGGCCAGCTCCTTGGAGGCCTGGTTGTAGACGGACTCCCCCTAAGTCAGTCAGCACGCCGTTCCATCGTGGATGCGCCGGGTGTTGTCGGGTGTCTCGTACCTGCTTCACCATGTTGCCAAAGAAACCACCAATCTTGGCGCCCCAGGGGCTGGAAGAGAATGCCTTGTAGGCATCTTGGATCTCTTCGTTGAGGGAGGATTGAGGCTGCTCCGAGCCCTGCTCTGCCGGTTTAGGCGTATCTCGGCGGAAAGCCTCCTCTTGAATGTGGTCGTACGCCAGATCCATGCTTGCCTATTCGGTTACCAGATCGTGTTCCTCAAAGTATGCGATGGAAGCTGGAAGTGCTGAGATGCGGACAGTGATACAGAGCGCTGAGCTAACTACCAAATGCAGCCAGTTAGCTCATGGTGGGGTTTCGAGGCACGATCAAGCACAGACCACCGCCCACCGCCCATCGTGCACGTGATGATTGCGTATTGGCCTGGCTTCAGACTTGATTCCTTTTGCATGAAATTTTTCATCAATTTGCGACACATGAGTTGCTGAACTGCTTGTCTGTAGCGCTCTCCCAGAGTCGCTTTTACCGGACAATGTGACACAAAAGCTGTGGCAAGTAGGGGGGTAACCACATCTTCAGATGATGACCGCCCTACAAACGGGGCAGCGATTATACTCACGATGACATCAACATTTGGGGGTTGGCATGAAATATAAAATATATCAATACGGGCGGGATGTTTCTCGTAGAGTAATGCAAACGTGGCCTGGTCCGTCGCTGTGGTTGCCCTGTCGGAGCCGTCCGGGTACAACTAGGCTCAGCCGCACCGCCAGGATGCCTCGCATCTCAGTCCGCCGCTATAACATGCCAGGAGTCATCAGTGCAAACGCCGTTGTTTGCAGAAATCTCCTGATTTTCTTCTCCTCACCACAATGTCCAACCGAGTTAATCATCGCTAAATGACATACAACTTATTTAACGGACTCCGAATTCTTTTTCGGCCGCTGCTGGTCGGGCTCTTCAACACCCGCATCTCCTGGGGCATAAGATGGCGCATGTTGGCCCTTCAGCAGTTTGTCTTTCTGACCTATTCAATCCCAGTGGCGCCGTATCTGTTTTCGCGCCCGTTCATCACTGAATACCTACCAGTTTTCACCAAGCGATCCGTCCGTACGCTCGTGTTCAAAGGCAAGGGCAAAGGGTCTGGCCGTAAGCTGCGTCCGTTGCATGTCGACATCCACGGAGGCGCCTTTATCGGTGGCCTAGCGGAGCAAGATGCGCGCATGTGCGAGATGTGGGCGAACGAGACTGGCGCAATCGTTCTCAGCATCACGCATCGTTTTGCCCCCGAGCACGTCTTTCCTACCGCCATCGATGACATTGATGCTACGGTGCAGTGGATAAAAGACAATGCAGAGAGCCGATGGGGAGCAGATCCTACACTCTTGACAATATCTGGCTCGTCTGCTGGAGGAAACATGGCTGTGGCATCGACGCAGCAACCAAGCTGTCATGGGCCCTCACCCACAGCGTACAAGGGCATCATCACGGCATACGGCGTTTATGAGCTGAGACTTTCGCCGTGGCAAAAGCCTGTTCCTGAAAAGATGCCAAAGAGCGATCCGACTGCTTTTCTTCAGCCGCTCTTTGATTCATACTGCGCGCCCGCCCGGGCCAAGCACATGGATGACCCACGTCTGAGCCCCATTCTAGCGGAGAGGGAAACGCTGCCAAACCGCATCCTGATGGTAATTGCGGAGATTGATATACTCCTCGAGGAGCAGACGCAGTTTGCGAAGCGCATCAATGAAGAAGATGAACGCGCTGGTTGGGTAGGCAAACCTCGCGTTGAAACCATGTTTGCGCCGGAAGGCTTCCACGGCTGGCTAGAGTGTAAGTTGTTTCCGCTCACAATCCTGCTCACTTGCTAAAGGTCCTATCATACAGTGCCGGATTCTATCATTAAGAAGGAGCTGAAGGAGGCGTACTGGGCCCGATGCGTCGAATTTCTCCGTGAGATCCATCAGTCTGAAGGCTGGAGATGGGAGAAGGATGGCTAAAGGAGCAGTTCTCCTATCAGTTTTGTATGAATGCGATGTTGCTGTTGGTGCCATTGGATTCTCCAACGTGTTTGTTAGTGTCAAAATAGTTCGATTTCAACATGCACACCACTCTCATCAAGGGGATCGCTTTCTACGTCATTGATCTTCAATGTCTGCAGGGTATCACATGTAGCACCGACCAACGTCACTGGTAGGATTGTGTGGAGCTACAATGTAAATGGCAGTCCCTAAAATTAAACAAAAGAAGACGGATAGCCAATTGTAGAAGTCGATGCTGAAGGATGCTGAAACATGTTCCTAGTTATATGATTGAAAAGCGGGAAAGTTGCAAGTTGCAAGATTGTACTTCAAGGCTGGTCGGTGGGTAAAAGTGATGATGGTGAGCCTTACGCAATTGTACGACGAGTCGTTACAACGAGAAAGTATACAAACTGGGCCTCGCAAGGCTTCAAACGTGATGTTGCGACGCATGCGGCTTTATGCAATAAAGGCGAGGAAGCATAGCATTCCGATTGGTGATGCAAAATGCGCATGCTGTACAGCCGCAGATTGCCGTCAGCCAAGGTTGTAACCAGTAATTAGCCTATGCCTAGGCAGGCAAAAACCAAGGAACTCTTAACGTCTATTGAAAGCCACATCATGTTTTACACAGCCGTGTGGGTAATTCCGGAAAAATCTATGGAATTCTCTCGCTTTCCATTTATTCCATAAGTTGATGCAAGGTGAAGAAGCAAGGTCCAGTTAGGGGTCGAGACCGGTCTACGGTTGGATCCCAGAGCACTAGCCACAGTCATTGCAAGTAAGTCGTGGCTGTAAAACCGGTTTTCTGCCGTGTTCGGGGGTTCCATGGTTCCCTCGTAAATGGGTTCGTGTGGCTCGGGCGGGACCCTGTGGCTCAATCGGCCAAAATGATGATGCGGAGGCGCACTGCTTGATTCTCGCGATCGCCGATTTGGCTGTGAGAACGTAAACTGGCAATGGCGGCACTTTGACGCATGACTCCGCTAGAGTGTCTTCAGTGACGGGTCCGCCCTCTGTGAGAGCACTAGATCAGCTGTAGCGGAATGGGTGCAGCGCGCTAGCTAAGTGGATGGAAGTACACATACGAAGGAGGGGAGAACGTGCAGGAAAAAATAAGGGACATAATAAACTATGACCTTTGATGAGCAACTTCAGACCTGAATATCAATGGCGGTTGGCGGTTGTTGGGTCGGTAATGGTCGTTGGCGGGCCATCATGCATCGTGGCTGGTGCCACAGTGACAGAGTCATGTCGTCATTGTGGATGGAGTTGGTGTGGCTGGCCGGAAGCAACCGCCGGCAACAAGCCACCTGTTTAGCGCGAGACACTTCGCCCGCCACAACTTGGAGGGGTTATTGAACCGACCACACCGCGGGGCATACATTGACTGTGACGTAGTTTTCCTCTTGTTGATACGCATTTACTTTCTCTCCACTGGCAACCCCTGTCCCGCATCACTCGAGACAGGCACGGAGCCGTAAATAGGAGCTTGCGCAAGCCACACCAACTCGCACTGATCTGGCTAGCTTCAGCCTCCCAACACATGAATGAACGGGAAAGAGGGGTGTAGCATGTGAGGCGGGGGTTGCTTGTCCGCTCTCTCCCTTAATCGTGTAATTGTATTCGTAATAGACACGGACGACCGAGTTGCGTAGCCGAAAAGTCTATATAATCCCATCCTCCCCCCTCCATCTCGACAGACTTTCTCTTCCTCCTCATCACACACAAACACTTTCTACAATCACTTACTCAACTTCCACATTACCAACACTCACAATCTTCACAATGGAGACTGCCAAGCAAGCCGCCAACTACGTCTCTGAGACCGTCCAGGGTGCTCTCTCTGGTGCCTCCAAGGAGACCAACAAGGAGGTTGCCAAGGACAACAACGCCAACGTTGGCACCCGGTATGCGAATCCTTTTGTGCCATCCTCGCGCTTCCATGACTGGTTTGCTAACTATCTTCTAACAGTCTCGGTGCTGCCAAGGATGCTCTTGGTGACAAGATCGACGAGAGCGGCCACAACGCCAAGGCTGACGCCCACAAGGAGCTCGCTAAGAACTAAGAGAACTCCAATGCTCGATGATAGCTGTGCTTCTACGCCATGGCTGGATGCGAAAATACAACGTTGATGGTGGTTGTCGAATGACTTCAGAAGACCCACGACAGCAACAATAAATACCCAACATAATAATAAAGAAACAATTTTACCGAAACGGTGTTGAAATCGACTTTTGAGAATACGTGATGTTTTTGAATTCTTGCACGAGTTGCTTTTGCTGAGGGTGTTGCGGATAACACAGTGTAGCGGGTCGCCCTGGTGTAAGTGGGCTGCAACGCGACAGCCCTGACCGATTCCGTGCGCAACTTTGATGAGTGGGAGTAGAGGTGAGAAACAGCGAGAGGATAGCGAGCATCTTAAAATGTGTCATAGACAAAGAGAGTTCATTGTGATGACGAGTCTGCGAAATCAATGAGATACCGGCTAGCTGTGGCAATTGGTTGGTGGAGGAACTTCAGTCTCCTAGCTTGCTGCTGTTGGTTGGCTCACAATATAAATATATTAGGCGGTATGCATCCATCTCCCGTCGATGAGATCCGGCCATGCAGCAAGGCGCATCATAAAGGTTGTGTTTGAACCGGCCGCGCAGATGCACGCCGGTGCGGGCGCCAGCTCAGCGATTAAAGTGGATCTAGCAGCGAAATAAAGTTCAAAATGGGCTGATGAGCATGACTGGTGAAGCTGTCTGATGCAGAAAATATATTGCAGACTGTTAAATGGGCTGAGCGGCATATTTGAAGGTCCAATAGAGTTATGGGGTTGAGTACGTGGACGAGGCTGAGGCGACGAACGTTACGTATAGCAAGGCGTAGACACAATTGCTCGGCGATCGGGAATTTTATTGACGATTGCATGGCTCGGGTAAGAGGATCAGATCAAACCACAAGGCAGGCGTTCCTTACCATCAAGGTGAAGGAGTAGAGAGGGTACTGGCAGTGCGGGTCCTTGCAACAAAATTCAGTTATGAACTGTTGACTACATTTAGGTATGATCTGGTCAGCTTCTGGCGGTAGATGGCATGACAGCAAATAGGAGAATGCCTGGTATCAGTCAATCGGCTCGTCGCTACGCGCCAGATCCGACTTAGACCTCTTGTTTCTGTTTCAATAGCACATGGTGTCGCTGGCCTTGTCCAGGCCCTCCCTGGCCAGGCCCGTCACAGCCACAGTGTCAAGCTTTTTTTTTAAACGGTGCCAGGGTCCTCTAGCCTAGGCTCATGTCTGCGCCGCGCATGGCAAAAAACACGGCGAGTACCTATCCGTCCCCGCAAATCCATATGGAAGCGCAAGGTCACTCTGCTTGCAAGTCACGGGACCTGGCCTGCTGCAAAAACGACGAAGCACCAACGGCGCTGATTGGCGGGGGCTGCCAAAAAACCAAGCCTTCAAGCTCCAAGCCATCTAGACTCAGCACCAGGCCGTTCCGGGATTGGTTCCGGGGAGGCTCGAGGCCCACTCTTGCTCACGCCCTTCAACGCTTACAAATTCACTTTTTGACTGGTAAATTCCATGGGACCCACGAAGCCAGACGATTGATTCAGTGGCCGTTAGGATGCTGTGAGACGCTGTGATGCCCACTGCCTGCCTGCGCTGCGAATTGATTGATCTTCATTCTGCAACCAGCCTCCTCCCTGCTCTGTTCCTCCTCTCCTCCGCCACAATAAGGACGACATCAACAACGAAGCCTGATCCTGCACCGCCCAGCTCCGAAACTTGCCCCGGTCCAACTGCACAGTGCATCTCCTTTCTGCCCCGAGCGATCCCTGCCTTATATACTCCTTCCCATCCACCGGCTGTCAGGTCCATTTACCGGTGACTGATGCGGGTGGGTCGCGCCCATTTGATTCCTCACCCAGAAACCGCCGGAACTGCTGGCCTCTTTGCCTCTCGCATCGACACACCACACAACCCTTTTCCCGGATCGTTGAAATATCCATATCCTCGCTGCGGCCGTTCGTTGTGCCCTTAAACCCCTCGTACACTGTCATCTTTGATCCCATAATTGGGCGCCGTCAAGGCGAGAGCCTAGCTTCATCCTCCAGTGGCAAACCGCTGCACCACCGCAATTCCTATCTCTCTGCCTCTGCCACTGGCTGCCCCGCTTCACAACCATTCATCGCCACGGCGTCGCCTCCCTGATCGATCTCTCTCAGCAGCCCTAGGCCGACCGATTCTTTTCTGCCTGGCTTGATTTCAGTCCTTTTGAACCCATTATTCTTTTCGCTGTACCAAAAACTATACCCCGTTACACTCCCCCGACAATGTCTGCAAACACCAACGGCGCTTCTAGCGAGGGTTTCTTCTTAACTCCGCACCAGCAGAATCTGCTGTTTGCTGCCCTCAACGCAAACAAGCCGCAGCCATCGGCTTCTGCCGCGCCGAACCCAGTATCGCTGTCCCCCAGCTCCTTCAAGAACTCCCCTGGCAATGGCGCGGCCGTCACCGGAGGCTACCAGGATAGTCCCTTCCTCGACAACTATGAATACGAGTTTGCCGACTCCAGCTTCGACTTTTCCTTTGCGGACAATGATCAGACTACCATGATTGGCGACATGCCTTCTACATCTGACAAGTCCGACACACCGGACGATGATCTCCATGAGAAGCGAAGCTATCCTGACGAAGATGATGACGCTTTCGAGAATGACCCCAAAAGGCGAGAGGGTGGCGAAAAGGTTCCCAAGAAGCCTGGCCGCAAGCCACTAACCTCAGAACCGACTTCCGTAAGTCAAACCCACCCGTATAAGTCCGATTCTAATTGCTAACGCACAAGATAGAAACGCAAGGCGCAGAACCGTGCTGCTCAGAGAGCATTCCGTGAGAGGAAGGAAAAGCACCTCAAGGACCTCGAGACCAAGGTTGAGGAGCTAGAAAAGGCATCTGAGGTTGCTAATCATGAGAACACAAGGCTTCGAGCTCAGGTTGACCGCATGAACACTGAGCTGAAGCAGTACAAGCAAAAGATGTCCATGCTTGCCCAATCTAAGCCATCACCACAAGCGATGCCCTTTCCTAACACCACTGTCAACGGTATCAATGATGTCAACTTTCAGTTTGAGTTCCCCAAGTTTGGTGCTCTCCCTGGCCCCCCTCTTAACAAACCCCAGAGATCTGTTTCACAGCCTCTCAGCCCGCAGCATGGCACCTCGGTCTCCAGTCCTGCACTCAGCATGAGTAGCGACGTGAAATCTCCCCAGCAGTCGGCGGCGCAGTTCAAGGAGGATCTGGCCAAATTTTCCAACATTTTCTCTCCTTCGATGAGCAGCTCCGTCGCCAATGGCTCGCGCGCGAGCGTTGATTCCGCCAACTACAGCTTCCCGGGGGCCACAAGCTCACCATCCGCTTCGTCAAACTCCAATGCTGGGCCCAGCTCATCCTGCGGCACCTCCCCCGAACCATTTACACAGTCCCCCATGGGATTCAAGCCAATCGATGCACTCAGCACAATCGGTGAGGAGCAGGTATCTACGAATAGCACACAACAGGCATTTACCAACTTTGCCAATGCCGACTTTGGCACCAACAGCCTGGACTGGCTGGCGCAGCAAAACGGTGGACAGTTTGATCCTCAGCTGTTCAACAACTACAGAGAGCCCCAGCAAAATATCATGGCCAACCCATCCTTTGACGATTTCTTCAACGACGCCTTTGACGCCGACTTCCTCACACCTTTCAACACAGCCCCCAACCCCAACCTTACAAGGAAGACCAATCTCATGGCCGAGATTGATGCTCAGCAGAAGGCTGTCGAAGACGATGTCCCGGTTATCGGCAAGAATAGAAGAGCGCACGAAATTTGGTACGTTCCGCAGCACGCTTGGTTCTATTTATGCAAATTTGCTAACTATTTATGTAGGGAGAAACTACAGGAGTGTCCCAAGGCCCAGAGCGGCGATTTTGATCTCGACGGGCTGTGCAGTGAGCTCACCAAGAAAGCCAAGTGCTCCGGCAGCGGCCCCGTGGTTGGCGAGGTCGACTTCGACACCATACTCAAAAAGTACATGGGTAAGGATGTCGCCTCCGAGTGCGTCGCCGACAAGCTCGGCATCGAAGTGGCCAGGAGCAAGCCCGCCAAGAACTAGACGGTGGTCGCTGGCGAAGGCCATTCGCTATGTTTATGAGTGCACAACGCAAAAACTATCAGTTTATCAAAGGATTGTATTGTAACGGGGAGTTGGGCAGCAATGGTTATTTCTTCCATACGGCAAAATCACAAATCAAATCAGTCTTTTTATGGCGTTATATGCGGAGGCTTGCTACGACCACAGACGATGCAAGGACTGTGGTCTTCTATCGCGGCAAAAGGTCCGCCCTCGAACGAACCCGAACTCGTCCTTTGCAATCGACAGCGACAATTTGGTGTGTTTGGATGAGTGGTAAGCCCACCACTCTTTGGGACATGCTTCGCCAGCCTCTATCAATCTTACTTATACTTGGATTTTCAGAAAGAAAGGGGGAAAAGAATGAAGAGATGTGTTCAAGTGCTTTTTTTGCTGCGGTACCGCTGCGGCGTTGGGTATCTGCTTGCATTTACAAATTTTATATGTTCGTCCTCGAGGTTTGCGCTGGTGTAGTATGCTTTATGTCGGTCTTTGGTTTGAGGTCGTGGAGAGGTTCAACGTTCATTGTTTCAATGTCTCTGGAGTTTCATTTTTGTAACTTTTGAACTAGGCAGACAACTACTGGTACACGCAATCGTACAACATCGCCGCTTTCAATACAATATGGCAGGCAACATCTATCTGTCCCCTGTCAGGCATCCCGCCTCTACTAGGTATCCTAGGTCTCTTACGCCTCTTCAGAGGTAGGTATCGCATCTCTCTTGAGTATCTTAGGCATCTTCTGTATCCCGCCGTTCTTAGGTATCTTGCCTCTCTTAGGTGTCCCACCTATTTTGGAGTGATACCTGACAGGAGGGAAAACCTACATATTACCACCCACAACCCGTCTCTGCCTCCCCGTTCATTCCGGGATGCCTGCACACAATAGGCGGAGCCTTAGCAGACAGAGGCCAAGGCTCCAGCTGCACCCAGAGCCATAGATCACATTATAGAACGGTGTAGGATAACGTTCAATAATAAGCGATATATTTCCTCGTTGCGCGTCTAATAAACGTGATAGTAAAACAAAAACAACCGGGAATGCAACACGCACAGGAAAGCAGGCAACAAGGCCCACCGTCTGCACACTCCAGAAGGATCAAATGGCAGGGGACATATCTCGGGACCGCAATGCTATGTATAGTATGTAGAGAAGGAAGTATGACAGAGATAGCTCGTGTTGTGCGCTGGGCAACAAGTCTAGAATCCAGAACTAGAAACAGGTAAGAAATGTGAGTACAGCAGAGGCTGCGGACTTGTTGGAGGATCCTCAGCAGCAATAGAAAGTGTAGGGTGCGGGGATAAAAATGGACAGGGCGAGAAGAAGCCTTGCATGTAGAGTGGTTGTGTGTAAGGTATAGCCTCTATCCGCGGCCTAGGGTATAAAAACAGTTCTCTCGACAAGCGAGCAAAGCAAAAATGTCGGAAACCAAAGAACCAATCAACTCCAATGTGAGAATAGCGCCAGCACGGCCTAGCTGATGACCACGCGCGCGCCTTCCTTGCCTAAAACACCGCGCTCCTTAGGCTTGGGGCTGTGATTTCGCCCCTTCTTGCCCTTGAGAAATCCAAACATGCCGCTAGAGCTCTCGCTCTTCGAGGCAGCTGTTGTGTTCGCGTCAATAGGCAGTGTCGCGTCTTGGCGAGCGAGATCAGACCAGCTACCGCCGCCATCAAGGGTGACTTGGACGCCACCGGTGGGACTTGCTATTCTGTTGCCATTGGATGGGTTGCGTCTAGAGACGTATTCGCTCCGATAGTTGTGAGGTGCCGGATTGCTGCGGACTGGCTTCGGATAAGTCGCCTCGTCACTCCCAGATGTTCGAACCAGCCGCAAATCACTTGTGGAAGGTGCAGGCACTGCTGCATCAGTAGTAATGGCCCTCGGACCGTCCCCTTGGGGCTGCAACGGCGGTGGATGTCTCGGATGTTGCGGGATTCCGGCCTCTTCCGCGGCCTCTGTGTACCTGTTGTCGTGGTTAGCGGAAACGATCGGGATGTGACAGGAGCTGAGGGCGAAGCCAATTTACTTTTTATACGCAGCCACCGTATAATCAAATGGACGGAAATCTGATTCGATCATGCGATAAAGTTCATCCTCTCGAATTTCTTGTTGCGATGCGTCTTCCTTTAACCGTTCACGCGGCTTCTGTCGTCGCGCCCTCGCTTCCAACGGGGCTTCCTCCAGCAGCAATTCCTCAAGATCATAAGTAGCATCAAAGTTCGTCTTCTCAGAAGAGGGTATGAAGATGGGCTCAATTCGCTTTTGCTCCAGGAGATCGAAGTTGATGTCGCGGAAAAACTCATGACTGGTGAAGTGATCCCAGGTATGGCCTAGGCGAGTATTCGGATTTGAATCAAGAGCCGAACCAATGGCATACAGGCAAGGGAGGGAGACTGGTGGTTGTGTAACTGGGTATCGGGGTTGTTGGTGTTGAATCTGCTGACTTAATGTTGATTCGGATGTTCCATCAAAGGGACGCTGTAGAGGTCAGCTTATCGGGATCTTCAAGTAGGTTGATCATCCGGGGACATACCTTGTTGTAGATACACTCGTAGAAGAGAACGCCGAGTGACCACCAATCTGCGCGGACATCGTAGCCTTTGCCAGCATATACCTCAGGCGCAAGATAGGCAAGCGTGCCAGACTTGCTGGTGAGCACTCGCCCTGGAACGACGTCGGAGGCAACATTCTTCTACTAGTCAGTATGCGCTGCATGCAGATGGCAAACAATGGTTAAACGTACAAAATCCGTCAGATGTACATGGCCATCTGCGTCCAGAAGAACATTATCGGGTTTGACATCTCGGTGGATGATATTGTTGGCGTGAATATACCGCAAGGCGCAAGCCAACTCAGCAATCCAAAAGCGAACGGCTTCTTCGGTAAATGTTTTCCGGGAAATATGAAAGCGCAGGTCGCCACCGCTCATCAGGTCGACAATCAGATACCTAGAACGTTGTGTAAGTTGAGATATGAGCTGAGAGCAGGCCGCGAGTGGCGGGGTTAAGCGCACATGTACTCAATATCCTGAAAACTATAGCGCAAATTGCAAATAAAAGGATGGTTTACATGCTCGAGCATGCGACGTTCACGAATGATGTTGCGTACGCTCTCGGATTTGACAACTAGGAAAATAGGTTGGCTGTTAGCAAGACATTGACTCACCAAAGGGACAAGGGTCTAATAGATAGATGATCAAAGTTTACCTTCATCTTTGCGAATATACTTCAGGGCAAATGACAGTCCGGTGTCCTTTCGCTCGACAATTCGGACTTTGCCAAAGGCGCCGCGACCGACAACTCGTAACAGGCGGAAATGGTTGAGACTAACTGCTGCAACGTCAGAACATTACGTCAAACAATTGGCTGCAGAGGTATGGACAGAATGGGAGGTGGCACACGCGTGCTTGAGCACAGCGCAGCGGTTCTCGGTGAGGTATGGCTTGGGGTGACTCCGAAAGGCAGATGTGTGTTATGTGGTGAAGCTCGTGTTGCCTAGCGCTCGTAGAAGCACGAGCGCAGAAGTGGAAGCATACCTTCGCCGTTGAGGTCGACAGGCTTTCCCTGGCCGTTACCCATGATGCGGGCGGCGATTTGTGGAATAAAAAGTGGAAGGGATTCAAAAGCCAACCAACATGCTGAAGGGAGGTTGAAGACGAGGAGGAGATGTATTCAATGCGGCGTCGCGAGCGAAGTCGTGTGGCAAACGGCTATTGTTGCGGTCGGTCGTTTGCTGCGGATGGTAGAAGGCAGGCTGGCGAGGAAGAAGAAGGAACCGGCGTTGGGTGTTGGAGATTCAATTGTCGCAGAAAGTAGGGGATTCGCGTGATCGATAGAGGAGGGCGGGCGAGGGGGGGCTGTCTCGAGGTAAATATGGCGAAGAAGCCAAGATTGAAGGAAGCTGTGTTGCGGGAAGGGAAAGTCGTGCAGTGGCCAGGGACTTGGTCAGAGAGGAAGACGAGACAAGCAAGGTGAGTGCGAATGAGTTGCCTGTTGCGGGTGGGCCAAACCGCCAACCGCTGAAAATGGCTTCCTTTTTTAGCGGGCACAGCGGGCACGGGGGGCACAATGGGCGGGGAGGGACCACTGGGGACCACTGGGGACCAGCACCCACAGCACTTGGCTTCGCTGGAACCTGAGCCTGGCCCTGATGAGAGGGCTCTGAACAGCGTCTGCTGGGGAGGAGACTCAAGTACCTTGCCTTATTACAGCAAGCTGGCGCCTGGAAGCGCGGAACGGGGTGGAAGGTAGCAGGCACTTTACGCACCTACCCACAGGACTGTCTCTGGTCGCGTGCAGTGACAAATATTCCTTGCATTTTTTTTTGTCCATGAGAAAATTATCCGTCAAAAGATCTATGCAAGGTACGGCGCTCCAGACACATGTAGCACATGTCGGTGGGCAAAGCACTGATAGAGAGAACTCCATTGCGGGTCACCTCATTTAGCTCCAGCAAACAGACCGCGACCTCCTACTAAGAAACCCTGTAGGCCGTCAAGCAACTGACGGGAGACAGACACATGATAACAAGAGACTTGGGCCATTTCAGTCGGCAGCAGCGAAGGCGGGAAATCAAACCAACTCTTCGGTGCGCGTAACATCCACCGTACATCCATTGTGACGGATTGCAGCAGATAGATACCCTCCACCTTATCCCCGGACGGGGCGCAGATGAACGAGGTCCTGGTCAGATGCCGTCTGCTCGCTGTCGACCTTTACACAGGCGGATGGATGGATCTACAGCAATTTGCCCACACCGGGACCACCTGCAGGGACATTGCAGCACGTTTTAGCAGAGTCAGGCGCGGAAAGTCCCTGTAACCCTTCTAGTCGGGCGAATGACTGGCGCTCTCTCATTCGTCGTCCATGCATCTCCAAACCTGCGACTTCCAACCATCACGCATCTGATGTGCATCTCACTTCAGCCACGCCCCAGAGCTGATAGTCCTGCTCCGCATCATCCCTGGACACCCGCAAGCCCCTTTGCTGCCCTCCAGCATGGGCGAATGTCACCAGCAGCCACAAGGGGCTTCGGCTTGCTGCGTCATGCCGATTGCCACCTTGACCACGGCCACCATACAAACACAAACACCCACCACCACTGCGGCTGGGTCTCCTCTACTAGCTTGCATCTCGCAATTCTATAGCCATCACTTCCGGCAAGCCTGTGATTTAACCTACAACAGACGCTTCACCAGAGGCGATCTGATTCGATACTGCACCTCATCATTACCCAGCAACACGACTCTGGAACCTAGCGTCAGGCGTGCAGGACAGCTTGCCAAGGATTGGCATTGTCAGGTCGACTCGCTCCTCTCGTCTGTCCGCCATCACGCCGGCTGAAGTCGACCTGGGACTGCAGCCTTGTCGGCTTTCATGGAACAGGGTCCCTGGGTGCCCCATGGAAATGCGGGCGGGCTTATTATTAACAAGAACGTTGGCTGACACACAACTGGGAGACCCCATGCTAGCAACTCGCTATCAAGCTTGCCATCATCATTGGCGCCATCCTCCACCTCCGCCCAGTCGCCCATACGAATAAACAGCGTATGATCCCGTACTCGTCGACCGCAGCCTGCCTGCAGACGTGGCGCCCGGCTTTGGTTGCTGCCCGACAAAGTCTTTATTAACGAGCATAGCGTCCCGTCCCATCTCGATACACACCTCGGCATCTTGCAGTCCCAGCTTGTCACCGCCAACCTCAGCATCTTCGCAGACACCGCGGCGCTGCCGCAGCTGTTTCATGTATTGCCTTTTTTAACCTTTTCGTGGCACAATCCATGAATGCGAAAATCTTATTGGACTAGTGCAGGGCCAGCCATGAGCGCGTCGCTAGCGGGCCCGGGGTCGCCGGGCATGAACGCTGAAAGGACCACCACTCACTCCAAGGTTGATTTCTACTGGCCAACATCCGTTGACATCCTGTCTCCGGATCATGGCCGCTACTACTTGCACCGCTAAACCCAACTTCGACAAGAACCTGCTCCCCATAGCTGAACCTCCAACATTTAGTTTTCGCGGCGGAGCTGACCGAGGTTTCTTGGGAACAAGTCCAGAGGATATCACAGCATCAGTTCGTGAAGGTCTGCGAGGCGTCGCGCCTTCACGGCCCGCCTTGGTGCCTTGCGCCTAAGTTAGTACCATACCCCAAAGTGAGGCTGGCGTTGCATATTCGACGCAAGAGACGGTCTACATCAGAGCTATTAACTATTATTCATATCAAACCTCGGGCTCGTCTTATCTTCCAGGTTTCTTCAATATCCAAACTTGTGGCCTGTGGTCGGCTCCTGCCGCCCGCTATACCCCAGTTGGCTGAACTTACTCATGGGCACTATGGTTGTTCGGATACCCAGCCACTGCTTGGCAAATTTCACGGCCAGGTTAAAAGAAACTTGAGCCGTTTCTATCAGAACAATAGCCCCTTGTCGGGCAACTCGCAGGCTGCAGCGGACGCGGATATGGCGAGACTAGCAGGCCCCTTATTACTGCAGCCTTGTCCAGAACAGAGGGCGCCACAATGGGGGTGATGGTGCCGCTCGAGAACATTCCGTGGCTTCCAGAACAAATGCGCCGGCACCGTGGTCGAGACATGCTTATTGGTTTTCGGCACATACAAATCACAGTGGGAAGGGTCTGTACCCAGTATGAGCAAGTTCAGAACGGTGTACTGTGGTCTGTCTTTGTTGGGCTTTGTGCTGGTAGTCGGGCAATCGGGTTGTGGTATTGCTTGGGGAGCCGAGACCTGGGTCATATCCCTGCTACACCACGTGTCGACTGCGATCCCCGTTACAGCATACAGATGCTCTGAGGCTAGCCGACTCGCCATCACAAGACACCAGAGGCCCGCAGCATCCCTGACCAGGGCATTGGTGAAGTTGGGTCGCCAGGCAGGGGTCAGGACTGCCGTGGCCCCGACGGCTGCGATTTGCGCCCTGGAAGTCTAGCCGAGGACCAGACAAGCAGCTTTGAACATGCATCTGGCGCAATACAAATTGCTTCGAAATTAACAATGTGACAGAAATTACCCACGGCAATATACTAGACCTATAGCTGCTATCCGCGAACACGCTGGCGTTATTGGCGACGGCTGCTATTCTGTTCCGCATAGGAGGCTAAAACTGGGCTGCTCTTGCTCGTCCTGAGACCTACCTTACCCCTCGCTAAAAGTAGGCATGCTACAGTGCCCGAGCGGGACAATCACTTCTTAACTCTGTTCCCGGCCAGGTATGCCTTGATTCAGCAAAGGACACGACGCCATCGAGACGCGGCTGTCTTGCGGCCAAATGCTCTGCTTTTGCTAGCCTGCAGCACTAGCAAGCCTGGCTTCTGCTCCGTCGCGCCGTCGCATGGATGCTCGACGACGTTGAGTCACTCACTCATTGTGTCTCATCCGCGCGCTGCATTTATTCTGCAAACTTGCATCAGACCGCCGTGAGCAGCTTGCAGAGGTGCGATGTTATGACTTGTCCTCCTGGTGCGATCATCAGGGGACGCGCCAAAACAGATCCAGCCAGGTAGTTTGCCATGGCGGAAATGAGTGTACCACCGTCGGAACGCGAACCTTGTTGGCTTGGCCGTTCCGGTCTCTCCTTGAAGGACTAGGAAACGGGAGCTGGTCTGAACATCCGCCCTGTCCCGTTTTCTCAGGCCGTTGCTCGATCCTGCGGCAGTAACCAGAAATCGCAACAAATGGATTACAGGCCGCCTCAGCCTCCGGGCTTCTAGAAGGCAAAGAAACCTGCGGGCGCACCCGTGTCGGTGGATGCTAATAATAATGCTTGTGGCACTGCCAGCCCGCAATGCCATACCAAAACAAAGGGGCACCGACTACCAGTAGGCGCACGTTCTCGGATCAAAAGCCGAAGAAAGCAGGAATCGGCGCGCCAGAGCTGGGAAAGGCCAATATTGATATCAGGTTATCGGCCGCCCTGGCCTGACGCCGGCACTTGCGTTCTATTTACGTACAGAATTGCTGGTCGCCCCTTGCTCAGTGGGCTCACCTCTACTGGTATTTTCCGGGTCACCCTAGTCATCATACGAGAGCACCAGGCAGGCAGCGGTGGAACGCAATGCCAGGTCGTCAGGACATAATATTGCACGGCAATGGCGCTTGCGCGCTGAAAGCTTCGCTGGGCCTTCCAAATGCGTTCCATGGGCACGGCACAGCCACCGTGGACGGTACGAAAGTGAGCGCTTGTTTTGGTAGCCTGATTCAATCCCGTGAGACGGATTTCAGACCAACGTTTCATCTCAAGGAACAGGCTTTTGCCATTCAATTCTCCGAGGTTGTGCGAAGCATGGTTTGCAGGGATAGGTTCAACCGTTTTTAGGCTTGGTCTTTCCCATCTCGGTCGATGGTCCTATTCCAGATGGGTTCGACATGTTGGCCGTGCACGACTACGCTCCTTGTATGGCTGGGCTAGTGACACGCTCGTATGGTCATGATGCTGCATGATGCAGTCACACAGACATCAATTCATTCACTTGAAACCATATGGATCCGGACTATCTAGCACAGCAGACGTCACGAAATCGGGGAATTTGCGCGCATCCAATCATGCGCAGAAGCATGTGCTCGATGCTTTACAATTACGTTCATGCTGCAGGTTATGGCTGTGGAGCCTTCAAACCTGACAATGCCCGAGGACAACACAGAGACACGGTGCACCGGGTTCCTTAGAAAGGTATTGGTGATGGTGGGACTGCTCTGTGGTTGACGGAAGTTGGCGCTGGTTAAGAGGCAAGTAAGTTGCCCGAAGACATGGTACCCACGGTTCGCCAAAGTGGTTGGTGAGTTCATGATTCGTCCAATGTTGCAGATGTTGAGCTGACACCGGGAAATCCGATGCAGATGAAAGTGGAACGTACAAATCCCCTGTAAGGTTTACCTTCTCCTTCTTATCAAGTCGCCAGCGAGAAAAGCCTGCTCCCCCTTCATTCTCTAGGGTATGGAACGCCCAATTTTTCTTTTCATTAATGTGTGCGTCGGTGAAGACGAAGTGATGAACTGACGTGGGCGCCCAGATACCCCGCCAAGACTTTGCCCTCGCAGACAATCTCTGTTTTTTCTTCTGGCCAAATACAAAATGCGGGTTGTGACCGAGCAGTGCGTTCTATTGGAAGAATATGCTTTCTATGGCGATGCTAGTTTGGTGGCAGCCTCGCGCCGAGTTCACGTGCAAGCCAAGAGCTGGAATCACTCGTATTCAAGATGCGAGGTGTGATTGATTTGTCTGGTAACTTGCCAGCCACATCGAGTCACCGTTCCTGGCTCGCAATTGTCTCCCTGCGCGATTTCGGCTTCTCGTGCCAGTCGGACTCGAAGTCGGCTCCAGGTAGCACAACTTCCGTTTCACTGCATAGCCTCCTCTTCTGCGCTGTCAAGACTACCGAGGCCGCTTGTACTTGAACCCCGCGCGACTTCTTCCATATCTGGGAACGTTATGAGAGCGAGATATTTAAAATATCGCTCATAGTTCATACTTCCTGCCATCTTTCTTCTTGTCTCTGCCATAAACAACATAAAGAAAGTTGTCAAATCCACCACTTATATCATTGAGCAAACTCCCGTGAAGACTCGACACCATGACAGAGCACAGCCGCTTCGCCACCTACCCCAGTCTCAGGGACCGGGTCGTCGTCATTACCGGCGGCAGCATGGGAATTGGTGCATCCATGGTTGAGCACTTTTCCGTGCAGGGCTCGCAGGTCATATTTCTCGACATTGACGACGACGCCGCCGCCGCCACCATCGCCCGCGTGGCCGGCCTCGGCGTCGCCCACGAGCCCGTCTACCACCACTGCGACGTCTCCGACATTGCCGGCGCTCTGCAGCCGACCGCTGCCGCCATCCTCTCGGCCTTTCCCCGCATCGACTGCCTCGTCAACAGCGCGGCCGCCGGCATGCGCAAGCCGACCGCGGACATCACGCCCGAGTGGTGGGCCAAGGCCGTCGACGTCAACCTCAGCCACCACTTCTTCCTCACGCAGGCGCTGCAGCCTGGCCTTGAGCGCGCCGGCGCGGCCTCCGTCGTCAACATGGGCAGCATCTCGTGGGCGATCCCCGCGACGGGCCTCGCCCCGTACACGACCATGAAGGCGGCCGTCGTCGGGCTCACGCGCACGCTGGCGCACGAGCTGGGCCCGCGCGGCATCCGCGTCAATAGCATCATGCCGGGATCCATCGCGACGGAGCGCGAGCTGCGTGAGGTCATGACGCCCGAGTACGAGCAGCTGGTGCTGCGCAGCCAGGCGCTCAAGAGGCTGCTGGTGCCCGCCGAGGTGGCGCGCACGGCGCTGTGGCTCTGCGCGGACGACAGCTCGGGCATGACCAACCAGAGCATCCGCGTCGACGCCGGCTGGACTTGAATTGCATTCATGTTTCTGCGTGGACGGGTCACCTAGAAATGGGGGGACCTGAAGGAATGGGCATGGGGCTATTAATACGAACGCTCGGGAACCTCATCAGCTGCGACCTGAGCTAGGAGCACGTGCATGTCCAGCCACTGAGTACAATGGGGGCTCTGAATGCCAAAAGAATACTCGCCAGTTAGCGAGCTATCTAGATTGAACAAGCAATGTACGCGATATGCCTTTCCGTGAATGTATGCAGTAGATGTTGGTAGTTGGGTACCACTGCATATCAGCCAGCCGCAAGGCTGCACATCGAGTGCCCCGGCCAAGACTCGCTGCCGTAACCCGAGACACAAAGTCATATCTCGATTCCGAGACTTGAGTTGCACAACATAATGTCTAGGATCAGCCTCCGAACCGGCTCTCTCAAAAAGACCTACACCAGTCAGACCACGGTCCAGGCATGGCCTTGTAATACCCTACTTTAATTGCTCTATTAGATTTACCCTTCGTCATGAGGGCTATGAGAGGTGCTTCAAAGGCGGCAAGTGTGACTAACATTACGCTTTCCGTCTCAGACCTGCAGCGGCACAGTGGACAGCAATATATAAGTGATGCATCTGCGAATCGCGTGCTCCTCATTCCAATCTTATTCCAATCTCCCATCTTGCCCTTTCTCATCAACTTCTGCTCCTTTTGTGAAAGAAAAGGCATGCGTACAGGACGACCATACGACGGTAAGCTGGGCATCATCACTGGCGGATCGCGCGGTATGTTCCCACGTCTTGCTCGTAGATGGCACGTGTATGCGTGTATTGACCACCCCTCTCCCTTTAGGGATCGGTGAGGCAACTGCCAACCGATTGGGTGCCAAGGGATGCAATCTTCTGCTCGCCTACACCTCGGAGTCGTCGCGCGGCCCAGTTGAGCGGATCGCGGGTGACCTCATCGCCGCGCACGGCATCGCGGTTGCGACGGTGCAGGCGGACCTCCACGACGAGACCGGCTCCGCCGCCGTCGCCATCCTTGACGCGGCGCGAAGCCTGAGTGCGCTCCGCTTCCCGGATCGGCCGTTCCAGGTCGATATCCTCATCAACAACGCGGGGGTCCTCACCTCGCAGTCACTCAACGACCCGGCGCTGGGGCCCATCGCGGGCGCCACGTTTGCGCGCGTCTTCGGCGTCAACGTGCTGGCGCCGCTGCTGCTGATGCAGGCCGTGGCGCCGTATCTGCCGCGCGACCGCTCCGGGCGCGTCGTCAACGTGTCGAGCGTGGCGGCCGCGGCCGGCTTCGCGACCACCTCTGTCTACGCGGGCAGTAAGGCAGCGCTGGAGGCCATGACGCGCGCCTGGAGTCGCGAGCTCGCGGAGCGCGCCACCGTCAACGCTGTCAGCGCCGGTCCCGTGTGGGGACAGATGTATCTGCAGGCCGGCCCGCGCGCCTGGGAGGGCATGCAGCCGTACGCCGACGCGACACCGCTGGCGGTGTACCATGGGGAGGAGCACATTCGGAACATGGCAGGGCCGGACGCAGACGTCTTTGATAACACGGTCCGTGGGCACATGGGTGGCCGCCGACCGGCGTTTGCGAGCGAGGTCGCTGGTGTGATTGACATGCTGTGCTCAGAGGAGGCGGGCTGGTCGACGGGCGGCGTGGTGTGCGCCAGTGGCGGCATGAGAATGTCACTTGCCCAGTTGTAGCACTTGGAGGGCTTGAGGAGAACTGTCAACTTCCTTGACCTGTGTGAGCAGAACGTGGAGGAGGTGAGATCCGTGCTGTAGCGTGACCGCGCCGTGGCTGGCGGACTTGCTTCAGCTGTCATGCAATGCTACTGCCCCCGCCCATGAGGTTAAATGGGGAAGGTAGTAGTAACTTAGAATGGAATTACGGCTCACCTCATCGAGTAAAATGTTCTTTTTAAGCTTAATAAACATGATTGCGGCTGGAGTAATATGAGACATGACGGCAGTAGTGGCGCTCAGATTGGATGAAGTTAGGTTGTATCAACTGGCCTCTTTGGCGTGTACATATATGCTTTTGCTCTTCGTGTCAAGTGCATCTACGGCATACCCGGACACCCAGGCATTAAAATGCTGTTTCTCGCCTCCTTTCTCGCCAGCCTGGCGGCAGCCGTTGAGCTCAAGTCCACTGTGGCACCACTGTTCAAGCCAGCGGGCGACGTTATCCCGGGTCGGTACATTGTCAAACTCAAGTCTGATGTTTCCTTGTTGTCTGTTGGCAAAGGTATCTTGCAGCATCTCTCGGCCCCTAGCCATGTTTACGGTAGTGTCTTCTACGGCTTTGCCGCCAGGCTTGACGAAGCACAGCTGGAGTTTGTGCGGCTGAGCCCGAGTGTGAGTCGCGCGTTGCCTGCGGGAAGGATGCTTCTTCTAATACTCGTGACGCAGGTAGAGTTTGTTGAACACGATATGATCATCAGACCGTCTAGTTACATAGACCAGTTGAATGCCGGTTGGAACCTGGGCCGGATTTCCCACCGAAAGCTAGGGAACACGACGTATGCCTACGACAGCTCTGCTGGGGCCGGAACCTGCTGCTATGTCGTCGACACGGGCATTGCAGTCGATCACGCTGTACATGCTTCCTGATCGCCCTTCATCTCAAAGTACTTTCGGCTGATAATCAAGCAGGAGTTTGGTGGCCGAGCCGAGCAGCTCGTTTCGTTTGTCGGCCAGAATACCGACGGGAATGGGCACGGCACGCATATTTCCGGCGTCATCGGAGGTGCAACGCACGGCGTGGCCAAGCGCACAAGGCTATACGGCGTCAAGGTACTCGACGACAATGGTAGCGGCACTCTGGCCAACGTGATTGCAGGCATGGACTTTGTCGCGCGGGACTCTAAGACGCGAGGTTGTCCACGGGGCGCCATGGCGAATCTGAGCATCGGCGGGTCCTTCTCCAAGGCGGTCAACGCGGCGGCGGCGGCGCTGGTAAAGGCAGGCGTCTTTGTGTCGGCGTCAGCGGGTGGGAGCAACGGCGATGCCGGAAAGACATCACCGGCATCGGAGCCGGCAGTGTGCACGGTGGCGGCTAGCACGGAACGCGACGCCCGAGCGCCGTTCTCCGACTACGGCTCGGTGATTGATATTTTCGCCCCAGGGACTAACATCAAGTCTGCCTGGCTGGGCGGCACTACAGTATGTCTTTTGCGTACGCGGAGCCTGTCGTGCGGATGGCTGACGAGCAGTAGCAAACGCTGTCGGGCACGGCCATGGCGGCGGCTCACATTACGGGACTCGCAGCCTATGTCGCGGCATTGGAAGGATTTCCGGGCGCGGAAGAGTTGTGCAAGCGCATCCAAGCGCTCGCGACCAAGGATGTCTTGACGAATATCCCAAATGCCCCAGCTGGCACGCCGAACCTGCTGGCGTTTAACGGGAACCCATGGGGTTGACTGTGATTGACGGGCCTGTGCAGGCAAGAACGGATTGCAGAGAGGGGGAATATGATCCGTTGCGTGCGCGTTCAGTTGAGGTTGAAATGGATAAAGCTGTCCAGTACTTGCCGTCTGGTTTGACTCACGCCGAAGGACAAGTAGCTGTGCGAGATGGTGACGTTGTGCAGACACTCAGAGAGGTGTCCCTTTGTGCTCCGCCATTCTCGCTAGTATCGCGAAAGTCAAAGCAAACACATTAAATCGCACATGTTCAATCGTCGCCAGCTGCTGACTGGTAGATGGATGGGAGATGGCTGCTGAGAGTAGCGGGGGCGAGGCAAGAGATCGTGGCGCGGGCTAGACTGGTGATTGGTCTTGTTGCAAGGGGAGCGCTGACGGCTAGAAAGAAAACGCTCAGGAAACGTTGGCTACTAGCAGTCGATTTAACCGCCTCTGAGCTATGTAGGCACCAGTAATTATAAAGGGCACTGGCGTCGCTTCCTAGATGGGCTTTCGGTGAGGTGAGGGGTACAAGGTTTGAAGGCCTCGAGAACCTGAAAATGACCCCGCGGTAGCTTACCTACAGTAGGAGGGGGGCTCGTCAGCGCTCCTTTCCAATTCCGCGTTGGCTACCTCTACGTACATAAGCTTGGATCTTGCAAACCTACAAGACGCCCCATCCCTCCATTTTTATTCATTGTTATTGTTTTACTTTTTGTCTCTCGTACATGTTTCTTGGATGAAGCCTGCCTTGCCTCGCTACACACACCCTGTGCCGATCCGACCATCCAACTCGTCGTTCGTCCCCGCCACTCGCACCTCCCGCATCCCCCACCAACGTCATCGTCCACCACCACCAGCCTTGCTGCCGGCACCTTTGTCGATCCAGCGGCTGCCATCGTACCACGGCTCCCGCTCCTTTTATTCTCTCCCAGCTCCTCCTTGTCCCTTCCTTCCTCCTCCTCGATCTTCACTCTATAGAAACTCATACTTCACAATGTCGACGGCCCCTCTCAAATCAACCGAGGTCGCGAGCGGTGACTCTCTCGCCAAGCAGCTTGCTGACATTATCGACATCGAGGTCAAGGACGCAAATTCAGTGAAGACCACCTCGGCCGAGGACACGGCAAGCAAGATTGATCAGCTCTTCCAGGATTCGGTCGCCGCCAATAGCGACGGCGCCGAGGACTTCCTCTACACCCTCTGGGACGTGGTGCTAGAGTCGGCCGTGACCATCCCCGCAACAGACCAGCGTCTGCAGCAGCTCATCGACGTCATCAAAGCGCTTCAGAAGAAGAACACCGCCGAGGTTGAAATTTGGGGTGCCAAGACTTCGGTATGGAAGGATTTGCCTATGTTGGGCCCTGCACTGAGAGAGGCATGGAACTGTAAGTCGAGGCGAAGCAAGCTAGATCAGCGCACAGCCACTGACACACCCACAGTCAAGCCTGAACTCGATGGCACGGAGGACCACGCATCACTCCAGAAATGGATCTCGCTCAATTCGTTTGCTGCGCGCATCCTCGGCCACAAGATCCAATCTTCATTTAACCTAGGGCTATGGGAGCTGCGCGCCGGCCTGGAGGAAAAGCACCCGTCAGACGCGTCGCGCGACCTCCATCTTAACACGACCAGTGAGTGGCTTTGGCACGCCGGCAACGAGCTGTACCGTCTGTCTTACAACGGCACCCTGAGCCAGGGAGATGTGGACATGACCAAGACGGGCAGCCTGGTCGCGGTGCCGACAAAGGGCCTGTCCAAAGATCGCTGGACGTTTTGGAAAAAGCGCCTTGGCGAGCTGTCGTCCGAGATGTCGTGTGCGGCCAAGGAAGAGGGCCTGAAGGAGAGAGTGGATGGCGTGATTCAGAAGATGAGCACGATCGAAAAGGGCGGAAGATGAGGAAGTTCAGCATTCGTGATGCCGATGACCTGGAGAGGAGGTCTTCAATGCCAATTTATATACACGACTTAATCAGTTGAAGCAAGTTTGTTCTGAAACTAGCCTCTGTAGTGCTTGACGCTTTATATGATTTGAAATGGCAAACTCCAATGCGCCCAGTAAATTCGTTCCCACATCTCGACTACCACAACTGGCACCGCAACAGCAACCCCACCAAGACGCTATTCACATGCTTTCCCCCTCCATCTTACGCATACATCATGTCGCCATCTTCCTCCTCATCATCCTCGACCACCGGGAGCTCCTTCTTCTTGATCATCTCCTCGCGACACATGGGACACGTGCCGACGCTGCGCAGCCACGGCCCCACGCACTCGAGGTCGAAGCGGTGCCGGCCGCGGCACGGCAGCTCGACGACCAGGCACCAGTCATCCTCGAGGTAGGGGATCTTGCAGATGGCGCAGTCGTCGTCGCTTGCGAGCGTCTTGCGCGCGACGCGGTCCAGGCCGTCGAGGAACTCCTGCGAGACGCCGCGCAGCGAGGCCGGCGGGTCCTGTATCTCGCCGTCGAGAGAGGAGATGAGCTGCTCGAGGAAGGAGCGATTGTCAGCGGTGGGCGCGGTGGTGTGCAGGGTCAGCAGCTGGTCCTGCAGCATGCGGAAGAGGTCGGCCGTGTCGGCGGGGGTGGGCGTGGCGTGCGGGTTGTGGGCAGGGGTGGCGGCGGCGGCGGGCGTCTCGGCGACGCGGTTGAGGAGGGAGAAGAAGGAGGCCATGTCGACGCGGCGGCCGCGGCGGGGCTCGGTGAACTGCACATTGTGCTCGACTATGGTAGGAGATGTGAGCTGGGAATCATTGGGGGGCTATGGCGGGGGGAGGAGGCAAAACGAACCTTCGTACTGAGTTGCCATGGTGGACGGGGAAGATGTGCTGGATTAGATGGAGGGGGAGGAGCGAAAAGGCCGCGGCTGCAGTAAAGAAGGCCCTGGAATAGGCGCCAGTGGTGATGCGCAATCCCAAATCCAGCGTTCGTTGAAGCGAAGCAGGCAGAGAAGCTGTTACGTCGGCAATGCGCCTTGGAGCGGGGCGAGAAAAAACCCCTGCGCCGATTGTAGCCAAGGAACCCACTAAAATCGGGAGCTTCAGCAGCCGAAGCTTCCCCAAGCTCCAACCCCCCAGCTAATGATGATGAAATCCGCTCCGCACTCCGCGCAACCTTGTTGACTTTTAAGACAACCCAGAAACTCCAATCCAGCTCTGCGCGTTTCTTCCCCCCTTCATCATCACCCATCCCATCGACATCGACAGCAACAAACCCATCCAACCCACATCATCCAATCTACGATGCCTGCTGCCGCCATCATCGGCTCCACCGGCCTCGTCGGCTCCAACATCCTCTCCACTGTCCTCGCCGGCGAGACCTACACGCCCGTGAGCACCATCACGCGCCGCGCCCCCAAGGCCACCTCCTCCGCCCTCAACGCCGTCATCGACGCCGACACCAACAAGTGGGCCTCCCTCCTCTCCAACCTCTCCCCCTCCCCCGCCACCGTCTTCTCCGCGCTCGGCACCACGCGCGCCGCCGCCGGCGGCCTCGCCAACCAGTGGAAGATAGACCACGACCTCAACATCGAGCTCGCGCGCGCCGCCAAGGCCGCCGGCGCCACCACCTTTGTCTTCATCTCTAGCGGCGGCACGCGCGGCCTGCTGTCGCGCTCCGTGCCCTACAGCAAGATGAAGAACGGCGTCGAGGACGCGATCCGCGAGCTCGGCTTCGAGCACGGCATCGTGCTCAAGCCGGGCGTCATCCTAGGCGAGCGCGAGGAGGCGCGCGCGGCGGAGAGCTGGTTTCAGAGCTTGACGCATGGGTTGGGAAGGGTGAGCGGCGCGGCCAAGGACTTTTTGGGGCAGGACGCGGAGGTGATTGCGAGGGCGGCGGTGCGCGCGGCGCAGATCGCGGAGGAGGGCAAGGCGCCGGCAAAGTACTGGGTCGTGGAGGCGAGTGATATCATCCGCCTGGGCAGGACGGAGTGGAAGGAGGCGGAGAAGCCGGTGGAGGAAGGGGCTGGTAAGACGGCTTGAAGAGAGTTCGCGGAGGGGAGCGCACGGTAATGGAATGGTTCGAGAACTTGCTTTTATGATACCAGAATGATAATCTTGTTGATTTAGTCACTCACTAGACTCGGTTGTTCCATGTTTTTGACGAAAAGCTACATGTATGTCACTACCTACATGCCCGCACCCATCACCAACGCAACGCCCGGCGGCTAGAAAACTCTTACCTTCTTGATTGGAGCATATTGCCCGTAAATAGAGGGTGTTATTTTGGCGTGGCAGAGATGAGCTCTTAATTTGATCGCGTCTTTGCTGCATTTTAGTCGTCCCTCCAAGCCCAAAGAACAGGTGGGTGCTTCAGATTAAACGCGTGTGATCCTTAAAGTGTTCCTTGTCCTATAACGTACGCGCCCAAGGCAAGGTTACCTCAAATTGCTGCCTGAGGGGTTTTTAATTCATTTTCGAGCGCAATGTCGCGTCAACCTATCTCAAGAACTTCTCAACTCCAACTACCTTCACAACTCTCCGTCGTAGCCGCCAGTATGACTTCCGCGATGGCTTCCCCGGAGCCAGACCGGCCAGAAATACCTGTGGCTGAACTCATTGCTATGAGCGACACCCAACTCTCCCAATTCATACAAGAAAATTGCCTCCCTAACGGTAGTTACATTATCCTTTCCCATGGGTTGGACAAGCTGTCCAAGGATGATCGAAGCCATCTCGCCAAGAGACTAGAGTAAGCTTTTTCGATCTGCCTGGCGCGCAACATTCGGCAGCTTCTAACAGTAATGCAGAGCCCGAAAGCATAACTTGGCTCAGAGCCCGACAGCCTGCTCGCGGCCGCTTGATCTCATCGACCTAGACGCACGCTTGCGTCAAGTATCACCCAACAACAGCTTGACAGCAAGACTTGCAACTCAAAAAAACCTCATTCGAGCAGCCGCCGCCGAAATGCCTGCAGCGTGCCCGGCCGAGCCAACATCAAGGCCTGACCGGGAATCACCGACGAAGCCGCAGCAGGCGTCCCATCCGCGCAGGGCAGCGCCAAAAGTCCCGCGTCCGCTTCAGGAGGCTTCCGCGAAAATCGCTAAGCCTGTAATGTCCCAACCAGGGACACGCTCCAAACGGGCAGCGCCGTCAAAGGTGTCCCGCTCACGAGTGGGAGCACCCGTGATCTCACTTCAAGAAGCTTCCATGAAGGCAGTTAAACCTACAGCGCCTCGACCAGAACCACGCTCTACACGGGCAGCACCGTCGCCACAGCCGCGGGTATCCCGTTCTCCTAAGAGAGCACCAAAGGTTCCGCGTCCGCGTCGGGAAGCTTCTGCCAAAGTGTTTAAACCTACAGTGCCGCAAGCCGAAAGCGAACCAAAGGTTCCGCGGCCGCGTCGGAAAGCTTCTGCAACAGTGGTTAAACCTACAGTGCCCCGAACAAGGTCGCGCCCTAACCGGGCAGCACCGTCGCCACCGCAGGTATCCCATTCTCCTGAAAGAGCTCCAAAGGTTACAGTGCCCGAACCTGCGAGAGCACCAAAGGTTTCCCGTCCGCGTCAGGAAGCCTCCGCGAAAGTGACTAAACCTACAGTATCCCAAAAGGGGGCTGCGCTCTAAACGGGCAGTGCCTCCGACACAGCCGCGAGTGACCCGATCAGCGGGGAGAGCACCAAAGGTTCCGTAGCAAGAAGACTAACCGCCAAGCACGACTCGAGGCGGCTTGGCTCAACATTCGTGATATCCGCAAAAGCCCCATTAGCGATAGCAGATGTGCGTACAGAGGAGCATGGGTTCGGGATAGGCGGGTAATATACATAGCATCACTAAGGTTGAAGGCCATCGATGGCCATCGAAGGACTGACGTTGAAATTTCAGTACTAGCTGCGACAAGGTGACATTTCCTTGTCATTTTTGCCATTTTTGTCTTATCGTTTTTCGGAGCGCTACCACCATAGTTGCCCTAGGCGGCACAATACTCCTAACCCGTAACGTTAGCTGCGCCCAAGCGTTGGTCCAAGATGTGCGATTGCAGCACCGCGATGGAAGCTTGCATACGGCGACCGGTGTGGGCTATTTCCACTGCGATGGAACCTTGCTTCTTCAGCAAAGAAGATCGTCAAGTACAGGCAACTGACTTGGTTAGTCATCAACTATTCAACTCTTTGCGCCTTGCAAGACGCGGTAAATCATCTCCAATCTTGCCTCGGGTATCCAAAGCTACCCTATACCCCCCCTCCCCCCCACTCGGAGTGACTCAGCTCGTTCTGCCCCGCGTCAGCCGCCGGAGTTTGGCGGGGGTGCCTAACCAGCCAACCTCGCCCCGCGCCGCCCGCTGGCAGCCTTGGAGGCAGCCTTTTCCGCACGCAAAAAAATCACAAGCAGCCGTGTCTGGCCTCACTCAGCCTTCCATTACCAACACCCGCTCGTTCTCTCACCTCTCGTTCTAGCATCCATCGCCTCTGCATACCTCGCCCGCTTCACAGAACCCTCCCCGCCCCCCTCATGTCAGACAGACCAGCGATCGTCGGCGCGGACGCCGGCCCCGAGCCGCCCTACCCTCTGCAGATGGAGGGTGAGGTCATCTCTGGCTTCGGCCGGGGCTCCAAAGAGGTAAACCCCCAACCCTCCCCTCGTCTCGTCACCGTACTGACCTTGACGAATTGCAGCTCGGCATTCCCACCGCCAACCTCCCCGTCGACGCCGCCGTCACGCCGTGGATCGGCACCGCCACCTCCGGCGTCTATTTTGGCCACGCCGCCCTCCTCCTCCCCGACTCGCACCCCCAGCGCACCCCCTCCTCCTCGCCGTCCGCCTTCTCCGTCTTCCCGATGGTCATGTCGATCGGCTACAACCCGTTCTACAAGAACACGGTGCGCAGCGCCGAGGTGCACGTGCTGCACGACTTCGCCGGGGCCGACTTTTACGGCGCGCACATGCGGCTGCTCATCGCGGGCTTCATCCGCGAGGAGAAGGACTACAAGAGCCTGGAGGCGCTGGTGGAGGACATCAAGACGGACTGCGAGGTGGCGAGGCGCAGCCTGGACAGGCCGGCGTGGAGGCACGGCGCGCTCAAGGGCGGCGAGTGGCTGACGAAAGAGTTGTAGATGAGATGGGGGAATAATGGGGACTTGGGAAAAGGACGGGGTGAGTCGGTGACGAGGATGGGGTAGCATGCCGCATGGGCAAGTTAGACGCTGTAGATACAGAGGAACTGTGGAAGTGACAGTTGCGATACAAACGCTTATAGAACACGGTGCGTCATTGTACGCGCCGCATCAAACATCACCGCAAGAAGAGCGCCCTGCACGGCATTGTCATGTTCAATTGTTCAGCGACCCTGGCGCCGAGGGTATTACCGTCCTCTGCCTGCCATCGTCTACCCAAGAAAAGAAGTAAAAAAAAGAACACCCGAAACTAAGTAACAGATTTCCCACCCAAGAAGATCTAGAACCTTACTGGAAGAAAAAGACAAGGAAATTCCCTCCCAAACCCAAATCCAAGAAATATAAATCAGCATAAAATAACACCGCCCATGCAGTATATACGCCCAACCCAAACCAAAAACCTCCCTGAAAAAACAAAAGACCCGACTGCGTTTCATACAGCGAGCTGATGAGGCTCCATATTTGGCAAATACCGCGGCAAAAACTACAACAACAGTCAGTAAGTATCCTCAACCTCGACACTCTTTCCTCATGCTGGCACAACTCACGTTGATGATAATCATCATGGGAATGTCAAACACGTCCCGCTTTATCGTCCAGCAATACGTGCAGTCCACCTTGCCGTCCTTTTCGATGCGCGAGATGCCGTGCTCGCCGTCAATCTTGGTCACGCGATTGCTCAATATGCTCCCGGCCGCAGCTTTCGCGCCGCCGCCGCCGTTCACAGTCAGGGCCTTGACGTCGCCGGCGTCGTCGCTTGCGTTGCTGCCCGTGCGGTACTTCATCAGCCGGCAGCTGCGCTGGACCTTTCCGCGCGAATCCTCGAACGCGAGCTGGCCAAAGTCGTGGTAAAAGTCGACGACGCTGTCGTCGTCGAGCAGCTCCGCCAGGAACACCGGTTGCTGGGCCTCGCCCGGCCTCCTGTTGCGGGGCGGTGGCGGGGCGCTGCTGCTGTCTTCACCAGACGCCGCCGCGCCGTACACGTTGCGGTTCGGCTCCGTGCCGAGCAGCACGTCCTTGGTCCAGCCCGTCAGCGCCGTGAACTCCTTGTTCACAGCCGCCACCTCGCCGGATCGACGGCACACGATCGTCGGCGCGCAGCAGTGCTGCAGAAAGTCGTGAAACTCGACGAGCGTGCGCTGGAAGCACTTTTCCATAAACACCAGGTCTTCTCGGGTGAGGTCCTTGGTGCAGGCAATGAAGGACGGGCGGATCTCGGCCAAAGACCGCGCCACCTTGATGACTTTGCTGTGCGGTAAGCGATCGCGCAGCACCTGCACCATGTTGTGGAAGCCTTTGGTGTACGGATACGGCTCCTTGACGGCTGCGTAGATGCCAGCTGAGTCGCGTTGGCGCTTGCCGAGGATCTGGGCCACCTTGTCCGGCTTTGTCCTCATGCGCGCCGCATGGGCGTTTTGCAGCGTAAAGCTGTTTGGCTTGGGAGACCCGTCCATATTATTGCCCGGCTGAGGACTCGTTGTTGCGTCGGTGCTGGGGCTGGCTAATGACTGCGGTGCTGCTGCGATGGCGTACGCATGTGGCAGGCCGTGTTGCAAATTGCCTTGGGTGTACATGTTGGCGCTGGCATCGGTACCAGCGTATTCACCACTCAGCATGGTGGCTCCGTTGCCATTTGCAAAGAGCGTCGCGTACGCGGGGTCGGCCGATTGTGACATGGAGTTTTCTCGCGACGAAACATCCGCGCCCATGCCCATCTTGTTGAGGATGCCGAACTCCCAGCCAGCGTACTGGCTGCCGAAGTTGAGACCCTCTAGGTCAAAATTGTATAGAGCAGGATTGCTAGGGTCGAATAGGGCGTTGAAATCCATCGTATTTCCTCCCAAAATGCCGCCGATTTGTGCTTGCGGACTGGCGGCGGGGAATGGATCAGATGGTGCCGTTGTCTGCGGGTTGAAGGCGAGATTCGGGGACAGAGCCACACCGGCCTGGGCAGTAGACGAGTACACGGGATAAGAAGCGGTACTGGCCGCAGTCATGAATGCGCTGCCGGGAGTGGAGATGGCAGCTTCTGAGGTTGTCGAGTTTTGTCTGTTGCCATTGGCTTGAGTGGTGGTCCCCGCGCTGGGGTTGTAGTTGGGGCCCAGGACTGGTCGCAGCGCTTCAGGAGGTGCATCGTGGAGGTACTTGGCCTTTTTGCGGACGCCGTCTTGGCAGGCGTCTGCGAGACCGCGCTTGATACAGCGTTGACAGGGGCGCTCATCGCCTTGAGGTTACACGTTAGATCTGGCGGCGGGCTCGAGCGACAGTAGTTGGGGCGGGGTTGGATGACATACCACAGGTCAAGTGAGCTCGCTGGCAGGCGAAGCATGCTCGCCTGGCCTTTTTGCGCCTCGGTCTTGAGGGGTCTTTGGGGTCATACTTTTTCTTGATTTCGCCATTGGTGTTGTCAGCAGAGTTGTCGGCCATTCTGATGTCTCCGTCTTCCTCAACATCGGACATGTGATCCGACAGCTCGGCTGTCGAGTCGTCGAGGTCGTCGGGCATGACGACTGTTAAATAGGACAATGGGGCTACACAAGACGTAGACCGTTCGGAGACAAGGTCACCTAGGGTGGGCTGAAGCTGAAGAGCTACGAGGGGATCTGGGCAGGGGGTTGCAAAGGTGCGACCTTGTCGATGCAGCTCCGTGTGGCGTTGACGCAGTGCGACAGAGCCGGGTAACACAAAGCAGTCGCGCCGGTGAGAAGGTGCGGTATCGGCTGAGATGAGAAGTAGGCCCGTCGGTGTCTGATCGCGGCGAAGAGGCCCAGTTTGGCCCTGTTGGTCGTAACTTGGATGGGCGGGCTGCGCCGCTGACGACGCGCAACTCTGCGACGGGCTGAAGAGGCCGAGTTGAGGAGTTTCAAAGACGCGCCGGTGTAGGTATGTGCTACCGGGACTGTGGGAAGAGTTTTAAACAGAACGTCGGCGAGTGGCCGGTTCGTACAATTCCGGCCGAGGCGTAGAGGCGGGCACTGCTGTGTGATGTGCCGGCTCGGCTAGTTGCAAAATAGCAAGCCGGCGATTGGATAGATGCGTGCGACGGGGAGCGAGTGTCGGCGACAAGCGAGCAATTGTCAAACGTCGTGTTCAGGGGAGGTGTCGAAGCTGTGGCCGACAGAGGAAGCTAAGAGGGCTTGGTCGAGCTGGACAAGCGGCTTCCATTAGCACGTGGCGGTGTTTGGTTCGGGTAGCATTCGGCGACAGCGGGCAATAGCAGGTGCAACGCGCGAGCAAAGTTCGAGATGGATTGGAGCTGTCGTGGTTGACGCAGAGCGAGGGCGGCGACTAGGTGAGTATTGCGCGGCCGAAGAGGTGATCTTGGGTGCGTGGCTTTGGCTGGGTGTCTCTGTGTGTGTGTCGCGCACGACGGGTAGTGGCGGCGACGGTGATGGGGAAGGCGCCTTTTTGTGCGCAGTTACAGGGAACGCGCAAAGCGACCAAAGTCCTTGGAGCAAGAAAGAAATGAAAATGCAAAGCCGAGAGCAAGAGAAGAGGTCGGAAAGGCTAGATTGGCGCCATGCGAGAGGTGCGGTGGTGGTGTCGGGCCATGCGAACTCGCTCGCGTGTGTGCTGTTGGCGTGGGCGTGGCAGCGTCTAAACGGTCGGCGAAGGTATTCCGAGGCTGTGTGGGCTGTAGGAGGTAGGCTCGGTACAAGAGCGGACGAGTTGAAGGGACTTGGAGGCCAACGGGAGGGAGATGTTGAATAGGGAGGACAACGGTCAGGAAGATGCAAAAGATTGGAGATGGGGAGGCAGAGGAGAAGTGCGGGATGCTAGTGGGAGATGAGTTTGGGGGAGGCGGTTTTGGAGGGCCTCTTTTTTTTCTCTCTTGTCGGATTTGCTTCAACTGGGATGGATTGGAATTTGCCAGCGTTGGTTTGGTCTGGTGGAGATGAGGCTGGCCAGGCTGGGGCAGGCTGGGCTCGGCAGGTGGGCGGGTGGGCAGGCATTGGAACTTGAGTGAGAAGGGCGCTGAGGCAAGACGCCAGAGGACCTGGACGGGCGCTGAAACTGCCCAAGGAATCTCTGAAGGATTCAAGAACGCCAAGTTCCCCCAACTTGCCTGCTGCATTTCACCATCTCAACTCCTCCGAAATGCGGGGTTTTCTTTTCAAGCAATTCTTTTCCAGCTCTCTGCAGCTCTCTGCACCTCCAAGCCTTTGCAGGCTCCATGCGCCTTTTTTCACATTTTGGCTCTTTTCCTCATTCCGCAGCCCAACACCCTCCAATCTCTAGTACGAAGTACCAGTGGTCACAAAACTCAATGCAGCGGCCGTTGCCCTCGCTGCCCCTCCGTCTAGTGGGGCAACCTTGGAATAGCTCGCTCGTGACTGGCTCGTGACTTTCCAGAACTGTCAGTCGCTCCCTCAGCTTTTAACGCCCAGCTTTGTCCGCCCCCGCACAATTCTCCGTACCAAACAATACGGACAATACAATTTCGTACGTGACTGGGCAAGCTAGTCTTGCTTTTCTGCAAGCCACCGCAGCCGACGCCACCACCACCAGCCGTCTCTCTTGTCTCTCCTGTCTTTCTGATTCATCCTCTCCGTTGGATCGAACCCAAACTATCGTACGTCTTGAATCCACGCGATCCCCCCTCTTGGTCAGTGCTGACTACGGAGTACAGCATCTCGAGCCCAATACCAAGGTGCCAAACATGCGTACTTTCTCGTCCAGGGCACCACCTAACTCGTCTCCGTCTCCCAAACGCACGCTCCTAGTTGCTGATCGGCAGTGAATTCTCGTCCGAAGAGACATATGACGAAATGCCCTTCGTACCCCAGCACCACCCCCAACACTAGCACCACAGCGCCTGCAGCAACAATATGCAGCAACAAGTCGCTCAGCCTCTTCACCTCTTGGCACAAACTACCACACCACCACCTCGGCTCTTGGTAAACACGATGCGCTACTGCTGCCAACCGGGCCACGGCATCATGAGCTTTCAAAAGTTGCTGCCGCGCTCGGCCCTCCGCCGAAGCACGTAGTCAAACTTACGCTTTCTCCCACCGCTCTGCGCCGAAACACCGGCCCACGGAGCCCACCTGGAATGGACCACTATGTAAATTCCTCCCTCATAATAGCATAAAAGTATCCCGACCTCGTTGCAAGCCGAGGCGGTACCGTTCGGGCTTCATGCACTGTAGGCTCAAGGGCCGCTCGACCTTCCCGCCGGCACTCGACCATGACGCCGCAATTGCCGAAAATTCCCGCCCATTACTGCTTTCTCATCTGACTAGGAAAAGAGGCAAGGAAAAACTAACAACATTCTTGCAGAAGCCCACCCGCCTACTTTTACTACAGGCAATTATTTACAACCCTCCTGCGTCGTCGCTGCGTATCGCTTACGACCCGTCTCTGCCATCGTTACCACTTGTCGAGCCAAACACCATGCACACTGCGACATCACCATCTACTCAATCACAAGCCAGACAAACGACGACAATCGGAACAACGGTATACGTCAGGCATAATAATTTACATGCTGAGCAGTGCCAAAAAAAATCAATCATCCCATTCGCCATGCTGGAAACACCGCCATGCCACTCAGCAATTTCGCCAGCACAGAAATACATGATGACTCGGCACCCTATGCATCCCTTCATCCGAGCGGCCGTTCTGGACCCTGCGGTTTGTAATTCTTCATCAGCGTCTTGTTTCCTTTCCGCCCCAGCGCTGCCTGCGCTCGCCACTCTGCCCGCCGCGCCTGGTCGACCTGCTTCCTGCGCAATGTGAGCTCCTTGCGCTGCTCGTGAGGCACCAGATGCGCCAGCGCCTGCTGGTCGCGCACGCTCAATTGTGCCATCTGCCTCGCCGCCGTCGCCATCTTCCTGTCTGTATCGTCCAGCACTACCTGCTGCTCCCCGTCGCTTCGAAGCGCCATGGCCGTTTCCCCACCCTCCTCGGCTCTCCCGCGCTCCAGCCTTTTGCGACCGCCGCTGCCGCTACCGCTGGCCAGCCCACTGCCCTGCGCACCACGATGCATGATGAGCTTCCCAGAAGCCAACCGGATCGTGCCCTCGTCCGACTGCGCCAGCTCCGACACCAGTCGCGTGTCCAGTGTCGCAACATCGTAGAAATCGCGAATCTCCGGGTTGGCCATGTCGAACCGGCAGTGGCCTTTGCCCTGCATGTGCTGCTGCGCCGCCGCCGCCGACCGTCGCCGGCTACCGCACGCCACGCACTCGTGGTACGTGTAGATCACCAGGTGCAGGTACCACACCAGTGTCGGCAGATCAACGACCAGCGATGACTGGTACGGAACCACGAAGCTGTGCGTGCTCGCCATGTGGATCAGGCTCGCGTCAAAGTCGGCAGAGCGCGCGTCGCAGAAGAGGCACTGCTCCGCGACGAAGCCTGGGGTCGCGTTCGCGGGGGCGCTCCGCTCGGGCTCGGAATCGGAGTCGCTCGAGGTCAGGTAAGACAGGCTGCTGTCTGAGTCGGAGTCCCTCGCGGCGCGAATTTCGGCACCAGATTGTGCCGCTTTCCGTCGGACGTTTGCAACGCTGTGACTGTTAACATCGATTGGCTGCAGGGGAAAAGTCCTGATTGTAGAACATACTGCTCTGGTGATTTAGCGTGTTGGCGGAATGCGCCAACATTGTCGAATGTGAGGTTGCAGACGCCGCAGGAGCTCCCGCCGGTGTTCATTATTCCCGTCATCATTAGAATCGTAAAGGACAAGATAAAAACAAGAGAAGAGGAGGACAAGTGAATTGGCTTTTGTAGTGTGTATTTGGAGTTACTGAACGTTGCCGCGCCGTGCCTTCATATACCTGTTTGCACTTTTTTTTTTTTTTTAGCTTGCGGCTCTAGCGGATGGACGTCTCACCCAAAGGCCAAAAAACCAGTAAAGCTACTGGCAATACGAATAATTCGGTAAATACATCCAAGCTAAAGAAGCTGCAAGACGTTGGAGCAATGAAAAGCGCAGTAGACCAAGTTCGTCCCCTCTGGCAAGTGAGTCACTATGCGCCATCCCGTAGCTTTTGCCTATTTGGGCGGTTGACTCAGAGTATGACTGGGTGCTGCCAAGCGCACGCACTCCGCGATGCTACTGATGTGCTGGTACAACACGACTTACCTGCCTCTGAGTGTGCCACTGTTCGTGCTTTGTCGAATAATTTATATGGTCATGTATTTCTGATCACGCCAATACATACACCAACTAGGCAGAAACTTGTAAAGAGGGAATGCGACTGTAGAGAAAACTCCAGTTGTAAATCATGTACGCCAAGAAAATGGTGGGTGGTAACGAGGCAGCAAACATCCACATTGGCTGCTTCCCCGACCCGAGCTCCTCAAAATTCATCCCCCATACCGAACATACAAATGACAGTGGTATGAACACCGTGCTAATAATGGTAAGCTTGTGCACTGTCTTGGCCATCTCAACAGACCGTCGGGACTCTTCCAGCACAGCACTGTTGGCGAGCGTTGTCATTCCCTGCTCGCATTCATGTGCCAGCGTGTGCACCTTTTGCAGAAGATACTCAAAGTCCGCGAGTAGCAAGGTGGCCATCTTGTCAATGGTAGCGTTTCCTTCGATGCGTGGCCAATCCAAGGAGTGGCGGTTGCGTAGGATGCCTGTTGTCTCGGCGAGGCTCTGCGCATGGGATGCCAGGATTGTGTTGATGTACTTCAAGTTGAGCAGCAACACCGAGCGGTTGTGCGTGATGTCATCCGTGCTCGCAAATGAGATCTCGTGCTGAATGCGCTGCCCGACAAAGTTCAGCAGCTGCGCCTCCGAGGAAGCAGCGAACAGAAACAGCTCGCTCAATGAATAGAGGGCATCGCCTTTAGCGAGGTCTCTGTCCAAGGTCAATGATCCGTACTGGAAAGGTAGCAAGCAAATGTTTTGCCCTGCGCGCCATGTCTCCGGTTCTGTGCTGGAATCACGGCGTCTCTGATAGCCCTCGGGGCGAAGGTCCTTTTGCGGATGTCGGGAGCCGTCCTGTGCCGTCATGGTAGGGGTCTCGCCGATGCCTGAGTTGACGACAACTGGTGAGAAGTACGTCTCCCATGGGCGGGTTCCCGGCTGGGGACACCAAGGACCGGGGGCACTTTGGGAGAGGTCTCTGCCGTTGTCCAACCAGACAACAGCATGCCAGTGATCGGATGCTGGGCTGACCGCAACGGTCACGAGCTGTTCCAAGACGTATTCCTGTTTGCTGAGCAGGAGACACTTGCGGACTACCGAGTCCGCTGGTTTGGCTTTTGTTCGCAGTTGCAGGAAGTACCGCGTCATGGCGTCATCTTCCGAACGTCGGGCATCTTCTAGGTCTTCCGGCTCATAGCTGGAAGTTGGAATATTGTTCCGCTTGCAGATGGTTGACATTGTGAGCTGGAACACACGCGACGATGAAGAGGGCAAGGGCTGCGATGAGTACAAACTACGCCGCCCGTGCGTGAAGGCATAGAAATCCAAGTGTCGCCGATATAGCTCCGGATTCACACCGTAAGCTTGCCCAATCGCAGTCAGCCAGTGTGCTGTAGGGAATCCTCGTATAAATAATATCGACGGATTTGACGGGCTGCTCTGGTGAGTGGTAAAAACCGCCGTTCCAGCCGGGGATGCCAGAAAAGACTGCCTGTCCCCAGTGGCAACATTGTAAACGACAGCCAGGCTATTTTTGTCATCATCCGAGTCGTCAGGCGTCTTTGTTGTGCGGGGATTGCTCAACGCAGGATAGTCTGGGTTGTTGAGGTAGTCGCTCAAGCCGATGAGGTCGGGTCTTGGGTAGGCATTATCTTGGCTGGATCGCTTGGATAATGATTCAATTCCGCGTTCAAAACTCTGTCCTACAAATCTCAGCGTTAGTTTTCTCTCTTAGCGGTATGGTCGGCCATGCATACCCTTGCCTTGAAACACAACCATTCTGCGGTAGTCGGGCCCTCAGTTCGAGAGTCCTGTGTGGATCTCTCTAGCAGCCGTGATTTTAATAGAGGTCTCTATAGGTTCTTATAGTATCAGAAAATTAGAATGCTTCCCTTCCGGGCTGAAGGGGCTGCGCCTTTGGGGCACTGCCTGCACAATCCTTGTGGACAGTGTGGACTGGTTGCTACAGTACATGCCAACTTATTATTAGGCACCACGCAGGCAGCTGCCTTATGTATGTCTCGCCTGGGTATGAAACAGATGTCACTTCGCAGACGGATAGCGAAGCGCGTGAAAGGCAGCCTATACTAGAGCAGACATGTCAGCAACGCCAATTTTAATCTAAACAAATTAAATCTTGTTTTGTTCGGATACATCTAAGAAAGTATCCTGTTTTCTTTTTTAGGACAGGCTTTTCCTCAATGCTGCTGTATCTTCCGTTGATGAGAGGTGGCCTTGCCATACGCGCCGGCTGCCGTTTTCACGCCCACCAGCCAGAATCTCTTCATGCTTACGTGCTTTAGATTGATTGGGGGGCATGATATTCTGCAATTACCATCATGCTGGTACTCGGTGGCTATTTCAGTTTTTTTTGCCGCACGATCTCACTACTTGCTGTTCTCTGAGCAGCCCGAGGCATGGATAAGATGAATCCACCAGGCCCCAAGTAAACGGCACCAAAGTCGCTCTAGGCGATTCCCACACCACATGCAGAGCCGCTTTCAATACATCAGACTGCCAACCTTCACTTGTCTTGGGATATCAGCGCCCTTCAAACCCGCTTCCACCAGCTTCGACAGAATCAGATCAGTACCTGCACGTATTAGCGAGGGTCTTCTTCTTCGACGTTGCAAGTGACGTGACTGTACCTGGTGCCCCAATAAGCGATACAGCTACTGGGAGTGCCTCCTCCTTTTTTGTTACATTTGACAGATATGGAATGTCGCCCACTATATAAGCGGTCAGTGTTGCACTAGATTGTAGTACTCAACCGTAGCTCTCTGGGAACTGACCTGGGGCGGTAACTTCCGGTGCGCGAAGCAGGTTTGACATGTTCAATGCCGCGTAGCCGCTAAGCAGCGAATATTCCCTGGGCCTATTAGTGAACATTATATGATATGAGAGTAAGTGACACATACGGTAGAGGCGCATCACGATAATTTGGCTGCCCGGCTTCAATAGGAAGCGGCATGACAACCACAGTATCCTGCGAGTCTGCCTTGAAGACTTTGCTGAGCATCCAGTGGCGGTAGACCTCCGAGCGACGCCAACCTTCATCACGCTCTTCTTTTGACACAGCCTTACCGACCTCCCTGCTGATGTGTAAGTACGACTGCGCATACTGTACTCGAGTACTGGCTGCACGACAACTCACCATTGCCAGTGTAGAGCCCGATGGACAAATGCGGGCCTGCCATATTTCTGTGCGTAATCATTCCTAAAGCTTTCAAGGGAATAGTACTGATCATGATAGAAAGGAAGAATCCCGGCCTAACAGGCGCCGGGGGGGGGGGGGGGTTCTGGTAAGTCTCACAGTTTCAAGATACTTGGCGATATCGTCATGCTTGTTACCGTCGGGGCAGTCTTGTTTCCACATGTCGGCTAAGGAGATGTTTCTGCGCGAAATTTGCAGCGTAGACTCCAGTCCGGATACAAATCGTTCGATCCGTTGGGTTTGCTCCGGGTTCAGAGTTGGAAGGTAATCGGTTGGATAGAGAATCTCGACTGTCGGCTATGTGACCATGTCGGTCAGTGCGTGCATGTGCATCCCTGATTCAAAGTTACACTTACCGCGTCCGGGCTGCGCAGCATGGGCGAGTCTCCGTACCATGTAGATATGAAGTCAGGAAACTTAGAAATATCTCTGCCGAAGAAGACAGGCATATCAAACTGCCTACAGGTTGTGCGGCCAAGTCAGTATCATTTCGAGAACCAGTTTAGAGGATGCATACGGGAAGTAGCCGACGACACCATCCGTGTTTATGATGCCAGTTGAGGGACGAATGGAAAAACAGCCATTGTAGGAAGCTGGTTTGCGACCGCTACCGTTGGCTTAGAGATAAAGTCAGAAAGTGTCGTAGTTGGGGAGGATGCATTGCACATACTATCAGACCCGATTGAGAAGTCTAGCCAGTCATACGAAGCAATGCTGGCTCCGCTGCCGTTACTGCTACCTGACGGCACTTGGTAGCCGTCGGCACGAGGATTGAAGGGCGCCGTAAACTCGACGCATTCGAGCGGCTCTTCGCGCATTATCATGGCCTGCAGCTTGAGCTTTCCGACAATAATAGCGCCTGCGTCTATAAGTGTCTGAATGCAGGCGGCGTTCTGAGTCTTGGAAGGGTAGAGATCCATCCACGATCGATTGCATAAAGTCGTTTTGTGGCCAGCAATGTCGATGTTATCCTTGACACCGATCCTAGCACCAGCAAGGGGACGATCCTCGGTTGGCTTGTAATAGCAGCGTGAAGGCACGACTACTCTTCCATTCGTTCCAGCATATGAAGCATCGACGGTAACTAGAGTAAGGGGTAGTTAGCCTTGGAAGGGTTCCGGTGAGTGTAGCCAGCTATCTTGTTGCTTATCTCGTTGGGTTAATGGTCGAAGGCTTGAAGGCGACCATAAAACAAGCATTGAAATCGTGATAAATTCTCCACGGTTGCCAAGTCTTGCCCGCCGAAAAGACATACGGGCCAGGGGCGACAGAATGTGCGGAAAGAGATTCATCTCTTGCCAATGTGTATTGCCTCTTGACATTCCACAACTTGAGCTCCGCCGCAGTGTCCGGTTCAATATGGAGGTTTTTTTCGTCACTTCCATAGAAAATCAGGTTGGTGGCGAAGTCGGACTGAAACACATCATCTGGTTCGAGTGTTTTGGTTCGAAACTCGCGCAGTGACGATACAGAGACGCTTTCGCCTGGAGTGGTCGGATACACCAGCGCAAGGGCATGGCTGGTGGCATCTAAGCCAGCTTTCTCGAGAAAATTCTAGTATAAAATGGCTAGTTAGTATATATTTTTCGGGGATTGTCTTTTTCCCCCGGCTTGACAGAAGGGCAGAAACGAGGGGCTCCCCGACTAATGGTGGATGCATAGGAGCAAACGGTAACAACAGAACTAACATCTGGGTTCAGGATCAAGAGATAATTGATATGGCCCACCGTGATTTCTGCATCCTGGTGGACGGTCACGGACCCAAAGTTGGGTGATCGATCATCGCCAGACATGGAAGCGGTTTGAAATTGGTGCTTTGCGGTAGAAACTTAGGGTGCTCGACTGAGAATGCGTTGTGGGAAAATGTGAGAGCCTGGTTAGGGTTCAAGGAAAGGAAGGGCAGATCAAGTACTGTCAGTAAGTTCCCCCCGCGAACTGCAGGAGCGCGTCAAGACATGCAAGTATGCAAGTCTACCGTCGCACCGTGGTGTGGGAAGGTGTTTGATTGGGCCGACGCTATCATTACGTTACGTTTTCCATCTGCCAGTCTTCTTTCTGGCCATTGTTTGCTCAGCGGCCGCGCAGCGCTGTTTGCCAATTGATAGCTACTTGACTGGGTTACACGATTGAAGCGGGCGCGCGTTGTTGAGCAAGCTGTGTGACGTGTCCGGCCCACCTGTATGTACTACATGTCCGTACATGGGATGAAAATGTGCGAGAAGTGCCCTCTGAGCCATTTGCAGTTCAACCGATTGATCTACTTTGGACCCCGAAACCTTGCTGCTGTATGGGGGACAAAAACCCCCATCTAGTCCATGTAAACTGCATCACAAGTTGGTGCTCTCGCATTGGGCTTAGCAAAACGGCCAGATCAGCATCGGGATTGTCCTCCGAGCGCCCTGCGTCGCCCTTCTCGTGCAGCAGCGGAGCGAGAAAGAGCAAGATACTTGACGGTACATGAGGGGCTTATAGCACGTGCATCCTTTTCTGCAGCGCTCGCAACAATTGTCCCAACAAATGTAAAGGACGCCTTCTATCGATGTGGGCTGCACTCCTGCAGCGGAATACACACCCGCCGCCCGCAGAAAGAGCAGCAATAGTCATCTTGCCAGCCTGGAAAGACGGCTTCGATTAGCTGCAAGCTGAAATCCTGCGACGAGATGTGTTACTTCTCGCGCTGCTCAAACTTATCGTCTGCCTTGGAGCATGAAAAGACGTCATTTATTGACTGCAACCTGCAATCCTACGAAATGGCGTATGACTGCTCGCGCCGCCGGCAGCGATCGTCTTATCACGAATGGCAGAAGACACCACCTCTGAGCTCCAGGTTGAAATCATGCCCGAACTGCACTCTGCCAGGCTTGCCACCCCAGGACTCTTCCATCTGACTGCTACTGGTACACAATCGCTGCCAGTACAGGAAGTCCGTAACGCCCGATAGTCGAAATGAGATTGCGAGGCAGCTACTCCCTCCCACCAACATCGCGGAGAAGTCTTGGTTAATACTCATCCTCGACAACTCTCTCTTTGCTGAGAAAGAAATTGCAACATATCCGCCGGCATAATTCAAAATGGCTGATCGTGTTTTGCAGACTGACGCGCTAGGTACTTCTTCTCCATCTTACCACACGCTGAATATCTGCTTACCGACACCGCAGAAGCTCCATTGTACTTCCTCGAGCGCAACGAGATTTGGGACTCGACGAAACCGTACACTTTTCAGTATTACACAAAAGAAAAGTTTCCACGCACTAATGTCCTGCAATCACCTTCTCTCACGCGGATCAATGATATGCGATCCCACTGCACTCCCGCAACACTAGAGGCCGAAGGTTTCACATTCTCCCGCTTCTCGTCGAAGATGCAACACTCGGACTTCCAGGACGAGGAAAAAGTAGCATCGGTCTACTGTCGGGAGCTCGAGAGTCACTTTCTGGACCTACTGGGAGCGAAGCATGTCCGAGCGCTGGATTACCAAGTAAGCCCTCTCTGAAACGTGGATTTCGAGTCCATTTACTGTTCTGGTGGCCAATAACATGTTGATCGAAGGTCCGCCGGCGATTGCCAGAATACCCATATTTCGGCGGCAAAATACCCCCAAGCCCACAGCCAAGTCTTCTGACACACGCGGGTAATCTTGCCAAATCTTCTGCTTCTTTTCTGATCATTTCTAATCGATCGTAAATCTCAGATGCAACGCTTCAATCTGCCGAACAAATTGTGCGCGAACTGTACGGCAAAGATGCGGAACAGGTTCTCCAGTCAAGGTTTCAGATCATTACGTGAGGACACCCAAGTCCCGTCAGTTACTAATAAACTAACGTCTCTCTTCTGCAGAGTGTGGAAGCCGTGCCGAGGACCTGTCAAGGATTGGCCTCTCGCCGTGTGTGATGCCACGAGCGTTGAGCGGTCCGACCTCTTGCCTGCCGATGTCATTTATCCCAACTACCTCGCCGAGAACTGCATGATCCACTTCAATCCAAACCAGAGATGGTATTGGCTTCCCGAGCAAGAGTCTGATGAAATTCTCATTTTCAAAGCCATTGATTCAAGCAATCCAACTTCTTCTTGTAAGTCCTCCACTGCTATGTCTGTGTGTCCTGACGCCGAGTGCGCCACACATCTAACCGCATGCTAGCATGTCCACACGGCGCGTTTGCACTCCCAGGCCAGGAAAAGGAGGCTATCACGAGGGAGAGCATTGATGTCCGGTTATTGGTTGCCTACGCTGACATGGTCTATCCAGCTGCAACTCTAGATCCCGTGCTAGGTCCGAAGTAGCATAGAGCATCGGTGCGATTCGATCGGGCGCTAAGGGGCACTAGTTATGTATGTATGTATGTAGTTCCGGGAGCCTGGGTTCCGTAGTAGATCACCATTTTTCTTCTATTTTTCTTCTATTTTTCTTCCTTCATTCTTTTCATCTTTCCATTCGAGACGAGAGGCAGAGGATTGGTACGATACGCCTGCTAGATGACCCGTTGGAGTCTGATTTGCAAAGCCGTCTGTTTGACTGTTACCAGTAAGAGGGGTACACAGGGCGGGAAACCACAGAGGGTATGGATAGAGCACCGAGCTGCCAGAAAACGGCCATGAATGTTGCTCAGCAAGCGAAGTGCCTATCATTATACCGTCAATTATGAACTACAATATCTGCTCGTTTTTTTCGACAGTCAAGGGGACAGCCCTCGTAACTTTGCTTCTTTCAGCGCAGGGCAGCTTACATGACTTCACCCTATAAGAGCTTCAAATAACGCTGGCATATTATTGGCATCAGTACAAAACGATTTCATTGGCTTTTCGAGCTATATGACGGTCGCGGATACCCTCGGATCCAGCTCCCTGTTTCACGCCTCCGCTTGCCCACAGCGCAGCGAAGTCTTCGCAGTTAGTAGCCGTCTCGACGGGCTGATGAGGGTATCTCGACTCACTGCGACCACCATTCAGGTCTGTGCTGTGCCTGATTCAAGCTTGGCGGCGGTGATGCTGGACTGTCCCGTGCGACGGTCCATTGGCTTGCTGACAGAGGAGCCGCTGCCACCACAGGGCTGAGACCTTTCTAGGGCATTCAGGCCAGAAATGTCAGGGTTGGGGTCCTCTTCAAGAGTCCTCATGGACTTCCAGGGCTTGATTTTGTTTGTGATTTTGATCGGATCACCAGTCATTTTGGTTTCGCAAAAGGTATAAAAACTCAAGGTGTTGGACTGTTTTGTCACTCGTTCAGATGGATAGAACGCCTTGCGGTCTGCCTTTATTTAAGAACTGCGGGACCAGAGTTACAAAGTGTCAACTCAAATGTGCGGGCCACCGGTTAGATGCAGATCTCTAATGTGACTTCTCATTCATTCTTGCCCAAGCCGAGACAGCTGCAGTGATGAGGCCACCAAGTGTACAGCCAGTGACATGGGCAAGCCACGCCACGTCCGTCGCATCTGCAGAAATTTCTGTGTGACACATCAAAACCGTGTGTCATGATTGGAAGCTGAAATGCATGATTCACCAGCTTCAGGCCGCCACCAGAATATCTCGGCAAAGACCCGTACCAGAATTCAACATATTAAGAGACACGTGACGGTGTATAAAAAAATGCACAGGTCGTTTACCCCGCGCGCACGCCGATTCTATTCCTTACGTGGAACATTGGGAGCATTCTATCAGGCTTTCAATGGACCGATACCGGAATAAACAGATAGCCCCAACATCGTCGAGTTCTGCCCGAAACGACACGGCCGAGACCAAAGAAGCGTCCTCGCCCAAGTCTGCACTCAGTTTAAGCAGCGTCGTGCGAATGCGTGACTGCGGAGGACAAATAGAGTCAAAGTGAGTCTCCCAATGAGCATCTTCATGCCAAAGTTATTCCTCAAACATTCTTACAGCTTTGCAGTATCATTGCTGTCCCAGGATACCGCACGCCACCCGTGCAGACGTGGAATATGAAAAGCGAACTCCGGGAAGCAGGCTTCTCGGTCAACTCCTTATCGTCTCTCCACATGTACATCTATCAGCCTGGTTACGAAGCTTCGGATGAGTTTACATGGGATAGCTTCCTGCGAGTGGGGAGCGATCTGGCAGAGGAGCTGGCCCGAATTGCGACTGAGGTACGCTGCGCGCGAAAACGAGTCGTATAAACTACGACAGCATAATGACCGAACTGCAGTTCCCAAACAGACCAACAATCTTTGTAGCGCATTCTTTAGGCGGTGTCTTGCTCAAAAAGGTATCATCTTTACCTCCATTAGCAAGCGGGCAGGAGAGAGTACTGACCAGCGACTGATAGGCCTTGCTTCTGGCACATGAGAACATTCAAGATCCACGATTCAAGTTGGTGGTAGAATGCCTCTCTGGGATTCTTTTTCTGGGAACACCGCATGCTAGCGTATCAGACAAGGATACTTTACTCCGACACAACCAAGTCCTCTACAGCTGCGCCAAGGTCGCGGTCCACAAGCAAGCATCCAGGCTTCCACGGCACGATGTGTTCCAGCTAGCAAACCTTGCGGCTGCTTTCGAACAAATTGCTACTATTCCTATCCTGTCGGTCTTCGAATACGATGCACCGAGATCTGGTGTGCCAAAGCTCTTCGGCAAAAAGAGCAAAGTATGATAAAACTGTGCATGCAAAGTTTTCTCAGTGCTAACTTCGTTTCTAACAAGGCGCTGGTGGATGAGCAGCTTGCTACCATTTCCTCCCACGCAGAGCAGCTTCTTGGTGTGCATCTCACGCATCCTGAGTTGTGCAAATTGCCTAAGCTGAGCGACAACTCATATTCGGCAAGAGACTTTCTACGATTTCTGCTCGCCAATTTTGCGAGTAGGTTGCCTATTGCATCGATCAGACTTGACCGTGAGCTGACCCTGAAATAGGTAACAAGAGATGGTCCGCCGACGCTGCATCTCTGACAAGCATCCAACCCTCTCCTGCTGATCCATTGAATCCATTGAACCTTGCGCCGATTCCTTCACTCAGGACACAAGATGTGCCATCCTGTGTCTCCAAGGATATTCCCGTTGCTCAAAAGCGAGCGACGGGGCTCAGTCTGCACTCACCCATGCCGTTGCATACCATGTCCAACAACAGCGACACAAGCTCCCTTTGCGATCTTGGGACATGTAGATTGCCATGTTTTATGGTGCCTCAGTCTCGGAATCCAGATTTTGTCGGCAGAACGGACATCCTCGACCGGATAGACGAGCATCTTCACTCGTCTGCTCCATCAGCCCGCCGGCAGGACCAGCAAACCTGCTTTTTTGCCCTCTGCGGAATGGGAGGTATTGGGAAGACTGATCTTGCTGTAGAGTACGCCTACTCTCGAAGGGACAAGTTTGACGCCATCTTCTGGCTTGAGGCGGGCGGTGTGTCGCAGCTGGCATCTGATTTTGGTCGCATACCAACTCAGTTGGGGCTTCAAACTGCAGAAGAAGCTGAAAGCCTCGAGTCAAGCATAGAAATCGCAAAATCCTGGCTGGCCAACCCCTTCGCCACTGAAGGTGGGGAGGCTTGCCGGTGGCTACTCATATTCGACAACGCGGACAACCTGGACATCATTACCAATTACGTGCCTCATCAGGGCAATGGTGCGATACTTGTGACGAGCCGGGACCCATTTGCGAAAGACCATTTCTTCACAAATGGTTCTGGTATTGACCTCGATCCTCTGCCTCTAGACGACGGCGCAACTCTGTTGCACAACCTCATCACCAAGTCAGATGATTCTCGCAGTGCGGATGAGCAAGAGGCAGCGGTCGAACTGGCGACACACCTTGACGGGCTGCCGCTGGCCGTCGCGCAGATAGCTGCTTTTATACGCCGCAGACACTTGTCAATCCGAGAGTTTGTCAGCCTTTATAGCAATGACGCCCGATATGCGGAAATCCACAACATCGGTAGTCCACTGCAACAACGGCGATACGGCTATACCCTCGCCACAGCCTACAGCTTTCAGGGGCTCAACGCGAATGCTACTCGACTGCTTCGTGTCCTTGCTTTCCTTAACCCTGACAGAATGCAGGAGCTCATTTTCGTCAACGCAAACGTCCCAACAACGACAAACGAGCCCTGGACCCATTCTACCTTTGACGATGCGCGCTACGAACTTCTCGCTTCCTCCATCGTCAAACGCAACATTGCCAAAAAAGAGCTGTGGATTCATAGATTGATGCAAGCCGAGGTTCGCACTCGCATGGATGATGGCGATCGGTACCAGACATTTAACGACGCGGTTGCGTTACTCTCCAAGGTTTGGCCACCTGGTGACCATTGCAGTCAAAAGGTGCAGCGATGGAGACTCTGCGAAGACCTTTTACCACATCTAGAGCGATTTCATCAGCTCTTCATCGAGTACTCCGCAACCTGGTCCCAGTATGATGTTGACCCAGCGCTCCCAACACTCCTTAACGAGGCCGCAGTGTGAGATTCACATTTTACTATCCATACGAGGCACAGACTAATGAGTTACTAGCTATCTTCACGAGCGGGGCTTCTCACAGGAAGGCAAAGTGTATCTCAGCCTCGCCCTTGAGCTCTGTAAGCGAGCCAATATTACAACAGAGCCACTGATCAGCGATATGCATCTCAATATGGGCGCTTTGTCCAATGAGACAAACGATGCTGTCGCATGTCTAGAACACAACATCGTATGCCTTGAAATTCGAAAATCCGAGGCTGCCAAAGGCCGCGCACCGGACTTGAGACTCGCTTTTGCTTATAGCCAGATGGGCATCGCATACATGATGATACGCAAGTTTGCGCTGGCCACGGCATACTTCAAGCAGAGCGTCGAGATGCTCAAGATCATCGACGGAGACCCAGACGACTTTGGGTTCCCCGCGTGTAATCTAGGGCTATCATACTGGGTGCAAGGGGACCTTGACAACGCGGATCGGACGCTCAAGGATCTTCTCGCGCAACGAGAGCAGCTGCATGGAAAATTGGACACCGTATCCTACAAGTAAGTACAAGACGTCAGCTAGTGAAAGCCGCCCATCCATGCTGAAATGGATGTCCAATAACATAATTCTTCAGAACGGGAAGAGTTCTTCAGGCTCTGGGCAATGTGCGGGCGGGCAAGGCCAGTCGCGCAGAGATGGAGGGCGACGGGCTGAGAGCCGCCAGGTTGTGGGACGAGTCTTTGCAGTTCCACAAAGATTGCCTTCAGCAGTACGAATCTACTCTTGGCAAATTTAATCACCGCACAGCCGATGCGTGCCACAAGCTGGCCGAGCATTACATCCGACAGGGAAAGGATGTCATGGCACAGTGAGCTCCGACAATAAGGACTGCTTGTCTCTGCCAGAATACTGACGTGGTTGAGCAGGAGTTTCCTTGATCGGGCTCTAAAAATCTGGGGTGATCGACCGCACTATAAGAATGAGTCTGCCCGCTCATCCTTTCTGCGTGGCACCCATCTTATCTCGCTCGGCGATGAGGAAAGCGTTGGAAAAGGAAGATGCTGGGTGGAGAGGGCCAAGCAGCTCCGGCGGGAAATTCTACCACAGGAGGAGCCAAAGAAACTTCAACACGCTGACTTTGATGACCTAGTTTGCTTTTGGTCTATATAGCTTCTATAGCTATTATCAACTAGGTAGTTTGCTAACAAAGAGTGAGTCGCTGGCACAGCCCCTATACTGAATGCGTGAATCGAGATTCTCGCAACCCCACCTATAGAAGCACGCATGAAGCCCGGCACCTATGCATTAGGTCGCAAGAGGTCATTCTAACACAAGCGTCTTTTATGGAAGAGAACTTGGCAAAGGGAAGATCTTTGAGCCATGTACGTGGCTTGCGTTGGCAAACAAGGCCGCAGCGAACGACCCCTCGGCAGAAGTTTTCATTCAACGTGAGCCAATATAAACAACATGACCCTCGAGAAATTGGCTAACAAGGCGTTCCCTGTCGGAGGAACCTTTTTTCTCACTCAGAATGCGTTTTCTGGTGGTGTTTCTCGTATGGGTCGATGTTCCTGCGGTTGACGCCTGGAACAACTTGGCAGACCATCACCAAGCACACCGCTGAGAGGGCGAGGGGCTCAGAATGGGGGACTCATATGTTGAGCAGGCTCAAAAGAGGTGCGAGAGAGGCATTTCAATAGCACTGACTCGAAATGACGAACACCAGATCATCTTGAAAACGCGCGGTGACTACGTGACCATATGCAACGCCTGAATCGGACCATCTATGTACAAGGAACTGCAGGGAAGGTTACGGTATATCACTGGCACAATATTGTTCATGCCAGGGACTCGGGCTCTTGCGTACCACTCTATTCACAGTTTCTTACGAGTGAGTCGAGGTTCCATGCCTCCTCGGACAACAACGACACGACAAACCCAATGACGCTACTCGTCCATGCGGAAGATTGAATTCCGCCTTTCCACTGGTCGAGAGCTGGGAACTTACGGCGTATTCTCATGTTCACTGGCCTGAAAACCCTGAGCAGCGCATGTGTCATCGCGACCATGGCTGCTGGAGCTGGCGCAGCATTGAAGTTGCGTTGGCTATGCCCGCTCGACTTTGTGGAACCACTTCCGCAATCGCCCATGCTTTCTTTTGCACTTGGACGAAAAAATCACAAGTGGCATAGTTCTTCAATTTCGGGCTGGCTCCTGAGCATCTTCCAAGTATGTGGGTGCCAGGCCCTTTCAGCCGCCGGCAGGTTGGTAGTCGCGTGCCCAAAACGCAAATCTGCTAGGGGTGTGGTGCCTGCGTCAATGCCCCCCGCGGTCGGTCGCATCAATGCGCCCCGGCTGAACCGGAGGCGGGACGATGCCCTTGTATCAATGCCTAGTTAGCGGGTGTCGTTCCGGCGTGATGTTTCGCCTCGACTACGGACCAACGAGGAGAGCCAGGTGAGGGGACAAAAAAAAACAACGTCCTTGTTCCAACGCCTTCTCTTCCCTCTCTCGCCCCCCCGGTTGCCCCCCCCCGAGTTCTCGACCGCGATCGGTAACTACTTGGGCGCAACAAATCAGCCTAGTTCGCGCGCGCCGCCCGACTCGCCCTGTCTGCCATTTCGCCCAAGATCAGATGCAGGGAAGTGGTGCTGGCAGCTAATCCTGCCATCCCAAGATCTTCTGTCGACGCGCCGGGGTGGTCTGATGCCGACTCGTTCGCAGCTGCCCGCGTTCAAGATTTATGTCTCGCCAGACCTCTCATCGCAAAGGAATACCCGATACAGAATAGTGGCCCGCGGCGGGCACTCTTGGCAATGCCGGAATGGTCGCTACAAACACGGCTGTGTAACCCAGGTCACTGTAATCATGGACGCGTTGGAAAGATGAGGCATTGGTTCTCAGGTTGGATGCCACGTTGAGGATACGGCTACTTGTAACGAACACATGCCTGTCTTATCGGTCCAGTGGTGGCCGCACCCGAGTAAAGTCGTTCGTTGCAAATTCGCTGTCCCACTCCACCGCCTTCCTCTTTAGGGTAATCGGCCCCACTTTCAGCACCTGCCGCTTTACAAATTTCTATAAGAGCCGGCGACTGCCCTCCCACCTTTCCCCCTCAGCCCGCAACTTTCACTTTACCCCCTTTTGTCTGCCGGCCCCGTCGCCTTCAACAGCCTTGCGCGCCATGGCCCGTCTGTTCGCCCCTGCCGCAACATTGTCAGCGAACGCTGGACGCCGACTTCCTTCCCTGCGCTCGCGTTCCAGCTGTAATTGACGAGCTTTTCCAACGCTACTTCCACGGCAAACCGCTACTCCTCGATGCTCCAACCAACATCCCTTCCCGTCAATTCCTCGCCATCACCACACTACCGAGCCTGACGACGAAAAGAACAAAAAAATAAAGCATCCAGAACTCCCCGACTATCGCTTATGCCGCTACTGAAGCTGCCGACTGCGAGAAGCATGTAGATGGCGCATTACCACGTCAGCTTGTTAAGGTCTGAGGCACGGTGACGTGTATAGTCCTGTGCTGCCGCCCTTCGGACACTTTCCGAGTGACACTTGTTAAAACCGGCCTCCGTTGCTTCCTACGGCCAGGATGCGCGCTCGTTAAGGGCTGGCACTGGCTGGCACCTTGTGGGATAATAGAGCTTGTGGATTGGCTTCGTGTTTAGCTGACTATAGTGCTTGCGACCTGCATTAGCTGTGTTAGCTGTTTAAAGAGCCACTGATGAAGGTCTGTTGATCTGCGACCGCCTGGGGAGCTTGTAATCCTATCTAGATATAGTGATTTGTTGTCGCGCTAAAGTAGTAGTATCTCTAGGCGGCTAACATAGCCGGTATACTCCGCGTAGTTGAATTGTACGATATTTGCCTCGGATGCAATGTTTCTGGCACCTTAGCTCGGGTTCTGGGAAGGATGAGAAGCCGTACTGACATTTAATCGGTAAAATATGGCCTTATGAAGTGACCTTAACCCCCGCTTTACTGGTATTTATGAGACGCCTCGCTGCTTTCTGAAATGGAAAAGAAGGAGGTCTCTATGTAGCCGGCTGGCTAGTGTAGTGCCACGCTAGCTACGAAACCATAGGATGATACGTGCGAACGTAGTAGCTGGTCTGATCGGACTAACTTGGTCCGGGCTCGTTTAAGCTGTGGAATGCGAAGTTAAATAGAGGCTAGTTCCTCCCTTCTGAGTACTTGACTTCCACATATACTCTTGTTTTAAATCGTACTGTTACCGCTAAGTTTATGAAACGATGGTAAGCACGATGAGCCTCCCTAACTCCTATATAGGATAAGTTCTTCTTAGAGATCTGGCTGCTCTTCGCTAGCTAGTTCTGCTAGTGCCTGTGGCACCCTTTTGGTTTATAGAGTAGAAGAGCTTAAGATTAACCCTAGTCTGGATTCTGGTTCTAGCATTATATTCCTAAAACGCCGATCTTCACCTATTGAAGGTATAGCCACGATTCTATTTCCTGATAATGGAGATTGTATTTAAGCGCTTATGGCTAAATATAAGTAGGTAATGAGCGGCTATAATGGCTAGACTTAGTGTGCTAGCCCTAATACCCTAACTAATAAAGGTAGCCTAGATTAATTGTGGGCGGTTATATTATATGAAGGCTTACTAAGTCCTCTAGGCGGCCGTTATGCGAGTCTACTAGGTTCTTATAACCACGATGACCGAATAGATGATAAACTAATGAAACCGGGCGTACTGCTAGGGGGACTAACGTTACGGAAGCCTTAAGGCAATAAGAAGGGTCACTCTAGGACCTAAAGCCGTGTGTAGAAGAAGAGTGCCTCGGTTAGCCGTCGCTAGGTATACGCCTTTAACCATCTAGGAGGGGCTTGACTGTTACGAATACTACAGGCATGCATGCGGGGCTGAGTGAGGCAGGATAAGGCTTATCACAATAGCGCCTAAAAGGGATAGGAGGTTATATAACCTCCTAGTATTAAGGACTTAAGCTATTAAGCCATTAATCTAGGAGATAAGACTTAGAGGATTAAAGGTTAAGTCTATTAATCTAAGTAATATAGTAGAGAATAGGATAGATATATAAAGAAGGGGATTCTAGTAGATAGTTAGACTAGATCTCTACTAATTAATCTAAATAATAGCTCTATTATTAGGAGATATCTCCTAATATAACTTATACTATAATAACTACTTATATACACTTTATATATTTAACTAACTCTTTACTTAAAAAGTAGACTAACTATAGATTAAAATTAAACTACTATTATATTTTAATTAGTCCTATTTAATAAGTTACTTTAAAATTAAAAGTAATTAACCTTTATAATATCTACTACTAGTAGTATAATAATTAACCCTAGTTAGACTATAGTATAAATAAAATAATAGATTAATATACTTACTATTTAAATTTAGACTATAAAGAATACTAATAATAGAACTCTTATTCTACTAGAGTTTTTTAAATTTAACTTATTTAATAGAATTAAAAAGAATATTTAAAATTTCTTAACTTAAATAAAAGCCTATTTATATATAAATACTATTATTCTTAACCCTATAGTATAAGTACTCTATATTAGAAACCTCCTTCTAAAAAAGATAATAGAGTAATAAGAGTTAACTCTTAAGAATTACTTTAATAATAAAGAACCTAAAGATAAAACTATATAAATCTTTAAATAGTATAAATACTTTAAAGAATTACTTTAAACTACTTTTAAAGACTTAAATAAAATATATACTACTATATATAAGCTTAAAGCTCTTAAGTAGACTAGATTTATTTAATACTTTATAAAGGAATTTAAGTATATTTTAAACTACTTTATATAGAATAATAATAGTATAATAAAACTACTTTATAATACTTTATAAAAAGAT